GATTACTTCTGAGTAGACAGGTCTACAGGGTTGCCAGCCCCCAGATTTGCCTGCCTTTCCTAAAGTGGGTGGCAAGGAGAGGGCTTGAATCCCCAGGTGGGCAAAAGCATCTTAAAATTATGATGGTGATTATGATGGTGATGAATGTGCATACAGCTTGCAAGCTCTCATCCTCTCACAATTAACCACCATCTCTGCAAATTATTGCATAGACTCTCAGGGGCTGCCCCACCCCCCAGGAGACCAGCCCTAGTTCTCAAATTAGGGCCCTGAAAACTCAGTGTCTGGGATACATGTGTAGATAGCATATTGGCTCAAGCCAATGGGGATTTTAAAAAAACAAAACAGCACTGGGGGTGGGAAAGACTGGATAAGTTTGCTCACCTCCCACCCTGGCTGGAGCAGCAGAACTTGGAAACTGGCAGTACAGTCATACCTCATGTTACATTTGCTTCATGTTACGTTTTTTCGGGTTGCGTCCCGCGGTGACCCGGAGGTACTGGAAAGGGTTACTTCCGGGTTACTTCCTGGTTTCACCAATCGTGCATGCGTAGAAGCGCTAAATCACACTTCGCGCATGCGCAAAAGTGCCAAATCGCGCCACACACCTGCGCAGATATGACACTTCAGGTTGCAGGCTTTTCATGTTGCGAACGGGCCTCCGGAACAGATCCTGTTCACAACTAGAGGTACCACTGTATATCTACCAGTTCACCACACTCTACCCCCAGCCAGTCCTATTCACCTAAATTCATATAACAATTATGTAGTTCTATATAGTTCAGATGAGTGAGACACTCCCTCTTTGTTCCCCACCCTGATATGGATTTGGTCTCTACTTATTTTGGTCTCCAGCCATGATTTGCCACTGTTACTTTTGCTGATAGGTTTCAAAATGAAATGGGTATTGACAGGCCCTGCATCTCCAAGTGCTCTTACGTCAGCAAAATCTACACAATATATCTCTACTTCCATTCTGTATATATAGAAAGAGAAGTGTGATAGATGCTTACTCCGTGACATTTATCTTCACACCCATTAAAAAGATAACTCTCGCCACTGTTGTAAAGGAGCTGGGAAGATAAATGCTTCAACAGAGCCATTTTGTTATTAGGTTTTGGGGAAGAATTCTTCCCTCCTGAGAAGCTCCAAGTGGCCTGATGCCTTTACTGGGAAAGGCATGTCTTGGGAAACATCAGAGGAGTCAACCCCTAGTCAACTCCCCAATAAAATATTTGAGAGGACCGCCCCCCCAAAAGTTGATGGGCATTGCTTTTCAAATGGGGGCTTACCTGGCCCCCATATTTTATTCAAGTTGGCACCTCTGGGAAACATTGAAATTGTGCACAAAGATTGATACAGTACTAATTTTTTAAAAATGCAAGACAAGCCCACTTAGCTCCTTCATGAAACTATACATAGGTATGTTGAGGTTATTGTTTATGATGGTGATGAGATAGACACTGTACCCATAATCCCTGTCCGCCATTGGTAACATCTCCCAAGCATATTCTTACCAATCTTCCCCATGCAAACCTCACTTTCAAGAATCCCCACCAACTGCACCCGCAACACAGCTAATCCTCAGCCAACTGTATGTTGCAAAGGAAGTTCTGGTCTTCAAAGAAAAAAGAGGAGGCAGTATTAAGCATAATTTACAGGCAGCTCATTCAACCGTCTCCATAGGGGAACACAGTACCATACAAACAACAGCACTGTCAGTCGCCTTCTGTCTTTCAACATGTAATAACCAGAGATGATGGGAACTGCATGGCACCTGGCTGGGAAAGCCTGCTTTAGGTGGACTACTATAGTCAGACAACAACAATTAACCAAGAGCACTCCTAATCTCTATTTCGGAAAACTCGCAATGGACAAACACCAGTTGACAAGCAACCATTAGATGTTTTGGTAAGGACACAAGACATGGCTGTATACCAAGCTTCCTCAACCTCAGCCCTCCAGATGTTCTGAGGCTACAATTCCTGTCATCCCTGACCACTGGTTCTCCTAGCTAGGGATCATGGGAGTTGTAGGCCAAAAACATCTGGAGGGGCCGAGGTTGAGGAAGCCTGCTTTCTACAGATGTGGAAGTGTGGGATCTGGACTAAGAGTCAAAGGTAAAGGAATGACCAGCAAATGCTTTCTGATATTCTCCAGGTTAGCTTGTCATCCCCCCACTCCCTTAAGTTTAAAACATTGTACAGATTCTCATCACCCAAGCAACTGTGTCTGATAGATTGCTTGGCATTCAGTACTACATTCCATGATTAAAGTTAACCAGCATCCTGGTGAAAGGCAGAGCTGGAGATTCATTATGCTAACAGAGCAACTGAGAATTTGTTAGCTTTTTCAGTAGGTCTGATATAGGAATAATTATGGGGGCAACACTGGCAAAACTTGTCACCTTCATTCTAAAAGAAAATAGGCGGATTCAATATATCTGAAAGCACAGCCAGTGTTTACCTTGTTAGCTTCACTGAGACCACATATCAGATACATCTTTTGTATTATTCATACTATAAAAGGACCACAAGAAAAGCCATTCCTTTCTTTCCATCACCTTGTGCAGATGTTAAATGCAGAAAATGTGCAAGGGATTCAAAGATAAAACTTACAGTGCAATCCATGTCTACTCAGAAGCAAGTCCCATGGAGTTTTGTGAGGCTTGCTCCCAGGTAACTGGGTACCTGATTGCAATCTCAGGGAAATTTTATTTTCTACATCAAAAAATTATGTTAATCTAGGAAAAATATTAGATATATCACAATTTAAATGACAACAAATCAATGATTGTGCAACTGTCAAGTTTGAAGCAAGGAGCCTCCCTGTGCAAATTTCACAGCCCTTGAAAGTCAAGCTCTAAAATCAGAGGTTCCCCCATGAGTGGAGGAGAATTATTGCTTCATACAGTCACCCCAAAATTCATACAGAGTGATGAGAACAACGTGGGCAAAATTACCACACTTGGGACTAATCTGCACTGGTCAGTTAATATGTTTAAAATATGTTATAAAAATGTGACACCAGAGGGCGCTGTAGAGCAGCAATCAGTCATCAATGGGAAATTTCATTGAGAGCTATCTTATGTGGGTTTTTAAGCGTCTTTTTCAGATCAGTGTAAATCCAGCCTTGGTCTCACAATGTCTCCCCTCTTGCATGATGGCCTTGCAGTATATGGTCTCGGAATACCTGAAGACATCGTGAATCAACCACAGGAAATAACATAATGCAACAGCATTAAAAGTTATTCAAAGACCAAAGACAGTTCAAAACCAGTTCAATAAAAGCAAATAAACATTTTTTTTCAATAAAAGGCTTAGCAATGAATTGTTCCTGCTAATCGTAATCAAGGACTTCTGGTGAGTCACAACAAACCACACAACCTCTCATCAGATATATAGAAAGCCAGACTTCCTGTATCTATCATTTAATTACTGTTGAATGATTTCCCTGCTAGTGACCCAAACCAAATGTAAAGATTTGGAATCTCCAGGGGAGGAGGTGGAATGTAACTTTACAGTAAACACTTTATTAGTCTGCTAATCATAAGTGGCTTTTTAGAAATTCTTCAGTGAAGTATGGATGGATAGCTGTAGCGTAAGTGTAAAAATGTGGTCTTTTTTTAAAAAAAAAGTGCTGACTAGTATAAAACAAGATCATTTGTAATGAACAGCATGTTTAATTCCCAATGTTGAATTCTGAGCTGTCGCACAGAAGATGGATTAGATTTGCTCCAGGGTGCAGGATTGGAACCAAAGCATGGAAACTGTAGAGAAACAGATTTCTGCTAAACATTTGGAGAAATGTCCTAATGATACAAGTTGTTTGCCAGTGGAACAATCTGGAGGTGGCAGCAGGCCTGGCTCACCCATGAGGCAAGGAGAGATGACTGCCTCAGGTGGTAGGATTCGTCAGGGCAGCAGAAACCTGATGTCAATCTTTCTTGTTCCTGGTGTAGATCTTCCCTCACCACTTCTTCCCTGGCAGGGGTCCGCCTCAGGTGCCAAAATATCTTGGGGTGCCCCTGGGTGGTGGAGTCAGTGGCCAGAGGTATTTAAGCAAAGACTAGATTATTTCAGAAGTCCATTCCAACTCTATGATTCTCTCTATGTGTTGGCTCTGCCCTTGTTAAACACATACCGTACTTTTCTGTGTATAACACACCCCCTATTTTGGGGGACTGATAATTTAGAAAATGGGGGGGGGGGATTGTTGACCTTTTGGGGGGAGGATTGCCCACAGTTGTTGAGCTTTGGGGGGGCAATAGTTAAACTTTTTTTAGGGGGAAATGCTCACCCACCAGACCGACACTGGCACTCGCGTGCATCGACAAAGCAACCTATCCCCTGTCCCATCCCCGAAAAAAACAGCAAATCGCCCGCCCAATTGCCACAGCGACAGTCAATCAACAACAGCCCTTGCAGCAGCCACCAATAACAATCTCCAACTCATGGCAACAACCAATCCCACGGCCCCACAGTACACTACCCATGTTTAAGATGACCCCTAATTATGAACATGATTTTGGAATTTAAAAAACCATAGTCTTATACATGGAAAAGTACTGTATATGCACAAAGTGTGTAAAAAATCCTTTTGCAGAAGTGATTGCAACATGGTCCCATCTTCACCATACATCAGGTAAGCTGAAAAAGTGTATTTTCTTCCACTGCCAGCAAAGGCAATAAGACTGGCAAAAGGAACTTGGTTGTTTTTGCCATGGCCTGATGATTAGCAGTTTGTGTTAACACAGAGATGGGCTTTTTCAATGGTGGCAGCAGTGCTGTGAAATGCCCCTCACTTCTAAAATATGAGAGGTCCCATCAGTACTAGCCATGGAAAAATGTTTGTTTCTCCTGCAACCAAAGGACTGTGACAGCTCAGAGGGAGTGGCACCCACACCAACCCAATCTATCATTATTTTGGTTAGAGAAGCTGACGCCAAGCCTGCCATCTTAATAAAAATGCTGTAGCAGAAGACGAGTACATCTCCCCCCCCCCCCAACGTGCTGGTATTTTCTAAATTTAAACTCACTCCGTGATTGAAGTGAGTATAGTTTTCCTGAAGGTTGATGGGCACCTAGCAACCAGATAGAGTAATTTATCACTGTTAGGAAATAGCAGCTTCCAACGACAGAAACAGTTGTTAGCAAAACTCTAATTTTTTTCTTTGAAAACCTCATGTCTTTGAAAACCTCATTTTGAACTTCATTACAAACAGCAGGGGAAAATCTTACAATAATTCAAAAACAGAGTTCAGAACATTGGGTTCTCTGCTTCCTAAAGCATAGTAAATGGCAACATGTACAATTAAACACACCCTTCCTGCTCTGAGCTCATACTAACACCCCATGTATACATGATTCAAAGGCATCTGAGTAAGATTTCCAGTGATCAAATATTTATCCAAATTACAAAAAAGTAAAGGCAGCCTTGTTGACCCATCAGAATAATAGTAAAATCCATATTATGGCCAACTAAAGTATCACAAAAGATCAAACACATACACACATATAATGAATTGCAGGTGTTCCGGATGAATTATGTTAATGGTATAATGTATTCATGTTTATGTTTTTAAATGTGTTGCAAGTCACTTGGAGACCTCTGAGTAACAACTGACTAACAAGTCTAATAAATAGTGTGTAAATTTTTGAGCTCCCCTGAACTCTTCATCAGGCTAGATCATAAACTGAGCAGGGAGGACTTGGCTAATGTTGAAGCCATGGAGTCTGAATGTGGTCACAGACCATCTTGACTGAGATTATGACCAGATGAAGAATCAGTGACTTTTTTTTTTAACAATTCTTGGCCTAATCCACTATTCAAAAAACTCATGTTCAGACTGTGGCCACATTCACACGATACATTAAAAGAACTATGATACCAGTTTAAGCAGTCATGGCTTCCCCAAACAAATTCTAGGAGCTGCAGAGCTACAGAGTTTCCTGTGAAGAGAAATTTATTTTTAAACCACTCTGAGAATTGTAGCTGTCTGGGAGGGAAACAGTGGTCTCCTAACAGCTCTCAGTACCCTTAACAAACTGAAGCTCCCAGAATTTGGGGGGGGGGAGCCATTGCTAAAGTGGTATCATAGTGCTGTGAATGCAAAGTGTGGATATGGCTTATGCGCCACCTTTTGAGCACCAACTTCCCCAAGCCCCAATCTGGTGCCCATATCTGCTAAATCACATGTGTACAGTCTGAGGCATAATATGTGGTATCTTGTTGTTGTTTAGTTGTTTAGTCGTGTCTGACTCTTCGTGACCCCATGGACCAGAGCACACCAGGCACTCCCGTCTTCCACTGCCTCCCGCAGTTTGGTCAAACTCATGCTGGTAGCTTCGAGAACACTGTCCAACTATCTCATCCTCTGTCGTCCCCTTCTCCTTGTGCCCTCCATCTTTCCCAGCATCAGGGTCTTTTCCAGTGAGTCTTTTTTTCTCATGAGGTGGCCAAAGTATTGGAGCCTCAGCTTCAGGATCTGTCCTTCCAGTGAGCACTCAGGGCTGATTTCCTTAAGAATGGATAGGTTTGATCTTCTTACAGTCCATGGGACCTTATAGTGCAGGAATAACTGTGCTGCAGTTTGTCCTATAAAAAGAAGAACACACAGAGAGATGCAGGCCAGCCCAGCAGGATAGGAGGAGTACACAGCCTCCAGCAAACATGCTCACAAGAGGTTCAAAAAGGGCACATCAATGAAGTGGCAAGAGCAAGTAAGGGCAAGTTGGTCTTTGCCAGCTAGACGACCACGACAGCACAGCTTTTCCCAGCAGTAGGGAGAAATAACACATTTAAATGTAATTAAAACACTAGACCTTAACAAAATAAAAGGAGACAGTAGAGCAGCTTAGAAAGAAGATATCAGAGGAAGTATCCAGTACACTGTCTATAACCCTTGAACAACCACAATCCACACTGGAATCACAAAAGGAACAAGTTGGTTAAAAATATGCAGGGTGGCACTGTGGGTTAAACCACAGAGCCTAAGACTTGCTGATCAGAAGGTTGGCGGTTCGAATCCCCACGATGGGGTGAGCTCCCGTTGCTTGGTCCCTGCTCCTGCCAACCTAGCAGTTTGAAAGCACGTCAAAGCTTCTCTGGCGGGAAGGTAAACGGCATTTCCGTGCGCTGCTCTGGTTTGCCAGAAGCGGCTTAGTCATACTGGCCACATGACCCGGAAGCTGTACGCCGGCTCCCTTAGCCAATAAAGCGAGATGAGCGCCGCAACCCCAGAGTCGGTCACGACTGGACCTAATGGTCAGGGGTCCCTTTACCTTTACCTTTAGACACACACACTTCCCAAACTATGAAATACTGTACTTGGCATTGTGGGTAATAAATGCAATATCTCAGTGACAATAGCATCCTGGAAAACAGTGCAATCTGGAGCAAACACCACATACAACAAATGTGCATTTATTGTGGGACACACACGCCATGCACCAACTATGTGAAAATCCTAAGAAGTGTCCATAAATTCCTCATCGTATAGTTTGCATCTTCTGCTTGCAGAATGTGGGGCTTTCAGCACAGCATCAGTTAAAGTCAGCATTTTACAATGGCAGGAAACCTGGCCAGGCTTGGTGCCCTTGTTAATGTTACAGACAACACAATGGATAGGATCAATATTGTAATGAAAATAATATTAAATCAGAGCTGGGGGAAAGAACATATTTTTGGGGGGGCAGGGTTTTGCAGTTACCTTTTGCTCATGGAATTGAACCAAGACTTTTTCAATCTATTGAAGCCTGGCTTTCAAGGAGGCTGCAAAAAGAAAATCTGAAGAACACAATAGAAAACTGCTACACTAGCAAGAATAATACAAAAGGGTGAATCAAACTGCATCAACCTTGTATCAATACAAGAGGAGCAAAGCAATAGGGCATTCCATTGAAGAGCTAGCTGAGATAACTGCAGGAGATAGTTCAGCAGATACAGTTGACCTTTGGTGATAATGATAACATTATGGGAGATATTTATTTGTATTTATGAATTTATGGCCTCACCTACACCGCCCTAAGCAGCTCAGCTCAGGACTAGGGAGGCTTATAAAATTATGTCCATCTGAAGTTCTCTCAAGATTTGGATATTCCAAATTATTACTCAGGTTTGCAGAGCTCAGGTTTTCCATGCTTCAGTTCTGATGTACGAACTTGGATCAGAATGTGCTGTTTGTTGCAGTTTTCTCTTCACATCTTTCTCTCTTTCATCCTTATAGATTACGGGTGTACAGAAGCGCACACACACATGGATGAAAACACCATGCAAAGGGAAATTTTGAAATGTCGTTTCCTGGGACTTTACCATGTGAGTTGATAAAAATACAGCACCAAAAGGAATCCTGGTATGATTCCTTTTTGCATAGTGTGTTTTAAATCAGTTGTGCCCATGACATGCTACAGTAACCTATTGAGTGGGGAGGGAAGACATGTATGGCACACTGAACACACTGTGCCAAATTGTGAAGTTAATTTTAGAAATTCTCTAAACTAAAGTGGAAGACAGGCAAAACAATAACAGACCACAAGAGAACACACCTAAAGCATGCCTAACATGCATATATATGAGTGAAAATAACATACAAAAATCAATTACATATGGGGAAATTGTTCGCTAAACATGTGTATTAGGCAAAAAAAATGCATACAAACATGTGTATATTAAGAGGAATTCTCACTAAAATGCTGATGGGTTTCTCATGGGCACCTGTGTAGAATTATAACAATACCAAAGGAGTCCATCCCTTCCTTGGGTCTTATTGTCAACATTTTCAACTGCATATTATTTCATAATCCATATTTTAAATCTGCCCATATTGTCCATAGTACTTTTTACATTACAAGTGTTATTAAATCCCTGCTAATGTTTTCATCTGCTTACAGTGGTCTCCTAAATAAATTATGATCCCCCCCCCCTTTCTTTCTTAAAGGTTTTGTCTTCTTGGTTCCTGAGCTTTCTGGTCAGTTTTGCCATTTCAGCGTAGTCTATCAGCTTGGTTTGCCATTCCTCTCTGGACGGGACTTTATCTTCTTTCCATCTCTGGGCTAGTAACTCCGCGCAGCTGTTGTTGCATACATAAAAAGTCTTTTCTGATCCTTTGGAATATCGGTACCTACAAATCCTAATAAAAAAAGCTTCTGGTTTTTAAGTAGTTTTAAACATTTATTTTTCATTTCATTCTATATTCTTTCACAGAATGCTTTTATTACTTTACACGACCACCACATATGATGAAAGGTGCCTTCTTTTCAGGCATTCATTCCCAATCACCACTCAGTCCTTGCTGCTCAATGTGCAAAGGTCAGGGGTGGGATGGGCAGGGCTGGCATGCACCAGGACATTACGGGGAATCCAGTGGGTTTTCCCCCATGCCCTACACTCCCTGGTCATGACGGGAATTCTCTGTTCAGGTGAGGTGCTCTTGTTGCCCACCAATCACTGAGGACGCTTCCACAACAGAAAAAGAACAGCTGCACTGAAAGGACTCTCGACAATTTACTAAATGTTCATCTATCAAGGTGATCTGCTTTACACATCCGTAATCAAATACTAAACTTCTTCTGCCCCCCACCCCACCATAAATGCCAGAGCTTTTTACTAGCTTTCTCCTATTTCCTATGAAACAACTGCTACTTAGATAGATGTTCCTTGTTTCAGAAGAGGCCTCTTTCCTGTGGTCTTGTTACATTAGACTACAGAAAGTGAAAGAGTGCTATCGGGTGAACCAATTTACACAGAGGAATTGTTTCTCAACAAGCACAGAAGCAGCTTAACAAGTTGTCAATTTGAAATGTTTCAACAGGAGACAGAATGGAAAATACTCAACTCCACTGCAGTGCTACCGCAGCTGCTGAGATCACTTAGGTGGGGGAAATGGAAGGCTCTTGACAGTAAGAAAAGGAGTACGTGGAACAAGCTCTCATTCCTGAAACCACCACTTCTACAGGAGTAGCACTGGGGGCAGGGAATGAGCAAGGTGGAAAAGAAAGGGTTAAGGAGGTTTTCAAGAGACCAGTTCTCCTGCAAACATGAGCTGTTAGGAGAAGGATGTTCAGGAAACGCATGCACTTGTTCACAGAAACATAGGGAGCTGCCTTATATTGAGTCAGACTCAGACCACTGGTCAATCTAGCTCAATATTGTCCACAAGCAGCCCTCTGGGATGTCAGACAGGGGTCTCTCCCAGCCTTGCTTGGCTATGCCAGGAATTGAGCCTAGGAACTTCTGCATTCAAAGAAGATGCTCAACCATTTTGCTACTGCCCTACCCAAGTCTGTGTAACGGTTCAGGTGTATGCATGTATGCCAGCAATCTTGGGAGGGAACGAGATTGTACATCATTTGGGGGAGTTGAGGAACTGCCCAATGTTGCCCTCTCCTTGAGTTGCAAGTCTGATAGCAAAATGGCCCTGAATATTGAAATACACCCTGGAGTTGTTGAAAGTCAGGGAGGTGTTATAGTTAGAATCTGGTTTCAAATCTCCACTCACGAATAAAGCGCAGTGGCACTGCTGCCCAGCCAGGACCCTAAAGAGAGCCTCCCCTGCTTTAGGTTAAGAGAAAGTCAAGGGTGAATGAACTAAATCAAGCCAGGAAGTCCCACTCAAAGCACCTGAATTCTGCCGACAAGCACTTGAAACCCTGCTGGAATTCTTACAGCACCCCTAACTGGGTGAGGTCCACATTCACACCATACATTAGGCAAGAGGGGTTTGTTTCTAGCCAATAAGGCAAGATGACTCATCCCGGACACCCAAGAAGAAGAAGAAGAAGAAGAAGAAGAAGAAGAAGAAGAGTTTGGATTTGATATCCCGCCTTTCACTCCCTTTAAGGAGTCTCAAAGCGGCTAACATTCTCCTTTCCCTTCCTCCCCCACAACAAACACTCTGTGAGGTGAGGGGGCTGAGAGACTTCAAAGAAGTGTGACTGGCCCAAGGTCACCCAGCAGCTGCATGTGGAGGAGTGGAGATGCGAACCCGGTTCCCCAGATTATGTGACTACCGCTCTTAACCACTACACCACACTGCCTCTCAACCACTGGCTCTTAACCACTACACTCACACTGATTACTCTCTCAGTAGGAAGATCTCTCTCTGGGAGCAGAGAGAGGAAAGTTGTTGAGCACAAAAAAAAACCCGGACCACATTGACTGCTGTTAAAGAGCAATGTGTTACTTTGTATTTTGTGGCATTTATATGTAACTATTTTAATACTGTTTCCAGTAAAAAATTAACATTATTGTGGTGGAGAGCAAATTCACTTCTACTCTACACAAGGTTCTGGTCAGGGATCCCACTTGCATCAACAACATATTTTATATCCATTTTGTGTTTATGGAGGATTTTGGATTCATGCCAGTGATGTCATACTGTAGCTGCTCCCAGTTCCTCTTGGCTGCATAACCTCCAAGTCACAATAAAACACCACAAATAAGACACAAGTTAGATACTACATAGAATTGGGGGGGGGGGCATGTTCAGCTTAGATAATGTAATCCTTCCTGACAACCCATCTTACTGGGTGGTGTGAATATAATTGTGATGGCAGAGGTAAAACCTGCATTGCAAGAAAGGAGGAAAGCAAGCAAACCAGTCAGACTAGCCCCTCCACTTTCTTAGAGTAACCACTGTCTCCAAGTGGATATTTATTTTTCTCTGACAGCACACTAAGCAGCCTTTTCACCTTTTGGACTTACTTACTCCCAACTTTGGCCCAACGTACTCCCAATACTAGGTAGGGTGGTATGACAATTAGACATAATGTGACTATAAGGCCACAGACCAATTTCTTCCCCAAACAAATGCTTTTGTTTAAGAATGTAGACTGCAAACGTAACCCCACTAAAGCACAAATAAAATTACTTCTGAGTAGACATGGTTAAGATTGCAGTCTTAGTAAGGTGACAAGTTAAACAGTTTGAAAAAATGAATTCTTTAGAAATCTAATTTTACAGGAGGAAGCTTCTGTTAAAAAGAGACAAGTGCATCCAGTTATATCTATACTAGACCATTATTATTATTACACCCCCCTTGGTCTTTGAAAAAAGGTTGTGCATAAATTAAAAGGGGAAATAACTATGTATAAAAATCTGACTAAACGATATGAAAATTGTTCCTCTTCACCTCTCTCCCCACCTAGATGTCATCAATCCAAAGGGACTAATTGAGGTTTCAAGGCCGTTTAATCTCAATAGTCTGATTCCAGTGGCATTCATAATCATGTCTGCCTAAGTAAAGCTTATTGCACTCTGACTTTGGACAGTGTATTGTAAAGGTTACTTACTGCAGCTTGTTTGATGGCTTTTCATCCATAATGGCTTCAAGGCCAAACTCATGGGCACTGGGCTTATAGCAGTGTATAGATAATTACTTGAAAGTCTGCACCTTCTGGCTCCCTGCTGGTTGAGTGAAGTTGCTGTCACTTGGAAACTTAAGCTTTTTTGCATGCCACTACAAACAAACACACACACACACACACACACACACACACACACACGCCCAGCAATTTGCAGTTTCAGTGGCAGTCCAAAAGCTAAATCCTAATAATTGCAGCAGCCAGCAACGGCTGCCTGGCTTCAAACAAGGGATGCTCTGCAAGCTACCATGGACCCAACTGCCACATGAGTCAGCCTTGGATCAGAACCACTGTCTTATTCTTAGAATGAAGGGCTCCAACAATATGTTTGTATGTGTGTGCGTATGCACACTCACAACAGCTTTACCATATCTAAATTGTGATCCTTGGTGTGTGTGTTTTTGAACTACAGAATTCCTTCCAAACTATACTATTAGACTTCAGGAAGATGGATGTGTTGTTAGCCTGAGCTTGAACAAGGGCAAAGTTTAATGTCAGAAGTAATTTGAAAAAGAATGAAAACCATTTCAGCTTTGGGGGATGCTTTTTTAGCGCGCTCTCTCTCTCTCTCTCTTTGCCAGACATGCCAACGATTCTTTTATGTTCCTATTAGGGAAGGTTACAGAAGGAAGCCAGCTGAGTCTGCTGAACTTCGCATGTACCTCGCGTGTCCATAGCTCCTGTTCCCTCTGTCATCTGAGCGTGCAATCTAGAGAGGAACAAAAGCAGAATATAATGAGCGCTGCAACCGGAGTTTCGACTTTAAAGACCTCCTTGCAGTCTGTTATTTGAAATAAGACTCCATCGTGTTAAGTGGTGCAGAAATGGATACTGGCACCCTTTAGCCACAAAGCAGATGATCAACCAGTTGCCCATATTCAAAGCTGAATGAGCAGCTGCCTGAATCTTTTTGCCACCTCGTTGGCTTGCCTTCCCTATGTGCCTCCTATGGCAGTGGTTTCCTATAGAATCATAGAGTTGTGGAGTGGAAGGGACCCCAAGGGTCATCTAGCCCAACCCCCTGTAGTGCAACCATGCCCAACCTGATGACCTCCAGATGTTGCTGGATTGCAACTCCCATGCTGATTGCAGCATCAGGGCTTGACAAGGCATGTGACCCTCACCTGTTCCAAGCCTGCTGCAGCTGAGGAGTCACACAGCTTCTCCCAGAGCTAGCGAGCCTCACTTGGCCAGGCTGTGGGCTCTTGCCTGCCTCAACCTCCTAGAGCAGCCCTCTCTCTGCTCCCTACACCTCAGAGCCCACCATATTAGTGGGGAGAGGGGCCACTCTGGTGATGGGTTCTGCTGCTTTGATTCTTGTGTATTGACCTCCACCCCTTTGCCATCGTCCATCACCATGTGAGTACTTCCTCCTCCATTCCCAGTTTGCCAGTCTGTGTCCCAGTCTCAGCTTCACCGGGATCCTCTTTCTCCTCTCTGTCGTTCTGCCAGGATCAGGTGATGGATAAGTCCTGTTTGAGACCCACCTGGAAATCTGCTGCCATTCAAAGTTGGTAGCACTGGGATAAGTTCCCCAATGATCTGACTTGTGTTCACCCTAAGTTGACCTTGTGAGCCAAGGGGTTGTCATGCTCCTGCAAACATGATAAAAGCCACTGCAGATTGAATCCAAGTGCACTCTTCTTGAAGTGGGTCATGGACCTTCCCCCCCCCTTCCTACTCCAGGCCATCAACATTGTAAGCTGGAGCTAAGTGCTGGAAGACATTTGTCTCCGAGATGCACTGACCCTAATAGGAATGCTTGTTGTCTGCGTTCTGACTCACCCCTCTGTATTATAAACTCTAGGCCCCCTCTTTCCCAAGCATCGCTATAAATGTCACTTACTTTGTTTTGAGACATAATACACTTCAGTTGATGATTTGTTGCTTTGTGGGGTTGTGCCTATATGCACTGAATTAAGGAAAGCAGCCTCTAATCATAAAACTATATGCAGCCCTAAACAATGCACATAACAATGTCAATATTGTAGAACAGACAATATTTGCAACACAAATCTAACAAACATATACCCTATTTTTTGCTCTATAAGACTCACTTTTTCCCTCCTAAAAAGTAAGGGGAAATGTGTGTGCATTATATGGAGCGAATGCAGGCTTCTGAGATTCAGGATATTTTTTTCTTGTTTTCCCCTCCAAAAACTAGGTGCGTCTTGTGGTCTGGTGCATCTTATAGAGTGAAAAATACGGTACATTCCTCATGGCCTCTGAAAACCCTCCTGCCCTGATCTGAGGATTTCTAATGCATGGAAATGGGGGCAGCCCAGCATGTTTTAGCACTGATGTAGTGAGTCTTATTTCTAATCATTAATACCATTTTCAACTGGCTGAAGGTTTTGAATCTAATTTTAACAAGCATATTTGGATTGTTTAGAGGGACATTCAGCCCAGTTCATTTTGATAATTATATGAGATGAGATGATTTCAGCAAAAGTTATTTGTTAGATGGTGTTCCACTTTATTACTTTCTTGCAGTTATTAAATAAATCAATGTTTTTTTAAAAAAAAGCAAAACAGAGTTGGAAACCAAATTAGAGACTCGGATTTGCCTTGTTTCACATGGGAAATGTGTGTGGAGGCGAGGAAATGACAAGACACCTAAATCATACAACAACAAGACATGTGCATTAGTAACATGATCCTTCTTCCCTAAATGCCACCTTTCCACAAATCGTCAATATATTTCAAAGGCATATTGCCTGCAGTGACAGATTCTGAATCCTCAAGAGACAACTCCTTCTATCTGAGGGTGACTGGTGTGGAGAAAGAAAAAAATTCCATGGGTCCCTGGGCAATCATGTTAAATTGTTGGTGTGGTGCTCAGCTAAGTTTTACTCAGAGCAAGCCCATTGAAATTGATGGACCTAACCTAGCTAGTTGAATACCACCTTTGTTTTTAACCACACTACTCTATTTTCTTCTCTTGCATGTTTCTTGTTGACTACAGTGACATCTACTGCTGTCAGGCAGATTTTAGGAAACAGCACAAAAAAGATGCATACTATGCTGAGGACTCATGAGTGCCCAATTGAATTGATATCTGAACCACAGCAGCAACAGCAACCAATGCAATTTCCAGAATAGAATGGAGCCAGGATTCAGTGTATATATTCTTAGCACACTTAGGGCTAATTCGGATGTCTACGTAACACTGGCTCCTTAAGATCTGGGTCAACATGACTTTCTGAAGGCAGCCCTGTTTAGGGAAGCTTTTAATGTTTGATGCATTACTGTATTTTAATATTTTGTTGAAAGCCACCCAGAGTGGCTGGGGAAGCCCAGCCAGATAGGCAGGGTATAAATAATAATAATAAATTGTTGTTGTTGTTGTTTTGTTGTTGTTGTTGTTTTAGTTTTATTTTAATGGGTAGGAGTGTGTCAGTTCCTTAATGCCAATGCATGTAGCATTATCCTATTGTCATGGGCTGGCTGGGCACAGAGGAGTGGTGGAAAGTACCACCTGGGGAACCCCTAAGGGACGAAGGCTCAAACCCTGGGGATTGGTGGTGGGACAACAATGAGTGGTCAGAAGGAGAAGACAGAGAAGATTGGGAGGAGGTGTTGGAAGCTGAAGAGGTAACAGGGTCTAGTGAGCAGGGGGAGTCTGTGACAGAGAGAAGCAGAAGCAGGAGAGGAGGGATACCAAGAGGAAGAGATAAGTCAGGCCAGTGAAGAAACTAGAGTGTCTCCCCCTCCTGCTGTGACAAGTTTCACTCCCCCCTGGTCTCTCAGAACCAGAAGAGGTATGAAGAGGGAGGAGTAGAGTCAGGCATGCTGGCAGAGTCTCAGGTTGCTTGGGAAGGACCCAGGGGAGGAGGAGACTTAGGGTGCTGTAGGAAGGCGGGGACCTTCCATCCTCACAACTGCCTCATAGGGGCAAGATCTGCTGGGAAGAATTACTGTGCTCAATTAGGCCTAGCACTACTGAGCAGCCTTGTTTCTTCTAATAAAGAGTTAACTTCACTTACTCTGTGTGATCTATTGCTGACCTCCCTCCTGACGCATACAACCTTTCTGAAACAACAGAAACCTCTTCCGAACAGGTGATCACAAGAGGAAAAGCTGTCTGAGGTGTGATTTGGTGTGGGGGGGGGGAGGAAAGCAGTTAAATAATCATATCACTTTGTGCTTTTCAAATCCCCAATGATACTCCAGAACTGATGGATTCTGTTTAAAAGAAGCTGTCAGGCTAATGTTTCATATGCCCTTGTATAATCTCTAGTTTGACCCTGAGAGTAAACTATGGGAATAACATTGCACTAGCAACCCCTTTTTAATAGAGATGAAATACCGAAAGATGGTCTCTGCTTCTTAACAGAGCTTGAACCAACAGTGATTTGGCATTGGCCTAGATGAGATGACAAAAATCTTACATTAGGACTCCAGTTTGTTTCCTTCTTTTTTATTCTGCACAAGAAGCAAAACTTTTAGTCAGCTTTTAGCTTTGTACAGCTTGCTTGGCAAAATGTACAATTAGCAAGGTTTATCAAAATGAAGTCTCTGAACAGACATTGCAGGTTAATGGTGTATGAAGCATTAGTAAAATCAGAACTGAATGTGCTGATGTCTCAAAGCCTTGGCGGCTGCTATGAAAAGCAGGACAGCAAGGGATGTTTTTGGAGGTGAGCCCCAGGGCACAGGAGGAGGGGTGGAGAAATCGCAGGTTGCATCTGCAGGATTAATTCCGTACCATCGTAGCAAGATGCATGCCTCCTTCTCCCTTTCCCTCATTCACTCAGGCACCCAGACAGAAGTACACCTAAAAATCAGCACCTGTAGCAAGGAATCCTAATGCATCCCATGAGGACACGGGTTTAGAACCTGAGGAACCTGAGTCCAGCCGCAAGTTCCCCATCCCCTAACCTAAAAAGGAAAACTATTGGCAAACCAATAAGGATGTACACCTGGTTGACAGAGCAATCCTAACTATAGAAAGCTTGGGACTTATCCTGGCATAAATTACCCCTGTTCCAAACTCCATTCAGGAGGAACTTGGAGGAACTTCGATCGTCCTTTTGCCAGCCTTTTTCTTCTGGGTTGCTAGGGCATGTGATCAATGTAAAGGGGTGTTGGAACAGGTATAAGTCTTTCTTTGCCCTGTCCTACCCCTGCAACGCCCCTTTTGGGGGATTTTCACTGGTGTAAATTATACCAATTTAAATTATGCTGGATGAGCCTTGGATGAGTCCACTGAAGCTAAATTAAAAGCAAGAAGTTGTCTCTGAGCTCCTAAATAGGTTGATAATTAACTTTTGTTGTTTTCTGCCAGCTAACGTGAGTGCTTAACCTTAGATCACATGGGAGGCTATTAAATTGCAAATTGCCATTTTGAAGGGAGTTGCCTTTAGACTTTGTTCCCAGGCTCTTTGAGAGGAAGGATGTAAATGAAGCTCTCCAGGAAAACAGCTCCAAGCAAAATGGATACTGTAAGGAGAGAGGCCTTTGCTTATAGATCTATTTGGATTATTTCATATTTTGTAAGATACTGAGTGTATTCCTTGGACTGGCATATGTCTTATGGAACTGTCTGGATGTATCATTTGATGTTTTTGTTCTGTTTCTGAAGAAAATCATGCAAGTAAAGTTTTAATTAAACGTATGGGCCTTGACAATGTTTTATTTCCAAAAAGGACTCAGTTTTCATGTATCCAGTCACTTCAAACTGCACAATATTAATATTTGCAGAGTCTGTGCCAGGCATCAGGCACAGAGTAAGTGCATAACTTGCTGTTTGCTTTCTCTCTACTTATTAAAGGGAGCTCAGTAGTGGAGCATCGGCTTTGCATGCAGAAGATCCTAGATTCATTCCCTGGCAACAACATTCCCTGGATGTCTGAAATCCCAGAGAGCTGCTGCCAATCAGTGTAGACAGTAATATGGTGATCTGACTCCGTATAAGGCAGTTTCCCATGACACTGATCAAACAGCATCCTCCAGCCAATGAAGCAAAATTAGCCTGAACCAGAGAACGGTACTGCATAATGCACTGAACAAATTTGCTTCCTTGTGCTTACCAGTTAAAACAAGACAGCATACATTCATTAGATGACCATGTGTTCTCTTCCCGAACCTAGCAAAACTCTGCAGGGACAGATCCTGCAGTCATTTGCAGATGAACGAGAAGCCAAATGAGGCATGAGTCATAGCAATGTACAAAGAAGTGTCACAAATGTTGACATTAAATACAAAGAGAAATGAGAAATGGTTCTGAGCAAGAGCAGCTGAACAAACAACAGCCAGTAAAGTCCAGCAAATACTGGGAAGGGAGATAATGAAAAAGGGGCAAATATTTGTGAGGAGGCATGAAAGAGAACAGTAAAAAACCATGCAGAAATAATAGATGAATGTCTGTAGAAAAGTTACAGAAGCGACATATCAGAACTTTAGGTTTTGCACAATTAAAGCGGATTATTGTGCTTTGTTGCTGTGTTTTGTTAAAAAAGCGATTTTTTAACAAAAGCAAAAAAACTTTTGGAATTAGGAAAGTGAAAGGAAAATGGACTGAAACGTGTGGGGTGAGCAAATGATTCATGGGAAGATGTGTAAACATCCTGCAAGCAATTAGGATGAATGCAAGATGAATGCTCACTGTCGTGTAACTTCCCTGTAAACAAACCAGAATGAATGCTCAATAAAGGCCAAACATAAAGACCACCTTCTCACCTTTGTGCAAATGAGGATGAGTGCTGAATAAAGGAGGAGCCTCCTGTTGGCAGAACTAGGATTTTGTACTGTTGCAAACAGTCATGGGATGTGCGGATCGACAAGCAGGAGGAAGGTTAAGCATTTTGCACTGTGCTCTTTGACCACGTCCCCAAAACATCATCCCTCTGAAGTGGATATATTCACCAGTTTTTTTAAAAAAAATCCAAACTTGCGTCTCCTCACATCAGGGGTACCAACTTGAATAAAATATTTCGGGGGCAGGTAAGCCCCACCCCACTTAACTGATTGTGTGACCCAGTGCACGCACACCATTTGAATGGCAATGCCCTTCAACTTTGTGGGGGGCTGTCAAATATTTTATTGTGGAGGCCGAATCCCCCTCGCCCCTAGGAGTTGGCTCCTATGCCTCACACTGGTGCAATACTGCAACAGCAAATCACACGTCCACAGTCGTACCTCAGGTTAAGTACTTAATTCGTTCCAGAGGGCCGTTCTTAACCTGAAACTCTTCTTGACCTGAAGCACCACTTTAGCTAATGGGGCCTCCTGCTGCCGCCACGCTGCCAGAGCACGATTTCTGTTCTCATCCTGAAGCAAAGTTCTTAACCTGAGGTACTATTTCTGGGTAGCGGAGTCTGTAACCTGAAGCGTATGTAACTTGAAGCGTATGTAATCCGAGGTACCACTGTACCTCCATTGGCATTACAGCCACCACTACCAGTGCCTAAATCCAAGGACCAAGACCACTGCAATCATAATAAATTGAGCTTGGAAGGGGGCTTTATTTACCATTGGAGCTGAGCCTTTGATACATTCCAGAGAGCAAGAAGGATCCTGCTCCACTAGCCCCTTTTGCAAATTGGGCAATTCAACCTACCGGTATTCCAGAAATAGAGCTGTGGGCCTTGTCATTATTTATGAGCTAGTCCATATCTCCCTCAGGGTTAACTAGGCTTTGCCCCTTCAGAGCATCCAAGCAACCTCATCCTGGCACCTTCCCTCTCTTAGCCACATTGCTGCTTCACTTCAGATGCAAGCGAGCTGCACATACGCCTGAAACAGGAGGGTCGATGCACATCGCTGGAGCTGACCCATGTCGGATGAAATGTTGTAGCTGCAAACGAAAACTGCACCTTTGACAGAATAAGGAACTAACGGATTTAAAACGCAAGCACAAAAACGTGAAAGGGGCACAGAAATTATGAAAGCGAGGGGGACTTCCACCCATAAATTTTGCTAGACTTCCAAGAAACAATGGCAAGAGACAAGTCCAAAGTAATAAGACAAAGCTACATCCACTGGTCATAAATCAGAGGTGCTTTATAGTGCCATAATATCTTTTTTATACCTCTAATATGTTGTAGCACTTCCAGAGCTAAAGTGGATCTACAAGGGCTAATGCAGCAATAGTGCAGGCCCCCTTGGCTGTGAGTTCTGAAAGACCTGCTCCCTGCCTTGAAGACCTTTTCCCACCTGGCCCGGACTGACTCCAACTGCAAAAGCTGAGGCTGCTGAACATAATATTGGGCTGGGGTGTTATTTGGGGGGTTTTGTTGGGGGATGTGGTTGTTGCTGTTTTTTAAAAAAAAATCTTGTGATTTATGTGGAAATGATTCAGTTTGATTATGTAATTTTTTAATGTTTTATTTATTGTTTATGGCTCTCTTTGCTATGTTGTAGTTATGTATTTCTTTCATGTTGTAAGCCGCCTTGAGCATGGTTCAAACTGTGAAAAGTCATCATACAAATAAAATTGTGTATGTATGTATGTATGAAGTACAGTGGTACCTCAGGTTAAGAACTTAATTCGTTCTGGAGGTCTGTTCTTAACCTGAAACTGTTCTTAACCTGAACCACCACTTTAGCTAATGAGGCCTCCTGCTGCTGCCGCGCCGCTGGAGCACGATTTCTGTTCTCATCCTGAAGCAAAGTTCTTAACCTGAAGCACTATTTCTGGGTTAGCGGAATCTGTAACCTGAAGTGTATGTAACCCAAGGTACCACTGTACATATCCATACTATCCAAAGCCAGTGGCAGAGCTTCATGTTCCAGCACTGGGGGGCGAAGAGCAGGAGGGGGCAGGGCTGGCACATGTCCTGGGGGTGTAGTGCGCCACCCGTATGGGTGTGGCACGCCGCCTGGGGGTGTGGCACCCATCACAGGTGGGGGGGAGCCGCGATGGCACCTCACCGGGATCATGCTGCCAGGGGCGGTACGCTTCCCCCACACTCCTCCTCCTCTGCCACTGCCCAAAGCTCAAATTAATTACAATCCATAAAGCTGGAGGCGAAGAAATTGAAAGTGGGATACAAAATACTTCATCTCAAACTCTGGAACAATATGTGCATTGCCAACCTCAGTCAATATTTTATGTCAATACAGAGGATGTTAGTATTGTAAATCACAGAGCAAGGAAATGTAATTTTTGAAAAGTACAATGAAAATCTGACAAAAGACTCAATGAGTCCTGTTTTCTCCAAACAGTCTTGTTTCTCAAAGGAATAAAGTGGCCCTAATGCAGAGATATGATCGTGTACTACAGGCTTCCTATGTTATACAGAGAATTCCTCAGCTATAATATACATTTACAGGAATTCACCACATTATGAATTTGGTAACAGAACCATCATAATATATTCTAATTTCAACTCAATCCTTTGAGTGCTGTTGCATAGCTAGCCAAAACGCCAGCAGCTATATATCAGAGGGAGGGATCAGAAGGCTCAGGATAATATCACAGCAAAAAAATTTTTTAAAAAAAACTAGAAGAAAGCCTAAGTCCCTCCCCCAGTCCCCACAAATAGTCCAGTCAAATACTGAGTGTGCTTGATGGCTATGGAAACCATGGGGAATGGAATGGAGTGGCTGAAGAAGAAGTAAGGAAAATAGTATAGAAAACCACCTTGTCTGTTTTATATATATTTTTACTATATTGTAAATCATAGAATCATTATCATAGAAATATAGAGTTGGAAGGGACCCTGAGGGTCATCTAGTCCAACCCCCTGCAATGCAGGAATATGCAGCTGTCCCATACAGGGATTGTTACCAGGACCACACTCTAGCCAACTGGGCTATCCAGGCATTAATCACTTCAGGATGCCTCATGGAAAGTGATTAATAATAGTAATTAATATTATAATAATAGCCACAGTCAGAAAACATATCAGCTTAGGAAATGCTGTTCTCAGATGCTTTTTTCTTTCTTTCAAACATAGCAGCTCTATTTGGTGTGATTGATTTCATTAAGAAAAGGAAACGTGCAACCAATTATAAATTTAGAACAGTAAGAGCAAACGCAGCAATGTGTCAGAGGTTTTCCTGTTCTACTGAGAGCTTGGATAAAGAAGGGAAGAAAAATCTCACAAATCTTGACTAAAATATGGCTTCTAAGCAGAAAGATTCTGGTGCTCAGAGAGTGATCCTGTTATATAATTTAAAATGAATTTTAAAACTTACATAAAATATCTATCTCACAGTCACAAATGTAATGCTGTAATCAATCATACAGGGAATCTGACTTGCACAAAGTTGGTTGCATGAGAATTATGGCTGTAAGTTAGCTGATGCACACCTGCCGAGAAGGTATGGAGTTTTGTGCATGGGATTCTAAAATAGGCTTCACTAACCTGATACTCTCCATACAGGACCCCTGGACAGTTAAGTCCAATCAAAGGTGACTATGAAGTTGCGGCACTCATCTTGCCTTCAGGCCGAGGGAGCCGGCGTTTGTCCACAGACAGCTTTCTGGGTCAGGTGGCCAGCATGACTAAACCGCTTCTGGCACAACAGAACACCGTGACGGAAATGAGAGCGCACGGAAACGCTGTTTACCTTCCCACCACAGTGGTACCTATTTATCTACTTGCACTGGTGGGCTTTCCAACTGCTAGGTTGGCAGCAGCTGGGACAGAGCAATGGGAGATCACTCCATCACAGGGATTCAAACCACTGACCTTCTGATCAGCAAGCTCAAGAGGCTCAGTGGTTTAGACCACAGTGCTGGCTACACCTCATGGTAGTCCAAAAACATCTGGAGGGTGTCAGGCTGGTGAAGGCTGTACCAGAGCAACAAAAAGCTAGTGGTGAAATCCTAAGCCAGCTGCCATTTGCACTGACACTCTAATTCCCATCAGCCCAGCCAGTATGGCCAATGGTAAGCAGTGATGGAAGTTCTTCTACCCCTGGAGGATTGCCTAGAAAAGGCTAGAAAAAGCTCTCCCTGCCTGAGTCTCAACATCCATCTCAGTGTTGCATTTGAATGATTGGAGGTATGTCCATTTAATTTCATCTTCAATCCTCACGTTAAGCCAATATGAAATTGATACATGCATCACCTAACCATTCCAAAGTGGCATTAACTTGGATTAGCACAAATCTTGCAGCGCTAACTGTAAAAAGAAACTTCTGAACAGCTCCAAGACTCTGAGCACTTTAAGAGCCGCCACAATAATTGCTGATTGAAAAAACAGTTAAGGAAGATCAATGAATTAAAAACAGCAACAGAGAAGTCTGAGGTTCGACAAGCACTTGAACCGTTTTCAAAAGTAAAGATGCGTTGAGCATTGCTTTAAATGGGGCCAATTTATTCTTAAAACGGTTACGAAGAGAGATAAGACCAACTGAAGATGTTGCATTCAAGTTCCTATTAATACAGTGTCATCATAAATGAGAGATAAATCTGGTTTAAAACAAGATCAGAGAATTTGTGACTACAGTGACACCATGTGGCTAGATGGAGTGCCGACAACAGTTCTCTCTTGATCCTCAAAAGTTTGCCCAGGCACTCAGTAACACGTACATCATCTGAGCCTCTGTAGGAGTGCTCTTCAAATTATATTTCAAAGACAACAGCATAACATTCATTCTACACAAAATGCAGCAACAGTGTGAGGGGGGAATCACTTTGTCGCGAGGACATAAAAAAGTAAGGATAGCCATGATGGATCAGACCAAAGACCCATCTAGTTCAGGATTCAGCCAACCAGATACCTGAGTGCAACAGCCGTCTCTTGCACTTGTGATTCTCAGCAACTGATAGCCAGAGGCAAATAGTCCTGGAAGTATAACATAGTTGTCATGAGAAGACATAGCTACTGGTAGCCTTATCCTCCATGAATTTGTCTAATCCTCTTTAACAGCCATCAAAGTTGGTGACCATCAAGTTGTAGGAGCACATTCCATGGTTTAACTGTGCAGCGTGTGAAGACGGGCCTCCTTTTGTCTATAGAGAATCTCCCCACATTCAGTTTCGCTGGATGGCTCTGGGTTCCAGTATTATGAGAGAAGAAAAACTTCTATCCGCTTTCTGCACACCAATGCTCAATCTTCTACGTCTCTATCATACATCGACTTACTATTTCTTATCTCTAAGCTCAAAAGACCTATAACCTTAGAGGGGAAGTTGCTTCATCACCCTGATAGTTCAGGTTGCCCTTTTCTGACCCTTTTCCAGCAATCTTTTTGAAGGTGAGGCATGCAGAATGATACACAGAATTCCAAGTGTGCTTGCACCAGATATTCGTATGATAGCATTATTGGTAGTCTTAGGGACGCAGGTAGCACTGTGGTCTAAACCACTGAGCCTCTTGGGCTTGTTGATCAGAAGGTCAGTGGTTTGAATCCCCGTGACGGAGTGAGCTCCTGTTGCTCTGTCCCAGCTCCTGCCAACCTAGCAGTTTGAAAGCACACCAGTGCAAGTAGATAAATAGGTACCACTGCGGTGGGAAGGTTAATGGCGTTTCCATGCTCTCTGGCTTCAGTCCTGTTGCGTCAGAAGCGGTTTAGTCAATGTGGCCACATGACCCAGAAAGCTGTCTGGCTCCCTCTGCCTAAAAGTGAGATGAGTGCTGCAACCCTATAGTCGCCTTTGACTGGACTTAACTGTCCAGGGGTCCTTTACCTTTACCTTTTTGTTGGCAGTCTTGCTTTCAGTCTCTTTCCTCATGATCCCTGACATGGAATTTGAGTGGGGGGTGGGAGGGGGTTCAGACATATTAACACCCAGAACCGGTAACTAAAAAGTAGGTGCCACACTCTAAAGCCCTGATTCGGACATCATGCAGGATGGACCTCCTGAAAAGATGTGGATCTGAAGAATGCCCTTTCTTGGAGAACACAATGATCAACTGAGAATATAGAGGTAAAGATTATTCTTTAGGTATAGCTGTATAGGGCTTTGTACACCAGAACCAGCACATCAAACATATTCTGGAACTTCCTGCTCAAACTTGTAACTTTTCATACCACAGGTGATCAAGGAGTTGGGGGGGGGGTTGTCCCACTATAATTGCACTATAGTGCTTCAGACAGCAATAATGTGGTGGTACTAGGGAAGCACAGAATAACTAATAAAGCAGAATAAATCTACCACATGTGTCAGGAGCATGTTTCAGAATGCATCTGCGACAAAACACCAGTCTAAAGGGGCTCATCGCTCACTGTACCAGAGAATCATGGAATCATAAAGTTGGAAGGGACCATGAGAATAATATAGTGTAACCCCCTGCGATGCTGGAATCCTTCACTCAACATGGAACTCAAACCCACAGCCCTGAGATTAAGAGTCTTATGCTCTACCGTTTGAGTTTAAGAGTTATATAAATTACTCTGTCCACCTGTGAATCTGCCCCACCTCTGGCATGCAGCTTCCGAAAGTTCCCCACAAGCGAATTTGGTCCTTAGGCTGAAATATGTTCTCTTTCTTGACTATAATGTTTCTTCAAAGTTCTCATTACTAGTTGTTATGGGAACTTTAAAAATAAATATATGCCAGCTTGTTTGTTCTCCCCCCCGCCCCCAAAATCCCCAAATCATTTTACACTTACCTCGCTCGTTGCCAGAACAGTTACTTCATCTGAACTTGCCGTAAGCTCTAACCACGGGGCTAAGCAACTTCTAATGCAACCTTTTAAAACATGCAACATGTTTAAGCATTCTCCTCCTCCCCCCCCCCAAAAGAAAAATCCTGATTCCCATTTCTTTGGTTAGCTGGACTTGGATGGCCAACCTTACACTTTCAAAAGAAATGAAAGTCATGCTGGCATTTTACCACAAGGTGGCAACCAAAACATACAAAAATCTATTGCGAAGAACACAAACCGCCTCCTCATTCATATATACTTTTCTGACAACTGTGTTCCTGGGTTAAAGGCAGAATCTTGCACACAACAGAATGTTTTTTACGTTTCCTGTACACACACACAAACAAATGTACCAGTGGATTTTAAAATGGCTTTCTTCTCTCTTTCTCCTTCACTATTATCATTTGCAGATATAGATAGAAAGGAAATTGGAAGTCTGCTGCAGGAGGCTGTTTGCCTAGGTGGGGGAGAAGCACTGATTCCCTGCAGCGAACGTCTGCCTGCCTGCTGTTCACATCCTGATTCTTTGACTAAATAATGCCACTTGTCTCCCTTCGGAAATCCTCCTGAGCCACTTCTATTTGGCTTACAAAGACACACTTCCAATTTAACCTGAACCCTTATTTAACCACTGTAGAGCTCAATATCTTTTGCATCAAGTCCTTTTGCATCAAGGGTGGGGAACGTGGCCCTCCAATCCTCTCTACCAGGCCCTCAAGACTCTCCCCAGGCCACTCCCCACACCAGCTTTCCTGTGCTCCCTTCTCAAGTGCTTTTTCCTGGCTGAAATGTGTCTCTGGACTTGGATAATGCCATGTTCTTGTCTGGGTGGAGGATGAAGAGTGTGTGTTTTCATGTTTTTATGTGGAAATCTCTGACATGCACCCAAAATGCTGCCTACTGTTATGAAGATGAGAGTCATGTCCACTACTCCACCCACTTTTGACTCTGGTCTCACCCACCACCTGGCATGTGGCCTTCCGAAAGTTCCCCACAAAAGAATGTGACTCTTCGGCTGGTACAGTTTCCTCACACTGGTCTTACATCATGGAACCCTCCTTTATAAAAGATTTCCTTGTAACCAAGTGATAAGGAGAATAGCAGATGCTCCAAATGTCCCTATTTTCCAGGGACAGTCCTGGATTTATAGAAGCTATCCTAGTTTCTGATTTGATCCTGGAATGTCCCATTTTTCCCCAGGACATCCCTATTTTCATCAGAGAAATGTTGGATGGTATGGAGTTATGCAACCCCCAAGCCAAGGAGATAAGGAACGATACAACCTTTAGAGGACATCTGAAGGCAGCCCTGCATTGGGAAGTTTTTTAAAATGTTTAATGTTTTATTATGTTTTTATATATGTTGGAAGCCGCCCAGAGTGGCTGCGGCAACCCAATCAGATGGGCAGAGTATAAATAATGAAATTATTGGTATTATTAGTATGGAATAAAAGGTAAAGGGACCCCTGACCATTAGGTCCAGTCGTGGCTGACTCTGGGGTTGCGGTGCTCATCTCGCTTTATTGGCCGAGGGAGCCGGCGTACAGCTTCCGGGTCATGTGGCCAGCATGACTAAGCCGCTTCTGGCGAACCAGAGCAGCACACAGAAACGCCGTTTACCTTCCCACCGGAGTGGTACCTATTTATCTACTTGCACTTTGATGTGCTTTCGAACTGCTAGGTTGGCAGGAGCAGGGACCGAGCAACGGGAGCTCACCCCATCACGGGGATTCGAACCGCCAACCTTCTGATCAGCAAGTCCTAGGCCCTGTGGTTTAACCCACAGCGCCACCCGCGTATGGAATAGGACGTCCCTATTTTCATCCAAGAAATGTCAGAGGGTATGGATAATTGGGGAATTGAAGCCCGTTGTCAGGAGCCCAGGCTGTCATCTTGATAACACAGCACGCAAGTCGTAATTAGCTTGAAGATATATTGCAATACAATTAGCCTCGGACGTCTAACCGAACATCAGTGGCTTATGAATCAGTTGACCCTTCTGAAGAATGCTTTCTGGTTTTGCAGAATATCCTGAACCTATGATCCTTACATTTCTGGCTTTGTTTCTTGTCTAATACCTTTCCCATACGACAACTCCTTGGGCTCAGATGATTAATTGCCTCCGCTTCCAATGAGGAAATGCTATTTCGCTTGCTTTCTAAGTCTGCCTGTGCTTCTCTGCCGACTCCTTATCAACATTCCATTCTGTGTCAGAGAGAGGGGGAGAAGACTTACTGACTCATGCTGTGTTTATCTACTTGGGGCAGATGTGTTCATGACACCCATTTTGCCCCCTCCCCAGCACCATTTTCACTCCAGAAGGTTTGCTTGAAAACATGACACAAGTTAAGGAAGTCCATTTGTATTATCAGAAGTAAAACAGTGTCTGGAGGCAGCTGGAGGATGGATGGCAGCTAACAAATTGAGGTTGAATCCTGACAAGACAGAAGTACTGTTTTGGGGGGACAGGAGGTAGGCAGGTGTAGAAGACTCCCTGGTCCTGAAGGAGGTAACTGTGCCCCTGAAGGACCAGGTGTGCAGCCTAGGAGTCATTTTGGACTCGCAGCTGTCCATGGAGGCACAAATCAATTCTGTGTCCAGGGCAACTGTTTACCATGCAGACTGAGACCCTACCTGCCCGCAGACTATCTCGCCAGAGTGGTGCATGCTCTAGTTATCTCGCTCGGACTACTGCAAAGCGCTCTATGTGGGGCTACCTTTGAAGGTGACCCGGAAACTACAACTAATCCAGAATGCGGCAGCCAGACTGGTGACTGGGAACGGCCGCTGAGACCACATGCTGGTCTTGAAAGACCTACACTGGCTCCCAGTACATTTCCGAGCACAATTCAAAGTGTTGGTGCTGACCTTTAAAGCCCTAAATGGCCTCAGTCCAGTATACCTGAAGGAGCATCTCCACCCCCATCGTTCTGCCCGTACACTGAGGTCCAGCGTCGAGGGCCTTCTGGCGATTCCCTCACTGCAAGAAGAGAAGTTACAGGAAACCATGCAGAGGGCCTTCTCTGTAGTGGCATCCGCCCTGTGGAACGCCCTCCCACCAGATGTCAAAGGAAAAAACAACTACCAGACTTTTAGAAGACATCTGAAGGCAGCCCTGTTTAGGGAAGCTTTTAATATCTGAAGGACTATTGTATTTTAATATTTTGTTGGAACCCGCACAGAGTGGCTGGGGAAACCCAGCTAGATGGGTGGGGTATAAATGATAAATTATTATTATTATTATTATTATTATTACAGGAAAACAAGCAACAAGCAATATTAGAGCTCACACTGTGGCCCTCAAGAACTAAGCAGATGACTCTTGCAATTAGCTCACATTCTTCATCCAAGGAGCAGTAATGTCAGCATCACAGATAAGAGCTTAGCAGGAAAAAGGAAACATCCTAAAAAGCAAGATCTAATACTCGCATTAGAAATAGTCTTTTGTGAAATTATGAAATCCAGTTTGGCAATGGTTCTGCTTGTCACGTTTATGACATTTTTGCTAAGGAAGTCTAACACCATGCATTCTTCCTTTATTACCCTGGGCCTCCATCTTCCCCTTTCTCAAAGACTGTAAACTCCTGTAACCTCTGCCCTGAGGCTTCTCAGATCTCACTGGGAAGGGGATTCGATAGCTGTGGTGCCACCACAGACAAGGCCCTATCTCAGGTACCCACCAAGTGACTATCCACTAAGGGCAGGCCAGAGAACATCTAGTCACAGCTTGGGACCATTTTATTTGTGACATCACCTTATCCAATATATATCCACTAGACCATTTTGATCTGGAGAACTGGCACTTTAGTTAGCCTAACCTTGGGGATCCCCAAGGAATACAGATACCCTCCCTTGTGTGTGGATGGAGCTGTTTGGGCAACACATGGACCAAACTTGGAGAATCACACAGAGAATCAACTTGCTGTTGGCATATACCAATTGGGGCAGTGGTTCCCATTAAGCTAAGCACTGGGGAACTCCTGTTTTTCAAAAGCCAAGCCATGGGCCCCCTAATTTTGAAAATGTTGATATCTCTATGGTATATTTTGTTATGTGAATGGTGCCATTGATCCCCTGGGTAGGGGTCTGCAGACTACCAATTGGGAACCACTGGTCTAGGGTATGTCTTCACTGGAGGACAAACAAGGTGCAGCATTGCAGAGTGTAAATCACTTCTGCCTACACAGTGTATAACTGAAACTTGGGACGCGGGTGGTGCTGTGGTCTAAACCACCAAGGCTCTTGGACATGCTGATCGGAAGGTTGGCGCTTCGAATCCATGTAACGGGATGAGCTCCCGTTGCTCTGTCCCAGCTCCTGCCAACCTAGCAGTTCGAAAGCACTCCAGTGCAAGTAGATAAATAGGTACTGCTGTAGTGCGAAGGTAAATGTCATTTCTGTGCACTCTGGCTTCTGTCACAGTGTCCCGTTGTGCCAGAAGTGGTTTAGTCATGCTGGCCACATGACCCGGAAACACACTGTGGACAAACACTGGCTTCCTTGGCCTGAAGCGAGATTAATGCCACAACCCCATGGTCGCTTTTGGACTTAACTGTCCAGGGGTCCTTTACCTTTACCTATAATTGAAACTATCGCTAACTGTAAGTGGCTCCATCATGCAAGGGGTGCTTCTCTCCCACCCACCCCCCATCCAAAGCTGTTAAGTTTGTAGAATCTAAGGTTATTCATGCAGTGTTTCCTTAAAAGTTCCAATTGTTACAGAACTGTTTCCTCCTTTCCATTGAAAACCTGCTTAGCTGGAGTGGTGGGGGAGCGAGGGGATTTCCCAAGACTTCTGCCCAGTTTGAAATATGTGCATGGTCACAGAATCCTCTAACCATGGAAACTTCATTCAGCTTATAGGCCTCAAACAGCAACACTTTAAGAAGGAGCCATTGCTCCTCTTCCTATACATGGTATTCTTTGTTCCTCTCACTCAGGGCTTTTCCAGACAATCTGTGGAACACACATTCTGCTTTGTTTGCAGGAAAGCGTTGGATGACACTGTTTCAAAGCAAGTGTTTTGTCTCCTACACTTTCTAGTACATTTCCCCCTTTGTTCTCCTTATTGCAAAAACACCAATCTTTTGGGGAAGTGGGTTTGTTGCACATGACCTCCTACTCAACTGTAACTGGGTAACCTGAATTTGCCAGTATGTGGTGTGGAATCTCACCCCTCAGCAGCAAAAGTCTGGAAGCCCCCTTCAGTTGCTGCTTGCTATTGATATGCTAAATCGCTTCTGGCACAATGGAACACCATGACAGAAGCCAAAGCTCACAGAAACACCTTTTACCTTCCCGCCACAGCGGTACCTATTTATCTACTTGCACTGGTGTGCTTTCGAACTGCTAGGTTGGCAGGAGCTGGGATAGAGCAACAGGAGCTCACCCCGTTGCGGGGATTTGAACCACCAACCTGATCGGCAAGCCCAAGAGGCTCAGTGGTTTAGACTACAGCACCACCCATGTCCCAGTTACTGTGCCCAGTATTGTGCCCAGTTCTGGGCACCACAGGATATTTACAAGCTGGAATGTGTGCAGAGGAGGGTGACCAGGATGATCAAGGCTCTGGAAACCAAGCCTTATGAGGAATGGTTGAAGGAGCTGGGTACGTTTACCCTGGAAAAGAGGAGTTTGAGATGAGATATGATAGCTATCTTCAACTATCTTAAGGGTGAAGATGAAGCAAGCTTGTTTTCTCCTGCTCTGGAGGGCAGGACTTGAACCAATGGCTTCAAGTTGCAAGAAAGGAGATTCTGACTAAACATCAGGAAACACCTTCTAGCAGTAAGAGCTGTTTGACTGTGGAACGGACTCCCTCAAGGGGTTGGTGACGCTCCTTCCTTGTAAGCTTTTAAGCAGAGGTTGGATGGTCATCTGTCCTGGATGCTTTAGTTGAGATTCCTACATTGCAGGGGATGGAACCGGATGACCCTTGGAGTCCCTTCCAGGTCTACGATTCTATGACTCCAACTACTACACCACACTGGTATCATAACTAACAGTAGCACCATGAACTTGGCCTGGTAGCAGATCAGCAATAAGTGCAAGTCTCTGAGAAGATGTGTTAAATGCTGACCAGGTTACCACTTCTGTCAGCAACCATGCTGCAGCACTCCATGCTAACTAAAGCTTCTGGATCAAGTGCAAGACAAGCCTTGCAGAGAGTGCATTGCAGTAACCCAATCTTGAAAATAGCCAATGCATGGCCAAGCTCACCTGGTCTAGGATTAGCCATAGCTGCTGTAGCTGTCAAAGATGGTAGAAGGTGCTTCTGACTGTTGAGGCCACCTGGGCCTCCAAGGACAAGGCTGTATCCAGCAGCACGCCCAGGCTATAAAGCTGGTCCTTTATGGGGAATGCAACCCCATCCAGGGTAAGCAATTGACCAATTTCTCAGACATGAGAACTCTTTACCCAGAGTGTCTTTGTCTTGCCAGGGCTCAAGCTCAGCTGGTTTTTCTTCATCCACCACACTGCTGCGTTCAAGCACCAGTACAAGGCACCAGTCCAAGGGATGTGGGTGGCGTTGTGGTCTAAACCACTGAGCCTCTTGAGCTTGCCAATCAGAAGATCAGTGGTTCGAATCCCCACAACAGAGTGAGCTCCCATTGCTCTGTCCCAGCTCCTACCAACCTAGCAGTTCGAAAGCATGCCAGTGCAAGTAGATAAATAGATACCACTCTGGTGGGAAGGTAAACAATGTTTCCATGCATTCTGATTTCCATCACAGTGTTCCATTGCGCCAGAAGCGGTTTAGTCATGCTGGCCACATGACCCGGAAAGCTGTCTGTGGACAAACGCTGGCTCCCTCGGCCTGAAGGTGAGATGAGCGCTGCAGCCCCATTGTCGCCTTTGACTGGACTTAATCGTCCAGGGGTCCTTTACATTTACCATTACCAAGGCCTCCTGAGTCCAGTGTTATGGATAAATGGAGCTTTGGGGCATCAGCATACCCAAGCAGTAAGCTACCTTCTAGAGGAGTGAGACAGCTGAAACAAAGAACAGAGACCAAACATCTAAGCCTCCACCCAAGATAGTGGTCTGCCACTCCAGTTCAACTGTACCTTCCCCTGCCCACTACCACTGGAACTAGAGCATCATCATTGCGAACTCCTGCTTCCTACCCACCAGACACATTTTAGCTCCCCATCATCATAAACGGCTGGGAGATGAAAGTCACGGATGAGAAACTAAGGTCCAACCCCACACTGTCAGGAGGAAGATGGTAAGTCCCATTCGACAAATCAATGGAACATTGAAATGTCATAAGAATGAAATGACAAGGGGGTGGCAGAGGACTTTACTTTCACTTTCCAGTTCTTTTCAATGTGTGGACATACCGACAAAAATTGCATTATTTTTTTTAACACAGCTTTTTATGCCAACAGCTCATAACCAAGGTCACCAGTATCCAGGCTGCCTTCCAAATTACTTAAGATGCCAAGCCACAAAGTAACCACAGTGGGGATTTTCCCAAGTTATCTTTGGGAATTGCTCAGAGGTTACCCTGTGCAAACTATACTAGCTTGCTGGGAATTTCCACTTTTTCCTATTCCCCCCCCCCCTCCATTTTCAGCAGTGTGTCTATTACATCAAAGTACCCAGAGATATAAATGACAGAAATTAGGTAAGCTTGCAGTCCTAACCCGCTTATCTGGGAGAAAAACCCCTGAATAGGATATACATATCCGTCGACACTGGACTGTGCTGTAAAATTGCATTTAAAAAAAATATCATATACAGTATACTAATAGCAAATTCAACTATCCTAGTGTGAATCCAAGCTTTGCCGAAGTATAGAACTGTTTTTAGAAAGGAGGGGAAAACCTAATGATGGTAGGGAAACCCCGAACAGCTAAATGAAGACCAAGTGTACTCTGTTGTCATAAATCACTTTTTGAGTGGGGGGAGGGGGGCAGTGGAAACAGAAAACCAGGGGAGAAGCAAAATGAAATGGGACCATTCAGGAAGAAGGCATTGATGGCTGGCTGACACCCTGAACAGGATCACTCCACACACTTCAACACTTTGTTGCAGGTCCCACTTGTTTTAACTAAATGGAAAAGTTACCATGCTCGCGATTGCCGTTCTACATCAAACACAGAAATTTCTGGGTTCAGCCTATGCAAACTAGCCTGGCAGGGCTGGTTGGATGCAAGGCATTATGAAACAATGGCCAGACATCTACACATTAAAAAAAGGAACCTTGGGTCTGTACAAAACAGGGGTTGCCAATGATAGGAGAGGGGAAGGTGTGATGTCACACAGGAAAAAATGTGCCCTTTTAAAACTAGGCTTGGAATAGGAGACAGAAGGGGAGGAGTTGCTTGGGCTGCTTCTGGGAACAGAAAAGGAAGTTGGCAAAACTCCCTGCAAGGGCTGAAGGGCAGAACCATCTCGGCGAGGTGGCTGAAGGCAGGCTGAGACAAAGGCATAGAGATGTCTTGGAATGTGATGCTGCACTGCTGTGGCAAACAAGCCCCTCTTGAGATGTGAACCCTGCACTCCCTCCATCTACACCCAGGTGTAAAATAAACCCTATTTCTTAAAGACATGCTCCCCCAACCCTTTCAAGTACAGTTATCTCCCGACCCTACCTGGAGTTGCCAGGAATTGAATCTGGGGCCTTCTGCATGCAAGAGCAGAGGCTCTGCCATGAAGCAAAGGCCCTATATCTGCTTGTTTCACTATAAAGCAGGGAGTGAACATCTCTGATGAAAATGACCACGTGGGAGAAGAGGAATTGAAACCTTTGATGGCCCTCACCTTGCCACATGTAGTTGCATCAAGTTGTTCCCCTCCAGCCTGGCTCACCTCCAGTGTTGGTGCTGAGCTGGAGGAAAGGGCTTAGAGCAGTCTTCAGCTGGTGGATTGGGACCCACAAGTGGGGAGCATGGCCTGATCCAAGGGGGACTGTAAGAGCAGCACAACCACCATGCAAATAGATGTTAAAAGGTTAAGAAATGCAGAAAGAGGGTCCTGGGTCTGAAAAGGTTGACAATACAAATTTAATAAATACATAAGCAAGATACCAGGCTTAAAAGCATCTGTCCATAGCAAGGCGATGCTGAAGCTTTTAGAAAAGTCAATCTCTGCCCCATTTTATAGCTGAACATAGAAATGCATAGTGTTGCCTCTCTCTCTCTCTCTTACACACACACACACACACACGTTTATGGGATGCTTCACACAAAGCATAACCACTTGTTTTTTTATTGTGACAGCTTTATTGTTTTTATAATTGTGTATTGCATTGCATTGCTCACAGGCAGCACTGATTACAATCAACATGGTTCCAGACTTGCGTGCTGAGCATGCTGCTTTAAGGAAGTGAGTCGTGGGCAACTTACAAAAGCCAGAGAGACACCTCAATGCTTTCCACATGTGCTGCAATCAGGAAGGTTTTGGGCCTACATGGCAGGGCAGAGTCTCAAACAAAGATGCACTCTCCCAAGCCAGCACCTCTCAGGTGGGCTCCATCACCATTATAAGAGAACCAGGTGAGTTTCAGTATCTCTTTTTCTAGAAAAATAGCACTGCTTATAGCATTTTACTCAGAAATAAGTTTCACTGTGATCAATATGCAGTTACATCAAAAGTCATAAAGAGAGAGGATTAAGACTGGTGAATAGATTAGCACTCACACAGATACTAAAAAATTAAAAGCAGGTTAACTGTGGTGAAGCAGGAAGTCAACCTAACAGAGGATGTTTGCCCAGATAAACATTGCTACTGCAAAAAGCCAGATGGGTGCCAATTTTTTCCCATTATAATTTTGGAATGTGGCCTCAGACATGACAGGACATAATTAAGTCTTACTAGTATTACTTAGTAGAGACATCACCTTGCCAACAAAGGTCCGTACAGTTAAAGCTATGGTTTTCCCTGTAGTGATGTATGGAAATGAGAGCTGGACCATAAAGAAGGCTGATTGCCGAAGAATTGATGCTTTTGAATTATGGTGTTGGAGGAGATTCTTGAGAGTCCCATGCACTGCAAGAAGATCAAACCTACCCATTCTGAAGGAAATCAGCCCTGAGTGCTCACTGGAAGGACAGATCCTGAAGCTGAGACTCCAATATTTGGCCACCTCATGAGAAGAGAAGACTCCCTGGAAAAGACCCTGATGTTAGGAAAGATTGAGGGCACAAGGAGAAGGGGATGACAGAGGACAAGATGGTTGGACAGTGTTCTCGAATCTACCAGCAAGAGTTTGACCAAACTGCGGGAGGCAGTGGAAGACAAGAGTGCCTGGCGTGCTCTGGTCCATGGGGTCACGAAGAGTCGGACACAATAAGTATTACTTATTGGAAACTTTAAAAAATACTTGCTTATTGGCTAGAGGCAGGTTAATTTTATTTTTATTTTAAAGTCTACTCTCTCCACCTTCTTTAGAAGACAAAGCACATTGCTACTTCCCACTGAATGCTAGGTCTGAACCAAGTGTTTTTTCCGGAACTTGATGTTGCCCTCCTCCTCCCAAGCTTGGTATGTGCATGTGATCAAAACCAGGCCCAGAGAGGGAACAAGAACTTCATTCATCTGTTTCCAAGATGCTCCGCTGATTGTTTCTAATTCGGGATAAAAATATTGAGCGGTCTCAGCGGGAATGAAGTGCCTGCTTTATCAAAAAGACTGAAAAGAACAAGATTTAAAAACAAACGCTGGTCAAAAAAAAAGGCGGGACGGACAGATACTTTCCCTTAACTAAAAGTTAGAAAGCAATCCTATGCAGATTTGCCTTGCCAAAAGTCCTATTGACTTCAGTGGGGCTTACTTCTGAATAGACGCGCCTAAGATTGCCAGGAGCCGCATGTTTACTTAGAAGGGGCTTACATGCCCAGTACGCATGGAATACACTTGACTGCCGCAGTCCTAAAACACAAGTACCTGGTTGGGGACACGCCCCATTGGCCTCAAACGTGACTCTTACTTCCGAGTAAACACGCCTAGGATTGCCCTGTGGAAACTCTTACAATCCTCAGGGAACTAACCTGCAGGTGGAGCGACTCGGAGGAATAATAGAACTCTGGAGCTGGAAAATATACCCGAGATTCGTCTAGCCCAACCCCGAAATGAAAGTTATTGTTGCCGAAACCCGGGATGGATCCAGGGACCTTTGAATCTTCCAGTTGAACGATCTCCCAACTAAGCTACTTCAGCCACACCGACTGTGTTACACTTACTCTTTGAAAGCGCGCGTGGGATGGGATCGCAGCCTGCAAGGAGTGGCCAAAAAGTGAGTGGATTCCCTTTGGAAGCGCGCTCGTGAGTTCTCCCCAGAATCGGTGCTCGACAACGGAGAAAAATATGAGTTATTTTGAACGAGGTAAGGGGGAGCAGCAGTGCGTCCTGGAGCTGCGCCGTGGGGGCGCCCGGCTCTCGGTTTCAAACAGCGCCAAGGTAGGCGAGTGGGATGTTCACCTTCTCCCCGCGTAGCCGCACGCAACGTTGAACTCACATCACAGGCCGAGCCAGACTTTCCGGATGGCGAGGCTGTTGTTTTCCCAGTTTGGGTGGGCGGAGTCTTCTGGCCCGGAGCCTTCGCCTCCTCCCTTGCTCTCTTCTGGAAAGGCTGGGCGAGGAGGTTGTTGTTGCGCGCGTCGAGGCGGGGCTCTCCAGTCGCCATTGACGCGTGGTTGGTGCAGCCGGAGAACGGACCGAGGTCCCACTCGTGTTTTATTTTTGCCCCGCTCATCTTCTTGAACTCCTCCGCCCTCATAGGCAGATTGGAGGATTCCCAAGATGGGAGAAGCAGCAACGCATCTGTTGTGGCTTCCTTGTGCCCGGGGATTATCGTCAGTGCATCTAGAGATCTGAAAAAAAAGGTTTATACACACAAACAACACCCCCAAAAAGTTGCAACGTTGCTTTGGATCTTAAGCCCTTTGAGACGAAAGATCGGGAAAGGAAGGGATCTGGGACTTTTTACGACTGTCTGAACTTTTGTTCGAGGGGAAGGGAAGCGCAGGAGAGACGAAACTTTGTTTGCATCGGGAGGTGGGGTTTGAAGAGACCAGGCTGATGGTTGTGAATGTGGGGCAAAGAGCAAAGGTGAGCGGAGTTTGGGTGCGATGGCGAGAGAATTTGGCAAGGGTGACAATTGGGCGTTAAAGCGCAGGGACGGGTGCGAGCTGTAGAATTTGGCAGGCTCGCCGCGGGTACGTGGAGATACCGGTGCTCTCTCTAGAGAGAAACGGGTGAGTCAGGGCCGCTTGGACAGCAGGATGTGAGGCGGAGAAATTGTGCAGCCCGGCGCAAAAGAACTTGTGGAAATCTCGGTGGATGTTAGAGGCTCTGGGTTCCAAAGAGAATCTTCTGCTTTCTTGGAGACGCGGCGCGCGTTTGGCCCCCTTTGGCTACTGTAGTGGAAGAGGCTCCGCGGCTCCTGGGCGGCCCCGGGGATTGGCGAGCGCGCACTTGGCACAGGTCAGAGCCGGCCTGACCTGATGGCTGCTGACGCCGGCATGAGGACGAACGGCGGCGGCAGGAGCGACGGCAGCTGCGCGTCCTGCGACATCAGCTACACGCTCCCCACGATCTCCTCCAACAAGCTCCCGGACTTGCGCTTCATCAGCCGCGGCGCGTATGGCACGGTGTCCTCTGCGCGCCACGCAGACTGGCGGATCCCAGTGGCTGTCAAGTGCCTGCAGGGACCCCTGCTAGAGAGGTAACGGTTGCGGGTGGGTGGGGTGGTTTGGTTGCCTCAACCCCATCTGCAGCTGTGAAATCGAGAAACTTTAATATTTTTTTTTATCCGATGTAAAAGGTCCCTGATTCAAACCCTGGCATTTCCTACAAGAGAGCCACTTCCCGTCAGTATGGGCTATACTGACCTAGATGGGATTTTGGTCTGCCTTTGGATAAGGCAGGTTCATGTGTTCCTAACATCTCCTCCTTTCTACAAAGGGTGGAAAGCATGGCCCTTCCCTGTCCCTTTTATTCTCAGGACAGTGGTTTGAAATAATGGCTACACTGGGATTTGGCCCCAAGATTCTCCAGTCCAAGTCAATACTGAGTGTAAGCCATTACTCAGAATTGGCATTCTCTGCTGGGACCAGTGTATTGTCAACTGTTTTGCCCTTAGCCCTTGCCTCACTCCTTTGGTTTAAAGAACCACACCCCCTCTTCCTGCTGCAAGCCTCCTCAATACAGTATTGTTTCTGCCCAGGATGAAAAGATCTGCAGGGTTTCCTCTGTTTGGAAGAGCCATAGCATGCAGAAGGTCCCAGGTTTAATCACTAGGCAAGGCTGGGAAAGACCCTTGGCTGAAACACTGGGGGGGCGGGGGGAACCGGCCAGTCAATCTGGACAACATTGAGCTGAATGGACCTATGTGCCTGACAGTATAAAGGCAGCTTCCTGTGGTTAGTCTTCTTGTTTTTATTTTAGATTGGCTTTTAAACGCTGTGTTCAGAAATGGTAGTGGTTCCTCTCTGCCCCTTCCCCCAAGAGCTCTTTATTTAGAAAAGATTAGAAGTCTGCATTGTGCAACACCCAAAGCAGTTCTCTCTCTGTTTACTCAGACATCCTTGTTCTTCACCCAAGTTTACACCTATATGTTTGCAACTTGAAGAGGTGTCCTATTGGAGCCAGTAATACTTCATTCTGGGAATACATAGAGGATTGGACTCTAACCCTAAACATACTTACCTGAAAATCAGTGTTAGAAATTGAGATATGAAAGCTAGGAGCTAAATGGCACCTTAAACCTAAGTTATGGGAGCAACAACGGAATGTCTAGGCACACTTTTTTATAACAAGAATACAAAGCTGAAAATGAATGAACTGAAGCTAAAATGTCATGTTCATTTTTCACATGGTCTAGTCCAGGCATGTCCAACTTTCAAGAGACTGAGATCTACTCCCACTGTAAAAAAGCTGGCAGTAATCTACCTAAGTTGTTGAGCTTTGTTAAGGGAGCCAAAATTGTTAAGTTGTTGAGCTTTTTTGGGGGGGTGGGGGGATCCCACGGACACCCCGCAATCTACTAGTAGATCACAATCTACCAGTTGGACATCCCTGGTCTAGTCTTTGACCTGCCCATCCACCCACCCCCTGATATTCTTAAGAGGGTCTCTTCTCCAGTCTTCAGAGAGTGGAGAGGCAGAAAAAGGTCCTCCTTTCCTTCCACTCTGCAGTTTTAATCTGAAATCTTAGGCGCAATTCTGTGCCCAGAACTCAGTTACTGCTTGCGCTAATGAAATCCCCTGTCGCAAAATGCGCCTAGAACAATGGGAGTTTCAAACACTTCTGAAGATGGATCCCACTGAACTCAATGGGCCTATTTCTGAGCAAACCTACTTAAGGCAGGCCTACAATGCATACTTAAGTAGGCACTCTATTCTGAGTACTCAACCTTCTTATCCATGTCTGCTTAGAAGTAAGTCCCACTGAGTCCACTGGTGCCTACTCACAGGTAAGCAGGTTTGAATTGAAGCTGTATTAGTGTTGCTTTGGGCATTTTGGAACTTCTAAGCTTTATCTTCTTAATTTGACCAGGGAGTTGTCTTGCTTCCTCAGTTCAGAACACAAATCTTGCATTTAGCACTCTAGAACTCATGCATTTGGAACTCTTTACCTTTGAATCTGTTCTGATGATAGCTGCTTTTACAGCTTGGTAGCTTGGTAGCTTTTACAGCTTGGTACAAAATCTTCCCTCAAGGGACTGATTAGTCTAGGCCAGGGGTGATAAACGTTTTTGAGACTAAGGGTCATATTCCCTTTTGGGCCACCCTCGAAGGTAAAGGTAAAGGGACCCCTGACCATTAGGTCCAGTCGTGACCGACTCTGGGGTTGCGGCACTCATCTCGCTTTATTGGCCGAGGGAGCCGGCGTACAGCTTCCGGGTCATGTGGCCAGCATGACTAAGCCGCTTCTGGCGAACCAGAGCAGCGCACGGAAACGCCATTTACCTTCCCACCGGAGCGGTACATATTTATCTACTTGCACTTTGACGTGCTTTCAAACTTCTAGGTTGGCAGGAGCAGGGACCGAGCAACGGGAGCTCACCCCATCACGGGGATTCGAACCGCCAACCTTCTGATTGGCAAGTCCTAGGCTCTGTGGTTTAACCCACAGCGTCATCCTCGAAGGGCCACATGCAAATGGTGGGAGGGACCAGCAGCAAAGAGTGGGCAGGGTAATATGTGAATTTTACCTTTATACAGTAGACAGCTTCCTACATCTCATGCCCCTTTTCGCCCCCCATTTCACCAGATAAGAGAGGCATGGTTCTGGAGGAATGTTCCCTGCTTCACCTTGCATATGAATCTCAGAGAAAATGTCCTAGGCGATCCCAGCTAGATGTTGTTTAACTGCAGTCAGATTGAACAAAATTCATCCAAGGCTTTATGACTAGCACTGCCATTGCTAAGGCGCTCAAAACCAGCTTATTCCCTATTGTGTGGAACTGGGTGGTTAAGCAACTCTGGGATTCCCTTGCTGACCCACGTGACAGCAACAGCACTGACCTGATCCTCTCTGATATGCCAGCCTGCTGGTTCCTCAAAGACTCGATTCCCCACCCTCGGCTTCTCCACATGCACACCACCAGCAGCCCTGGCCAATACAAGCGCAAGGGTTGTGGACATGATTCCTGACTGCATGGCCACTGCCAGGAGCTTGAAGCACTAGCCTAGGATCCACAGGTGGCAGAGAATTGCATGCCCTCAAGTGAGTGGGCTAGCAAAGAAGAGATGGGGTTTTTCCCATCCCTTCTGAATACCCAGCATAGAAATGCAGCAATTGCAATTCCTCCTCTGCCAGCCCCCAGCAATCTAGTAATTCTTTATTTTTTGTAGACTATTAACATTGTTTGGATTACCTATAAGGCGTTTTTGAAAAAAACGTGAAGCAAGTACAGTGGTATCTCAGTTTATGAACAGTCCTGTTTACGAATGATTCGGTTTATGAACTCCACAAAACTGGAAGTAGTGTCCCGGTTTGTGAACTTTACCGCAGTCTAGGAATGGAATCTGAATGGTAGAAGGGCACCAGAAGCGGGAGGCCTCATTAGGGAAAGCGTGCCTTGGTTTAAGAATGGTTTCGGTTTAAGAGCGGATTTCCGGAATGGATTAAGTTCGTAAACCGAGGTACCGCTGTAGTTGTTAAGTCTGTTTGGGCTTGAGGTGGGAATATTATTGTTTAACTGGTTCTTTTGCTATGGTTGCTTTGCTAAAGTTATTGCATTCTCTGCACTGCTTATATTGGACGTTTTAAATAAATTTTATTGTAAGTCACCTGGAGACTTTGGCATGGGGCAACTCATACATTTAATGACTACTAATAAACTAGCGGGAATCTAAATAGCTGATCCTGGATGGGATGGTAATTTAATAGAAGCTATCTTGTAGCTTTTTGTGGAGAAGGTATGTACAAAAGTACGCTGTATATTAATTGACCCTCCTTGATGACTGTGAGAAACCGCAGAACAACACTCATCTAATTAAATGGTTCCTACCTGACTCACCTCTGATGAGTCAGTTCAGCTTAATGTGCCTAGTCAGTCACACACATTTCACTGTGATGTAGTGATTAGAGTGTTTGATCATATCTCCACCATACATTTAAGCCACATGGCTTCCCCATAGAATTCTGAGAACTGTAGTTTAAGGATGCAGATAATGGTAGCTGTTTGAGAGGTAAATGAAACTACCCAGGATTCTATGGGGGAAGCCATGTGTGTTGAATGCATCATGCAAATGTGACCTTAGCCTAGATCTTTGGAGACCAGGGTTCAGATCCCCACTGAGCCATAAATCTCGCTGTGGTGACCTTTGGTCATTCACTGTCTCTTGACCTAACCTACTTTATAGGGTTGTAGTGAAGATAAAATGGGGATGGGGAAAAACAACATATGCCACGTTGAGCTCCTTGGAGGAAAGATGGGATATCAATGTAATAAAAAAAAAATACAGTATGTGACAATAAATCAAATATGTACCTACTGTATTTATGCTTTTGAGGTGCAGAGTATTTAATATTCTTTTTAAATTAATCTAGATTATAGGTAGCTGGAGTCATATGAGGATGAAATGAATACTCTGAATTATCAGGCACTTGCCTTTTTAGATCTAAGCAAACCACAGTCCGATTAAATACATTTTGATTGAGCTATGATATGATAAACATAGTTTTTGAATTTGCATGTAGGGGTAATATTTCTGGAGAGGTATATACTGAATAATCCTGGGCATATTTTTAGTACATTTTCTTTGGTAATCAGTTCAGTGTTGTAGCTCTATTAATATCAGGGTGCAAAAAATTGTACCCTCCCTATTGCAAGACATCTGGTCCCCATCTAGATGGAGTATTTCTTAAATTGTTATCATATACTGTGTTGTGCATACTCCTTAGAAACCGCAGACCAGGGCCTTTAGGACTTCTGCAAAACACATGGTGAAATTAAAACCCTACTTTGGGGAAGTGTCTAATTTGACTGCATTTGTAAATTCACTTCTGGCTTGTATGACCGGATGCTGAGGAAGGCGGAACTCCTGCGCCTTCCTTAACTGCAAGGAGGAAGGAATTCTTCTTATGCAATAATGAGAAGAGGTTGCCCTGTCCTTCTCTCAGACACCATAGTTATGGCCCAGATTTCTGTATCACTGTCAGAATACGCCATCCAAATCTCTCCTGCTCCATTAAAGGCATCACCTTTTATCCTGATGTCCAGAACTGCCTCTCAAATGACCTCCATGCAGGGGGCTGCAGGTTTTATTTTATTTGTTCATTACATTTATCTCCCACCCTTTCCCCCTAGGAGCTCATAGTGGAATGCAGTGGTTCTGCTCCTCCCCATTTTATCCTCACAGCTGAGTACAGATTTGAACCCTGGTGTACATAGGTGGCCCAATATAAAGAACACAAATTATGTTGGGCAATATGGTTCCAGCACTGGCGATTCACAAATGCCAGTAGTGGGGCCTGGTCTCCTCTAACCACTGGCAAAGAACAGCATTTGGTAACGCTTTCTGGTCAGTTGGCTGCCACTCCTTGCTATGATACAACTTGGTATTCGCTTGAGAGTTGGTATTAAGCTCTTGAGGAGATACCAAATGTTGTAACCCACCTTGTGATCTTTGGATGAAGGGCGGTATATAGATTTAACAAATGTATAGATCCCTTGTACCATCCCAGGGGCCTAGTTAGGTCCTATGAGTGACAGGGGACTGTCCTGAAGTGTGAACTGGCAACATAACTTATAGCACAACTGGGTGTGGCGAATGTGCACATGCCTTTCAAGACTGCACTTTCGCTGAGGTGGCAGCATGGATAATGGGGAATGACTGGGATTAGGCGCTGTTTACCTCAACACTGAAACTGATGCAAAAGGTTGCATCCAAAGTGACTCCTACACAGAGTAGGTCCATTGAAATTAAGGGGCATGACTAACTAAGGACCACTCATTTCACTGGGTCTAAAAAAAGGGAAAGGGAAAGGATCCCTGGACGGTTAAGTCCAGTCAAAGGCGCCTATGGTGTTGCGGCGCTCATCTTGCTTTCAGGCTGAGGGAGCTGGCGTTTATCCACAGACAGTTTTCCGGGTCATGTGGCCAGCATGACTAAACCACTTCTGGCACATCAGAACACCATGATGAGTGCCAGAGCACAGGGAAATGCCATTTACCTTCTCACTGCAGTGGTACCTATTTATCTACTTACACTGGCGTGCTTTCAAACTGCTAGGTTGGCAGAAGCTGGGATAGAGCAACGGGAGTTCAGCCCATTGTGTGGATGGGTTTATATTGTGTATAACCAAGGACACACTCACACTGCAGATTTAAACTGGTTAAAAAATCAATCCCTCTTCCCAAGAAACTCTGGGAATTGTATTTCTACGAGGGGGATAAAAGTATCCCAAGAATTCCCAGAACTCTTAGCAAGCTGTAGTTCCCAGGATCCTTGGTTTGAAACCATTGTTCTGTTGAAGTGATATAAAATTTATCTTAAAGTATAGTGTGACTGAGCACCATTCAAAATTTACTGGCTCCAGGTGTATATTGGCCACTTGTGACCAAGTGAAGGTGCCTGGGCACCAAGATGTCTCCTGACAACTCCACCATCTAGAGGTGCATGCCTGGGGATCCTTGGATCTTGCCTGTCTTCACACACTAACAACACATCCTGTAGAATTCTATCTCTTGTATTTTATCTGCACAATGTGTTTTATTGTTCTTGTTACAGTCTTGAGAAGATGGCCACAGTCTGACAATCCAGCAGGTAAAGACATCTGTCCCTAGGCCAGCCAAGAGAGTGAGCTAAGATTTTGGATTGCTAGTGAGCCTGTGGTTCTGGGTTGCAGCATACAAAACTGGAGAAGTTGGGACAGTAGGGATGAGGAAACTATGGTCCTTCAGATTAGCCATACTGGCTGGGAATGGTGGGCACTGGAGTCCAGCATCTCCAGCCCTTCCATAAAGGAAGAGGAGCAGAAATTTAACAAGCAGGAACTTTAGAAAGAATTATCCACTCCCGTACAGCATGAATGTTCTGTGTAGTTAGACAAACTAGGTAGAACTCATTGATCTTAATGGAATATATGAGATACCCCTATTGATAGTATGAGTGTCTTGTACTGTTAGTTATGCCCCTTAGTATGCATCATTCTTTAGGAAATATATGAGATAACACCACAAGCCAAATTCTCCCTCCTGACCTGTCCTTAGCACCGTTGACAGTGCGAAATTCTGCTGGATCTCAGTTAGAATGGGTAGCTCTCTTATCAGCAGCCGTGCGTCTTGGATTAGCAGGTCATTGGGAAACCACAGGATTCTCTATGAAAGGTTGGTTGGCCAAAATTTGGGCTGTGGGTCTTTGGAACATTTAGCTTATCAAAACTGGAGGATAAGAGGAATTTCTAACAAGGAAAAAATTGACATATTTTGACTCCTTTTTTAATCTATGTGAATAAAGATGGAAATGCATAACCTCCTCCACCCAATCAGATAATTATACGGAGGGGATTTGTTTGCCAAAAGATGCTTCAGGTATTTAGAAGGGGCAAGATTCAACCTGTATAGATTTTGGATATTGTATGCCCATGTTTGGGTTTTTTTGTACCTATTGCATTTAAACATCTGCGTATATTGTTTTCTTTCAGGTCAATTTTTTAAAATCTCAGTAAGCAAATATAATTATCCAAGAAATGTTTGCAGAGGTTGTCTTGAGTTCAGATAAAAGTATAAAATGTATGTGGGACAGGAAAGAGTGTGTGGCTTTGAGATTTTGGTGGGAATTATTTTTTTTTTAATTGCCCCAGTAGACCAGCCTCTGCTGACCAGGGAGAAACTTGATCTAAATCAAATATTTTCCATCTAAATTCACTCTGAGTAAATAATTCACCCAGAGGATGATAGGCTGATTGTTTATCCTGACAACTCTATTGTGGCCTTTTGCCATAAAGCATGTTATATTCTTTTTCTTTGAATGGGAATGGAGCCAAATGCTACAAAGATGTACTTGCTAGTGGTTGCCAAGCAGTGGAAGGAAAGCAGGGAATATTTGCAGGTGTATGTGATGGAGAAGGAGTGGCTGTTTGTGCTTTAAGGTAGCTCAATGAAGGAAGAATGGTATAGCACAATTCCGAATATTAGGTTCATCTGGTTTCTGAATTTTCAGCATTTATTGATCACTGTTACCATAGCTGCAGGGGAGGGTGCTGTAGGCAGTGTAAGTTGAGCTTCTCAAGTAATGAATGCTTTGAAAAAACAATATAAAAACTAACAACACAGTGAAAGTGGCAACTGTGAAAGTTAGGTCAAGTCTGAAGAAATTCCTGAAAAACTAAGGGCAGTATCCAGCACTAGATTTAGGGCAGTGCATAGGGCGCTGAACCAAGGGGGGTGCAAAATTGAGAAGGTTAACAACTGAGAAAATCCATTTGGGGGTGCCAAATTTTGGGCTTGCTCATAGTACCGAAGTCCACCCCTGGCAGTATCCTACTGAACAAGTCTGCAAGTGCAAGGGGTTTTAGCTGCACAGTGGCGCTTTCGTGTCTTCTCTTTTCCCTACACATCCCATAAATTTGCTCTATAAGGTATGGGGAACTTCTGTAACGTGTTGGAGGGGACCTTGGGACATTTCCCTTTCAGTGAGAGAGAGAGAGAGTTTGGATTTGATATCCCACTTTATCACTACCCTAAAGAGTCTCAAAGCGGCTCACAATCTCCTTTCCCTTCCTCCCCCACAACAAACACTCTGTGAGGTGATTGAAGCTGAGAGACCTCAGAGAAGTGTGACTAGCCCAAAGTCACCCAGCAGCTGCATGTGGAGGAGCGGGGAAGTGAACCCAGTTCACCAGATTACGAGTCTACCGCTCTTAACCACTACACCACACTGGCTCTTTTGCCATAAAGGCACACTGCCATTTCAGTGTGATGTGTGAGTAGTCTTTCAGTTCCACTTGATATGGGTGCAGCTAATTGACTGTCCTTCAAGGGAGAAACACCAATCCTTCTTCAGACATGGTGTTGAAATGTGAACAGTGGATGTGCAAGTCAATTACACATCTCCCTGCAGCATCCTAGTAAGCAGAAAGTACATTGTAATTACTAATGGGTCTAATTACATATCATAGTAATTGTGTGCCTTGCAACCACATCAGAAGTTTTATTTTTGTTCATCTTAGGAGCAGGACAGTTTCTATCAAGAGCACAATGTGTGAAGTTTAACCCTTTCCCCTCCAGGAATTACTGCAATAGAAATTGCCTCCTCCTCCCATCACCCCACACAGTTAGCAATTATAGAGGGATTATAAATGGTGAGGAAATGGTTAAACTACCCCCACACACACACACTGCAGTCCCGCTGGAAATTAAAAAAAAAACTATTAATTGCAAACAATGCAATTAACGCAGCATGTAGCGAAGCCATTCCAACATGGGTGATGTTGCTAAGGGCTCACTTGAAAGCTAAGCTTGCCCACAAACACAATGGGCAGCTTTGAATAAGTCATTTATTTCTGCTGAATGTAATATGTGTGGTATGATGACAATCATAGCCTGCATTGCAGCAATGTTGTAAGAATCAGGTAATTCCTAGAAATAATTTCATGCACTTAATGACATTGTTTCTCAAAAATGAGTCCAACGACAGCTGGGGACCCAAGCTCAAGAAACACTGACTTATGAGAAGCACTGAGCATAATTATTATTTTTTTAGACCAACCTAAATCAGAAGAGGAAGTGATTATTTCTCTCTAATAATAGCCAGTTCAGTACCCCTGTGGCAATAGGATTGGAGCCCAAGGGGGCAACTGATAAATAAGAGGGAAGCATCTGAATGCCCAGGTGCATCCTCAGGTGTGGAAAAGTTTTTTTAAAAAAACAACAACCCACTATTTAAATCAAAAGAGAACAACATCCCACCCCAAAAAACATGTTTAGTGGGCTCCAGAAGCTGTGAAATAATGAGTGTTGAATTGGAAAGTAAAACAGAAATTGGGGAGTGGGGAGTGGAAGAGAGGAATTTCCTGCTTGAGGCCCTTATAGTATTCTGAAGGGGAGCTTGGCTGACTGGCTGGAACTCGAACAGCAAATATTCACTAGTGGTGGGGAATGGACCACAACTTGTTCATGAAAGTGTTCTGCCTGGCTTTTCTTTAAAATAGTGCTTCTTGAAGGCACATGAGGTCGAGGTCTGGGGCTGGTCAGTGGCTGGATAGGAGACTGCCCTCCTGAGGGTCACCACACTTACTCTGCCTTAAATTCTGTGACGGAAGGAAGGTGCATGGAAATCTGAAATTTAGCTAGCTTTGTTAATTTAGCTAAATATAAATTTGTAGTTTTAGCCGGGGAGGTGCAATTGAAAAGTGTGCTTTTAGTCAAGTGAACCTGCAGTGTGGCTTTTGGTTAATGGGTGGCTTAGGGGATTTTCACTACCTCATTCTTGCAGGACTGGGCAGTGCTGGAAAGAATTACTCAGTGCTGTGTTTTCTGTTTTCTTTTCCCTTTTCCCTTTTCCCTTTTCCCTTTAACCCTTAACTCTGCTCAATGCAAACCTCTCAAGGATGCCAAAAGGTGAAGAAGAAGACTAGATCTCGCTGTATTTGTGGGCGATCCTTTCCCTCTTCTTCTTCTTCTGTTTGTCAGACACTTTATACAAAAGAAAAAGTCTCAAAAGTGATTTAACAAGATAAATTGCTTTCATTTGCTGTATTTCAAATCCCTGAAATGCCAGTCCAGTAGCAAGACAAGTCCTACCCACTTCTGTGCAACCCACTTCTAGTCTCTGCAACTAGAGAGGTGGTTTGGATGTAGCACTAAGCCAAACATCTGCCAGAATGCTTGAGCATTTTGTCAGAGGCCTAGTTCCTCCTTTTCAAAGCCCTATGAAAAATTTCACCACACGCCACTGGTGCACCATTAAGTCTGTATATAATCTAACCCGTGTGAGTTTTGTGCAAGCAGATTAGGACACATACTCAATAACTGGGTTGCTGGAGGCGCCCTTGATATTTGCTCAACTTCATTGATTGCAGACCACCTTGAATGTGATTTCGTAGAGAAAGGCCGTTAATGCATTTTTATTAGTATTAATTTACTGTTTTCCCCCAGCCATTGCTTCCCTCTCACAGTGTGTGGTTTTCAGCACACTGCTTGAATGAACTCCTTCTGGAGCTTTAACCTACAGCTGCATATTTCAAGCTTCAAATGCGGTAAAACTGGTTTGTCCTTCTCTTCCTGTCCCTGCAGCGAGAGAGACAATCTCCTGAAAGAAGCTGAAATTTTACACCAGGCGAGGTTCAGTTACATTCTGCCAATTCTGGGGATTTGCAACGAACCTGAATTTCTGGGCATTGTGACGGAATATATGCCAAGTGGGTCACTGAACCAACTTTTACACAGTGTAAGTATATTGAGCCCACGGCTTTGCTTTTTTTTCCTATGGGAGTGGGGGAATTAAAGAGACGATGCTCTTCAGTTGAACCCAACTCTCTGAACACCTGAGTAGGGCGTAAGACCCTTTCTGCTGGTCAAACGCATATAGCGTTAGTCTGAAAGGAGGGCCTGCTCTCAGATGAAACTTGTTGTGGGCAGGAGGTCCCACTCCCCCCTTGAAAATGTGGGCTAACCTATCACCCTCCAGGTGTTGCAGGAAACCAACTCTTATCAGTCCCAGTCAGCCTGGCCACTGGTCAATGTGAAGGGTAACAGGTTCCCCAGCCCTGCTCCAAAGGGCTATTGAATCTGTGGTTTAAAGGAGCATTTTGTAGTTTGAAGTAAGTTTTTAAATAATTTTTATTGAGGTTTATTAAAATACATAATAACAGATACATAACATAGCATCCTCCCATACCAGGTATTAGGGTTGCATATTGACATGAATGATGTTTCTTATTCCATACATATTATCCAGTATTTAATGTCCCAGGACAACCATCACAGATAGAATATAGCTCAAGCCATACTGTTCAGGATAGCCATATCGGCAAAGATGCTTTGGAGAGTTTTTCCTTACTACCAGTTCATTTGCATAGTGAAGAAACGACCACCACATTTCATAACATTTTTCTGGTTCTTTTGTTGCTTTTATCACTTTTAAGTTATGAGTTATTTCCCCTTTCAGTGTCACTTTAGTTTTGTGATACGGAATCATTTTAACTGTGTGGCCTTACTCCTAAATTTGTGTTTCATCATTCTCTCTCTCTCTCTCTCAAATAGAAAAATGTATATCCTGACATTGCTTGGTCATTGAGGTTTCGCATTCTTTATGAAATTGCCTTGGGAGTAAATTATCTTCACAACATGAGTCCTCCTCTCTTGCATCATGATTTGAAGACGCATAATATTTTGCTTGACAGTGACTTTCATGTTAAGGTATGAGCGTGTTTCTCTCTCTAGGGCCTGTGATTCTTTACAGCAAGGGAGGGCACATTTTGGATTTTGGGGTTCTATTTTGTGTTTCACAAGATCTGTCAAATGGAGCCCTGTGCAGAAAACACTGAGGCTGAATTCACACCATACACTTAAAGCATATGGCTTCTCCCAGAGAATTCGAGGAGCTGTAGTTTTACCTCTCCCAGGACTACAATTCATAGCACCCTTAGCAGCTACAATTCCCAAGATTCTTTGGGGGAGTTGTGTGCTTTCAGTGTACGGCATGTACACAGCCTTAGAATTAAAGAGCAGGATCCCTCTGAACAGCTGCTGAGCACAGAGATTTGTGAAGAATACCAGAACTGAACTGAGCTCACAGTTCTTCCACACACAAATCCATTCTTGGTTCCCCTAGCTTTTTTCATTTCAGTAGTGTCTTTGTGTGTTGTCTGCTGTTGGTGTTGTGAAATGGTTGGGCGTCAGGAATTCTTGATGTACCACAAATGACTTAGAGATCTAGCTGTAGATCTTAATCTGCTTTTTGCCACACCTACTCTGCAGTACATAGAGAGCAGCTGAACAGTTGAGGGCGAGATTTTGTAGAGAAGGAGATTACTCAAAATTACAAATTTAAGGCTGCACAAAGATATGAAGAATGACTCTTTCTCTCTCATCACTATAAGGTATTGCTGAACCCTAAAAGCCTGAGACTTCACCAGACAGTGCCTAAATGCTTATGAACCAATACTTGTCACTCGTGATTAGAAACTTGGTTTTTTGGAGGGGGTTTGTCATTAAAAAAAATGAACTGTGGTCACAAAATTGCCTCAAGAAACATTTGCTTTTAGTGGCTTAAGAATTTGGGAGGCTTATTTGGTCCAGCTATTCATTAAGCGGCAATCTATAATGCAACTATGTTTTCTTAAGGGGAAAAAAGAACGGTTTCCATTGTGTTGGTTTGGACGTTAGTGGGTGGAGTTCAGTCTTGCGACTCGTGCACTAAATATATCCTTGAAAAGTGAAGTAATAAAGCTGTGTAAGGATTTGGGTGGTCATGCAAGGGTGTTGCACCATTTGCTGAGTAAGATTTTTTTAGAATGTTTACGGTAAATGGAACACCATAGTTGTAGTTCAGTTGTAGTTCAGCAACACCTGGGGGGCCAGAGGTTCCCCATACCTGATTTGCATCCACCCCAGTGTATCTGACAGGCACACTGGGCTCTATATTTGTGGATTGTCCCGAGTTCCTGTTTCTCTCCTTCCAGATTGCAGATTTTGGTTTGTCAAAGTGGCGCATGGTATCTATGTCACTGTCACGCGGTGAGAAATCAATGCCTGAGGGAGGGACTATTATCTACATGCCACCTGAAGATTATGATTTCAGTCAGAAAACGCGTGCAACTATAAAGCATGATATATACAGGTATTTATATTTTATTACAGAGTTAAGAAAAGATGCACACTGTTGTTTATGTTCTTTAAAAATCCTTGCATGTTTGGGCGTATTGGGTGTATCATAGGGTGTGTTGAATTTTTCAGCTTTCGAATTCAAAAAATGAGGGGTGCTAAAAGGTTGTAACATGACTTTGGAATTCAAAAGATATTTTGGTTAAATTAATATCATCCAGTTTTGGTTGGTAAATAAAATGTGTGTAAAATTGCATAGAAATGATTGCCAAGTACTTTGCAGTTATACTATATATTAATATTATTATTCATTTTTTTATTTTTATTATTATTATTATTATTATTAGTTAGGGTTAGTTAGAAGGTAGAATTAGCATTCTTTGGCTTTCTGAAAGCAGTTTATGTGCATCTTCATCAATTGTAAATTTACCAAGCGAAATGTTTTCCAGTCACAAAAATAATAGCAATTTGAATTCCTCACACCCAAAAAATATAATTTTATGACCCCCACATTGAATAAATTTGCCAAAATTAACGCCCTAGACATGGCAAAATTTGAAATCTCCTATTACTTCAGGGTTGCAATTGCATCTGAAATTACATTAGACTCATTTCTGAAGGTTTAAGCCAGCATGACACAGTGGTATACAAATATTTTTATAGATAAATGGGTGTCAACAAATTTAATAAATAATAGTTTTGCATCTCACCCATTCAATCTGCAGTGTTACCAATTGCTTTCCTGTGGCAGGACTGCACCAAATGTTTAGAATGGCTGCAGAGTCCCTGGAAGGATGAGTTCACACATGCATGTTTCTTCGCAGATGGCTGTAGCATCCAGTCATGTAGGCTTGTATGAGTGAGGCTACCAAGCATGCATGTCTGAATAAGCTCTTCCCACTTTCTTTTGTACTTACTTTTGCACAGGATTATTCACCCTTGAGTTGCACATATATGCAGAAAGGCATACCTCAGGTTGCAGCTGTGAAGGGCAACAGCCACTGAGTGCTTATTCCAACATAATGTTTGTGTTCTCCAACTGCCTTCAGGTTGTACCCCTTGTAGCCTGTTCCCCTCAGTTACTACATTTGGAAGCCTACCAGGGGGTGGAGTATATTTTGGCCTGGATTGATTTACATTTATGTTGTACTTTTTTTCTTTTTTTACTTTGAACAGCTATGCCATTATTATGTGGGAAGTGCTGTCAAGAAAGCAGCCGTTTGAAGGTCAGACTACTTTCTTTAGTTTTGTTGCATAACTTCTGTTTAGAATCAGCAAGATTGGGTTTAACATGCAGCAATCGGGGGTGGAGGAAACCTGCCCCTTGAAATAACGCAGTGCTAGCCCTACTCAGCGGAGACCCATTGAACCTAATGTAGTCATCTTCATTCATTGTGATGGGTTTGCTCTGAATAGGGCCATATATAATGGGTCTTCTCTGAATAGTGTTAGATACAACCCTAATTATTACTGCTTTTTGTAATGACCATTCTTTCTCTGTTTTTCCCCTTTGGTTAAATAAATGACACTGTGAAGACTTGGAAAGGAAGGGAGGATTGGTAGCAATATCTTATAATTTAAGAGGGTCAACGTTGTCTCTGTGTTCACAGGATGTGTGTGTTGTTGTTGTTGTTGTATTGCCACGGCGTGAGAAGTACACATATTTCTAATAAGTGCGCAATATCTACTTTTGACAGATGTTATAAACCCCTTGCAGATTATGTATAGCGTGTCGCAAGGAAAACGTCCGGACACTGGGGATGAGTATCTTCCGCTAGACATTCCTCACCGGGCCTTGATGCTGTCGTTAATGGAATCCGGCTGGGGGCAAAATCCAGACGAAAGGCCTTCTTTCTCAAGTGAGCTTCACCTTTTGCATAGCAGGGTAGGGAGCTTGGCAGGCATCACTAAACTCTCCTGCTGCTGCATAATCTCTGTTAATTTCATTGAAGCATAATTATTGCCCTCCACATAAGCCCCTCTTGGCAGTGAGTGTAAGCTGTGTGCCGGCTGTGTGATTAGGAGATTGCTCAATTTAGGCTGTGTACTCAGCATGCATTTAAATCACATGGCTTCCCTCAAAGAATCCAGAGAACCATGGTTAGAAAGTTGGACATATAAGCTAGGCACCAAATGCTTAAACCTTGGTTACGGTCGGCACAGCAGAATGTCTATTTGCCATGGGGGTGGATTAGATGACACTTGGGGTCCGAATCCCCGCGACGGGGTGAGCTCCTGCTGCTTAGTCCCAGTTCATGCCAACCTAGCAGTTCAAAAGCACACCAGTGCAAGTAGATAAATAGGTACTGCTGTGGCGGGAAGGTAAACAGCATTTCCATGCACTCTGGCTTCTGTCACAGTCCTCTGTGTGCCAGAAGCAGTTTAGTCATGCTGGCCACATGACCCAGAAAGCTGTCTGTGGACAAAAGCCGGCTCCCTCAGCCTGAAAGCAAGATGAGTGCCGCAACCCCATAGGCGCCTTTGACTGGACTTAATCATCCAGGGGTCCTTTACCTTTGCCTTTTTACAGTTCTTTGATTCTATGATCTCACTTTGCTTGACTGTAGCTTGCTCTTACCATTCACTTGTCCCAGTATGCGAGAAGGAGAAACACACACAGTGGAAATGAAAATAGTTTTAACTGTGGACTAAGGTAGAGGTTTTTAAACTGGCTGGGTGGAGATGTCTGACGTCAGCATGGCGCCCAGAAATCTCCACACTTGGACCTGCACCAGAAGCAAAATGCGCCTGCCACCCAGGGAATTTCTAACACTGAAGAGAATTGTAGTTTGTTAAGGTGCTGGGAATCATAGCTCTGGAACAAGTAAAGATACAGTTCCTGTGATTCTTTGGGTTATCTAAATGTATGGTGTTCATACAGCCAGAACAGTTCTGGAAGCATTCCAAGTGTCTGTGACCCCCACCCCACCCAAATTTGCATCTATTACAGTTACAGTGTATGATTTGCATGAGTTATGTGAATGCCAGAGCTTCATTTATGGTACAGATACAACTTATAGAAGACATCTGAAGGCAGCCCTGTATCGGGTTTTTAATATTTGATGTTTTATTATGTTTTTATATGTGTTGTAAGCTGCCCAGAGTGAATAAGCTAATCTTTCAGATTTCTCACTGTAGGAGCTTTCAGCCTTCTGTTTTATTTTTTAGTTTTCTGCCTGTAAGATTTCACTGGGCTATACACCTTTTTATCTTGCCAAAAACCATCTTTAAATTTCTTGCTTTCCCCCATTTTAAAAAAAAAACGTATCTGCAGCTGCTAGCAAAAGCTTTGTCAGATGTTGAAATGTTGAAATAACCAGATTCTCCTACTTCCCTTCGTTTTGCAATAATCAAGGCAAAAGTCAGAAAGTTAAATTTCGTGAATAATGTGGTCTTGCCTTGAGTCATTTGCAGCCTGTTCTCTGACAATTTGTTTTTCCAGATATGCAGCTGTACCATAAATGAAGCTCTGGCTTCATAATTCCGGAGTTTGTTTGATTCTTTTGGATGCCTTTTTGCCAATTATCTTTATGGAGAGCCTCCTGTTTTCCCACCTCTCTCTTCAGTCAATCCCTCTTCCCAGGAAACTCTGGGAACTGTGGTTGTGGGAGGGGAATGGAGGTCTCTCAGCACCCTTAAAAAACTGCACTTCCCATAATTCTTTGGAGGAAGTCATGACAGTTAAATTGGTATTAAAAAAAAGGTAAAGGGACCCCTGGCCATTAGGTCCAGTCGTGGCCGACTCTGGGGTTGCAGTGCTCATCTCGCTTTATTGGCCGAGGGAGCCGGTGTACAGCTTCCGGGTCATGTGGCCAGCATGACTAAGCCGCTTCTGGAGAACCAGAGCAGCGCACGGAAACGCCGTTTACCTTCCCACCGGAGTGGTACCTATTTATCTACTTGCACTTTGAGGTGCTTTTGAACTGCTAGGTTGGCAGGAGCAGGGACCGAGCAACGGGAGCTCACCCCGTCGCAGGGATTCGAACCGCCGACCTTCTGATTGGCAAGTCCTAGGCTCTGAATGAGGCCCTGGTAAAAAATAAAAGGAGGCTGGCCAGTTACTAGCTGCCACATTCTAGATCAGGGATCTTGAATTCAGTGCCTTGAGGTAGATTTACTCCAGCTGTAGTGGCAGAAATCCTGTTGATCTTTGTGGGGCCACTTGAGCATTGAGCATGATAGTTTCCCAGCCTCCCTGCTATTTGCCAGGGCTTGGCTAGCTGCACGAGGAGGAAGGAAGCACATAATCATGGCTGAGTTTGTGCTTCCTTAATGCTAAGTCATAAAAAGCTGTTAGAGCAGAAAGCATTTTGTGTGGAATGTAGACACAACGTTGAAAGCAAATGGCTTGCAGTGCATCGCTAGATGCAAAGAGTCCTGCTTGCTTTGAATTCCCCCCCCCCCCTCTTAGTTAACTAATAATATTTCAAAGGACTATATTCTTGGGTCTGTTGTTTACCATATTTTTCGCTCTATAGGACGCACTTTTTCCCCTCCAAAAAGTATGGGGAAATGTGTGTGCGTCCTATGGAGCAAGTGCAGGCTCCTTGGCTTCAGCGATAGCAACGCGAAGCCTCCGAAGCGCAGAGGGAGCGCTCCCTCCACGCTCCGGAGGCTTTGCGCTGCTTTTGCTGAAGCCTGGAGAGCTAGAGGGGAAGGTGCGCACCGACCCCTCTCGCTCTACAGGCTTCAGGGATAGCCGCCTGAAGCCTTTGGAGCACAGCGGGAACTTGCACTGCGCTCCGAAGGCTTCGGGATCCTTTTGCTGAAGCCGGGAGAGCAAGACTCTCCTGGCTAAAGCAGAGAGGGAGAGCTGCGCAGCGCCCCTTCAGCAAAGCGGGAGGAGAAATGGAAGGGGCTCCATTTCTCCTGCCGTTTCGCTGAAGGGGCGCTGAGCAGAGAGGGGGAGATTTATTTTTTCTTGTTCTCCCCCTCTAAAACAAGGAGCGTCCTATGGTCGGGTGTGTCCTATAGAGTGAAAAATACGGTATTTCATTCCAGTCCATATCAAAAAATAAATTTATCCATAGAAATCTGGGTATTTCCCGACACAAAGAGCAGTGTAAACAGAAAGCCAAGGTAACATTGACATCCTGGTCTCCCCAGTTGCAGGAGACCTGAAAGCTGCGACTTTTACATGCCGATGGCCTGCCTATATAAATAAATCTGTTAGTAACCCTTCTCGATGCATGGCTGTTGAATATCCCAGATCTGTGTGTGCGCTGGGATTTTTAAGCCTGCAATTTGCCTCTGCAGGGGGTTGGGGTTGGCATCCTTACAGTGTGTTTTATGGTGTGTGCCCTTAAGTCGCTCCCCCCCCCCCATAAATGTGATTTCAAAAGTTCAGTAATTTACTGTTATAAGAGCTAATAGTATAGGACTGAATATGGTTTCTTTCCTCTTTTCTTGCTTAGGGTGCTTAATAGAGCTTGAACCCGTGCTGAGAACCTTTGATGAGATACCTATGCTTCAAGCAGTGATACAGTTAAAGAAAGCCAAAGTAAGTCTACGTTGTAACCCAAAGTGAAAATACACAAACTGAAAGTTATTTGTCCACGCAAAGAAACAGGATGGCCGTGTTACTGAAGCTTGAAATTGTATACCTAGAATGTATCCTCTTTTCACAGTTCCAAAGGTAACTGATACAAGCCTCCTAATGTCTCTTTCAGGCTGAATACGAGTGGCGATGTGTTCATATGCCTAGCAAGAAGCCCGATGGTGAATCAATATCTCTAAATATACCTTTAAATCCCAGTACACAAGAGGTAAAGCAACCTTTTCTTTTATTATTGCCTTAGTATTTCTGTAACACAGAGAATTGTAGCATTGGAAGGGACCATGTAATATACTCTAAAGCACTTTGCATGTGTTAAATCATTTTCCTTTTGTGCATTAGCTCTATTTTGTGGGCCTTCTTTGCTCCTGTGTTGAGTGAAGGGCATGGCTGCACTAAGTACACCAGGGGTCTGCAACCTAAGGCCCATGGGCCGGTAGTAGCCCATGGGGCTCGTCTATCCACCCCATGGTGACCCCTGCCGCCAGCTCATCGCCGGAAGTCGGTGCGGGGACCAACTTCCAGGTTGATGACGCCTGTGCACATGCGCACAGGTGCTCTTCCAACCCGGGTGCACCCTCCGACGGACGGAGCATGGACCGGCCCATCATTTGGTAAGCTTGCTGACCCCTGAAGTAGACTGACTGTGTGATGCAAACATCTGTAGCAAGCGGGTCTTCTGATGAGGAAGCCATTTAACCTGTGAGGCTGTTTGGCTAAGCCATGCCCACCTGCGCTACACCTGACATATCAGCTGTGGGACATGTAAAGACACATCTGGCCCAAATATGGTTGTGCATTTGGCTGATGTAGGTCCTTGCATAGATCCTTGCAAGCTCTGACAACCAGCTGATTGCCCACATGGGGTAAAATGTCATTCACCTACCTGTGAAACATAGCTCACAGGGTAGGGGGAGGTGATAAGGAAGGAGCCAGCTAGACCCAGTCCCCCCCCCTCCACCTGCAAGGGCATGGTTTGAAGGCACATTATGCATACAGTATTGTGGCTAAACTTGAAGCAGGCCCAACTCTGGTCTACATCTACCTGGGAGACAATAGGGAACTCTGAGCAGTATTCAACGAAGTTTTACACTTTGAAATTAATGGACAGGACTTAATAATAATAATAATGGTTTATATCCATTGATTGTCCTACTCAGGGTAGACCCACTGAAGTTAATGAACAGGACTACCTCAGGTTCATTAATTTCAGTGGGTCTGCTCTGATTAAAATGCAGTTGAATACCACCCTCTAGGTATACATCAAGTTGTGTTTATGTTCTGTGTATTAAAATGGGATAGTAATAATCCCTTCATAGGGCTTCAGGTGGGAGATTTTGCAGGGAGGAATGCAATGTAAATACCATTATCAAATGTTTGCTCCATATGTTGTGATCATTGCAGGACTCTTCATCACAATGTGATAGCTACCTTTCACGAAACACTGTCCGGGATGCATCAAAACAGTACAATCTCCTCTCGGAAGGTAACCCCTCTTGACCTAGCCCAACTTTATATAAAATATGTTTCTCTGAAATTTCCACCTATTGCTTCTTGTCCGACATTCTGGGACAACAGACAACAAGGGTGCAATCAGACATGAGGATTATCATGTTAGTTTTCTGGGTTATAATGCTGTTCTGGTTTCTAATGTTCATTTTATATTGTGTTACCTTTTGGATAATATACTGCGATACCGTACAGAGTTTCATTTACACCAGTGGGTGTGGCGTGACACAACAGTGGACATCTTTTGACATGTCACAGAATTGGAAGGGAACCTGAGGACCATCTAGTCCAACCCCTAACAGTACAGGGATATGCAGCTGTCCCATATGGGGATTGCCACCCTTCCTGGCCATACCTGCTTTTGCTCTTCCCCCCTCCCCCTTCCCATGATTCACCCACAACAGTGAAGAATGAATCTCATCACATGGCATGAAACTGTGGGGATTAACATTACCCCCCAAATCCCATTATTTTCCATGTTAACAGGGTTGCGGACAATTTTTTTCTCAAAGCAACATGGAAACAAGTTGCTAAACTTTTGCAAAATTTCCAGAAGTGGCATTAATGTCATGTGACAGATTACATATAATGCAGAGATTATCAGATAAAGGAAATGTCAGAAAAGCAAAGTTAAAGTGCTTCCTGAATGCAGCCTCCATCTGCTTCGTTAAGGGATATGCAGAATACTAATTGGTTGAAGAAGTAGTAGAAATATGAAGGAAAGCTTGGGGGCCATGAAGCTACAACAGGTTTGTCCTGACTGTTCACATCTGGACAAGCTGCCTGGGTGTTCATTCTAGCTGCTACGTTACATTGTCATCATATTGCACTGAGTGAAAAAGATTGGAGTCAGCCAAGCCACACAAAACCTCAGACCACACTATTTCAGGGGTCAGCAACCTAAGGCCCATGCACTGGAAGCAGCCCGCAGAGGTCGTTTGACTGGCCCACGAGCTGCCCGCTTGCGCACTATGCTAAATCAGCGCAGTGCGGCATGGGGACTTGTCTCCGTGGCACCGGAAATCGCATCTGATCTAGCCCACAGAGAGATCTCTGTGGGAACAATCGGGCCCAGGCAAGATAAACCTTGCTGACCCCTGCACTATTTATTGAGGTACCAGTGATATAGCATGTGTCCCTCCCCAAACTCCCTCAGTGTTGCAAAGGCTCATGGGGTGCAGATTCCAGATCTTGCACAGCTACAGCAAACAATCCTAGAATCAGCCTCCTGCGAGACATAAAAGGAATTCGGAGCCACATCTCTCTAATTGTTCAGCCCGCAGCTTGGAGTAGCACCATGCCTTCGGCCAGCCCTGGCAAGCTCCTCCATTTATGGGCTGCGGCCTCACGTTTGTGGACCGTGGTCAAAGCAAAGGGGCGCATCTACACTGATGTGATTCCATGACTCAGATAGTACAAGGGTAAAGTAAAGGTAAAAGGGACCCCTGAACATTAGGTCCAGTCGTGGCCGACTCTGGGGTTGCAGCACTCATCTCACTTTATTGGCTGAGGGAGCCAGCGTACAGCTTCCGGGTCATGTGGCCAGCATGACTAAGCCACTTCTGGTGAACCAGAGCAGTGCACGGAAGCGCCGTTTACCTTCCAGCCAGAGCGGTACCTATTTATCTACTTGCACTTTTACGTGCTTTCGAACTGCTAGGTTGACAGGAGCTCACTCCGTCTCGGGGATTCGAACTGCCAACCTTCTGATCGGCAGGCCCTAGGCTCTGTGGTTTAACCCACAGTGCCACCTGCATCCCTAGTACAAGGGTAGACGGGTCTAAAAAGCCCAGGACACAAATTTTCATGGCCCTCTAGTGGCTATGGTGGCTGATAGTAATACATTTGGCTTTAACTCTGGAGGTGTATACTCGACTCTGACCAAACTAAGCCTCCTAGAGCAAAATATAAATTCTGGTAAATGAGCCACCATAGCTGCTAGAAGGGCCATGAAAATGTGTGGTCCCAGGCATTTTAGACTCATCTACCCATGTACACATCTGCATTGCTTGCCGGATGTGAAATTTTTTTCAGCTCTCCTATCTGGGCTGCAGAACACTGGATGCAGGATTAAGCATGCAAAGTGACTTCTGGCTTTGTTTTTGATGTGATTCGAATTCAAAATTGAAAAAAACATACAAACGACTCTGTCTTCATTACAGGTAAATATGACTCTTTGGATGAACCTCATTCGTTGATTAGCTTGAAGCAAAATCGCTCGCTGCCATCGACTATTCCATCTTACGCATCTCAACAAAACTCCTGCTCGTCCACCACAGATAGTTCTGATTCCTCAAATTCCACGCCATACCCACGTCAGCCACCAAGAAGTAACTCAGGTACAAAAGTGGAACCTTTGTTTTCCTTGTCTCCATCTCACTTTATCACTTGGAGTATTGAGTAACAAGACATTGCCATGAAGCATAGTGTGTAGTACAGCTAAATCAGGTCTCTGAATACTGAAGCATTGATGCAGCTTATGCAAATTCACCCGCATTTCCCTCTTTTGCCGCTTTGATTATGTTTCTGAGGATGAGTTTATATAGTTTCTCTGACCAGAAATTTTTACTACACGACTGTTCCCTTTCAAAGCTTCCTTGTAAACGTACCCCAAATGACTTGTACTTAACCACATTCTGAGCAACGATCTAAATAAAGTCCTTCGGACTGTAAGTTGGGGATGGACTGTTTATTATTTTGAGGCCGCTGTTTCTGCAAACTGGGGGGTAAATTGCATTAAACACCGTGGGACCTCTTTCTGAATAAATGCAGGGAGGACTGGGCAGCATATGCCTGCAAAATAGCTGGTTTGTGCATCTGTTTAAACCATTATTATTAGTGTTCTGATAACTTGATTCACATCATTAAATACATTGCAAATTCAAGTGAATATGAAACAAAAAGAGGTTAAAAAGAGAAACTGTTACAGGTGGGAAGAATTGCAGCGCAGGAAGGAGTTCGAATGTACTTGTAAATGCATGTATTTTGAGAATCTGACTGATAAGCAATGGTTAGTTATCAAGATTGGAATCCTAGTCATCTAAACATAAAACTCTAAAAGAGTCTTATCTGATTTATTTGAATGAAGCTGTAAATTGATTCAGTTGACTAATATAATACTAATTATAAACATTAGGCGGACTCCTTTGCACTCTCATTATCAGATCCTGCTTAAGATTTAGGCAGGCCTACCCAGATATGCAGCTTTATTAACCATATTTGGTTTGGTTTAATGCTGGAGGTTTTCATATTTTGATAAATTTTATGTCTACAGTAGTACCTTAGTTTTCAAACAGCTTAGTTCTCAAACGTTTTGGCTTCCGAAAGCCGCAAACCAACTCCGGTTTGCGAACTATTTTTGGAAGCAGAGTGTCTGACGGGGCTTCTGATTGGCTGGAGGAGCTTCCTGCAGCCAATCAGAAGCCGTGCTTTGGTTTCCTAATGTTTTGGAAGTCGAACGGACTTCTGGAATGGATTCCATTCGACTTCCAAGGTACGACTGTACTTGGTTTTCAGATTTGGGGTATTTTTTATTATGAATATTTTGCATTGCTTTATGCAAGCTGCTTAGAGTTTTTTGTTGATTTGGCACTGTTGAAATGACACAGATAAATAATTCTGGTATTTTGAAATGCAGGCAATTCTCTCTCAAATAGTTCTGCTGCATTTTGATGCTCTTCGTATGTGTTCACACCTTTGACATCTTTTCCCCCTCTGCCCTTTGTTAGATTTTATGCTGCAGACTCTGCAGACTCTGCAGCAGCAGGAGCAGCAAGATGAAACTGTGGCTCACCAATGGATCCAAACCAGAAGAGAAGACATTGTCAACCAGATGACAGAGGCTTGCCTTAACCAGTCCTTGGATGCCCTCCTTTCAAGGGATTTAATCATGAAAGAGGATTATGAACTTATCAGCACAAAACCTACAAGGACCTCAAAAGTCAGGCAGCTGCTCGACACAACTGACAGCCAAGGAGAGGAAGTTGCTCGAGTCATAGTGCAAAAACTGAAAGACAACAAACAGCTGGGACTTCAGCCTTATCCAAATATATCTGCTCCCTGCAGGTCCACATCTTTGAATTGATAAACATCCGTATAAAGACCTTGCAGTGTTTCCTAAAAGTTGGGATTCCTCTTTCTGAAATGTCACTGCTACGTGACTCTAGACTGAAGTTTGGAGTGGGTGGGTCAGGGGGAAGCCTGGCAAATGAAAGTATTACATGACACCCTTGTTGTTGTTTTTTAAGTTCTAAAAACTGCTTTTACACTGCATCTCAGTGGAGACTTCTGTATTTTGTGGATCTATAAAAATTCATAAATATTAAAAAAAATGGGGAAAGTGCACACAGCTTTACTATCTTTATACACGTTCTCTCATCTGTCAAAACTACCTTTGTGAAAGAAGAACAAGATTACTGATTTCGTAAGTTGGCAGAATTGCTCTAAAAAAGTTGTTTTCAAGCCCTCTTAATGAAGGGCAAAGCCTTTCTGCCTTGACTCGTCTGCTGTGGGACCTATACTCTAACTGCTCCACTGCTGCTGTGCATTGTGGGAGATTATAGGGCATATTCTGAGGTTCCTGGTCAGTTTTCAGAGACCTTGACCAGACTTCTTGAGCCGTATCCCATAAGCAAGAGCACTCTCCCTGGAGAACATCCACTGCTGCAGCTGTGTAATGTAGGAAAAGATCAGGAACCGTAGACAAGTTTGTGTACTGAGAATGATCTTTCCCTTGAAAAACGTGGTAAGTTTTCAAGAAAGGCTTGGGACTGTAAATGGCTTGGCCCCAAAATACTTGATGACACTGGTGCAAGGGGCAGTGGTGGTTGGGCCTTCTCTATGGTGGCACCTTGTGCATGGAATTTACCTTTGGGAAAATTGGGTTGTCTCCTTGCCTTTTAAAATGCCAATAAGATTCAAGCCTTTGGTCCATAATCTGAAGACTGCTTTGACTGCTAGTTGCTGCCATTTACCATTTTATGCTGTGATGGCTGTTTGAGTTTGATGGTTTTATTGTAATTGTGGATGGATGGATGGAGAGACATTTGTATTTATATATTTTACATACTGCCCTGGGGAGGATGGGGTTTAAGAAAAACCTCAAACAATAACAATAAATAAACCCCAGGGCTGCCCAGAGCATCCTTTGAAAACCAGAAATCTAAAAAAAGAAAAATTAAAACATTGTGGAAGTGACTCGTGTTTATTCTAGGCTTACTTCTTCCTTATTTCTTGGGGAAATCCACTGTGTGTTCTTTTTCCGGAGGTACTCAACGCCCCACTGACTTCAGTTAAAAGACGTTAGTGAATCATAGCTTGCTAAATGTTCTTGCTGAGAAACATAGACACGTCGTAACTATCCAACCTCCAACACAAATGCTTCATCAAAGCAGTAAAAAAATAAAAGCCAACACTGTAATACAAACATTAACAACCAAGCATTTCAAATTGGATGACATTTATGTGTAAGGTCTTTTCCACACTTCTTTCTGCTCGTCTTACGTTTTCTAGGCATGAGTCTAAGCAGATTTGCCTTTGTTCCACCACTTTCCCAAAAACCCCCTGCTCTTTAGCACTAACTCAGAGCAAACACCAATCCAGAGAAAACCTGATACATGTTTGCTCCAATTCAGAAGTGAAGTGTGGGTTTTTATGGGGTAAGCAGGTGTGGGTGAGCCTTAACTGACGCATGGATGATGGAGCAGGAGTATAATTACTGTTAAGAAACATTCTTACCGCAGCTTCTGGTTGGTTCAAGAGAATCATTTCACAGTTATGAGTCTGTTTTACACCGAAAGAAGAAGGCAACTCCTTTAAACAGCAGAGCAGAGGAAAACTCATGTTCCTGTTGCTCACTGACCATGCTCTTTGTGGAAAGAATGTGTCATAGGACTGCTATACATATTTACTGTTCTCTTGACTGGCAATCCCTCCCCTCTTCCCAGGGAATTCTGGGAATTGTAGTTCTGCATGGGGGGGAGTCATCTAACAACACTCAGCCCGCTTAAACTACACTTCCCAGGATTCTTTGGGGGGTGAGGCCATGACTTCTAAAAGTGATATGATGCTGCTTTAAATGTATAATAGCATTGATAGGACCAATTATTAGCACTCTTTGTGTCAGATTGAAAGTTTGGGAGGGGGCACAGCTCAGTCAGGGGTGACACTCAGGGTTCATATGCAGAAGGTCTACACTTCAATCACTGCCATCTCCTATTTAAAAAGGATCAGATTGTCGCCCTTGAGAAAGATCCTTTTCTGCCTGAGACCCTAGAGAACCACTGCAAGTCAGAGTGGATCAGGCATAGGCAAACTTGGCCCTCCAGATGTTTTTGGCCTACAACTCCCATGATCCCTAGCTAACAGGTCCAGTGGTCAGGGATGATGGGAATTGTAGTCCCAAAACATCTGGAGGGCTGAGTTTGCCTATGCCTGGAGTGGATAATATTGGACTAGATAGATAAAACAGACTGATTTGATATATGTCCTACTGACTGAAAGTGGGTCCTTACAGGCTGTATTTTTACCAGCACTTTAATCAGGGCAAGTCTTTTCAATGAAGCACTGGAAATTCAGTCTATGTGGTTGGTTTTTTCTTCTTCTAATGTGTTATGATCTTCTGTGAAACATTTTACAACTGCATCTATCAATAGCATTAGCTGACTGGGTGAGATAGTGGAAGCAACATAAACTTGAATGAGTTCTTGGAATTGATAAGTACTCCGCAGAAAATCATCTGGAGCAGAGGAATAAATATCACATGTGGTAAGTTGTGTTAAACCCATTATGGTATTCCCTGTCCAAACTATGAGGGTTTTAATTGTGGTGCTTGTCTGACAGGAAAACTGTTTTTGCTTTAATTTTATTTAACAAGAATAAGACAGAGGTTGCAGGGGCTCTTACTGTACTCTTTTTGGCACCAGCTAATAGCATTTTTGTTTAGGCAAGCCTATCTAGATATGTAGAATGTCAACATCTGCTTTTCAGTTCACTGTTGATTTTAACAATTTTTATTTAAATTGTTGCTTTAAACTTGTTTCTGCTGTTGGTTTTCTTGTTTTGCTAGTTTTGTAAACCACTTCAAGATTCCATTGCAACCAGAGGGGATATAAACCTTGTAAAATAAATACCACACAAATATTAGTGGCATGCAGCATGAGTCGTGCAAGCTAGCTGAGGATAATGGCAGTTGTAGCCCAAAGTACCGAGAGGACATCAAGTTAGAGGGGAGGCTGCTCTACAGACATCTGGTCTCCCAGCCCAGACTTTGCTATTTCACTGCCTTGAGAGTAGCAGCTTCTCCCCTGCCCCTGCCCCTGCTACTTCCTTATTTCCTACTCCTGTTGGTGGGCCAAATTTGACCCAGAGCTGCCTTCCTCAACCTGCTCACTTCTTCCCAATCTTTGTGAGGGCAGAGTGCTTTCTTTGCACACTGGCCTTGAGCCAAAGCAACTGCTTTACCCCATCATCCCAGCAGTGAAGAGACCCTGGAAACCCCCAGAGGCGAGGGGAAATTAAGCAGGGGGGCGCATCTGATTAAAAATATATGAATGAGGACAAAATATTCCTCTCTTGTGCCCTGTCGGTCTACACCTTTGACACCATCGACCATAACATCCTTCTGGACCGTCTTGAGGGGCTGGGAGCTGGGGGCACTGTTATACGGTGGTTCCGCTCCTTTCTCCTGGGCCGTGTTCAGAAAGTGGGGGGGGGATGAGTGTTCAGACCCCTGGGCTATCACTTGTGGGGTGCCTCAGGGTTCCGTCCTCTCCCCTATGCTTTTTAATATCTATATGAAGCCGCTGGGAGAGATCATCAGGGGGTTTGGGCTGGGTGTTCATCAGTATGCAGATGACACCCAGCTCTACCTCTCCTTTAAATCAGAACCAGTGAAGGCAGTGAAGGTCCTGTGTGAGTGCCTGGAGGCTGTTGGAGGATGGATGGCGGCTAACAGATTGAGGTTGAATCCTGACAAGACAGAAGTACTGTTTTTGGGGGACAGGGGGAGATTCCCTGGTCCTGAATGGGGTAACTGTGCCCCTGAAGGACCAGGTGCGCAGCCTGGGAGTCATTTTGGACTCACAGCTGTCCATGGAGGCACAGGTTAATTCTGTGTCCAGGGCAGCTGTCTACCAGCTCCACCTGGTACGCAGGCTAAGACCCTACCTGCCCGCAGACTGTCTTGCCAGAGTGGTGCATGCTCTAGTTATCTCCCGCTTGGACTACTGCAACACACTCTACGTGGGGCTACCTTTGAAGGTGACCCGGAAACTGCAATTAATCTAGAATGCGGCAGCTAGACTGGTGACTGGGAGTGGCCGCTGGGACCACATAACACCAGTTCTGAGAGATCTGCATTGGCTCCCAGTACGTTTCCGAGCACAATTCAAAGTGTTGGTGCTGACCTTTAAAGCCCTAAACGGCCTTGGTCCTGTATACCTGAAGGAGCATCTCCACCCCCATCGTTCAGCCCGGACACTGAGTTCCAGCGCCGAGGGCCTTCTGGCGGTTCCCTCATTGCGAGAAGTAAGGTTACAGGGAACCAGGCAGAGGGCCTTCTCGATAGTGGCACCTGCCCTGTGGAACGCCCTCCCAGCAGATGTCAAAGCAATAAACAACTATTTTACTTTTAAAAGACAACTGAAGGCAGCCCTCTTTAGGGAAGTTTTTAATGTCTGATACTGTACTGTTTTTAATATTCAGTTGGAAGCCGCCCAGAGTGGCTGGGGAAACCCAGCCAGATGGGCGGGGTATAAATAATAAATTATTATTATTATTATTATTATTATTATTATTATTACTATGATGTCAGGCATGCCATCTTCTGTGACGCCCAATATATGGGGGCTTTGATCACTACACACATTCCAAATACAGTGGTACCTTGGAAGTCAAACAGAATCCATTTCAGAAGTCCATTCAACTTCCAAAACGTTCGGGAACCAAGGCGTGGCTTCTAATTGGCTGCAAGAAGCTCCTGCAGCCAATCGGAAGCTGCAGAAGTCTTATCGGATGTTTGGGTTCCAAAGAATGTTTGAAAACCAGAACAATCACTTCTGGTTTTCGATCGTTCGGGAGCTAAAACGTTCGACTCCCAAGGCGTTTGAAAACCAATGTATGGCTGTACCCTTTTTTCGCACTGCTCTGTAGAACCACAGAAGGCTGTACGTTTAAAGCAACACTTCCCACTAAAACAGGGACAAGGAAACTCTGGTCTTCCACATGTCAACAAACTCTCATTCCCATCAGCATAGCACATGGTTAAGGATAATGGAAGTTGTCATCCATCGACACCTGGAGGGCCACCAAAGTAAACTAACAAATCATCTGTCATGAACTGGCAGGACAATGGGGAGGAGGCAGAGGATTCTTGTGAGAGGTGTAACTTGGACTGGGACACACCGGGGCGGGCAGGGGATGGGGAAGGAAGTACTCACAGGGTGACGGAGGATGGAGAGGGGATGAGGGTCAGTGTACATGAACCAGAGCAGAAGGACCCATCATCAGAACCAGAGGAACCATCTCCACAAACACGGAAGGCTCTGAGGCATAGGGAGCAGCAGGTGGGATGCTCTAGGATGTAGGCAACAGCCCACAGCCTAGCTCACTAACTAGCCAAGGGGGGCTTGCTAGCTCTGGAAGGAGATGTGTAATTCCTCAGCCGGAGTAGGCTTGGAGCAGGTGAGGGTCACATGCCTCATCAAGCCCAGATGCTGCAGTCAACAGGCAAAGTACAAAAGCAAAGCAGAGCTGAGGTGCTGTGTCTGCTTAGCTGCCCATGTTGAAGGACCTCAGCCTGGATGCTCCAGGATTTCAGTGGCACTGGGCTTCGGTTTGGACATGTGGATTGACCCTGGACTGAGCACTTGGCATGCTGGCTTGCTGCCAGGTAGGTCCAGGGGTGTTGCTGAACTACAGCTCCCACTAGCCCCAGCAAGCATGGCCCAGATGGTGGCAGCTGAAGTTCAGCAACATCTGGAGAGCCAGAGGTCCTCCACTTGACATAAGCTGGCTGTTGACCAACATGTGGCTGCCTCTTCCATGGAAGGGCTATGTTCCATGGAACATAGTGATCAAAGCTAGTGGTTTAAGAATGACATATTTTCACAGGAAAGTGATTCATCTACCAAGAAGCTCCTGCTCATTACTGAGGAGCGTCCTGAGTTGCATGCTCAGATCATGTGTGATGGGGCTCCCTACCACCCCACGTGAACTGAGAGTGCACTTACAAATGCCCATCACTTCCTTATCGCTGTGGGTTACAGGGGAAGATGTATTTATTTAGCCAGGCAGGCATTTAAATACTGCCTATTCAACAAAGTTCTCTCTGCGGTGGGAGGTGTGCAAGTTGTATTTCAGAAAAGGTTATCGGTCAAAGCTGTCAGTCAGAGCCTCTGATAAGTTTCTAAAGAACCTAAGGCTCCCCTGAACTACTGTTTCAAAATCACATATCTAAATCATGGAAACATAAAATTTAAATACAGGAATGGGCACTCCACTCTGGATCCTGGTAAATCTACCAGAGACATACTTGTACAATTCATATATGGCTAACACAACAAATGTTTTAACAATATTTCACAAACCATTAAAACTGGAATGAGTGCTTGATTATTTTTTTAGTTACTTTGATCTCGTAGATGTCAGTGAAACCAAAATGCATGAATCTGAGAAATCTGGTTTATTCAGTTTGTGTACTTTCCTCCTAAAGTTCTGGGATATTTTTCCTTCATCACAGCCTTCAGTAACATTATTTTCTAAATTAGATTTTGATTCTTTCTGATGTCTTTCTACTGTGGCAATGGTATATAATTACAGGACTTCTTATTTACAATCAGTTGAAAATATGTAATATGTAAAAACTAAATAAGCCATAGTGCTTCTCCCACCCTTAAGTCAACAGGGTCATGATCCAAAACTTCCAAATGTAGGAGCTTCCTGTTCTTTTCCATGCCCTGTGTGCGTACATGCACATAAAATTTATTTTCCCATGGGAAGCTTTGTTTTCCCATTAAAGGAACAGAAAAGTGTTTGCATGAGCATGCTGAACATGCACATTGCAGTGACTGCCTAGATTTCCATGTCTAGGCTGCAAATGAAACATATTAATGTAATTCCACATCCATGATAGGAACATAAGGAGCTCCCTTGTCCTGAGTCATCTTGGATAGCCACAGGCATCATTGGCAAGTGGAGCAGAAATTTACAATTCTTTCAGCAGCTGGCTCAGTTTAGGGAGCCACACTTTGGGGATGGGGAAACAAGGAGAGGCGTGAGCAGTTCCAAAACAGCCTTGGTGCTCAGGTGCTTGAGGGTTTCCCCAATCATCCAGATGGTCCTTATGAGAACAGGATGCTGGCCCTGGATAGCTCAGTTGGTTAGAGCATGGTGCTGATAACACCCAGGTTGCAGGTTCGATCCCTGTGTGGGACAGCTGCATATTCCTGCGATGCAGAGGGTTGGATTAGATGATCCTCAGGGTCTCTTCCAACTCTACAACTCTGTAATTCTCTAATTCTAAGACTAGATGGGCCAGCTGGCTCTTGTTATGTACTTGGTAAGCCTGCCAACATTTGGTCTGGCTAATTTAAGGATAGATTTATTACAGGACCAGGTCACGATGAAGAGGCCAAAATGAGCAATGGTAGCAGATTCAGTGTCAATGTCAAATGCTTTGGGTCATGACAAGCGCCAGCGTGAAGTCAGATGAAAATGTATTTACTGTTAGCGTTTTTTACTGCTGGGCTATTTTGAAGGGAGAGAATGTACCAGAATGCTCAATCACATCTAAAGCTAAGGCCATTGACTCCCCTTTTGTGAATGGGGCAGAGGGCCCTATCCTCATATAGTGTACTGGGCTCTGGAAATCTTCCTGGGACCTCTATGTTACGAACAAGGAGTGAATGATCTTTTGAATTATAGAGAAGTAAGGTTTTAGCCTGCTTCATTAGAAGATGGTAGACTGCAGTGCTTCCTGAAGGAATGAAGATAATTGTGAAGCACAGCTCAGCGAGTGTCCTGGCTTGTTGATGTTTTTGCATGCCTAAAAGTCAGGGAAGTTGTCTGCCTTCACAATTGCCTGTCTGCTCTGAGAGAATTCTGAAATGAACAGTTATAGTTGTGGGGCCGGGGGGAATCAAGGTATGGAAAGCTAGTTTGATTTCCTCACCATTTTGTTTCTCCATTCTCCCCCATTCCCTTGCCGTAAAATTTAGGGTGCACACATAGGAAAATTCCTTGAGAGAAATGACACTTTATTTTGGCACACAGAACAATCTCCCCAAATGACCTCAAATATTCCTCTGCGGTTGGGGGAAGGAAATGTGGACAGCTTCCCCCTTGTCTTTTCACTTGCAAATCCCTTTAATAAAACTGCCTGGGATGTAGGGGCTTACCCATCCCTGCAAACCCAGTCTGGCAAGTTTCTGATAAGCTGTCAATAGATATTAGTTTGTAAATAAAGAATTTAGAAACTAAAAGCGATGCCCTGGCTGCCCAGGAATATTGCATTTCAGATATGCTGGCAGACAGGAGAGAAGCCTCATGCTCAAATTTCTGTGGGACACCGCCTCCTGTGATGTATGTATGATGCTTTTGGGGTGGTCTTGAGCTAAAGAGTGGACAATTTCAAAAGTCTTCATAGGGGCTTGCACACCATTGTTCTGGGTCTCTCTTATCTCCTTGCAATGAGGGGAGGGAACTCTGAACAGAGAAATAAAGATCTGCCTTGCTTTCCACTGGATCCTGCCTCCATCCATTCTGCTCTGACCCATCATGGACTTAGGGAACTCAGAGTCCCATGGGGAGTTGAGCAGCAAAAGCCAAACCCCAATTTTTACATCACCATATACTTCATCACTTCCCCTTTTCCCCTTAGTATTCTTTATAGCTTTCATTTGTGTTCTCTATTCCTTGAAATAATGTAACAGAATAAATCTAGCAGCAGCAACAGCAGCAGGAGGAGGATTTATAAGGAGTTTTGGAAGGTTTGGTGAGTCACAACCGTGGCAGGCCTGACGTACAGTGCAAGAATGCAGGAAGCTGTAGAGGGCAAAGGTTTTGACAACAGCAGTCTCTTGTGACGTAAATGGAATACAGAGTTTGGCTGAGTGAAGTGAGGCTTTGGCTCAATTATGGGGTTACCAAAGTGTGGTTCCCATGATACAATGTATCCTGGAACTCACTGCTAGACGAAGAACTCAAACTCCCAGCTTGGTTTCTGCCCAAGGCTTTAATGCATAAATCAGATCAGTACATAGGCAAAGAACCAGAGGCGGAGCTAACTGCTCCGGCACCCAGAGCAGCGTGCACCCGAGGGTGGGGCTAGCATCCCAGGGGGTGGGGGGAATGTCCCAGGGGAGCGGGGCAAGCATCCTAGGGTGTGTGTGGCCGTCCATCTTCCATGTGACAGTCCTTCTCTTTACCAGGCTAAACATACCCAACTCTCTCAATTGTTCCTCATAAGGCTTGGTTTCCAGACCCTGGTAATCTTGTTCGCTCTCCTCTGAAAACATTCTTGTCCATATCATTCTTAAATGGGGGTGCCCAGAGCTGGACACAGTACTCCACATGTGGTCTGACCAAGGAAGAAAATAGCAATGCTATTAATTCCCTTGATTGGGACACTATACTTCGGTTGTTGCAGCCTAGAATAGCATTAGCATTTTTTGTTTGCTGCATCACATTGTTGACTTATGTTAAGCTGGTGGTCTACTAAGACTCCTAGATCATATTCACATGTGTCTCCCATCTCATATTTGTGCAGCAGATTTTTCCTGCCTAAGTGCAGAACCTTACATTTGTTCTGATTGAAATTCATTTTGTTAGCTTTGGCCCAGTTTTCCAACCTGTTAAGGTCATATTGAACCCCGATTTTTTGGTCAGCAGCATTGGCTGCTGTTTTCAAGAGGGCCAGAAATGAGCTTTTATATTTATAAGTAACAGAGACACTGTATGTAAGAAGAGAATGATGGTCAACTGCAAGAATGGACTTACAAGAAGTGAAGGGTCAAGTGGATATTAAAGAAGAGATGATGTGGCTACAGGAGGAAAAGATTAAATTAAAGTAATTTGGTTTGATTTGCAATAATTTTGAAAACTAATAAAAATTAAAAATAATTTATTTTTTTGAAAAATGAATGAGCCAGATGGCTGGACTGTAGGAACTAGAGAAAAGAACTGAAAAGGTGCACATGTATTATGCTTAGTAAACCAGGGTTTCCATATTTCAAAAAGTGAAAATCCGGACACAAAAGTTGCTGAGCTCTTTTTCTCTTTTTGGCAATCTTTAAGCTATTTATAAAATAAGGAAAATCACCCAAGAAATCAGTACTTCCAATGTAGGCACCCACCTATGTCCGTCACCTCCAGACCTACAGAATTCAGTCACAAACTGGAAATTTTGCTCCAAGCAATTAAAGTCGACTAAAGTGATCTGTTGTTCTGACACAACAAATCCACTTTTTTTTTAACAAAATGACTTTTGTGGTTAAGAAAGCAATGGGGAAATGCACTCCAATGTGTGAGATAAACATTTAATTAACAGGAAGTGTGGACCAGTGTGAAAGCAAATCAAGGTGGAATCAGGTTGGATGCTCCCTGTCATGTGACAGTCCCACAAACAAATCAGAATGAGCATAGGAGCCAACACCTCAGGGCCGAGGTCTCTTCAGCCCTCCAATAAAATATTTGATGGGGCCTCTCCCCCCCAAGTTGATGAACATTGCCATTCAGATGGGGTGTGCACACCACACCATATGATTGATTATGCAGGGTGGGGCTTACCTGCCCCTCCAATATTTTATTCAAGTTGGCACTCCTGAGAACGAGTGCTCTGTAAAGACTAGGCATCCTCTAACCTCCAGGTAAGCTTTGTGCAGCAAATCAGGATGAATTGTACAATAAGTAGGTCACCCAAGTTCACAGACTTCAGCAAAAAAAACCCACCCAGCTTCCTTGTTATATGCAGGGAAGGATGGTGATCAGACAACAATCTGCTGATCATTCACTGTAGAAACATAGCTAGAGTAACTCTCCCCTGCAATGCTTGAAGAGAAGATCATCACTGCTTTCTGCTGGGCCAGCAACATCATATGTGAGGTGTTTTGCAGCTCACACTTAGCAAGAAGTGCCCCCACAGGCAAGCAGGATTCACAGTTTCTTTTCCCGCTCAGTACATGTCTGTGCAGATGGGGGACACCCTGTTTTTTTGGTGGGAAAAGCTTTCTGAAACTTGAATCCTAGCACACATTTGCCAACAGAAGCAGGTGCAATACATGGTATCATTTTACTTTCATTCTTTCCCCCTCCCCCTTCTTGCTTAAAATAGGACAGCCATTATGGTGATACAGGAGGAATAGAATTTCTCAGACCTAGAAATAGGTTTACAGCAACAAGCCCTCTCAAATTACTATTTTGCAATTGCCTTATTTTTCCTTTTAATTTTTTCTAAGTATTCCACATTATTGTGGCTCTCTCTTTCTCTCTCTCCATATATATATATATATATATATATATATATATATATATATATTCTCTTGTAATTTTGTTGCTGAAGAGCTTTGCAGTCCAGTCAAACTATAACTATGTGACCCAGGTATTTAAAATAAAAAGGCATGTGTGGTAATAAACATTTGGAAAGACCACCAAACTCCTATCCCAAATTCGTCTCTGAGAACTTGAGGCCATTTTGAATGCAAGAACATTCCCTTCAGTTGTTAGTTTCAGATATTTCATGTAAATTTCTGAGATATGACTGCCTCCAGGGCTTATTCAGACCTCTGCCACTTTACCCTGGGGAAAACCTGAGGTTTAGTGCTGAATCAGAACAAGCGGCAACTGGGTTTTTCGCAGATTCCCATTTGTTCCAATCAAGCGCTAAAGAGCAGGTTTTCTGGGGGAAAGCAGGGCAGAGGCAAAACCACTCGAAGCCATGCCTAGAAAGCATGGGACAAGTGGAAAACTGCTTGAACCTGTGCTTTCTAAGCATTGGGACAAGCAGAAGTGTGAGTGAGCCCTTAGTTTAGCTAAACAAATAGATATTTGTGATTTTCCAATATGGCAGCTTTTCTCCAACATGGAGTTTTTGGAACTTTCAGGATGTTTATCGTGACTCTGCGATTTTCAGCATTTACTTTAAATCAGTGTTTCCCAGTCTTGGGTCTCCAGTTGCTTTTGGACTACAGTTCCCATCATCCCTGAGCACTGGTCCTGCTAGCTAGGGTTGATGGGAGTTGTAGTCCAAAAACAGCTGGGAAACTCTGCTTTAAATGGCTGGGCTGTGTTGCTTCATTTATTTATTCTTGCAAATTGCACCGTATACACAGCAGGTCCAGTGCACCCATGAGGCATGATGAAGCGGTTGTCTCAGGACCACAGACTCTGGACAGGTGAGAGGAGTGATGGCAAGCATTGGTGCCACACTTTTGCAGGCCCTCATGCCCCACCCTGGCCTCCTTTCTTTTCCCGCAGGGCCACCTCCCAGCGACTGCAGAGAAAGAGGAGGCAGGGTTGGCATTTTCCATTGTGCCTGAAGTGGCTCGATTTCTCTCTTGACTCATAGGCTATTAAAAGTTGGGCGTGATGCAAGAGTTGGCTAGACAATAGCTGAAATCATCTCAGTAAAAACACACCAGCAAGGGCACAGAGGAAGCCGCCTTAAACTGAGACAGATCATTGGTCCATCTAGTTCAGTACTGTCTGCCCTGACTGGAAGCAACTCTCCAGGTTGCACACACAGGATAGCCCCTCCCTAACTCTGCCACTGAATTGTGGCCATGCACACCAAACTAGAGAGCCGTGGCTGCTGTTACCTCTGGGGACCAGCAGGGGTGGGAGGAGAGCAGCCTGGGATGTGGTACCTAGTGGGAATTAGAAGCACCAACAAAGCATGACTTTATATCCCAGATCCGAGTCGTCTGATCTGTCCTTGGTTACTGCTGGGTTGATGATAAATCCTGGCAGCCAGTATGCATGAAGGAGAAGGTGGAAGTTGGGGAGGGAGAGCAAAAAGCGCTGGGAAAATAACCAACAGACGCTTGTGGAAAAAATAACCAAGGCAGGACCTGACTGGCCTGGGTCATATCCCCATGGCTACAGGCTGCTCAGTAAGCTCCTTCCAGCTGCTCTTTGACTTTAGGAACACAAATGCATTCCTTGACCCTGGCCCCTTTGTTTTGACTGCCTCATAGCTCTCTACACTCATTAACTTCCTAAGCTGCTGCTCACAAGACACTGGCCAGGGCTGTTTTTCTGTTCGGTTTCTTCGACTGCATTGCACTTTGCTTCATTCTGGGCCTTGGCTTCCATCACATCAGTTCCAAAGAGGAGCCTTTATCGTTTTGGAGGACAACAGGTCAGGAAACCTTGGTAAGTCTCTCTTTCTTTTGTGAGCATGTGTGTGTTTTAAAAAATCATAGAGCATTAAAAAGAAAATTGTAGGATTTCTCTGGTGGAGCATCTGTTTTGCGGGCAGAAGGTCTCAGAGCTGGTCCTTGGAGTGTCCCCTGCCTGAAACCCTGGAGAGTCACTGTCATTCAGTGTAGACAATACTGAACAAGGTAGACTATTCATCTGCAGCTTTCTGTGTTCCTGTGCTCAGATACCAGTGTTGAAATGTAACATGCACCTGGAAGTGTTCCAACAAAAGGCAGAGAAAAGTAAGCTTTCAGTACTGCAATGGTTGCATGGGATTTTTGTCCTGGAGCAACAGACCATGAGGAAAAGTTGTGGCATTTGAAACTTCTTAGTTTAGAGAGAAGTAGAGTAAGAGGTGACATGATAGATGCTTATAAAATGATATGCTGCGTGGAGAAAGCAGATAGAGAATGTTTTCCCCTCCCTCTTTCATAACACAAGAGTTTGTGGGCATCCAACAAAGCTGAATATTGATGGATTCAGGAAAGATAAAATTAAGTACTAATTCACAAAGTGCATAACTAAACTGTAGAGCCCATTCGCACAAGAGGCAGCGATGGCCACCAACTTGGGTGGCTTTAAAAGAGGATTGGACAAATTCATGGAGAAGACTTTGCAATGGCTATGTTCTACCTCCACTGTTGGGGGCAGTGATGCTTCTGAATACCACTTGCTGGAAGCCACAACAGGAGAGAGTACACTTGTGCCTGAATCCTGCTTGCTGGTTTCCCAGTGGCCTCTGGTTGGCCACTGTGAGAACAAGATGCTGGAGCAGATGAGCCATTGGCGTGATCGACAGGCTCTTCTTGCATTCTTATATCATCTATGTGGACCAACCGGGGATAGAGATCTTCTCCCAATGCCCCAGTTTTTTTCCTCCCATCTGCTTGTCTTCAGAAGAGGACACGGTGTACATTAGGAAGCGGGTGCAGTGACCATTCCACCACTGTTCCACACCAGCGGATCAAATTGACCCAAGAGAAGAGGGAGGTTCCACCAGCTTAATTTAGTCGCATTGAGCGGGCTTCCCCATTTGTCACTTCTTGCTAAATTTCTTTGTGCCCCTCTCTTGTGGAACCCCATGTTTTCAACCTGTAAAGAAGATTAGTCTGAGTGAAACTGACTTCCCCAAGGTTACTGAGCAAGCTTCATACTTGAGCAGGGATTTGAACCTAGATTCCCTACTGGGAACAACATTTTCAGCAATGCAGCCGCCAGCAACCTAGCAACCAATTTAACCCATCCTAGGGCCAAGTCTTGTGTTCCTTTTTTTTTTTGGACTTGGGGATAAAAAGTACCCAAATTTATATCAATTCCCATGCAATTCCACTGGAACTGGAATGTTTTACCCCCATTACAACCTTACTCTATGATCTCTGACTTAGAAAGAAACTATCCAAGTACCTGTGCACATTTAAATGGCTGGATTTTCCTGCAATAAGAACTGAAGTGGAGGGGACAGAGATTTTGCCCATTGCCATTTCTATTTTTATTGCAAGGGAACATGGACACTTGAACCTATGCACCATATTCACAATTGATGGGGCTGCTCATCTTCTAGCTGACTATAAACAATTAAGTGGGAAGCAGGCTTTAGTGTAATCTCCCTGGAGTCCACAAGAGTGCTCCAAGTCTGCTCTGGAATGGGCTGACTTCTGCCAGCCTCCACCACCCTGGTACAGCTGGACTTAAATATATAAAATGTACAGAGTAAAAGAAGCATATACCCTTTTGCTGAGTAAGTTGTTATGAGCATGTCGGGACATTCTCACACATGTTGTTCAGGCTTGGTGTGAGATCCTTTTCTTTATTCATCATCTCTCAAGTGACTCATTTTGACCCATTCCTTTTAGACCTCTCCTTTATTTTTCTTGAATATTGTCCCTGATTTAAGTCATGTAGTTCTTTTCTCCTGAATTTGCCTGCAGCTGTGTCTGTGGTCACCCCCCACCCAAAGACATCACAATATATCTCAGGTTCATTTGTTTCCCTAGGCTGTGTGCTGTCCTTAGGAAGTTTCAGGATGTTCCTTTGTGATGGAATAGACACCTATAGATCAATAAAGCAGCTGGAAAGTATACTTGAATGTGAAAGTGGCTCTGAAAGTGGATCATGATTCTTTCACAGAATTGAATCCCATTGATTTAAATGGGGTTTTCCATGTGATATATTTTGAATTAGTGTCACACTTCCATTGTAACCTGGTTTACTGTGCCACAAAATTAGCCAATTCCTGGCCTCTCTACCTAGTTCTGCTGATTTGAGTCTGAAGTAAGGACACACAAACGCTTTTCTGCCTCCTGCCCACACATAGTCTTACTTCCACTTGCTCTGGAAATGGATGTTTACACCAGCACCCTCTGCAAAATACAATGAGCCACAGTACCATCAAAGGTGGTCATGAAAAAAGATTCTAAGAATGTAGAGGAGGGGAAACATAATCGACTTGGCAGTTTCCTTTGTCTTCAGCAAACATCAGTGAATTTCCTAGAAATTCTGGGGGGAAAGGACTTGGCTGTAGCCCTGGCAGTTGTTGTTCATTAGCGAACTTGAGCTGCTTGGGGGAAAGCAGTTTCCTTGATACGCTGCTGCTGCTGCTGATTTTGGTTACCCTGCTGTAGGGATACAAATAGCAGCACACAGAGAAGGGGGCATTCATATTCATATCACTTACCCTTCCTGCCAGGCAGCTGCTTGCTTACTTTCAGCCTTAGCTCACTCTTGAGTTCCTGAAGTTACAGCCATCTTCTTGTTAAACAGGGCAGGACATCAGTGATCCATGGGTAAGCCGTCCTCTGATATTTATTTACCAGCTGTAGATCAGAACAATAGCCTCCTTTTGATATTGGAGATGGGGCGTTTGAAGGGTAGAGCATGTGTCGATTTAGAGTTTACTTCTAAAAATTGTAGACAAGCTGGAAAACCAGGTCTTTTTATTTTCCTATCGTGGAGGGGGGTGTTCAGCTTTTTACACTGGATAATAAACGTAAGTCCAAACTGCAATGTGCTTTTTGGATGGGCGGCTTATGATATGTCTTTGGGAGGGGGTTATCTCTTTATGACACCAAGCCTTGTTTTGCACACTTGGCTTCTTCCCAGCTTGGCCTGTGTCCATACAAGAAACATTATTCTTCCCAGCTTGCTTTTGGACATGCTCAATAGCTGTGTTTTGAAGTTTGATACAAGCAAGCACAACTGGCTTTCCAGCACGAGGGCTGACGCCATGCCTGGCTCACAACAGCTGTTTTTAACAAACATTTACCAATCAATTACTGTATTTCATCAGTGATTAAGGGCATTGAAAACAAAACAAAAACCAGAAACCCAAGGTAAGTTAATCTAGAGTACTTTCTTCTGCTTTGGATGCACAGTCATTGGCATGAATGAGGTGGAAAGAATCCCTAGTTGATGATTCAACTTCCCTTGATCTTAAAGTAAGGGATGTGCTATAAGTGGGGAAAGCAGCAGTTACCTCGGATGAACTAAAGCTTGGCACTGCCAATTTGTGGAAAGCACACAGCGTGTCTGGCAGACATTTGTGGCAGCAGAAAACTGCTCCCTGTTCAGTCCATGACAGTTCAGTTGAAATAACAAGTCTGATTCACATGAACAACCTTGGGGGCAACCATCTGGAAACAACCTGGGATCACCTCTGATTGTGTGAACAAGCCCTATGTAATATTGTGCTACGGGGTTTCTTTCAAAATTATATTTTGATGCAGGATAGAACAGTGATCAGTAACCAGATTGGTCAGTGAGCCATTCCTCTACAACACCCCTAAGTTTACAAGGCTATAAACAAACTCTGGGGGCAGGGATAGTCTTTTTCCTTGCTCCACATGGCTGTGTTAAATTATGACGTGGCTGATGGCAGCTGCACAACTTTCCAGTTACATTCACACCAACTGGAGTAATGGAGGATTTTGCAGGAGAAAGGGGAGGGTGAGATAGTAAGTGAACAAATCTAGCTGATATGGTTCTGCAATGGCTGAAATGTTATCCAGGCAGAGCCCACTGTTGCAGGCAACACCAAGAGGAGGTGTTCGATTAGGGGTGAGCAACATAGCTGTCAACGTTTTCCTTCTTTAAGGGAAATTCCCTTATTCTGAATAGGATTCCTCGTGAGAAAAGGGAAAGGTTGACAGCTATGGTGAGCAACCTCGAGCACAGGGACTGTTTGCGGCCCTCTAGGCCTCCATACCTGGCCCTCAGAACTCTCCCCAGACCACACCCTTCACTGGTCTTGCTTCCTGTCTTGAGTGGCTTTGCCTTACAGGAAATTTATCCTTGAGTTCCGATAATGCCTCTTGATCACATGGAGCAAGGACAGAGTGTTATGTGTGTAGAAACTAGTTTATGGTACGAAAGTAAATTTTTCATTAGTTGATTTGCCCACATTTGCCTGTGGCCCCATCCACCACAGGTATGTGGCCCTCAGAAGGCTGTTCAGGTGGGAATGTGGCCCTCTGCAAACAGTTTTCTCACCCCTGGATTTGAGGAAGTCAACAGTAGTAGCTGGTGGCCATTGGGAGTGGTGGGGCAGAAGGCAGGGAGTTCAAACAGCACAAGGAACCATAGCCAATGAGAGGCAGAGCCAAGTAGTTCTGGCTTTGCTCCCATTCCAGCTCTGTTTGACAAGGACAACACTGAGATGAAGGAGGAAGCTGAAAGGCAGTACGACTTCTGAACTGGTGGTGAGTAAGAAGGCAAGGCATTTGGGGTCTGCTTGAGGGCAGACTGAGGTAGGTGGCGCACTGCCCCATTGGGCCAAGCACTCTTTAGATCAGGGTTGTCAGCCTTTTTCGACCAACAGCATTTCTGTATGCTAATTTCACTAATATTATATAAGTTTTCATGCAAACTTTCCCCAAATATATGCATTTTTTATGTGCATGATTTGAGTAGAGAACTGCATCGCAAAATTTGGATAGAACAGTTGTATTTCGGTTCGCGTTAAAATACGACTCAAATCCAATTTCCCCTTACACGACTATGCGGTTAAAACAGCTACAATACGATTCCTGGTTCTCTATGTCCTGCCAGCTTTGCAGACAAAACATTCTCTTCTTCTCCTCACTTCCAGGTAATGATTAACTGAAGATCATGACAGGCTCCTGGACGACGTGTTGCAATAAAAAGAGCATACCCAAGAATGGATTGCATGAATTGGATTCAGTGGCAGAGAACAAGAAGGAAAAAATGCAGATGAAGCAAGAGATCACCTTGCTTAATGGCATTTCTTTGATAGTAGGGAACATGATTGGCTCAGGGATTTTTGTGGCTCCCAAGGGTGTTTTGATGTACAGTGGCTCGTATGGACTCTCGCTCCTCCTCTGGGCCCTTGGTGGGATCTTTTCATTGTTTGGAGCACTCTGTTATGCTGAACTGGGGACATCCATTATTAAATCAGGAGCAAGCTATGCCTACATTCTAGAAGCTTTCGGAGGTTTTATAGCCTTTATCAGACTATGGTCTTCCTTGCTCATTATTGAGCCAACAACTCAGGCCGTCATTGCCATCACTTTTGCGAATTATATTGTTCAGCCGATATTTCCCTTCTGTGAGCCACCCTATGGAGCAGTTAGGTTGATTGCAGCTGCCTGCATCTGTAAGTAAAATTCTAGTCCGTCAATGCAACAATTTATTTTGATTATGCAAGTACAGGCCACGAACTGACAGTTTCATGTGTCTTCTGAGGGAAGGTTGCATACAAAACGCCTAGGCTCTTGCCACTGAATCAGAGGAAAAAGTCTGGATTCCAACAGACTTGATAGAAAAATGGGATGTGTGTGTGTATGTTAAATATTAAAGCAGTTTAGTAGCCATCTGTTAATTACAGAGCTATGAAAGAAACAAAGATTTTTGCCCAAGACCCTGGAGAGTCATACATTGTAGGCAGCATGGCTCAGAAAGCTCCTGGTTTTTCAGGGTTTTTCTAGTGCTTCTCAAATATTAGAGATAAACAACAACAGTATTCACCACCTTTTTCTGAGGAATGAACATCTATTGTTAATAACAGAATCCTGGGATAGAGATGTCAGGAATGGGGAGCCTATGGCCCTCAAGATGTTAGTGAACCACAACTCCCATCATCCTTGACCCCACTGACCAGGCTAGCTGGGGCTGAGGACATCTGGAGCAAAACCATCTGTTTCCCCATCCCTGAGACAGACAGCAGTGTGATCCAGCAAGACATCATTTTGAGGTGATGGTGGGAGGATGATATTCTCATACTGTGTGTGTAGTCTAACTGCTTACTCTGGGAACTGCAGATTTGGGGGGAGAATAAAGATCTCCTTAAAAAAAAGCTCAGCACCCTAAACAAACTACAGCTCCCAGAATTCATTGGAAGAAGCCATGCTGCTTAAAATGGTATCACAGTTCTTTAAATATATGGTGTGAATGTGGCCCTAAGACATGCTAAGGCACTCAGGTTGAAGAGTTCCCATAGCATTAGCCCAAAAATGCTATTTGGGAAGGGTATATTTTTTGTCATCAGATTTGATAGTTTTGGAATCTGTTTTCTTTGTTCCTTTTATTCTTTTACCAATTATAAAAAACTTAAACTTTTGTTCTCAAAAGCTTTTTAAGAGCCCCCTCATTATCTGAGGCCGGAATTTCCCAGACATATCCAGAATACTGCTGTCTCTAGCAGGGTCCAGGCAGAAATCTCTAAAAAGCTCAACAACTTTTCTGTCTGGATATTCACTGTTTGAAACAGGGCAACCCTAGCTGCATCTCCCCAGAAGCCAACACAGTATATTTTTCATAGCAAACTGCAACTTCGTCTCTGAATGCTAGAGGGCACTAAAAGAATGTTCTCACCGTGCTCTTATATTGTTAGTGAAATAGTTGGAGTTGTAAAAATAACACCCGTCCCCTCTTGAAAACAGTTTCGGGTTATTTGTTTTGCACTCATATTGACAACACTGTTTGGTGTTTTTGAGATTTTACTTGGATTGCCAACCTTAAACAAAAACAAAAACTGACCCTGCATCAATCTTAGCTTTCTGAAGAGTATACCTACAAAATATGTGGGGTTTTCAGATGCCTGTTTGTCGTACCCTTAATTTATATTTTTAGGCATACATTTTTTAAAAAATGTGAATAAACCCTTTGTTCATCTTCATAACAGTCTTTTAAGGTAGGTCATTTATTATGTCTATTTTAAAGATTGGGAACTGAGGCTGAGTGACTTGTCCAAAACCAAGTCAGTGTCACAGGTAGGACTTAAACCCAGCCAGCACAATCCTATTCATGTTTATTCCCAAAGAACTTTCACTGTGCTCACTGTATGGCACAAGTTCTCCAAACCCAGTTCTGTCAACTGGGGCTGTATTGGGTATCTGTGCATTGACATCCTGGCACAGGAGGGAAGCCAAGATGATCAAGGGTCTGGAAACCAAGCCCTATGAGGAACAGTTGAAGGAGCTGGGTATGTTTAGCCTGGGAAAAGAGGAGGCTGAGAGGAGATATGATGGCCATCTTCAAATATCTAAAGGACTGTCACATGGAAGATGGAGCAAGCTTGTTTTCTCCTTCTCCAGGGGGTAGGACTCAAACCAAATGATTCAAGTTACAAGAAAGGAGATTCCAACTAAACATCAGGAAAAACTTTCTGACAGGAAGAGCTGTTCAGCAGTGGAACAGACTCCCACAAGAGATGGTGGACTTTACTTCCTTGGAAGTTTTTAAGCAGAAGTTGGATAGTCATATGTCATGTATTATCTAGTTGAGATTCCTGCATTTTAAGCAGAAGTTGGACACAACATCATGATGGCTGACTGGGAACAGTTATGGACCACAGGTATGAAGTTTACGGCATGTAATGCCTTAAGAGAGAATTTAATGAAAATGATTTATAGGTGGTACGTGACACCAGTCAAGCTTGCAAAAATTTACCATCTGCCTGATAATAAATGTTGGAAATGTAATGAGACTGAAGGTACATTCTTTCACCTTTGGTGGACGTGCCCATGGATTAAGACATTCTGGGAGATGATCTATAATGAAATGAAAAAGGTATTCAAATATACCTTCCTGAAGAAACCAGAGGCCTTTCTCCTGGGCATGGTCGGCCAATTGGTGATGAAGAAGGATAGAACTTTCTTTATGTATGCTACAACAACAGCAAGAATACTTATCGCAAAGTATTGGAAGACACAAGATTTACCCACCCGGGAAGAATGGCAGATGAAGCTGATGGACTGCATGGAACTGGCGGAAATGACTGGCAGAATCCGAGACCAGGGAGAAGAGTCAGTGGAAGAAGATTGGAAAAAAATTAAAGACTATTTACAGAAACACTGTAAAATTAATAAATGTTAGAAGGATGCTGGAATGAAGTTATATGGCTTTAGCAGAAATGTTATAAAGAATTAAGTAAAAATAGACTGTTAATGGGCTAAAGGGGGAAAAAACAAGGTTAGATTGTGTTAAGATAAATTATAGGATAAAAACTGAGAAAGATGGAAAGGATTTGCTGAAATAGCTAACTGAACTAGAATACAAAAAAGGGAGGTGTGAGGAGGTCGTCGAAACAAGTAAATGAAAGACAAGATATGGAAATATGGGATGTGTTTTTAATTGATTTCGTTTTTTTTCTTGTTTTTGTTTTGTTAAGATAAGCAGTGTTTTTTGTTTTTTATGTATTGTATTGTATTGTTTTGCTTTGTTTAACTCTTCTTTTTTCTTTTTGTAACTTTTAAACTCTTAAGAAACATTATTTTTTTAAAAAAAGAGATTCCTGCATTAGCGGGGGTTACACTAGATGACCCTCCGGGTCCCTTCCAACGCTACAATTCTATGATTCTATTATTTTTCTTTTCTTTAATTTTTCTTTTCTCCCTATTCTTGTTGAGTCTGTTGAGGCATGCTTAGAAAATGCAACACTATAAAACAGATAATATGCAGATCCATTGTTTCCTTACTGAAAAACTGACTTCATTCCAATGTCTCTCCAACCCTGCCTTCCATCTGGGAGGCTACAGTGGCTCTCCAAGTATTATTAACTCCTATCTGGCCCAGCCAGCATAGCTCATGGTCAGATCCTGATTCAAATGACTGTTTGTTTTGGGTTCCCCCGCCCCCCATTTAAGTCCTTATCATAGCCAGTTGATCTCTGCTGCCATTCCAAAAAAAATAAAAAATAGGTTGTGTTAATTGAAAAACGTCCAAGTCATCAGTATTCTAATGAAGTACAGCTAACTGGGTTTATCTAATTTGTAACCTGTTCTCTTATTAGGCTCCCTGACCTTTATTAACTGTGTCAATGTGAAGTGGGGAACCAGAGTGCAAGACCTTTTCACATATGCCAAAGTCATGGCCCTTATTGTGGTAATAGCTGTGGGTCTTTATAAAATCACCCAAGGTAAGAACTTACTTTCTGTGTATAAATATGATAGCAAAACTGAACAGCATATAGACTCTGGGCTAGCTCATACTTTAATTCTGGGCTATTATTATTATTATTATTATTATTATTATTTTCGTCACGCATGAACCAAGTATCCCAAGTAAAGCCAGTGTGGTGTAGTGGTGTAGTGGTTAAGAGCGATAGACTCGTAATCTGGGGAACCGGGTTTGCGTCTCCGCTCCTCCACAGGCAGCTGCTGGGTGACCTTGGGCTAGTCACACTTCTCTGAAGTCTCTCAGCCCCACTCACCTCACAGAGTGTTTGTTGTGGGGGAGGAAGGGAAAGGAGAATGTTAGCTGCTTTGAGACTCCTTCTGGTAGTGATAAAGCGGGATATCAAATCCAAATTCTTCTTCTTCTTCAAGTATCAAGTGAGAAGTTGTTACGTGAAGCAGGAATATACACAGACACACCTTATAGTCAATGCTGGCAGGTTTGTGGATGCCATGACACATGATAAAGGCGATATGAAGCTACTTTCGTTCAGCATTTTCATGTAGGGAACATTCTGATTCTGTCCCTGTTTCCTATAAGCTACATATTGGTTGTGTGTAGGCATGTAGATGTAAATAACCGCAGGCTTCTGATGTCTCCACAGGAGAAACTGATAACCTCAAGGAGCCATTTGAAGGCTCCACAGCAGACGCAGGATTCATTGCACTTGCCCTTTACTCAGCTCTTTTCTCCTACTCTGGATGGGATACACTGAATTTCGTCACGGAAGAAATGAAAAATCCAGAAAGGTATACATGCCTGTCTTGGGTCATACCATTCTTGCATTAGGTGCCGAAGTTTTATGCATATTTCAAGCAGGTCATTGTTATTGTATTTCTAATGTGCCTCCCCTTTGGTTTACCCTTCAGTTGGTTGCAAATAACTGTTTCGTTTCCTTTTGCAGGAACTTGCCCCTCTCCATTGCAATCTCAATGCCCATCGTGACTATCATTTACCTGCTGACAAATGTGGCCTACTATGTTGTGCTGGACATGCCTGCCCTGTTAGGGAGTGATGCTGTGGCTGTGGTATGTTGCAAATCATGAATTTGTAGAATCGCAGAGCAGGAAGGGACCTCAAAGGACTTCTTGTTCAGCCCCTGCCAATACAGGAGGTTCACTGCTATAACATCCTTGATAGGTGGTCATCCAGCCTCTCCTTTAAAACCTCTAACAAAAGAAAGTCCACCATGGGCTCACCATAAGCTCAGTTGTAGTTTACATCATCTGCAGGGTCCAGGTTGTGGAAGGCTGGTTCTTGCCTTCCACTGTGTCATGTAATTCTACTCAATATTGATCCAGGGCAGATTCCAATGTATAGTTAGCAGAGTAAAAACATAAAAACACGTCGCAGGATTCCCAAAAAGTAGACCAGAGGCATTTAATGTTCCATCCAACAGAGCTTTACTGCTACTGAAGGCAAATGAGCATAATGGTCACAAATCCAATACATGCAGGATTGGCACTGTCCATAAGAAATCCAGTTGCAGCAGACTAAACTTAAACTTTAAAAAGGTAAAGGACCCCTGACAGTTATGTCCAGTTGTGAACGACTCTGGGGTTGCAGCGCTCATCTCACTTTACTAGCTGAGGGAGCCGACGTTTGTCCACAGACAGTTTTTCCGGGTCATATGGCCAGCATGACTAAGCCGCTTCTGGCGAAACCAGAGCAGCACATGGAAATGCTGTTTACCTTCCCACTGGAGTGGTACCTATTTATCTGCTTGGACTTTGATGTGCTTTCGAACTGCTAGGTTGGCAGGAGCTGGGACCGAGCAATGGGAGCTCACCCCGTCACAGGGGTTTGAACCGCCGAACTTCTGATCAGCAAGCCCAAGGCTCAGTGGTTTAAACCACAGCACCACCTGTGTTTCCCAACTTAAACTTACAATAACTTATAATAAGTCTAAACCTTAACACTAAACATACTATGTACAGAACACCACACCAGAAGGAAAAGAGAAAGTGAACCCAAGACTCCTCCTTGCCTATTATTATAGTCCGCATGACTATGACAGAAAGAGATAACAGAACCAGTTTAAGCCAGCTGTACTCAGCTTCTCTGAAGGAATAACCCAAACATCCGGAACCTTCTGCCTGTTTCTTTCACACAGAGAAGCTTCCAGAACCCTCTTGATTTAATTAGAATGGGAAAGATCTCTACTCATCAGAACAATACTTTCCATACTAAGAAATGCAAACTGACACACTGCCCACCAGACAACAACAAGGACTTTATTTGCGTAGCCAACAGGCCATAGCATCAAAGGACAAACACCGACAAAAATACATTACAAATATAGTTACCGTATAATCTTATGACCCACCAGTATCTGACAAAAATGTCAAAGTCTGCCCAAACTCTTTTTCTTTTCTTTTCTTTTCTTTTCTTTTCTTTCTTTCTTTCTTTCTTTCTTTCTTTCTTTCTTTCTTTCTCTGTTTATCTATCTGTCTATCTATCTATCTATCTATCATCTATCATCTATCATTCTCTCTCATGTGCACTCAAACTTCAGCAGCCAGGAAAACATGTCCTATTAGCATAACTGACTCCATTAGTGCAAACTGGCAATTTTAGTTGAAAATTATAATTACACATTACTACATATCTTGAAAGCATGCATTGGCATATGCATTAAACTGTCATTCCAAATGCCCTAGGCTTTAGGAAAGCATCTCTTAGCCAAATTAGATTACTGTACATTTTATGCCCACTTCTTTAAACTATTATAGGATTTAAGGAGTCAATGGGGGCCAACTCAACAATATTTTTGTGTTCAGCCGTTGTCTGAAACCCATAACTGTTGATCCACCAGATCCAGTCTGTTACTTAATATCCTGGATTGTGTGACCAGCTCATGTCCAGTTCTTGAAATAGTGGGAGACTTCAAACCGTTCAGGCAATTATACATGGAAAGTATTGTACATGAAGATTTGGTTGCAAGCAAGCCTAATATGCAAGGCTGTTGCAGAATAATAAATCTGGGGCCATACATCTGTACTTGTTGACTGAATGCACGTGTAGCTGATTTTCCCTGTTGTCTGCTTCCAGAGGGGTGAAGAAGGAACCCTTCCTTGCATCTTATAAGTATATTGCAGAGCATGCTACAGGATATACAGTTTATGTAATAATCTCCTCTGCTCTCTTGTACACAATTTAGGAGTTCACAAAATCCCACAGTGGTGATTAAATCCCACCACTGGGTTGTGATCAATCTTTTAAATACATATTAGTTTCACTTTCTCGTGTTGTTTAACCATCCACTCACTGGCAATTTAGCTGTGTGTGACAGATAACTAAAATATTATTAGTGTGGCTTTTAAAAAGCTGTTCCAAGATTATGGTGGAGCATTGTTGTCAAAAATGAGCTCACCCGACTTTGTGCTTGGGCTGTAAATTTCCATGACAGTTGGCTGGCATTGTGAAACTAGCTGAGTGAGCCTCTTTTCTTTTCTTTCTTTTGCAGACTTTTGGTAATGAGACTCTTAGCCATGCTAAGTGGATCATCCCTATTGCAGTGGCAATGTCTTGTTATGGAGGATTAAACTCATCAATTATTGCAGCTTCCAGGTATGTGGAATTCAGAAATTAGGACTGTGCAGATGGAGCCAGTAGCATTCTGCCAGAAATGATTTTACTGAATAGAGTATCATACTGCTACAACTTAGCGAAGCTTCTGTCGCTTTTTCTCTTATAAACTAAATGGATTGTGCTCCCGCCCCAAGAAAAATCCAGCAGTAAAACGGCTGTAAAATACAATTGAATGTCAGTTAACAGAGTCAGCTCTTACATCTGAGATTCTGCTGTGCAGAGCTAGTCAGTTTTAGGCATTTAATAACAAGGATTAATTGGGTTTAATTCAATTGCACCATAATAAATTATAAGAGGATACATAGCAGCGTGTATTCTGTTTATCTTTTTGAATTTCCTGTGTGAATTTTTTTAAAAACCTGTTCAGAACTCCAGATCCTCATTCCGCTGAAAGCTGAAGAGCTTAGAATACTGTTCATTGCATTTTTTAAAAAAAATACAAATTAATGGTAATTCTGCATACACTGGTAACTCAGCAGCATGGAAATGACATGAGAAAATGACATGAGACTGAAAAGGACCTCAAAAGCACACTGCCACCTGGTGGTCTACTTTAGGAATGCAGAAACCTTTTACAATGGTACCTCGGGTTACATACGCTTCAGGTTACATATGCTTCAGGTTACAGACTCCGCTAACCCAGAAATAGTGCTTCAGGTTAAGAACTTTGCTTCAGGATAAGAACAGAAATCGTGCTCCGGCGGTGCGGCGGCAGCGGGAGGCCCCATTAGCTAAAGTGGTGCTTCAGGTTAAGAACTGTTTCAGGTTAAGAACGGACCTCTGGAACGAATTAAGCACTTAACCCGAGGTACCACTGTATTGCCATGCCTAATTCCACTTAGGCCAAGCATACAGCACCAAGCAAATATTCTCTGATAAACCGTATAAACAAATAGCTCAGGAGTTCGGCAAAGAGTTCTGCTAGCGTAACAAGCTGTGGGATGCGAGTCCCCCTTGTCACCTTGCAGCAGGTATGGAGAACCATTGCCCTTTGCTGAACTACAATTCCCATCATCCCTGGCCATTGACCATGCTTATTGCGGCTCACAGGAGCTGAAGTCCAGCATCACCTGGAGGCCTAAGGGTTCCTCACACCTGTCTTGTAATGCTGATACCAGGGCTGGTGCAAGGCATTTTGCCGCCTGAAGCAAAGGAAATGATGGCCAGTTCCGCCTGGAGACGGGCAACTGAATTTCCCTTCAACACTGCCAACAGGGCAGCACCCTCTGCCGCATCTGAGGGCAGCAGCTTAGCGGGGAGGCGGGGGGAGGAGGACAGGCCAAGCATGGCACACACAGAACTCTTCCATCCAACACCTTGCCACCAATTCCTGCCCTCTGCATTTTCCGCCTCCTACAGTCTAACAGCAGGGCCGGCCTGGACTGAGACACATGAACATGTACCCTTATTCCTTTACCCTGCCCATGTTACACTGGTGCAATGAGATCCTACGCTGATTTTGAGGGCACATTTAGCCATTCCTTGCAGATAGCAGTGACTATGGGCTGATTCAGAAGTTGTGAGCCTGGTGAAGTTGTCATTTCCCTACGACCGGGTCCAGTAACAGGAATTGTATGGGATGGCTGACACAGGATCTCTCACCTTAGCACAGCAATTGTGGAGTAACCACTTTCCAACAGAGGAAAGTGTCTGGCACCAGAGGCGGTTTTAGGGTGGCACAGCCGGTGCGGTGGCACTGGGTGCCCATGCTGCAGGGGACGCCACAACAATGCTATAGACTGGAGCATGAGAGTTGGGGGGACAGATTTTAGCGTCGCACGGGGCGCTGCTTAAATTTGAGAGCCCCGAGTCTGCCACTGCTGGCACCTTCATCACACGGCTTTTGGCAAATGCTGAAGACGCGCCTCTTTATTGAGATGTACATTTTTAGGACCTGCCTCAGTTCTGTAAATTTTATTTTGAACTGTTCCTAATATTGTGTAATATTGTTTTTTAATATTTCTTTAGAGAGCCATGTCACGTATCACCTTAGAATATACTAGGACTGTGCACTGATAAGACTTTTTTAAACCTTGCGGCAGGCTTTTCTACGTTGGAGCCAGAGAAGGACAACTCCCAGATAGCCTGAGCCTGATTCATATAAAGTGTTTCACACCTGTTCCTGCACTCGTTTTTAATGTAAGTGATTACAAAGTGTAAGAAAGAAAAGCTCTAGGACTTTTAACACATTTTCATTTACAGTGCTACCTCAGTTTTCAGACATCTCCGTTGCTGAACATTTCGGTTTTTGAAGGCGCCTCAGAAGTCAAATGGCTTCCGTTGCGTGTTTCTCAATTTTCTCAATGAAATTTGCAGACCGCCCTTTTCACCTCGGTTTTTGAACATTTTGGAAGTCGAATGGTCTTCTGGAATGGATTACGTTTGAAAACTGAGGTACCACTGTATATTTGTTTTGTTCTGAAATTTACATTCAGTGCATTCTCAATCCTACCGGTACTGCATGAACTCAGCCAAGCAAACTCACTCTGTTCTTACCAGGCCAGTTCCTTGTTGTCATCCTCACAACTAAGAACACACTCATGGTAATAGCTAAGTACAGTGACTTTTGGATATTCCCATCCCTATTATACAATTCTGAAGGGGACCACATCATCGATTGTATATGCAGATCCTGATCACTCTGTGTGCAGTCTTGATTGCTGGATGCAAGCATCTGGCCAAGGGATCTGTTTATGTAGTGATCAGATGTGCAGGAGGACTCCAGTCTGCTTTCTTGTTGGATCAGAGGCACCTGTGACCATTTCCAGCGCTCTTTTTCTAAAAAAAAATGTTTAGGGATACTCTCATTTTGACTCAAGAAAATCACCATTTTATAGTTCAAATCGGGGGAAATAAATACAGTAAATGGACAAAAGTACAAAGATTCACAAAATGTTTAGTGGTATGCGTCCCCCTGCATCCCCCCAGAAGAAAGCACTGCCCACATCACAAAATATCATGCAACCATAGAAAAAGAAAACAAACTGTCAAAGGATTTAAAAAAAAAAGGGACAAACCCTTGGAAGGATTTAAAAAACTGCATGTGCTTTTGCAGAAGATTCCCAAAATCTCAAAAAGGTTGCAAAATGTTTTTGGCAGGCTTTAAAGCAAAGAACATTGTGTGTAGTGTGTTATCAAGTCTGTGTTTAGAATGTGGTGTTTAGGAAATTATATATCTCTCTCTTTTCTTTTTGTTGTCTCTTTATAGGGTTTAATGACTTTGATTTATCTCCTTGTGGAAGATGTCTTTCTGCTGATTAATTACTATTGCTTCAGCTATTGGTTCTTTGTTGGGTTATCCATTGCAGGGTTAATATACTTAAGATATACCCAGCCAGACAGGCCAAGACCCATTAAAGTAAGTAAATAGCAGAGCAGAAGCTTCAAAATGTGTGCATAGGTGTGAGTGCGTTGCAGCTTTGCTATCAAGAACATGTAGAATCACATTTTCTCATGCTTAAAACCCCTTTAAACTGTGGTGCAAACTAAATTGGTCCTTGATACCCATCTTCTCCTGATAGCATTGAGGCGAGAGAAAAATTCCCTGGTCAGACCATGACCTAGAAATATTCTGAGCATCAAGTACAGTTATTTATCTTTTGGAAGCTGCTCTGTAAATAGTGCTGCCGGCATCTCATGGAGGAAAGGCCTATTGATGGCTTCTAGGCATGATGGCTACAGTCTACTTCCACTATCATAGGCAAAAGTGCTTCTGAATACCAGTGACTAGCAACTGTAGGAGGGGAGAATGCTCTTTCGCTCTTCGCTCTCCTCTGGCATCTGGTTGGCTATTGTGAGAACAGGATGCTGGGCAAGAAGGACCATTGGCCTGATCCAGCAGGCTCTCTTTATGTTCAGCAGTGACATAGCTGTGATCAGGCATGCTATGGAGATTCCATTTTTAGTTATCATGGCTACTCTCCTGGGTTATCCTGCCTGAGTATTCATACCCCAGGACAGCCTTCCTCAACCTGGTTCCCTATGTACTGAAATCTTGAAAAACTTTATTGTCACTTGTACAACTTCTATACAGTGAGATTACATGGACACCCCCCACTCAGCTCTCTTAGTCTAAATTCCCTTCGTTTACTGATGCATACCCACCAAACCCGAAAGTCAGTTGCCTTGTTGTTATCTTTTCATTCAGCAGCCCAACAGCCCATGGATAGAAGCTGTTCTTTACCCTGTTGGTGGGACTAATCAGGCTTCTATATCTTCTGCCTGAGGGCAGGAGATCAAGAAAGTGCCGGCCAGGGTGTGAATCATTCCTGAGAATTTTTCTCATGGCAACGTTCTTCCGCTATTTCATCCAGCGGATTCATGGGACAGCCCATAACAGCTTGTGCTGTATTCACCACCCTCTGTAGGCTCTTCCTATCAGCTGATGTCAAACCAGTGTACCACACCGTGATCCTTAACTCAATAGTATTTCATCTGTATACTAGAACCTAGTATATTGCAATGTTAGCAGCTATAGAAATGCTTACACAAAATGGCGGGGTTGTTGCTGGCAATCACTGGCGGAGAGAGTGCTGTTGCATTCATCCAGCTTGTAGGATTACAGGCATCTGGTTGGCCACTGTGAGAACAGGATGCTTAACTAGATGATGTTATTATATGATGTGGTGTCATGCTGCAATTTCCCCCACAGCCTTTCCTATAACTTGCATTCCTCTTTTTATACCTGCAGCTCAGCCTCTTCTTCCCCATTGTGTATTGCCTGTGCACCCTTTTCCTAGTCATAGTCCCACTCTTCAGCGACACAATCAATTCCATTATTGGAATTGGTATAGCACTCTCTGGAATCCCTGCTTACTTTTTGGGAGTCTATTTACCCGTAGAAAAGAGACCTTGGTACCTGCGAAGGCTTTCAAGTAAGAAGCGTTTATTGTATTTAAAATGGGGGGTTTTGTTATGTACAGTGGTGCCTCGCAAGACGAAATTAATCCATTCCGCGAGTATCTTCGTCTAGCAGTTTTTTCGTCTTGCTAAGCAACCCTATTAGCGGCTTAGCGGATTAGCGCTATTAGCGGTTTAGCGGCTATTAAAGGCTTAGCGGCTTAGCGGCTTAGCTGCTAAAAGGCTATTAAAGGCTTAGCAGCTTAGAAAAAAGGGGGGGGAGCGGAAAAAAATCTCAAGACTTGCAAGACATTTTCGTCTTGCGAAGCAAGCCCATAGGGAAATTCGTCCTGCGAAGCGCATTGAAAAACAGAAACCCCTTTCGTCTAGCGGGTTTTCCGTCTTGCGAGGCATTCGTCTTGCGGGGCACCACTGTAATTGGAAGTACTCCGATGCATGCTGAACTGCTATTTAGGCAGCAATACATTATGGCTTTTAGTGGATTTTAAAGTATTTATGTCAACTCTTATCTAATAGTCATATCACTCATTATCCCAGGGGTAGCACACCTGGTTCTCTCCTGATGTTTTTGGACTGCAGTTCCCATATGACCCAGCCAACATGGCCAATGGTCAAGAATGATGGGAATTGTAATTCAACAGTATCTGGAGGGCACTACATTGGCTATCCCTCCAATATCACAACCCCCTTTGCAATGGCCAGATTGTCCTAATGACGGAAAGGACTGCCATGCTCACTAGGCTTTTGATATTAGGCAGAAACACCCTATATCAGTGAAGTTCTTAATTTCATAATGTCATATCATTGTTTTCTCTTGTAGCTACAGCCACTAAGTATGCCCAGATGCTGTTTTGTTGCTGTCTGACTGACCTGGATATTGAAACGGAGGCATCGGAAACCAAAGCCAAGTAGAACAAATTGGACTGTTTTCTCCACCTGAAGACTCCGGCGTCACTGGGACATGTTCCCTTTGTCCTCCTGAGCCATGCGAAGCCATGCACAACTGTATTGTGCATCATTTTGATGTTCCTTATTCTGTGCTGCACTCTTAGTCTTTCCTTTGTCTGATTACCAGTTCATGAGGATGTCTCCATGCTGATTCAATAGCTGGTAATTATACACTATTTGAAAAATAGAAGGTACATTATATAGGAACAAGCAATAAGTGCTAGGATTTCTTTAAGGAGCTCATTATAGATGTCTTCAGGTTGCCAATTGAAAGTAGAGGTCTGGGAAGGAAAACGTAAAATGATGTGAAGAGGAGGAACTAAAAATAAATGTATTTCCAACCTCAACCTTTCCCCCAAAAGGGCATAGGAAAAAGCGTCCATGTATTAAATTTTTAGTTCTAAGGTGCTGCAGGGCTGCAAACCTATGCCCAGGAGCCCAACTGAACTCAATGGGACTTCTGAACAGACCTGCACAGGATTTTGCTGTAAGACTTTCACACAGAGAACGTGCAAATTCATTTCATTCAGCGCTGGTTAAATCAAAGTAGTAACACTGCAGTCTGAATCTGTGGGGAACTGCATTGCGGCAATGGACTATCAAAATCGGTGGAAGGCTATCAATGATACAGCAAGGAGTTGCCCTGTGCTCTTGAACTGATCTTTGTACACCTGATCTTCAGATTCAGCACCAGTGCAGCACCTGCCATTGGCTGTGTTGCACCCGGTACATTGCCTTACTGCAGCAGTAGCCAATGTGGTGGCCCCCATCAAGTCCCACATCCCACATGGTCCATGGTCAGGGCTCTCGTCAGGCAACGACTGGAGGCCACCACACTGGTGACTTCTGCCTTAACCCCTTGCAGGACTCCATTGTGCTACAAAGGAAGGCATGTTCAGTGACGATCCAGGCAGTGTCTTCAGCAGAATGCAAAGCATTGTTGGAGAAGCACAGGTGTTCTGTTATGGATACAATTCTGTACTCAGGATTTATAATCCTCCTTGACATTTTTTTTTATTCCGAGTGTGGCTGAGCTGAGCTTGATGTCTTTATCCCACATGCCATGCTTAGGATTTTTCTTTTGCTAGATGTCTCTATACTACCACAGCTAAAGGAGCAAATTGTGCTGCCAGTGATAATTATCTGTGCCGAACAACTACCGCTTTTTCCTTCTGAATATACAATTGACTGAATAGAATGAACACAAAGCATAAACTGATCAACGTTTCCCCCCTTCCAGCCAAAGCATTTTATATTACAAGCAACGCATGTGGTATTTGCAGCAGAGGGTGACTGCCTGTTAAATATGCTTCTGTTTTGAATAAACTTGGGTTAAAAAATGATGTGAACGTTATCTAGAGATGTCAGAAATAGTTGTGCCAAAGGACATGCAGTCTTTGTGTTGTATCTTTTTTTCTTAAAAAATCAAAATTTGTAACTAAAAGTAATTTCTTTCCCCATCCCACCACAAACAAAACCACCCCAACTCACTTCAAAATTATAACTATCTTGATGAATGTTCCTTGAATATCTGCATGTTCAGAGAATATTTGCTAATTGACATCAATTACAGTCGATCAGGTATATGAAGACGAGCAGCAAAGTCAGTCCTCAGGGAATGTGCAGGCGACCTTGGAACGGACAGCTCACGGAAGAACCCCGACCAAACCTAAGAGGAGGCGTGTAGTGGTGATAGGGGATTCCCTACTGAGGGGAACAGAAGCAGTGATCTGTGGGCCTGACAAGATGTCTCGGGAAGTGTGCTGTCTCCCGGGCTAAGATCCAAGATGTAACTGAACGACTGCAAGGAATCATAAAACCCACTGACAAATACCCCTTCCTCTTGGTTCATGTGGGAACCAATGACACTGCAAGCAATAGCCTCCAGAAGATCAAAAGAGACTACGAGGCTCTGGGCAGGAAATTGAAGCAATTAAATGCACAAATTGTCATCTCATCTGTCCTCCCAGTTGAACGACGTGGCCCAGGGAGAGAGGGAAAAATAGTGGAAGTGAACAGCTGGCTTTGCAAATGATGTAAGCAGGAACGGTTTGGATTCTTAGATCACGGGCTGCAGTTTCTTGAAGATGGATTTCTGGCAAGCGATGGGCTGCACCTCACAACGGTTGGGAGGAATGTTTTTGCCAAAAATCTCAGAAACCTCATCAGGAGGGCTTTAAACTGACTAATGTGGGGGAGGGAGACAGTGCTCCTGAAGGTAGGAGTCTATCAATTGACGAAGATGATCATCCAAATGTCATAGACCAAATGGAGCAAATAGCACGCAGACCTAGTGGTGGGAGGAAAAAATCTTTAAATAAGAGACACGGGGGAATGATTAATGGACTTCAATGTCTGTACACTAATGCGCAAAGCATGGGAAATAAACAAGATGAGCTTGAGCTCTTGGTACAGCAAACTAAATATGACATAATAGGCATCACTGAAACCTAGTGGGATAAGTCCCACGATTGGAATGTAATAATGGAGGGATACAATCTATTTCAGAGAAACAGACCAGACAAGAAAGGAGGAGGAGTGGCGTTATATGTCAGGGATGTGTATACCTGTGAAGAGATCCAAGATTTAGAACCTCAAAGCCAAAGTGAGAGCATTTGGGTCAAAATTAAGGGAGAGAAGAATAACAGTGACCTCATTGTGGGAGTTTACTATAGATCCCCAAGCCAAACGGAGGACATAGATGATGCCTTCCTGGAACAGATGGCCAAGCATGCAAAGGGAAGGGAGATAGTAGTAATGGGGGACTTCAATTACCCGGATATTTGTTGGATGTCAAACTCAGCCAAGAGCATAAGGTCAAACAGATTCCTCACTGGCCTTGCAGACAACTTCATTGTCCAGAAAGTGGGAGAAGCAACAAGAGGAACAGCCATTTTAGATCTGGTCCTAACCAATGTTGATGACCTGGTTAGTGGGGTAGAAGTGGAAGGATCATTAGGCGCGAGTGATCATGCTCTTCTGAAGTTTACTATACAGCGGAAAGGAGCAGCCAAGCATACTAGGACTCAGTTTCTTGACTTTAAGAAAGCCGACTTCATAAAACTTAGGGAAGTGCTGGGTGAGATCCCATGGACAGTAATACTAAAAGGAAAGGGAGTTCATGATGGCTGGGAGTTTGTTAAGAGGGAGATAGTAAAAGCACAACGTCAGGCAATACCAATGAGACGGAAACATGGAAGGTGCCTAAAGAAGCCAGGGTGGCTATCTAAAGAACTTTTAACTGAGTTAAGATTAAAAAAAGGATGTGTACAAAAATGGAAAAGGGGGAACCACCAAAGAGGAATTCAAACAAATAGCCAGCACGTGTAGACACAAAGTCAGAAAAGCTAAAGCACAGAATGAACTCAGGCTTGCTAGACAGGTTAAAAGCAACAAAAAAGGCTTTTATGGGTATGTTCGTAGCAAAAGGAAGAACAAAGAAACAGTGGGGTCACTCAGAGGAGAAGATGGTGAAATGCAAACAGGGGACACAGAAAGGGCTGAACTCCTCAATGCCTTCTTTGCCTCAGTCTTCTCCGATAAAGAAAATAATGCCTGATCTGAAGAATTTGGAGCAAATGATTCAGCAGAGGAAACACAGCCCAGAACAACTAAGGAGATAGTACAAGAATACTTGGCTAGTTTAGATGTATTCAAGTCTCCAGGGCCAGATGAACTGCATCCAAGAGTATTAAAGAACTGGCAGATGTGATCTCAGAACCACTGGCAGTCATCTTTGAGAATTCCTGGAGAACAGGCGAAGTCCCGGCAGACTGGAGGAGGGCAAATGTTGTCCCTATTTTCAAAAAGGGGAAAAGAGAGGACCCAAATAATTACCACCCAGTCAGTCTGACATCAATACCAGGGAAGATTCTGGAGCAGATCATTAAGCAAACAGTCTGTGAGCACCTAGAAAGGAATGCTGTGATCACCAATAGTCAGCATGGATTTCTGAAAAATAAGTCACGTCAGACTAACCTGATCTCGTTTTTTGACAGAATTACAAGCCTGGTAGATGAAGGGAACGCAGTGGATGTAGCCTACCTTGATTTCAGCAAGGCATTTGACAAGGTGCCCCATGATATTCTTGTAAAGAAGCTGGTAAAATGCGGTCTTGACTATGCTACCACTCAGTGGATTTGTAACTGGCTGACTGACCGAACCCAAAGGGTGCTCATCAATGGTTCCTCTTCATCCTGGAGAAGAGTGACTAGTGGGGTGCCACAGGGTTCTGTCTTGGGCCCGGTCTTATTCAACATCTTTATCAACGACTTGGATGATGGACTCAAGGGCATCCTGATCAAATTTGCAGATGACACCAAACTGGGAGGGGTGGCTAACACCCCAGAGGACAGGATCACACTTCAAAACGACCTTGACAGATTAGAGAACTGGGCCAAAACAAACAAGATGAATTTTAACAGGGAGAAATGTAAAGTATTGCACTTGGGCAAAAAAATGAGAGGCACAAATACAAGATGGGTGACACCTGGCTTGAGAGCAGTACATGTGAAAAGGATCTAGGAGTCTTGGTTGACCACAAACTTGACATGAGCCAACACTGTGACGCGGCAGCTAAAAAAGCCAATGCAATTCTGGGCTGCATCAATAGGAGTATAGCATCTAGATCAAGGGAAGTAATAGTGCCACTGTATTCTGCTCTGGTCAGACCTCACCTGGAGTACTGTGTCCAGTTCTGGGCACCACAGTTCAAGAAGGACACTGACAAACTGGAACGTGTCCAGAGGAGGGCAACCAAAATGGTCAAAGGCCTGGAAACGATGCCTTATGAGGAACGGCTAAAGGAGCTGGGCATGTTTAGCCTGGAGAAGAGGAGGTTAAGGGGTGATATGATAGCCATGTTCAAATATATAAAAGGATGTCACATAGAGGAGGGACAAAGGTTGTTTTCTGCTGCTCCAGAGAAGAGGACACGGAGCAATGGATCCAAACTACAAGAAAGAAGATTCCACCTAAACATTAGGAAGAACTTCCTGACAGTAAGAGCTGTTCGACAGTGGAATTTGCTGCCAAGGAGTGTGGTGGAGTCTCCTTCTTTGGAGGTCTTTAAGCAGAGGCTTGACAACCATATGTCAGGAGTGCTCTGATGGTGTTTCCTGCTTGGCAGGGGGTTGGACTCGATGGCCCTTGTGGTCTCTTCCAACTCTATTATTCTATGATTCTATGACATCCAGTCATATTTGATATGTATGTAATCCTAGCTCATCCACTAACCCTGCTTCAGAAGGGTACTTTGGTACCTGTGGTTCATAGATAAGGTTAGATCATAGAGAATTTCAAAGCCTCGGATTCATAACACTGGGCAACAATTTTTTACTTTTACTTACTTGAATGTTGTCTAGATTTCTACAATTGATTTAGGGTATTTTTGCACTGCTGAATCAGGAAATGGCATCCGTTTCTCTCCATCAGGTCAGGTTTTTGTGCTATGTTGATTTGAAAAAAAATCAGATCTTGTGACAAAATCAATTACATTTTTGTGGCATTATCAGCTGGTTTTTGTCAACACATATCATCCTAAATATGTTTTTAAGAGAAAAAAATGTTTTTCCAACAACATATATTGATTACCTGATAGAAACATTGATTACTGTAAACTGAATGGTGGGCATTGATAAAGGTAAGTACACGTAAATTGCATGTTGCTTCACCATTTTTCAAACTTCAGGGCTTGAACTTCCGTTTCTTGGAACTCCTGGAATGCTCAGCGACAGGGAGGTCTCTCTTCAGAGTCCAACAGTAGTCAGCCATCATGACTGCGTCCCAGCGACCCTAATACCTGGTCTCCATCTCTTTCATGTCCTGATGGAATCTCTCCCCCTGCTCGTCACTCATTGAACCCAGGTTCTCAGGAAACTGGTCCATATGTGAAAATAGGTAGTGCATCTTGACGCTCATGTTGCAGCCCAGGTTTCTGAAAGCAGTCAGCATGTTGTTGACAAGTTCTGCGTAGTTTCTGGCCTTATTGTTGCCAAGAAAGTTCTTCACTACCAGAACAAATGCCTTCCACGCTTCCAGTTCCGCTTCGTTCACTGAGTTTCCGAACTCTGGATCTCTGATGAGCTGACGGATCTGAGGATCGTCAAAGATGCCAGCTTTCAACTTCTCCATGGTTAATCCTGGAAAAGCCTGGCACAAGTAAGTGAAGCAGTCACCATCCTTGTCCAGAGCCTTGGTGAACTGCTTGATTAAGCCGAGCTTGATGTGCAGCGGTGGGAAGAGTATTCTGTCTCTGTCCACCAGAGGGTCGTTGATGACGTTCCTTTCTTTGCAAGGCACCAATTCCTCCCGCACAGGCCAGTCCTTCTTCGTGTAATGCTGAGCACGGTCCCTACTATCCCACATGCACAGAAAACATGGGTACTTGGTGAAGCCAGACTGTTGTCCTAACAAAAAGTTCACCATCTTCAGGTCAACACAAATAAACCACTTATGCTGATCATAACCAATTTTCTCCAGCACATACTTCACTGCTTCATAGTTCTCCTTCAGTGTAGTCGAGTGAGCCAGGGGTATAGAGGCAAACTGGTTGCCGTTGTGTAGCAGAACACATTTCAGTGATCGCTTGCTGCTGTCAATGAACAGTCTCCAATCTTTGGGTTCGTACTGTGGCACTCCAAGCTTGAGCAGAAGCTGCGCAATATCTGCACAGTACACCAAGTCCTTCTCTTCCGAGAAAAAACGGAGGTATTCTTGATGCCTGTTGTGGAAGAAGCTGATGCGAGCAGTCAGAGAGGAGGTTTTTTCTTCAATCTGGATGCCAACAGTTCGGCAGAGTCCTTTGACAAGCTGAGGTCGCGAACTAGATCATTCAACTCCTTTTGGGAAAATGGATGTGGAGCATCATCTTCAAGAACCACTTCTTCTTCTTCATGTCCTTCAACACTGGAGGCATCTTCGTCACTAATGTCAGGAAGTTCTCCGAAGATAGGCACTGGAATTTCATCACAATGAGCTACAGGACGACGTGCTGATTGAAGATCAGGATACTTGAGGCTGCTCTGGTTCTTTCTGTTGATCCCACTCACATCAACAGCGCAGAAGTAGCAGTCAGTGACATGTTTTTTCGTCTCAATCCAAACCATGGGAATTCCAAAGTTCAGACTCCTCTTGCCATTGGTCCACCCACGTAGAGTCTCGGTGCATGCCTTGCACACCATGTGTGGCGCCCAAGCTTTATCCTGGTCACCAAGTTTAATACCAAAATAAGCATGGTAAGCAACTTTATGCTTTGCCGCACCAATTTATGGAAGATTTCGAGGTTTTATGACTTCAAACTGATCCCTTTTCGACATAATCACCCAGAACTATCGGACCTGAATACTTCTTGTCATTAAAATAATCATTTCCAATCAAAACAATTATTCGACATGGCATTTTACCCCCACCAACTTCTTCTAAAATGCTCCACACAAGCGTACATGTGAACAAAAACGTAAAAAAATGACATGTGGCCATAGCTCAAAAACTTGACCTGATTGAGCAAAACCAATGTGATTTTTGGATTCAGCGCATCAGATTCATCCTAAATCAACTGAAAAAACGCAGACAACAAATTTGTTGTTGACCAGTGTAATGAATGGTGCAGTCCTTCCAAGCCAATTGCTTCTGTGTCTCCCAACCAGAGGCTAAAATAAATCAGTAGAGTATGGAGTCCCACAGTAACTAAACCAGTCCCAGCAGGAACATACTTAAAATGATCACTACTAGATATAGTGTCAGTCTTCGTGGGAACAATATAGACTGGACTCCAGATTAGTCCTCATCTAATAGCATATTTGACTGACTTCTTAAGAAAGCTCACTGCTTCCCCCCCCCAACCCCCCCTTGAAGCTGCTTTAGCCCCCCACCCCCCATTATTCTTGTATTGTCTGAATGCCCTGAAGCTACTTAACTCCACTTTTTCCTCTGGCAGAGGATGAGGGAGAGCATCATTTGTTTTTTGTCCTCAGGTTTTAAAGAACAAATAGGCCCTGCTTATGTGGCCAGGGGATATGTGAAATCTAGATAAAATTAGCACTGTTGTTCTTTACCTACTGCCAAACATTTTACAATGGGGGAAGGTGTTAAAACAAATAACCGCTGCTGAAAAGTTTACTTTAGTTGTTCTCAGAGTAACACCAGGGTGTGGGAATAGGGAACTTTGAGTCATTCTTAAAGAAAGCGTTCTCTCAGAATGTTGGCAAACATGGAGAACATTTCATTTCCTTTGTAATAGAAGTTAAGTTGACTTTTGGGAAAAGATGAAAGGCAAATGTTGGCAGGGTAATAACTGACAGTGGCAGCCAAGACAGTGGCAGAATCAAATGCAGAGCGGCACAAATTCAGATTAGTGACACTCTGGAGAAGAACTGGGAGCTCATTTTGTTGCAAAAAAGAGGGTTCAGAAATGGCTTGCATCCAATGGTGACTGACTGGTAAACATTATATATTAGTACTTACACAAAAGATAGTTAGCATTCTAATAAATATTTATTTGTTTGTTTGTTTGTTTGTTTGTTTCATATGTGCAATGAGCTTAAAAGGAGAGTCCGCTACCTTCCAAGGGAATCAGTTCTATTGTCAAAACAGCTCTTGCTGATGTTTAGTCAGAATCTCCTTTCTTTTAACTTGAAGGAAGCCATTGGTTTGGGTCCAATCTTTTACAGCAGGAGAAATCAAGCTTGCTCCATCTTCCATGTGACAGCCTTTTAGATACAGTATTTGAAGATGGCTATTCTCTTTTACCAGGTTAAACAAACCCAACTCACTCAACCATTCCTCACAGGGCTTGATTTCCAGACCCTTGAAAATCTTGGTCACCCTCCTCTGCACATGTTCTAGCTTGTCAATATCCTTAAATTGTGGTGCCCAGAACTGGACACAGTATACCAGGTGTAGTCTGACCAAGGCAGAATAGACTGGTACTATTACTTCCCTTGATCAGGGCACTATACTTCTGTGGATGCAGCCTAGAATAGCATTAGCCTTTTTTGGTGCTGCATCACACTATTGACTCATGGTAAGCTTGTGGTCTACTAAGACCCCTAGATCCTTTTCACATATACTACTAGCAAGCCAGGTGCCCCCCATCTTATATTTGTGCAGCTTGTTCTTCCTACCTAAGTGCAAAACCTGACATTTGTTCCTATTTAAATTAGCTTGGGCCCAGTTCTCCAAACTGTTAAGGTCATATTGTATCCTAATTCTGTCTTCTGCAGCATTAGTTACCCCTCCTAGTTTGGTATCATCTGCAGATTTGATGAGCATCCTCTCAATTCCTTCATCCAAGTAATTTATAAAAACCTTGAACAACAACAAGCCCAGAACAGGAGAGGTGTGAAAATGTCTTCTTATCCATTACCATCCATTTCCCACTTGTAATAAAAAGTCCATTTGCAAAAGACAGCTATCTACTATTCTGGTTGGGTAGCTGCAGACAGAAAATAGCAGTTTAAAAAACCCAATCAAGGCTGAAGTTCATTTTATTGTAACCTATTAAACACTCTTCGATGCCCATAAATGTTCTTTGCTATATTTAGGGGGCCAGATCACCAATTTGCTTCTTCTAATGGTGTCGGTGGATGAAAACCTAGCAACAGGGCATACAAGTTCAAACTGCTATTGGAATAAAACCTGCCACCACTGGAATGAAATAACTTTCATTAGGGAGAAATGCATATTATGTTTTTATGAGCTGTCCCTTATCTCTTGCAGAAAGCTTTCATATTGCTTATAAAAAATGTGTCAAATGCAACACAGGAGTATTCTGAGTTTGGGGAAACCTCCTCAGCAGCAGAAGTAATTGCTAGGTGGAGAAATTCTTCTTCTTCTTCTTCTTCTTCTTCTTCTTCTTCTTCTTCTTCTTCTTCTTCTTCTTCTTCTTCTGGAATTTTAATAATCTAGATTTTCAAGATAACCTGCAAAAGAGAACCATAAAACAAATATGAAACAGATCAAAAATATCAGAAACAATGGCAATTATCATGGCAACAGTAAAAATACAAAAAGCAGTAGATATAAAATTAGTTAAAATCATGGGCATTTTTTTAAAAATGTCTTAGTAATAATAATAATAATAATAATAATAATAATAATAATAATAATTTATTATTTGTACCCCGCCCTTCTGACTGGGTTTCCCCAGCCACTCTGGGCAGTTTCCACAAAGACCAAAAATACACTAAGATGTCACACATTAAAAACTTCCCTGAACAGGGCTGCCTTAAGATGTCTTCTGAATGTCAGGTAGTTGTTTATCTCTTTGACATCTGATGGGAGGGCGTTCCACAGGGTGGGCGCCACTACCGAGAAGGCCCTCTGCCTGGTTCCCTGTAGCTTTGCTTCTCGCAATGAGGGAACCGCCAGAAGGCCCTTGGCGCTGGACCTCAGCGTCCGGGCAGAACGATGGGGGTGGAGACGCTCCTTCAGGTATACTGGGCCGAGGCCGTTTAGGGCTTTAAAGGTTAAAGCCCTAACTTTAATCCAACACTTTGAATTGTGCTCAGAAACGTACTGGGAGCCAGTGTAGGTCTTTCAAGACCGGTGTTATGTGGTCTCGGAGGCCGCCCCCAGTCACCAGTCTAGCTGCTGCATTCTGGATTAGTTGTAGTTTCCGGGTCTGAAATGTGGCTCTCCGGGCAACCCAGTCACATAGCAGCTTGTAAATAATAGTAATTATTATTAAGAAAGCCTACAGAGTGGCAAGGATATATAGAGAATGACCTCTGGTGCCAGACTTAACAAACAGGTAGGTTTCCTTTTTGAAAAAGAAAAGGGGGCACAGCTAAAATTTTCAATGAATATATCCCCTCCACAGACACCTCTGTGATGATGACGGTATTAAAATATCCTGTTGTTCTTCACTAAAAGAGAAAAGGGGAGACCAGATAGTATCAAAGCTATCTTTTTTGGAGATGCGCTTGATTAGTCACCAATGGTGTGTGTGGCATTCTGATAGAGCAATACTCCAGATATTATTAACCCAAGCCTCTATTGGTATATTAGAGGTTTCCTTCCATTGTTGTGAAAAGGAAAAGTGGCGGAAAGTAAGTGGCAGTGATTTATGCAAGCGCCGCTGAATCCTTGCCTGGCTTGGAACAATGCAAACACAAAACCAACACACAATAATGCAAATGTGGTGTACTAGAAGTTGAACCCACCGTGTTCAGTGAAGCTTACTCCCTAAGTAAATGTGTTTGGGACTGCAGGCTTAGCTGCATAGGTTTTTGCTCATTGTGGTTTTTGATTAACAGACATTTGATCCTTAGGAAGATGCAGTTATTCAGCCATTTATATTGTGTTAATCAATTTAATAGAAAATGATCCTTTGGGGGGGAAATCAAAAGTGCTTACCAATTAAAAATAGTGTCTATGGAAAGAAAGCAATGGTTTTGACCTTTCTACTGTTATTGAATGGTAAATAAAGGCATCTATTGTTGGAGCTAGAAAAATGTCTCGTCTGTAGTGGAAGGGATTTGTTTATGGAATGACAGTGTTCATTTCTATTTTTAACCAGGCTGCTTGTTTTTATGTAACTAAAGGGCCAATTCCTGCAATTGCTTTTGGGGTTATTTATTAATTTATTTTTAATTAAACATGAAGCCTTGCCACACAACCATATTATTTACACAATAAATCTGCTTCGCTAGTGCAAGATACAAGTATTAACACCTTTCCTTAGCAGCGAATCTACAATACTATGTTATTGTGCAATCTCTACTCAACAAACCAATCGATTGCAGAAGAGCCTAGACTACTTAATTTACTTTTCACATTGCTATCAGTCACCTTTTACATTATTTAATGTAATACAACCTTCTGGCTTCCCACTTGGGAGGAGGGAGCCTTGAAGCCAAGTTATTTAAACATTAGCCCGATCCAAAAGTCCTGTGCAAAGAGCCAGTCCTGACACTGACAAGGCTCTGTATGCTGGCTATCAAATGTATTCTCCCAGAGCCAAAGCATTGGTAGCCAAAACAGAATGTTGGCTCACTATTGGAGAGAAGGAAGAGGCCAGGAAATAGGGGATAGAATAGAATGCCCTGGAAAATGGCATGGCTTGAACACAGACGCACTCCACTGTGTCAACATTTTATAACGGGTCCAACTGGTTGAACCCTATTCGCCAATCTAAAATATGTGTGAAGATGACCCTATTAACCCTTAGACTTGAACAGGAAGATATAAGAGCAAACTAGTAAGTCCTTTTTTTCATAAATTGCTCAATTAAGATTCCATTAGGATTCATTCAATCCAAATTATTATCTTGAAACAAAACTTACAAGAAAATGTGTTAAAGGTTCTGTTTTTTAGGACTGATCAACCATAGTATTTGACTATTTGTGCTAGCATTTGTGTTTAAAGAGTAGGCTACAAATTTTACTGAAAAACAGTAATGAATAACGTTCATAGCCCTTTAGGTTTTTTTTTAAATGCCCTAATCTTAATACTTTTAAGTCCCATCGCTTTGTTGCTTATATTCCGTGTGATATAAAGATGAACAAATGCAGAGGAATTCACTGAACACAGCATATCCCTCAGGAACTTGCATGGCAGACTAAAACACTGCTGTTCTGTTTACAGCATTGGGAAAGGAACAATTAGACATTGAATCTAATAATCCCCCAGTACATGTGCCAGGAAATCAAATACACAGAGAATTTTAGAAAAAAGGATAAACTGTACTACAAGGGATAGTAGAATAATGGAATTATTCTTCACCAGGGAAGCATTTATATTCCCATGACTTATTTGCATTTAATCTTCCTGAATATAGGTTTGTAAAAACTCTTTTAATTCAATCAATCTTTATTTTTTTAAATAAAACAGGTTATGACCATTTCCATTGTGCAGCTGTGGTTCATTCAGCTACCCTCCCATACTACTGGTCACTAAAACATACAAATTTTGGTTACCTTGGCCTCCTTGCCCTGCTGCCGAAATCACACAACTGCCTAACTTGCTTTTTACCTTATTTGCCACTGCAGCTGATGTCAGGAGTGAGCCAGCAGTAATCAGAATAAGTGAAGTCAGCTCTTTATGAGAAAAAAAACAGGATCTTCACAGGGGTTCCAGGCCTAATGAACACAGCAACTCTGCCTAAGTCCCCTCCTCTCCAGGGTTTCCCCTAAGCAATCTGAGACTGCGCCTGTGTGCCTTTGCTCCTTTCACTTCATGCCTCTCTTGGTCCTGGGAGACTGGGGGAGAAAAGGAGCATGTTACAGGAGAGGGAGACGTGTGCTTCTATACCAGCCTGACTTATCTCTACCTCTTGGCCTCCCTCCTCCCCTGCTTCTTCTGGACTTCTCTCTGACACAAGACTTTCCCAGCTCAGTTACCTCTTCAGCTTCTGACATGTTCTTCCCTGTCTTCTTTCTCTGACCACTCATTGCCATTCCACCACCACTCCCTAGGCTTTGAGCCTTCTTCCCTTGGAGGTTCCTCAGCTGGTTCCTCCCACCATTCCACTGCATCCAACCAGTCCATGACATCTGAGATGCTTTGTCAGGCAGGGCTACCCTCTTGCTTGTAAAATGCTAGTATAATTGGTTCGTTATTTTGTCACTGATATACAGATGATCCAGGGAAGATGCAAATGTGATATTCTTCGGTGGTGCTAATAGTTTTGGTCAAGAACTGGTGCTGGTTCCTAAATAATTGTGCATCTAACAGATTTTTCCTCACTAGGATACAATTTATTTAAAAAGCTCACGATCAATGCTAAATTTTACACAACCACCTTGTGATTGGATGATTGCATCGCTCCGAGAAGGAAAAAAGTTAGGGAGATCAGGATTAAAATGGGGGGGAAGCCATTACCAGCAGTGGGATGTTCTAGAAGTTCTCTGATCATTGGTTTGGCACTTGGCAGAATAGTTAAAGCTTCTGTAATGGGTATACTTTTGTGATTATCTCTGCACTAATACGTGCAAGACAGCTGAGGAACTCGCAGCAGCCCAGTGTCTTTGACCCACACATCCTGCAGGAAGTGGTGGAGTCAGAAATGGTGAGAGTTGGTGGGGAACGCAACCTTCACCTTAAATGCTGTTTCCTCTCTCAAAGGTTCAACTAAGTATCATCTGACACATGTGGGACGAAGTCCCACTGACAACCCAAATTACTTAGTGGAAAAGCACTGACTGTTAATGATACTTCAGTTGATTTCCATCCCCCACCTCAGCACTTAATAGCTGGGAATGAGGCACAAGATGTCAGGCAGGGGACATTCAGGACCCAGAAGCCCAGGTGCTCTCTCATGGAGGCTTCCACCTGCCCAGGAGGACAGTGGGAAAGAGATAAAGGTGCATAAAAGATCCTTTAGGAATTACAGTATAGGGACAGCACTACTCAAACGGTATATAAATTTATTCATGCATGCGACTACAGCAGCAAGAATTTTACTTGCCCCAAAATGGAAAGACATCCCAGGGTAAGAAGAATGGATACAAATGCTTATGGAATATGCAGAAATGATGAAACTTGCCAGAAAAATAAGAAATCAAGATAACAAACTTTTTATAGAAGAATGGAAATGGTTTATTGAATGTTTACAAATAAATTGTAAACAGAAAAGAACATTAGCAGGATTATTGTAATAACCTGCAGTTTTTATGAGAGTATACATTTAAAGCAAATGAATACATTTCATTTCATTCAAAAGAGTATACATTTAAAGCAAATGAATAAATGAGAAAATGTTAATTTGGAATATGGAGGAAAAAAATTTAAGGAACCGCAGAAAGGGGGGAGGAGAAGTCGAGTTTTGAAATGTTAAAATGACTGTAAAATTATTGAAATGTATAAAACTGAAAATCATAAATAATATGGACCACCACTTCAGCTGTAAAACTACAGCAGCAGCAGTATTTGCACCGGCTCCCTCAGGCTCGGCGTGCCTACACGTAAGAATGTTGTTCAGAAATGGGGAAGGGGGTGTTGAAAAGAAGAAGCGTGTAGAGAGAGACGGTGACATCCGGTCGAGTTTATTTTGGGAGGGACAGAAGCTAAGGAAACTGTGCCACTTATGGAAACCAACGAGGCGTCGATAAACCCCGATGCATCCCCCTCCCCACTTTCGACTCCCTCGCGACCTCGTTATGTGCGCGGCGTATCTACTGCGCAACCCCCCTCATTTCCCGCTCGCAGCCGACTTTCATCTCTTATCACATGGTGTCGCCGTCAAGCAGCAGCGGCGGCCGTTGTTGGGGACAGCGGTACTCCTTTCCCCGCCCCCCTCGGAGTAGCGGCTCCTCCGCCGAGGACCGCGAGGAAGGCGTTGGCGGGGGGCTGAGGCGCCTCCCTCCCCTTCCTCCGCCGCCGCCGCCGCCGGTGCCAGGCGGAGGCTCCTCCCTCGCTCCCGTGTGACTGGCCTAGTGCCGCATGTGAGGCAAGAAGGCGGGAGGGAGGAGGAGGAGGAGAGGCGCCCGGCCGACAGCGGCCCCCAGTGCGGCGGCGGGAGGGAGAACAAGAGGCGGCGGCGGAGGAAGAGCAGCAGCAGCAGCAACGGCCACATCCCCCATCTGCCGCCGGGTGACCCGCCGCCTCGACGCTTCTTCTCTTCCCCCTCCCCCTCCCCACCCCCGTTAATCCCTCATGACGGTTTGGTGCTGCCGGTGTTCCCTGGCCGGTCACTTCAGGTAACGCTTATTCGCCAGGCCGGCCGAGGGAAATAGGTTTGTGGGTCAAGGCGGGGGGGGGGGGAGAGAGAACGGCGGGGGGGGGGGAGAGAGAGAGAGAGAGAAAGAAAAGGCGCCTTCCATCCTCCCCTTTCTCTTCCGGCTCCTCCCTCTCCTCTCATAGCCGGCGGTTGACGCGATGTGGGAGTCCGCGCGGGATGCCTTCCTGCCCGCTGCTGTTCCTCCTCGGTCGGCCGGCCTGCGCTTCACTGAGGAGGAGATGGAGGACCGAAGGAGGAAGGTCACGGGGTCGGCCGGGGGCGCGCGCGCGCCCGCCCGCACTCTGTAAGCGGAGGAAGGGAGAAGGTGAGGTGCTTTGAAGAGCATCCTGGAGGCGCGACTTGGGTGGTGGTGCTGAGGAGGGAGGGAGGAAGAGGGGAAGGTGTGCAAGATGAGGTGTGTTGCTGGCTGCTGCTCCTAAGGAGGGAGGGAAGGGAGGAGGCAAAGCAAAGGCCCACCCAGAGGAGCCACACAAAAAGGAACATCACCTCTCCATAGATGATGATGGCGGCGGCGGCAGATTTCTGAATGGCCAAGATGGGTCGTGATTTGAAATGTTGTTGCATGACGAGCAGGTAGGCTTGGAAATCGCCTCTCTGCAACACACATGGCATTTATGTGCACACATGGTTTTGTGCGTGTGTGTGTACACATAGGGGGTTGTGGGTGGCACTGTGGTCTAAACCACTGAGCCTCTTGGGCTTGCCATTCGGAAGGTCAGTGGTTCGAATCCACACAACGGGGCGAGCTCCTGTTGCTCTGTCCCAGCTCCTGCCAACCTAGCAGTTCAAAAGCACACCAGTGCAAGTAGATAAATAGGTACCACAATGGCAGGAAGGTAAACTGTGTTTCCGTGCGCTCTGGCACTTGTCATGGTGTCCCGTTGCGCCAGAAGTGTTTAGTCATGCTGGCCACATGACCCAGAAAGCTGTCTGTGGGCAAACACTGGCTCCCTCGGCCTGAAAGCGAGATGAGCGCCGCAACCCCATAGTCGCCTTTGACTGGACTTAACCGTGCAGGGGTCCTTTATATAAACACACACAAACCACCTCACTTCTTCGTGTATACAGTATATTTGTATTCTATCTTTCTTCCATGAATAAAACAGCAAAAGAGGCTTTGGGCACTTTAAAAGACTTAACACATTCAGTATGGTGTAAGCTTTTAGAGATGAAGGTACGCTTCACTTCTGGAGATTCTTCCATGATGAAACTAGTTGTAGTTAAGATTCTTTGCAGGTCTACCATTGTTCAGGCACTGATCATCCCCATTGCTGCTTCACTTTAGTCTTTTAGTTCTTGAGACCATTCCATGAAACAGTATATGGACTGGGAATTTCCGTAGGCATGTCTTTAATGTTGGGTGGAAGAGAAAAGAAAAATTCCTTTCTGTTCTTGGATTTTGATTAAATATTACAGTTGCAGGCTAAATTTATGGATATAGAATGGAGCAAAGTGATACTTTCTGGTAGTCAACTGGTAAAAGAATGTCTTCAGAAAGTTAGGCTATCCTAGACTTCAAGTCCCAGACTATCGTAGAGCCATAAATAATTTTACCCAATGCCCATAACTCCTAGCCTGTATCTCTGGAAATTTAAATTGATGGGTAAATAGTAGGTCAACTCTGAAAGGGTGTTGAATACCTCATCATGGTTTTCTGATTTTTGACAAATTCTATAGGGATCTTTCTGATGTTACCTAGTAGCTGACACTACCCAAAAAGAGTATGCAGTCATTTGTTTTGTTGGTTACAGTGCAGCCTTTGCATTTTAGTTTCTGCTGTAATTTCTGGTGGTGTTTGGTGTAAGGTAGCTGGCTGGAATATTTGCTAGTGCTATCATGCTAATTGTCTTCTTGGCATAAGCAAGCATAACTTAACTGCCATATGTTTAACAAACTCTTTTAAACAGATGTTGTGTTATGTCGTATCCTGTATTTTAAATATCTGAACATATTTCCTGTGAAGATGAATGTGTAACTGTAATAGACTGGTATAGTGTAGAAAAGGTGTTATTGATGCTGGTTTTTACTGGTGTAAGAACAGAATGAGAGTCCTGCTGGAGCAGACCTGGGGCCCATCTAGTTGTGCATCCTTTTGTCCACAGATGTCTGTAAAAAGCCCATAAATACTTTTTTCCTTTAGCCTTTAATGTAGATTACAAGGAAGGACAGGAGAAAAAGGTACACTTGTCAGCGTGCAGACATTGTGGTTTTGCAAAACAACATTGCTTCCTTTAGTTTTTAGCCACAACAGAGATGTGGGGAACCTATTAAGCTTTACTGAGATATATTCTGTAGTAGAGTACCGTAGGTGCCTATATTTAAGCCATTTAAATGACCTGATGGTTGACAGCAAGCATAGAATTAGTTCCAATTATCCATGGTTTCTATTATTTTAACCATGAATTTGCCACATGTATGGCACTGCAGGGTTTGTCCTAAGCTTAATCTGTATCTTTAGCTGCATATAAGTATGTTTGCATGCATGAATGTCCTGTGTGATTTTTGGTTCCAGGGAGGCAGACAACTGTATTCTGGATGAGGTTACATGAGCTTTACCAAGGAAAGGAAAATGCTTGAGGCTGACATGTGCCAACTGTAGGACTGTGCAAAAGCAGCCCTAGAGCCAGCAGTGCCTACTTAAATATTAGCTTAGAGGTGGATTTGATGGGAAATACAATTAGTGTCAGAGTTGGCAGATTCCTGGATTGTAGGAGGAGGGAGGGAACCAACTGCAGAACTGTACATTTCCATTCAAATTCTTGAGGAAGCGCTTGCATTGCACTTAGATTATGCAATGACTTATTCTTAGAAGCTATTTTGGAATCAATTCATACATTCTTCTTAATAAATATTTTGGTTTCGATCCAAAGATCCTTTGAGTGGCACTCAGTTCATGAGATGCTCGCTCTGGTGGAAGGGAGAAGGCAATTTTTTTGCTGATTCCCCTTGCAGCTGCCCCACAAAAATGTGCCCTGGAGGATTCAGGAACCATCTGAAAGGTGTGGGGGAAGGGGAAGTCAGCAAAAAACACCTCCTCCCTACTACCAATGGGTGCGTCCTCTGGGTTCAAAACACAAATAGAAGGAGCCTTCTGTAGAAGAGAAAGTAAGGATCCAAGTCACAAACATTAGTTAATATATCAAAAAATTAATGTAGATTTGTAGACATTTAAATGTATAACCAGTTACCTCTGATTATTATAGAAATTGTATCAGACAATTTATTGTAAAAGAAATCTGTGTCACTCAACATGCACACTCGTCTGTCCTTTTGTAAACGTATATGGACAAAAACCCCTACTTTTTCCTTGCAGGGTTCCAAAATAGCAGTATCAGTTTAGGAAAAGGAAAAGTGGATTTGCAACTCTGAAATTTTCCTAAATGCTGACAGACTTTCTTTTGCTTATATATCATCAGGCCAATGACTTTATATTAACTTAAGTTTATTTTATTAAGAATGTGTTGTAGTGATGAACTGATTTATTTCCTTTTAAATAGAAACTACTGTAGTCCTGAAACCGAAGGACACTTTTTGAATTCCTTAGTGCAGTATTTTGGTGACAGCTTTGGAACAAATGTTAAAACAATGCCCTTACTAGAAGAAGCTACTCTACCTGTGGACCCACCACTGAGTTTGCCAGTGGTAGTAATAGGTGAGTTATTCTCAGAATTTCAGTATATGAATAAGAATCTAAAATATTGAATGTGTTTGAAATTTATTAATTATAATTTAACAACCTTGCCTTATCACAGACTGCTTATTAAGTTGTGATATAATTGAGAGTTCTAGTTATCCTATTATACAGGTATATTGTGATTTGATGCTGTTGGAAAAATATTTGAGCTATAATGGTTTCCTCCATAACTGGGAAAAAGATAATGTTGTATAGTAGAATAGGAATTGCCAAAGTGTACCTCCTTGTCACTGAATCTAGCCCTTTGGGGCCCTATATACCCATTACATGCAACCTGGTCATGTCTGTGAAGGAGCAGCTGCTCTAATGCTCGCTTTCCTCTCCCCTCCCCATTTCTTTTTCATTTTGTATCATGTCTATTTGATTTTGAGTCTAGCAGTTCAAAAGCATGCCAGTGCAAGTAGATAAATAGGTACCCCTGTGGCAGGAAGATAAACAGTGTTTCCGTGTGCTCTGGTTTCTGTCATGGTGTTCCATTGTGCCAGAAGCGGTTTAGTCATGCTGGCCACATGATCCGGAAAGCTGTCTGCGGGCAAATGCCAGCTCCCCCGGCCTCAAAGTGAGATGAGCACCACAACTTCATAGTCGCCTTTGACTGGACTTAACTGTCCAGGGGTCTTTTTGTATCTGAACGGCACTTCAACAAAAATTAAGCACTTTTTAAAAAGTATCTAACAACAAGAACATAGAAATTCATGTAATCAAAATGAGAGGACTCAAGCACCTCCACTTTTTAGGGAGAGTAGAGTGTTTCATCCTTAGCTGTTTTTCTGTTTCCAGTTGGCTGCCCCTCCTACTTTGGGTCGGGGAGGAAACAACTTGGCAAAATAGCTTTGTCTCCATATTTGGTGACTGAGAGAATATCTGTAATTGGGACTTATTAAAACCATGAAACAATGAAACAAATTTTTTGTTATACAGTAATTGGAATAATATGTAGCCTGTAAAGATGTTGGATGTTTTATATTAGATGTTAACCTAGAAGTGAAAGTGGTTTGGATTATACTGTTGAAGGAGGAAGTACTATTATTTTACGATATCTGAAGCTCTGTGCTGCCCTAGGATCAGTTTCGGTGACATGATGCTATGCAAATATTGTTCCAAAGTGCTGCAGATGGTTTTTCTGCCTTTTCACAACACAAGGTATCTCATTGCTAGGAAAATAGTCTTCCCCACCCACCCATAACACTCCTTCCATTTACCATAGCAACAAACTTGTTTTGTAAAAAGTAACAAAATAAATAGTAACACAGATTTGTAATCAAATACAGGTTCAAAGCAATTACATTATCAACAACTAATTACCTATAAACTAGTTAAAACTATATTATATTGTGAAATATAATATAGTATATTGTATATCAGCACAAAAAGCTGTCAAAAAGCCAAGAAACTTCACATTAAATGAAAAAGTAATCTGGCTCCACTTTAACAGTAAAAGTAAAATTTTATTTTACATGTCTGATTATCTAGCTAAATCAGTGATCAGAATTGAGGTAATATACTTGGCAAATAATATTCTAGACTATATCTGCAAAAATACTAGGCATCCTATAGCAAAAGCTGAGCTCTTTTAAATTCCTTGATCGCAATGAGGGGGAGATAAGCATGTCTTTGACTTTCATGGCTTAAAGTCTTGGTCATTATCTTGGTCCAGATTACAAGATATAATTTTAAACTTTAGTAAATCTTATATCATTTTTAAAATACCATTAGGTAATGGACCATCGGGAATTTGCCTCTCATACATGCTGTCTGGATACAGGCCATATTTGTCTCCTGCAACAGAACATCCAAATCCTATTTTGCATAATAAATTAAAAGAATCTAGTCATCTTTCTATTGTTGATCAGGTAAGCTACCACTTACAAAATTACACATTTAATTGTATATCAGGACTGGAAGAAAAGTGCATTACATATATAATATACAATTACATATTCTTAGCTTGTGAACTAAGGTCTAGCTTAGTTCACATTTCTGGTGTGCATCATGGTAGAAGCAAAGTATTCTGCTTTTCTCAGGTTTTTCAGTGTCAAATAGGACTTGAGGATCCAAAATGCCAATTTTTTTATGATAATCCTGTGTATTTAAAATATAAGAACTGCCTCCAAAATATATCTTGTTTGGCACTCTGCCTCCGACAGCAAATGTTTCCAGAAAGTTCTCATTACCAAACCTGGTAATGAGAAATGTACTATATCTAAATACAGAGGTCCAATGTTTAGGCATTGTGTCAAATAACCATTAATATACCTGTGTTCCATGAACAACAGACTTGTATCACCTTAAAGACTAACAGATTTATTTTTGCAGGAGCCCAGAAAAGGGAGATCTGTGACCCTCCAGGTGTTGCTGGACTACAACTCCCATCATCCCTGACAATTGGCCATGCCAATTGAACTCTGACAAGAGTCCAATAACACCTGCAAGGCCACAGGTTGTGAACTTAGCTGATGGGGTTCAGTATACATCACTCTAATGAGTGATATGACAGAGATGAGCAATTGCTGAAAATGGTTTTAGGCATCATGAAGCCCACTTGGACTTCCCCAAATGATTAGTCTCTTTATCAATTCCTTGTATCAATTGCAGCTCAAACTTGATTCCATTAAAATCATTCCCAAGGGTTTAAGTGTGTAATCCGTGGGGAGAAGCCAGATGACATAATGAAACTTGTTTGCACTCATTGTGATCAGGAAACCAAGGGATAAAAGCAAACAACTAATACAAGTTTGGTACATCTGATATCTATATATAGCCAGGCCTGAGAAACATGGTTTACCGCACATTATTTTATATTCTAAGGGAAAGTTACATTGCCATTTAAAACTGTCTTCTCAAATTAGGAGTTGGAGTACTTGGCGGAAGGTCTAGAAGGACGCTCTTCGAATCCTGTTGCAGTTCTCTTTGACACACTGCTTCATCCTGATGCTGACTTTGGATTTAACTATCCACCTGTTCTTGACTGGAAACTGGAACCAGAGCACTATATCCCTCATATGGTGCTTGGCAAAGGACCACCTGGTGGTGCTTGGCATGTGAGAACTTTTTCCATTTTGTTGTTGGAACCACACTTGATCAGAGAACTTCAGCTTACATGTTGGCTATGGGAACAATGGGTATCTACCTCACATTGTTCCTGATTGGTTGTAAGTCCTGTGGCATGTACCCATTTCAGGAGGTTCATGTTTTGGCGCTGCATCATGGGGCGTGTCTTAGTATTTTAAATGAATAAACCAATGTGTAAAGAATTCCCAAAAACTTCACATACTACATACCTATTTTGTAAATGATCTTTGTTCTCACTTCCAAAGGCTTACATTTTTGTGCTTGCCTTTTGTAGAAAACTAGGTATGCGTTACACTCTTTGTATTAGATTTTATGGAGGTATATACGTTTCTAAAAGGATACGTTACACCCCAAGAGTGAAGTTACATCACTTGATTATTTGGGCCAATACAATGATAATATAGCACAGACCATTTATCACCTTCCCACCCCCCAAGAACTATCACCCTGCACAATTAACTGAGGGCATTTTTAGTAATATTTTTTGTGAATATTGTGGGGCTGCATAGTTGGAAAAATAGACCATGGAAGGCTAGAAATGAGGCCAAAGGCTGTAGGCTACCTGCTGTAGGAGATTTCCTCCTGACTTTATTTCCTTAGCTGTAATGTCTAGTGTAATTTGCTGTCGGGATCCTCTGGATCACTTGGGGAGTTCTCATACCAGCAGCAGATGTTGGGAGTTGAAACACCATGCTGTCCTGAAGATGTGCATGGCAAGTTGTCCCAAACATTACAACTGGAATAAGAAGAGTTGCCAAGTTGAAGCTTCTGCAAAGCAGATAATATAGCACATAGGCTGGTCCTTTAGAACATGATTCATGGGATCTTTTTTCTGTTTTTTTATGAAATGAAGGTGGAATGAGATGACCTTAAGCAATATTTTAAATATTTTGTCCTGGTATTATTTTCTTTTCCATAGAATATGGAAGGTTCCATGCTGACTATCAGTTTTGGAGATTGGATGGAATTACCTGGATACACATTTAAAGACTGGACTGCTACCAAGCGAAGGTGAGGACTGTAACATTCTTGTAATGACTGATGGGGGGGGGAATTGCTTCTGTCAGTGGATGGAGAATCAAAAGTTTCAATGTTTCTGTGATCTGTTTTTCAAAAGTACAAGAAGCTCTTGTACATGTAATTTAATAATGCTAACAGCTTGTAAACAATGGGCTACCATTCTGACACTTAAGCTTAAGACATTTGACTTAATTTAATTCATAGATTAGATAACCAGGGCTGCTGGATGAGATGGGACACCGAAGAACCGACTGCCAAATTTTCTGCCTCCCCTATTTTTGAAAAGCTCACATACTCTCGGCATTGACCTCTGTGTTTTTGAGAATTCAGTGATCAACTTAGCCTAGCATGTTTTGGCTCAGTTTAAGTACTTCTCATAATTGTGAGCAAAGGGGTACCAGTGGGTTCCGCTGAATGTGGTAAAAATCCATGATTTCAGAATTTAAATCTGAACTTAGCTGCTCATGATTTAAAAATTCCCTCTTGGGCAGCAAATTTAGGATTTTTTTTTTTCTTTGTTGTACATTCTATAGACTCTCATTTGTTGTTTTTTTGGGAAAACTATATCATATTTTCCCTGAGACCAAAGCTTCTGTTACTACATAATTCTTTAAATATGTTTGATGCTTGCATTCATAGCTAGATTGTACTGCCAGTGGTTTTCAGACTTGTATGTTTAAAGAGCTAAGTAAAAATAATAAACTAGCTTTTTGGGGTTCCTGGGGTAGGACATCAGGTATATGACCTCACATTGTTATATATATTCCATATGATCTACAGCCCTTCCATTCAATACAGGGGCTGGAAATGTAAATACTATCTTAATTGCAATATGGGGTTGATTGACAGGTGCATATGCAAAAGTCAGAAAAGAGTTTGAGCCATCACTCACAAATGTCTGTGCCTTGCTTGGAACGTCATGCTTTGAGAGCCACTGTCTGCATCTGCGCATAACAGAAAGCCAAGAATCTTTGCTTAACAACCCATACTATACTGAACTCAACAAGGATGCAGGACCACCATTTCTCCTGCTTCACTCCTCCCCTGTGTGAGCAGGGAAACAAACCAGGAAGATGATAGCTTAGCATTATGTCCAAACTCGTGTTCATAGGTTTATTTTGCCCTAAAAAGCCAGGATTCATATCTCAACAACAAAGCATACATTAATGCTGGTTAACCATCCTGGCTTGTTGGGGCAAAACAAATCCAGTATAAGCAGGGAAAACATTTCAAAAAATAAATCATGCCAAAAAGAAAGAACAAATGTACTGATCTAATAGAAAAGCTGAAAATTCTTTCTGTAGCAATCTGACCTGAATATGGCCGTACAGTCACATTACAAGTTTAAGGAGGTGTTCCTGTGGTGAATATGAACAGTAAACTAAATGTGAATAATCAGATTTGATCTTTATCTTTTTCAGAAATATAAAGTGTGACAGAGTTCTGCCAGAGCAAATTGCTAGCTATTACAAGCACTATGTTAAAGTCATGGGCCTTCAAAAAAACTTCAGGGAAAACACGTACATAACGTCTGTCTCAAGGCTTTACCGAGAACAGGACCATGAAGATGAAAGTGAAGTGCATGAAGATGTTTTGCCACAACATTTGCAACTGGAAGAGCAAGGTGGACAAACTATACTGATCAAGAGAAACTGGGAAATCAGAGGTTATCAGAGAGCAGCAGATGGCTCTCATGTGCCATTCTGTTTGTTTGCTGAGAATGTTGTTCTTGCCACTGGAACTTTTGATTCTCCTGGCAGACTCCAAGTAGAAGGTGAAGACTTTCCTTTCGTTCTGCATTCCATATCTGAGTTTGGTGCTGCTGTCGACAAAGGAATATTATGTGGGAAAGCAGATCCAGTCTTGATCATAGGTGGTGGACTTACAGCGGCTGATGCAGTTCTGTGTGCTTATAACAACAACATCCCTGTAATTCATGCATTCCGTAGGAGGGTTACTGATCCAAGTTTGATTTTCAAACAGTTGCCTAAAAAGCTTTACCCCGAATACCATAAGGTCTACCATATGATGTGCACTCAGTCAGTCACTACAGACTATAATTTGCACCATGCTTATACCAGTTTTCCAGAACATCGGGTCCTTTCATTTCAGCCAGATATGAAATGTGTCCTGCAGAGTGCCTCTGGATTGAAGAAGATCTTAAAGTTCTCTGTAGCCTTAGTGTTAATAGGTTCTCATCCTAACCTATGCTTCCTGAAGGGCCAAGGCCAGGGTATAGGCCATAACCCAAATGAACCAATTACGTGCAAGGGTAACCCTATTGAAATTGATCCATATACATATGAGTGCACAAAGGAACCCAATCTTTTTGCAGTAGGTCCACTGATTGGAGACAATTTTGTACGTTTTTTAAAAGGGGGGGCGCTGGGCATTACACGGCATTTGGTTACGAAGCAGAAGCATCATCTCATAGCTGAAAGAGAAGGAGATGGAGTTCCCTAAACCAAACAGCCATAGACATCATCTAAGGAACTACAGGCATATGCTAATAACTGACCCATAACATCTAGTAATTGGCAGCCTTGTTTTTGTTATCCGTAAGTGTTCTTCATACTTTCATTGCCTTGTAGAGAATGAGACTACAGTATTCCAGCCTGTACAAAAATTGTTTTTACTGGAATTGCTTCCAGTTAAAAGAAACAGTAAATGATTATAAGTCGTGCAGATTTTATTTGGTTTTGTACGCTGATGAGAAAATATTTACCACTCTAGAGAAAAATGATTTCTACTCATGAACTAATAGTTTTGCTATATAAAACTAGACCATGGTTGAAATATAGAAGCTTTTCTTTAAGACAAAGTAAAAAAAAAATTCAGCAGTTGAATTGCAGCAAGTACTTTATTTTACCCTTGGTTGTTGTGGGAAGTATTTATAACTTTTAAAATGGCCTGTAAAATAAAGATAGTTGCGAACGGAAACAGTTAAATGATACTCCAGATTGATATTCCAGCACAGTTGGTAGTTGGAAGCAGTTGTCATAAGTATGCAGGCATGCCATATGAAATGTAGCACACTAGCCTCTTCTACAGTGGTGTAAAATGAAGTACTGCTTATGTAACATCGTTATGAGGGATCACGTAATGGATTTACTGCTGTAGTAAAAACATTAATGCCTTGGAAACAAAGTGTTTTATATGAATAACCTGCTCTGTCACAGGACTTTTATTTGTAAAAGGTATTTTCAGAACAGCTCAGCATGGAAGTCTTGTTCAGTTTGAGCATCATAGGATTCTCAACATTGAAGATGTGCCTGATCTCTCTGGTCTCAAACAGAACTGGTGTTGATTGGACGCACACAGCCCAGTCCAGAGATGACTAAACTCACCTTTAGGTCCCTTTGAAATTGCTTTTTACCATGCACATCATGTTCCAATGTCGTATGTAAAGACGGGAGCACCTGTAGTTTTCATTACTGCAGATCAACAATGATGAAATAAAAGTAGCTTGATTAAAAGAATTGCAGCAATAAAAACCACAAGAAAAAGGATTTGGTTCCTTACACACTACTAAATGATGTGACTTATGAATACCTTAAGTTCTAAAACTTTGATTTCAAAGGGTATTAAGCATACATTCTTTGGATTTGCCTGTTAGCTGCATTCCCTGTGTATATGTGTCAGTTCTGCATGTAAGCAGTTTTCCCTCACCTTCAACACACAAATCACAGCTGCCTGCCTTCAGTAGTTTCCTTAGTCAGCTTCCCCATGCATACTGTTTAACTGTTGGGGTTTGATTCATTAAAGAGAACTTTAAAGAGAATGTTTGCTCACAATGGAGGAAACATGAAAAAATGTGATCAAAATATAATTTAACAGTAATGTGTTTAATTTTGGGGACTAGGATTGCTCTACCACTATGAAGGTTATCAGTCACTCCTAGCAAGGGAAAACATTTGCGGTAAGTCAGATTATTCTCTTATGTGCTCTGCAGTATACGATAGTATTTCTGGGTTCATGTTGCACGAGGAGCCTAAACGGTTGTACAAAATTAAGTTCAAATTTCCTTTTCTTTTTTTGCAAATCTGCCAGTTTACCATTTTGGGAGTTGAACAGTAAACTAAAATCCAAATGCATATGGAGAACTTCAGGGTTTTTGTTTTAAAACTAAGCTGCCTTTTCTCTCTTACACACGCAAAGCCTACTAGCACTTGGACTTGGAAGCCAGGCTTTGAGGCCTCAGAGGCACATACAAGTTATTGTAAGCCAAAGAGGCAACACACACTGTTCTTGATAGAGCTTGTGATTATACTGGGATAAATTGGGGGCATTTTGTTTTCTGTAGCGATCCCTTTCTGAACAGCAAATAACTTTTTAAGCCTGGGCAGTTTAAAAAGGAGATTGGAGATTTGGTAGTTTTTTGTCTTACGTTCAAGGAAAAATGGGCCAATAAGCCCAAATGCATTTATGCATCTGAATGATAGTTGCTGTGTATTTTGTTACAAACTACCTTTGAAAAGAATTGTGAAATAATTCAATAAATGCAAAAGAATAAGGACGACCCAAAGCTAATTCATTGGAGTACTTTTATCTGCTCACTGTTCTGCCAGAATACAGCATTATACCAGCTAATATTCCCTCCTCCAAGCCTTTGGTAGTGCAGAAAGTTTTAGGATCTTGCAAATGTTTCTAAATCAAATAAACCAATAAAAATACTTAAATGAGGTTCTGCCCCCTGGAATAAAGCCTGCCCCTCCCATTAGTCCTGGCTGTGCCCATGACAATCTCCCTATAATATTGGTGTAATATTGACTGTGGTGTTGCACTCACTGTAGTATTCTCAGTTTATTCTTGCCAGGAAGAGCAGGGCTCTTCAATAAAACCACAAGTGGAATGACAAGGGTAAGATTCACTAATGAAAGCAATATAAACAACCAAGCATGTGCTGTTTTGCAACACATGACGCAGCTGAACAAGTTACATGAGTCTCGTTAGCCTCTTAAGTCGATAGTTCTCAACCACCCAGATACTAATATTAAGCTTCTCTTTGCAAAGGTGCTTTGTTACGAAATTAAATACGGATTGCAGGTTGTTAAATTGGTGGTAATTTTCAAAATAAGCCTCTAGATTGTGAATTTTTTTTATTGGCTGAAGTGATACCAAGAAATTATGCAAGTGCTTTTATGTAAGTGGAAATTAACTTAGGGCAGGAAAAGCTGTCAGTTGCTGATATTTTTAGAAGGATTTGGTTTTGTAAATTGACAGTCCTTATTTTAAATCCTTGGAGGCAATAATTTATAATTAATTGAAAAATTGTAATAATGGAAGTCACATGTGTGACTCAAGACCCAATTAATGTAGAAGGACATGACATCTTTAAACTCCCTAGGTCAGAGAATTGTGAATGGAAAGCTACATGTCTCTGGTAATGAAGGTTATTCCACTTACTTTTTTTAATAGAGCATTTTAAAGGTTATCTTACTCAAAATGTGTCATGGTTGTATGTAATTTGCTTCTTTTTTTACAGAACATAGTATTTCCCATCCATGCGTGTACTAGTTCAAGAATCCCCCACATCTGTAGTGTAGGAACAGTTTCTGAAATTGGACATACAGGTCTCTCAGAACGGAGGCAATGATCAGCACTTTCTCCCACACAGTATAGTACCACCAAATGACCTATTTTCACCCAGGAAGGAGGGAAGACTTTCTTTTGCACCTGCTTAAGCGTCAGTTTAAGTTAGGCTCAACACCAAGAGCAGCATCCTCAATACTGTTCTAAATTTCTAGTTCACTGTTCTACAGATTTTGTGTAGAGGTGGCGGAAGTAGTTTCACTATAATGGTTTGAGCTGATTAAAAAGATGGAATCCTCTTTCCAGCTATTAGTGGCAGTTCTAATTCAAATATAAGAGGCATGATGACAGAACTTTAGATCAACTTATTTCAAAATAGACTTGTTGCTAAAGCAGAAAAAAAAAACATTTTAGTTACAGGTTAATAAATTTAGACATCTTGCAAAACACAAAATCTAGACATAACATGCTTAGTGGAAAATTCTAATGTGTCAGTAGACACAATAGTACTTTGCTTTCACCAATCAATTACAGGGACTTACTAAGTAATTTGAGGGAACTTACTAAAATGGAGTAGGTAAATGGGTAAGCATTTGAGCTAGCAAGAACCAAGTCAAGCGTACAGGAAGTGTACACAGTTGCGGAGAGGACTGTCATATACTTCCTGGTCAAATAGACTCTGACGAGTTGGATAGCTGGCTGTGGGTTTTCTGTTGCTGAGATCTGCTTTTAATAATTTATTTTCCAAATGTTTAAAATGTGCTAGCTGCCACAGTATTTTGGAAATGGCCTAGTCATTTAAACTGGCAAATGTAGCCTTACTACACTTGGGTTATTAAGGCTAGCAACTTGGACTTCCGGGTTAGCGCCTCCAGCAATGGCGGAATTCCTCTGATCGGGAGGAATCTGCTCCGTGGAAATCAGAGTCTGGCCGCCACGGCGAAGGCGGAGACCCACTAAAAACCACAAGCGGGAGAAGCTTGTGGACGTGGGATTCGACTGGCACCTTTTGCGCCTCCCCTACTCGCGGGGAAACCCGGTTTCGGGGATCCGGAGCGACGTGGGGTGAGTGGCGCGGTGCTTCGAATCGACTGCTTCTTTCACGGAGTGAAGCCGCATTGCTGTTGCCGGAGAGCGCTGACTTTTTCCTGTGGACAATTTGATCTTAAAACAACTACCCGTGAGTAGAACGGAAAATTGGATTTTTAAACGTCTTAATTTGGCACCGAAACAGGGAGGTTTCAAACAGGAAGTCCGCCTTCCCCTTTTGTAAATAGATTGAAGCAAAGAGGCTGCAAGCTAAAGCCTTGGAAAGTCTCTCACAAAGGATTAAACTTCCATCGGTTAAATCATCAAACCCCCCTTGGAAGCAGGAGAAGAGGGGGGAAACTTAAGATCGCGTAAGCCTGCAGGAGAGAGTGAAGAAAGTCAAATTACCACCGCTCTGAACCTGGAAACGGGCTGCTAGCAAGATTGAAGTTTCAGATATGCTCATTGACTGTGAATAGATCGTCTGCTGACAGTAAGTTAAAGAAGAGAAATACATTGTTTCCATTGTCTCCTTCTGCGTTTAAAAAGGAGTAAAAGTAACTGAAAATTGAAACTAATTTTATTGTTTGAACTGTGCTTAAAAGGATTGATACAAATAGAAATTGTTTCCCCCTAGAGGAAGCCTTTGAAATTGTTACAAGAGCTGAGCTGGGGGAATTTTCCATCTGCAAGATAAAACTGTGAGAATCTGGGATTGACCTTGAATCGTTAAGAATGTTGACAGAAGAAGCCTTAGTGGTTGCATTTTGTAAGATTAATGATTCACTGGAACAGCTTTATAAGAAGACGGATGCGAGGACTATAAAAATTGATAACTTGGAACAAAAAGTGACTAATTTGGCACAAAAAGTCAATATTAATACAGAAATTATTCAGGAATCGATACAGGGATCTATTTTGACATGGCAAATCGAGGAGAAGGCGGGGGAGAAAGTTTTTGTTGTGGAACCTAAAGTGGCACAAGTGGTGAGGGAGAGAGCCCCAGCCTTACAGTTGCAATTTGATGATTATAAGTTGATGCCTTCCAAGACTGAATTTAGAGAAAGTCAGACTTTTAGGATTGGAGCCCCGCTTGGATTGGAGAAAGAAAGTTGGATAGATCCCCTCATGCAGGGGTTTATTGACCTTTGGGACCTGGACTTGGGTCAGGAGGAGACTGGAGTTGTGGGGACTGCCAGACTTGGAGGAACTCTGAAACACGACTGGAAATATCTTTTGAATTTCAGTTCTAACTATGGAGATTTGGCTGACTTGTCGAGAAGGAATAAAAACATTGCTAGATGGGAATTTCCCGGAGATCTACTTTTCAGCATCAAAGGAAGGAAAATAAGAACAAGATCAGGAGAAGACAAAGTAAAGTGCATGTATAAACATGAAGAAGACTTGCAGAAGGGACCTGGAAAAGAGTTAAGAGCCTCGGACAGAAGATCACCAGGTTGATGGGCTTTATGGAATTGACGGAAATGACTGGCAGAACCCGAGACCAGGGAGAAGAGACGGTGGAAGAATATTGGAAAAAGTTTAAAATTTATATATGGAAATAATGTAAAATTAATGAGTGTTAGAAAAATGTTGGAAGGGAATTATACGGCTTTAGTAGAAATGTTTTAAGGAATTAAGTATAAATAAGTATTATAGTATTAATGGAAAATAAGGTTAAAATATGTTAAGATAATTACATGACAGAAAATAGAGAAAGATGGAAAGGATTTGCTGAAACAATTAATAGAAATGGAATACAAAAAGGGAGGTGAGAGGAGGTCGATGAAACAAGGGAATGAAAGAGAGGACATTGAGATGGTATGATGTGTGTTTTTTGAATTGTTTTTGCTTTTGTTTAATGTGTTAATGTTAATGTTGCGTTTTGTATTGTTTATATATTGGATTGGATTGTTTTTTCTTTTGTTTTTATTCTTTTCTTTTTTCTTTTTCTTTCTTCTTTTTGTAAGGTTTAAAAGCAATAAATATTATTTTAAAAAATATATATAAAAAAAATATTAAGGCTAGCAACTTGCACACTGTGCTGGCCAGAATTCAGTGTTGATCAATTGGAAGTGATTTAGCCACACCTGCAAGGAATGCTGTGCTAATAAAATATGCAACTCATTAAACTAATCTCCCTTGTTTTGTACAATAGTGGCAAGTGAGATAATGGCTGCCAAGGGGTGTGGTAGAAATTGGGGTGGTGTAATATTTCTAAAGGGAATAGGGAGGGGGTGGTAAACATTGAACTCCAGTGCTTAGCAACTATAATTGTTATTGCCAGTGCCTATACTGTGTGTGTATTTCAGGTTATCTCCAAAACAAGGGCTAGACATTGAAATTTATCTACAGTCATACCTCGGGTTGAAGTTGCTTCAGGTTGAGTGTTTTCGGGTTGCGCTCCGCAGCGACCCGGAAGTAACGGAATGCGTTACTTCCGGGTTTCGCCACTCACACATGCGCAGACGGTCAAAATAACGTCATGCGCAGAAGCGGCAGATCGCGACCCGCACACGTGCAGGTTGCGTTCGCTTCAGGGTGCAAACAGGGCTCCAGAACGGATGCCATTCGTATCCAGAGGTACCACTGTATTTATTTTTAACAGATTTTACTACATACACAAATTTGCATGCACAGGATCTGGGAAACTACCAGTTATTACTTTAAGGCTAGAGAAATATAATTGATAAACCCAGGAGTTCTTTTCAAATGTGTCTATGGCTACAGACTTGATCTACTTGTACAAAAATTGGTAGCCACTTTAAGGGTGCTGCTAAGAGTTACCTGGATGCAGGTGGCACTGTGGTCTAAACCACAGAGCCTAGGGCTTGCCGATCAGAAGGGGGGGCTTGAATCCCTGCGACGGGGTGAGCTCCCGTTGCTCGCTCCCTGCTCCCACCAACCTAGCAGTTCAAAAGCATATCAAAGTGCAAGTAGATAAATAGGTACCGCTCCAGTGGGAAGGTAAACAGCTGTGCGCTGCTCTGGTTCGCCAGAAGCGGCTTAGTCATGCTGGCCACGTGACCCAGAAGCTATATGCGGACAAACATCGGCTCCCTTGGCCAGTAAAGCAAGATGAGCACCGCAACCCCAGAGTCATCCCCACTGGACTTAACGGTCAGGGGTCCCTTTACCTTTTAAGAGTTACCCAAAATGGGAAGCAATTTTAGTGGTAACAGTACTGGAAGAAGAGACACTGCCATTTTCTTTCTTATATTTTGAAATACACCTTCCCAGATTGCAATACATTTTACATCACAAGTAACACCAACCATCTGCTGTGGTTGATTTAGCAAGCCAAACAGTTTTATTTGTAGGTAATTAGCCAGCTTCTCATCTTTTAACTAGTATGACATTCTCTTGATCCCCATGCTTTACTCATGACTTCCCACCTGTATAGTTTTCTATAGCCAATTTGACATGGAATTCCCCCAATTTCAAGCGTCAAGAATCTAAAGTGTCAAGTATGAATCTCATACTGCACAAAAGCAGCCCCATGCAGAAGAAAACAATACAATGTCCACTTTCCAACTACCAACTTAGATACATGGGGCCCCTGTTTTAAGTTCCGGGGAAAATGAGTTTTGCCCAGCCTCTGGAATATTGCCACACTAAGGAAGAAATGCATGTGTACAATTGTGTCTGTACACTCGGCAGCCTCAGTCAATCGCAGCTCCTGAACTCAGAGTGTTAGATATTTATATCCTTTCATGCATTATGATCATGAAGCTTGGGACCAACGCAGTGGATAACCTGAACTAGTCTTCTCTGTAATGTGCAACAACCCCAAGATGAAATGCACTTAGAAAGCAAAGGTTACACCCTTTATGCAGGTAAGTTCATGATTATGAAAGAAATTGACTAATAAATATTTGACATCATTAGCAGCCATATGTCTTTTTCTACGGGTTGGTATATAGTCTGCAAACCAAGCAATTAATGTGTGTACAGAATACTTTATTAGCATTTACCAGTCATTCTTACCTGTGTTTCTGGGAAGAGTTATTCTTAAGGGAAAGCACCAAGCAGCTGCAACCCAAATAGATTTCTCTTCCCCGCCGCCCTTCAATCCAAGGGAAAATGCTCTGTATGGGTACTTAAGCACAAAAATTATCCCCAGAAAAGGCTTATTGCTTATACTGCACGCATGGACTGACTGGAAGCATGGAGCAAATGTTTAGTCTTCATAAGCATTTAGAAGAGCCTTCCCCAACCTGCTGTCTGCTAGATGCTTCAGACTTCAACTTCCATCATTCCGGACCATTGGCCATGCTGGCTGAGGCAGATAGGTATAGTAGTCCAAAACATCTGGACAGCACTGGGTGGAGAGATGCCTGCTTTAGACTCTTAAAAGGCATTACCTGTTTCAACCAGCTTGGCTAAGCCATGCATGGGAGCAGACATGCAGTATATGCTAGAGATGGTCAAACTGATACTAAACTTTTCTAAATCTAAGGAGTTTATGGGACACATCTGAGGAGATGTATCCGTTTTACTTTCCTCTGATTTAACAGAAGTATGGCAGATTTGGGCCTATAGCACCCTGTCTCATGTAAGGCACCAAACAGATGTAACACCACTTAGGCAAAATAAACTAATTTGAAGACAGCTGCTCTTATTCCTATCTGCAATAGGCACAAGTCTTTGTAAGCATCAAAATTCTGAGAAGCAAAGAAAAGATTTCCCATCAATACGGAGACTAATAATTTACTAAAAGGAACAAAGCCAGTTTGAGAGATGCAAAATAGTACAGAAGTGAGCAATACTCATGTTACAAATCCCATGTTGCCATTTGACAATTCTGATAGCATACAAAAAATAGGTTAAAACAAATGTGTGGTTTTTTTTAAAAAAAGAAACCTATTTGCTTTGATAAAAACAAAATTTTGGATAGAGAATGCAAGTTGAAAAAGAATTTCAAAGGCTTTGTGTGCTATAACTATCAATGGGCAAACTCCCCTTAGTAAGTCTCTGCACCCTCCCTCTCAAACTCTGAAAATAACTTGGGCCCTTTCAAATCCAGTTCTGAGCCTATTTGGTCTTGATTTCATTGGTAGTATAACAAGGTTTGATCCTTCCTGCAACTTTCCCAATGATATCCAATGCTCCTTCAACCACCTTTCTGTGTCCTCCCATGTTTCTGTCCCCTACGCTTGTCTTTGTTGCTGCTCCAACAGGGGCAGTGATGGCAGGACAAGTGAGGGAGGTCTCCTCTCAGTTTCCTAATACCTGGCATGCTGCTAAGGCTGGATGCCAGAAGTACTGTTGAATAATGTCATTTCCCAAGTGTTGCTAACATGAGTCAATAGCCATTAAAGCATGAAGCCACTGTAGTGTCAGGGATGGAAGAGATACTTCTTTTATTCACTGCCAGAACAGCAAAACCTAGGAGGGGGTTAAATGGCTTCAGCTCTACTCTAGTCTGAATTTTAATGCTATCTTTGTATTGAGCATTACAAAGTCGGCCTAGACCAGTCTTTCACGCTGTGGGCAGATAACGCATGGATCCATCACTAGCTGTAACATGTTTGAAGAACCGTTCAAAGTCTTGCATCCTTTCTTCAATATGAAAAGCAGGTTTTCAGGAAGTATGATCAGCGTAAAATTGACTCTGATGTTGCAATTTATTGCCAGCGGGCCAGGCAAGCTTTTCTTCTGCTGTAGGTCTGATTCAAGGCATACCTTATCTTCTTTTTACACGGGGATCATATCTAAATGGAACAAAAAAATGCATAAATGCCTGCTTCTGAAATCCAGTAAAACTGAAAACACATTCACATAACCTGCAAGTTGTCCATGAAGCTGACTGAATCATTAGACCAGTCATTGCTTCTTGGCCCAACCTGCCTCATAGGGTTGTTGCAGGGTCACAACAACCTGAGCTTGGAAGGAAGCTGGAACATACCGTATTTGTCGCCCTATAGGGTGCGCCGGCCCATAAGGTGCACTTATTGGGGGGGGGGATAAAGAAAAAAAATTATTCCCCCCCCCCCCCGCCGGGCTCCCAAGGCTTGCGGATAGCTTCCTGAAGCCTGGAGAGCAAGACGGGTCGGTGCACACTGACCCCTCTCGCTCTCCAGGCTTCAGCGAAAACCTGCATTCGCCCCATAGGACACACACCTTCATTTCTGGAGGGGAAAAGGTGCGTCCCATAGGGCGAAAAATACGGTAAATAAATAAAACCATTAAGGAGCAGTTGAATCTCAAATCCATTAGCAACAATGCACCCCGCTGCTGAAACAGTCGAATCTTTATTGCTTGTTGAATATTAAGCAGTGATGAGGCCACATGGGGCCAGTGTAGGAGGACAGTCTACCGTTTAAGTATCAGAGTGACCGAAAAGGCCCACATGTCATATCTCTGATGGCAGAACACAGAACAGGGTCTCTGATGATGATGTGATCACATGTGCAGATTGTATCAGAGACATTTCTTCTGTCATTAAGTCTCAGACCCAAAATGGGTGCCGACATGCCCAGCTGGAATTTGGGACTGCCTGACCCAAGGGTCTCTAAATACTTGTGATATGGCATATTCCCCAAGCAGAGTGGTCTTTGCCAAGGAACACATAAAAGGAAACAGACTAATCCAGGGTGAATTAACATTTTACTTTACTTCGATACTTTCTGGGCAGTCTATTGCTGCACAGTGGGCCATGCATTAACATGCACACTGCTTCTTCCGATTTCTAACAGACTGAGTGTAGAAGTTTCCACCATATGATCAGAGGCTTCCTGCCTATTATCACCCAACAGCAAGAGCAGTTTCAACTGGCAGCAAAAATTATTGTCACTTATCAAATTTGTCAATAAAAAATGTTAATTAAAAATTCTCATCTTTGGGTTTTCCTTCCAGAAGCATAAATGGGGCACAAAGTTGTCCTTGCTTCTTAATTCTGATTTTGGTCTGCTCTGAAGAACCAGGTATTAATTTGGTGTATTTATTTATATAGTTAAAAGCTAGCTATGTCCGTTCCATAGTTTGTTATTTGTTTGGAGGGAAGAACAGGCAGTCGCTATACAGCTGCAAATAAAATGTTTTAAGTGTTTTAACTGCAATATACAGTACAATGTGACACTAGATGGCAATGAAGAGCCTTATGGAAAATCCAATGTGTTTTTTAAAACGCTTTTTTAAAAAGCATTTTCAGAAAGATTTTATATGTGTGTAGATTCCACCCTTGAGTCCGTTATGGGGAAGAGGGAACCCTCACCTGAAGAGGTCATCTGCAAGCGAATCTTCTTTTGCTTGGCGACTCTGTTCCTAGAAAAATAAATGATTCTTTGAGAACTTCTGCCAAATATGAACTGCTCTGAACCAGCATGATTTGGGTGCAGTCAGGCATTTACACAAAAATACAATGGGTGGTATCCAATACTGCATGAGCACAAGGAAACAAGGTATATTCCCTACCATCTCTGCCCCACTGCATACTGCCTGCCCTGTGCCAAAAGGTCTCTTCTGAAGATCCTACAAAAAGGCCAGGGATGGGAGGATGGTGGGGCTGCAGTGGGAGTGGGGAAAGTGGGAAGAGGCCGCTTTCAAGTGGTCTCCAGCCGATTTTCCACGAACTTCCACTCTCAAGGCAGCCCCTCACCCAGCCAGTGTATGAAACACTGACCTACAGCTCATGATCATGACTGTGATAGCTCAGTTGGGTTAGAGCATGGTGCTGATAGTGCCAAGGTTGCAGGTTATTTGCTTTTAACTACTTCATGCTCCTCACCTCCATTTCTTGCCTCAACCATTCTTCCATCTCAGAATTCTTTCTAGCATGATGAGCTATCAGATCCGATCCCCCAATAATATATGGAAGTTGTCCTGCTCCAGGGTAAGCTACCTGTCAAATGGAAAGATGTATTAATCTCAACTCTATTTAACTCAGGTTTCAAACTGGGGCTCCAACGCATTTACAAGTCTCACTATGCAAAGATGTAATCCGAAACAGCTACTTACTCAATTCAGCTTCAAAGAAGCAGCCAAGGGTGCCCTTTGTCATTATTGCATTCTATCATTTGAAGAAAACTCAGAATACATTAAATACAGTTGTTGAGTATTCTTTCATTCTAGGTTTGGGCTGTAGAGCAGGAGGCACTATACAAACTATGCAGGTTTCAGATACATTACAGGAATAATGTAATACAGTTATAAATACAATTATCCACTTAAAAGTGTATATCTTTAATGTTTCTATTCAAGCTTAACAACATTACAAATGGATTCTGACTGATCTGCTCTAAGTTTGTCCTTTTACAATAACAATACCAATTTCTGATCATTCCCAAAGAGTGCAATATAATTTAAACATAGAAGCATTCTGCTTCAAGATACCCTTGCAATAGCTTTTAGGACTACATTTAATTCAGTCCTCTATTCCCCAACACTGTACTGCAAACCTCTAGATTAAAAGACACACCCAACCAACCAAAACCAGAAGATGGTCAGATTTAGCTAATACAGATGTACCTCAAAAATCGAACGGAATCCGTTCCGGAAGCCCATTTGACTTCCAAAAAGTTTGGAAATGAAGGCACGACTTCTGCTTGGTTCCTGATTGCACAGGCATGCCGGAAACAATAGCAGAAGCTGCAACAGACATTCGGTTTCCAAAAAAATGTTCAAAAACCGGAACATTCAGTTCCCAAGGTGTTCAGGAGCCGAGGTACGACTTTCCTGTATGTTCTAAGTAATATCCTCTTGTGAGTTTAAAAGCATGTACCAACCTTTTTAAACTTTTTAAAGTTGTTCAGATGTCCATAATCTATTTTTGCAGTGCAACGACCATCTTTCCTTGGCTGACTAACAACCAATGATCTAAATTCAGTCAGCAGGAGCCTGCTGGGCAGATTGCTAGAGTCATTCGCACATCTATCAGGATTCTTATTTAGGAGGGGGGAAAGAATTAGAGCAATTACTGAGGTTATTCTAATCAAGCTTGTTTATTACAATAAACATTTATTCTTCATCATAAAATTGTAGGTACAGTACTTAGTCATCTATTTTCTGAGATGGTATTTGAAAACATTTCCAAACTTTTTCTAACTAAATCAGTTTCTTCAAGGAAAACCAAAATCTCCCTTTAGCCATTTAATGAACTATGAAATATCTGCATCAATTTATACATTCACTATCTTCACACCTTTCACTCGTTTTCTACATGACAACAAACTTGCCCGTTCCTCCTACAAAGTAGGACAGGAAAATGGGTCTATTTCCTAGTTCTCTAGCAAACAATGAAAGTTTGATAGTTTCAATTAATAATTGGGAGGGAAGCGAACAAATAGAATGCTAACAAAATAGTTTAAAGACATGCTTTTTTTTAGATATATTTTCAAAAAACTAAATGTCACTAGCCGTAATATTGGAGTATCTTTTTAATTTAAAAGAATGCATTTCCTACCACATTACTTATTGCAAAAATTAAATACACGAAACATTAACATGAAGATATTCCTTACATTGGAGTCATTCTTTGCAGAGCCTGGTGATTCTTCTCTTTCTTGTTTCTGGTTTAAAACTGGAAGCGACTGCTTCTTTTCTTGCTGTTTAACAAAAGGTATTGGTAAGTGTCTAACATATACTCTATACCACTACAGTAGAATTAGGCTGAAAACTGTAGGCTGAAAGCTACTTGCCTGAACTCTAGCTAGCAAATGCTGAACTCGTCTGTCTCTGACTACTCCTCAAATAGAGGAAATAACAAATGGTTCTTCTGTCAAAGTGTGTGGTAGCTCCCACATGAGAGAGCTAAAATAAATTACTCTGAATGAAAGAGTTCTTCAGCTTGGTTTCTCCCAAGCTAAAGAAGCCTTCTATTCAGCAGAATTTATTTATGGTCACAGCTTGCAAAAACAGAACTTGACTTGTTACCTAGTTCTTGGGTTTCAAAGTGAAATACTTTCACAGCTTTAAAGTATAAAAGAAGAAATAATTGCTTTCATTAATGAGCAACTTTAAAATTGCTGTTGTGCAGAGAAGTGTGGCTGATTTACTGTGGCAGCACAATAAAAGAAGGATGTAGAAGAGTCAGTACATACTCCGAAAAATCTCTAGGAGAATAGTGTGAAGTTATTCAGGAAAACAATTCCGACCCAACAAAAGTAGGTTCTCACGAGAGGTCATAAAAAAAATGGATAAAAGCTATTTTACATAGTAATGTAAGAAAAACCCAGCTGGATCCTGCCAGGGGCTCATGCAGTCCAGCATCCAGTTATCACAGTGATCAACTAGATTCCTATGGGAGGTCCTGCAAGCAGGACTGGAACGCAACTGCATTCTCCACACTTGTGATTTCCAGCATAATTCAATATAGACTTCAACATACATAAACCTGTGGTTTCAATGGGACATAAATGCTTTTAATTGTGCAGTGGATTGTGACTAGTTTTGTTTTTGAACCTTAGGTGTACTAGGCGACCACAGTTCTTCCATGTAAAAGTTGTAAAGGAAAACAAAAGCTTTAAGGGAAAACAAACCTCTCTCTCCACTGTGAGTGTGAGTATACCAAATGCCAACACTAGCAGAAACAGGCACATTGCATCGAAAAATCTGTTTCATGTTCAATGAGCACATGGAGTTTCTGTGCCCAGTGGCTTCCATCCTTACAACAAGAAAGCGTGTGCAAAAACATGAAGTACATGAAGCTGCCCCTCAAGTGAAGCACATGGGGACATCTGAGTATGCTAGAATGGATATGCACACATTTGGGGGCTGGGGAGGAAGAAATGCGAACTACACAAAAAATGGTGAAAGCAACAAAAAGGAATCTCAACCTGAAGGGGATATTTACTGATACTGCCTGATGCTCTAAATCAATGATTTAAATATTTTACCATGTTACAGAATATTTAGCTAATCACTTTACCAAATATATTTTTAATCCATCAGTGGCTTGGCCCTGTTCTAAATGTCCCCCCACTTTGGCAGATCTGAAGAGTAGTTCTATGAAGCCCACCCTCTAAAATTCCAGAAGTCTGAGTACAATATATACCCACCTTGCTATCCCTCCTGTAAAATGATATAAAGCATTTATATTCTTCCTTCTTTTATTGATATAAATTCAAAATAATTTTATCTTTATGCTAATAGTCTAAAATTGTGGTTTATGGCATCTCTCTCTCTCTCTGTGTGTGTGTGTGTGTTTGTGTGTGTATGAGACAGAAAAAAATGTCACTACCTGAAGTCTCCCACTCTCCATATCTGAATTCTCTTCTTTCATTTCCAATTTCCTTTTCTTCTTTGCACCTTGAGTACTGCCTTCACCATGATTTCCTATATCGTCTTCCCAATCCAGTTCTTGGCTTGCAAAGACAAGTTCTAACGATGCTTCGTCTTCTATTGGGTCTTCCAATTCTTTTCTCTTTTTTGATGCAACAATGCTTTCATTATTATTATTTTCTAACTGGCTAGTCTCCGCAATAGACTTTCTACTTCCACCTATACAGGACTTGTTTGTGTTCTGGTCCAAGGTACATGGCCCTTTTTGAGATCCTCCTGCCTTGCTTTCCCACAGCCAAGAAGTTACAGGCTGAGTATGACTAGAAGCCAGTGATGACTTCTCCTCTATCTTTGCATATTTAGACTGTGATGTTTCTTCAACCTCATCCCTTTCCCTTGAATAGAAAAAAAAGCATTTTAGACTTTCTCTTCAGATTGAGGGAGAACCTAACATCGTGCAAGTGAACATGATAGATCTCCCAACCCTCTAGAGCAAATGTTGCTGGTGCAAAGGAGGGAGGAAAGGGACACTTAGTTCCTATTTGCACAAGCAGAACATCACAAATGGATATACACAGACAGATCACAAACACACACTTGTTCTCATCTTTATGATGATTAGATATGAACCCAGACAGACTGAATCCAATCAAGTACAACTCAGATGGCACTTGTAATAATCATAGCAAGCATTTAACTGTGCACTGTAGTGTCACTAATTTTAAATGGGATTCATCGTGATGGCATCCTTAGGAGCAATCAGCAAAAGGTAGCTTACTCATAAGCAAACTTAAAATTAAAATGTAGCACTGATTAGCATTATTCAGGCAAAGCTTCTTGGAGCCAGCATGTTATCAATATGCATTGTTTGTGAGGATTTAACATATTTTCAGTTAACTATGGAACTGAAACATCTGAGATCTTTGAAAGCTAAGTAAAGACCAAAAATTAGGGAATAAATATTAGAACTAGCCTGACTGCAAGAGATTTATGTGAACATACCTTTTTTTGGTAACTGTCTGGAAGTAGTTTTTAATTGAATTCAATTGTTGCTGTGAATCGCCCTCTTTGTTTCTCCTATCCCCTGACATTTTAGAGGGAGAGGGCGAAAGGCTACTCTGGTTTGTCTCGGGCCTTGCATTCAACCTGGGTAATGTAGCCCCAACATTCACAGTGCCAGTTCCTGCTGGAGTCTCATTAACAGTAGTTATATCCAGGGGGTAAGGTTTTTTCCTTTGTTCCCTGATAGGAGTTGTTGCTCTCTTTCTGTTCTCTCCTGACACTTCCATGCTGTGTAAACAAGGAAAAAAGTAATAGGTCAGAGCAGGAAGTACTAAGTCAATGACCAAAACCTGTACCATCACATTACATGATCTATAATCCGTTTCTCAGATTTCTGGTTATTCTGCTGATCCCTAGAAATGTGAGGTATTTGTAAGGTCCATGCATGGGTTGCACCTAAAGATGAGAATTTCTTGCTAGATTGAAGCAAAAGAATTTCTTCTTTTTTTTGCCAGCTCCCAGGAATTTGAAATTTCTCTACCATCATCTGCTATAGGAGTAGTAACAGGCCTTGATGGCAGCGATTGATAAAATCAGGCATTGGCTGAGGGTCCATGAGCTCAGATGGGCTCCTCAGTGATCTCATCCTCACTCAGCCACCCTCCTCCCTTCCAGGACCCTAAAATGGAGGCATTTTAGAATGGCAGCTGCTGAGCTCCCCTGCATGGGTGCATGCATCTTTGTCAGTTCCTTAAAGGGACTTGGGTACAAAGCACTAATAAGTATGCATGCAAACGAAGGGCACAGTCACCGGTGCTGTATGTCTATGAGTTTGCTCTGCTAATCTTGGATGGGTTACACACTTAGCAAGTGAAAGGAAAAGGAAAACCATTTCTTCCCTTTCCATTGTTTGCTTGCTTTCGTCCACCCTCTTCCTCAACTTGCCCACCGAAATCGCAGTGGCAAGGCAAAACTGCAGGAGAATGGCAGGGCCTGAGGAAGAAAAATCTGCTCCTTTGCAAAGTAGATGTTACCTACCAGTATCAGTAGGGATTGCTGGAACAAATTCAAAAGCGCAGCAGCACACACCTGCACACACTCTAGTAATGCTTCCAGACACTATTTTTTTCTTCCATCTGGTACATACCAACTAGTTTACTTTCCTTCTGATTGATTGATTGATTGATTGATTGATTGGATTGATTCCTTTCTATCCTATTTGCACTTTCTTGCTTTTCTCCACCTGTCCCTCTGCCCATTTTTCTCCTCTCTCGAGCTTCCTATGCTCCCCTCCAACAGCAGCTTCAAAAATGACTCTCTTCTTTTTTGAAAACAGCTGGCTGTGTCCATAATAACTGGAACTCAGTAAATCCTATGTGATCTATGAAATGCTAATATCACTGTGGATAAAGCTGTAGTCCTAACCATGTCAACACAGCAGCGCCCCGGTAAGTGGAATTAGGACTGCAGCTTGAGCACCTCACCAATAACAGTCTGTACAGAACACCCTGCTTAATTTTGGGAGGTGAGGAGAGAGGTATCAGGGCTCAAATGCATCAACAAATTCCACCTTCTGATCAGCAAACCATTAGTTCCTAAATGGTGCAGAGGCAAGATTCCAAAGCTACAGCTGACTGCATCTGCATGTTGATCCCTATCAAGATGCCTCCTGTAAGTTTGTTGCGACTTTGGCTGACTTTTTTTTAAGAGAAGAAATAAGATCCTAAAATGCCACTCTTCGGTTATCAAAAACATTCCTTTGTTCATTGTTTGGAAGATGCAAACAGTTCTGTCACCAAAGCAGCTTCCATATCACTTGTAAATCTTTCTGGATTTATAGTGCAATGCTATAAATGCTTACTCAGAGTGAAGCCTCATTGAGTTCAACAGAGGTTACTCCTAGATAAGTGTATGTAGGAATGCAGCCTAAATATTCTAAATCTAAAATGCAGCCCTAAATGCATTTACTAAGGGTAAGCTCACTGAATTCAGTGCAACTTTTGAGTAAACATGCATAAGATTATACTGTTAATATTATTTTAGCAGCATTCTCATTGATGTCAAGGATTTCAGAAGATATAAGCCACAATCACTAAATATGCATACAGTGGTACCTCGGTTCTCGAACATCTCAACTGATGAACATTTTGGAATCCGAACGCCGAAAACCCAGCGTTTTTGAACGTGCCTCAGAAGTCGAACGGCTTCCGCTGTGTATTTTTCAATTTTCTCAACTGAATTTGCCAACAGCCTTTTCGCCTCGGTTTTTGAACATTTTGGAACTCGAACGGTCTTCCGGAACTGATTACGTTCAAGAACCGAGATACCACTGTAATTATGTAGCAGCAAGTAAACACAACAGGATGCATTTCTGAGCAAACATGTAGGATTGTTTTAATTCTGTAGTGCTGAGTAATGGCTACCCTTGGTTCTGATTTTCCCACCATCTGCAATTCTCCCCTCCCCCACATTTCATGTGTAATAAACATTCCACATTTTGCACAATGTGGCTAGTGATAGTCTTGCTCTATTTCCCAATTGTGTGTACTTAATATACCCTGAAGTTATATGTCAAGGCTAACACTTGACTGCACAAGACCCTGGGCTGGCCTTGGACAGTGGCTAGAGTGTGGGCCGCACTCCTCTGAACTGTTTGGAAGAAGGTGGAATATGAATGAAATAAATAACACTGGTTTGTTGAGTGCATGTACACAGAAAAGCAGTATACAAATAAAATGACTGAAGTGTGTTTACATGAAATGTTGCGTTTTTCCCCCTGCCTTAAAAACTCCAGCAGGCTTTTTGTTTTTTACAAAAGACAAGACAGATGCAGTACTGAAAGTTACTCTCCATAAACTAGGAGTCCCTGTCTTTTGTAACTTCAGAAGATTAGAAATTCAAGAATCTACCCCTCCAGTTTTTGGCACGTGATGAACATTTTCATGTGAAAATAAAGGCATCACAGTCAGACTAACTGTGGCTTGATCATGAAGCCATATTTAGAAATAGCAAATCAAAAGAGCTCCTGCTGGTACATTACCATGTGTCCATCAGTTGGTCCATTTCTGTGTCAGCTACGTATGCTGCAATGGTGGGCATTACTGTTTCATCTACTACACTTTGAGAAAGTTTTGGTCCTGTAACAAGTGGTGCTGATGTGGGTTTTACACCTGCAGTTTAAAAGCAGCAAAGAAGAATAAATGTTAACATTTTAAAACTATATAATTCATGCCATTTCAGACAAATATTATTCAAAAATATATTTTTGGGCAACTCTTCCTACTAAGAAGTGTCCATTTATCTCCCCATCTTGCTTCTTCAATACAGTGGAACCTCGGTTTTCGAGAGTCTCGGAAGCCGAACGTTTCGGAACCTGAACACCAAAAACCTGGAAGTAATTGCTTCTGTTTTCAAATGCGCCTTGGAAGTCAAACGGCTTCCGAGGTGCATTTCCCATTTTTTTCAATTGAATTCTCCAACCGCTCATTGCACCTTGGCTGTCGAACATTTCGGATGCTGAACAGTCTTCCGGAATGGATTACGTTTGACAACTGAGGTTCCACTGTACAGTGGTACCTCGGGTTAAGAACTTAATTCGTTCCGGATGTCTGTTCTTAACCTGAAACTGTTCTTAACCTGAAGCACCACTTTAGCTAATGGGGCCTCCTGCTGCTGCCACGCTGCTGGAGCACGATTTCTGTTCTCCTCCTGAAGCAAAGTTCTTAACCCGAGGTACTATTTCTGGGTTAGCAGAGTCTGTAACCTGAAGCATATGTAACCCGAGGTACCACTGTATTCAATACCAAAACCTAAAATCTAGTATATCCTCTTACTTAAAATTCTATTGCATGAGGTGTCTGAACATCCTAAAACTAAGGGCCAATCTGGAACTAATTCTATCCAGTGGTCAACCATACTTAATGAATTGGGAGCAAGTCACAGGACCCGTCTCTGGCCTCTCCCCTATAAGCAAATTAATTAGATAAAGAAGTTACAGAATTATGCTGCAGAAAAAGAATGGAAGTGAATAAAAGTGAGATTCAGCTTATTTGCTGTCAAAATTGGATACTAAAATCCTGGTGCTTTTTACTTTTCCAATTGAAAGCTATTTAAAATCTGTTAAATCTACTAGCAAAAAAGATGTAGGGTCATCAGTAACATAAGGCTATCTGTTATCCTAAAACAAAGCACTCTTAAATAATATGCTCCCTCTTTTAAGCTGTCTGCTGAATTCAGTTCCTTAAAAGTAAAAAATGCAGGACAAAGATTTTTTTTAAAATACAGATTTTAAAAATTACCTGCATCTACTGGAGTTTGAGGATTACAGTATGTTTTTGTGGATGAAAAAATAACTGCTAGACCAATTTCTGCTTCAGATATTGTCCTCCATTGCTTCCTATTAGAAATAAAACACACTGTCAGAAAAACAAGTGGAAGTCATTCACCAAATAACATCCTTGGAAAATAATGCTAAAACATTACAGTAAAGGAACAGACTATCATGCAGGATGCAACCTGTGAATTGGCAAGGGATGGATATCAGTATTTGTTTAAAAAATATATGGCATTCTAACAAGACTCTGGGCTGGGTTATAATGAAGGGTGAGCTAACAATATTTTAAATGAATAAAATGGTCCAAGGGAAATTGTCAGTGAAACATTTAATTCTAGTAACCTGCTGTTTCCTGCCTACATTCATTTATATTCAGACTGCACATGTATAACAAGTCTGGGAGACACTCCAGATGTTGTTAATTTATAATCACTATGTATATACTGCATTTTATTGAAGCATCTCAAGGTGACTGAACCCAATTTGCCATCAAACCCCAGCATAAGTGCTAGGGGTAATAGGAACTGTAATTCACATCATCTGGAGGACCACCATCCAGTGGTGTCCAAACATTTTTCAAAGAGGGCCAGATTTGATGAAGTGAAGCGCTATGGGGGCCGACCAAAGGGCCGACCAAAGTTGTTGAGCTTTTTTTATTCTAATTCAGCTACAATCATTTCTTGCATGTGATAGAAATCTGTGGACTTACTTTAAAATTAGATATGCACAGATATTTTACAGACCCTATTTGTATATTTGTATTCGTTACGGTTTTACAGCCCCTCCAACAACAAAAAACAACCTCTGTACTCAATTACTAACATTTCAGCAATCCTACCTTTGGAAGATAGCTGTGATTCTATCCATCCATTTCCTGTCCAAGTCAGAAATGGATTCTTGAGAGTTTGTCAACCCTACTTCAATGACACAAATATCAGGTGCTACCAAAGAAGAAACAATCTCTGCTTCCTCCGTTATCAGTTTCGCTTCTCCTCCTCCAAGTTTAATTGCTGCACTCAGTTTTGCAAACTAAAATTAAATACAAAGCCCAAAGGTTCAAAGAACAGAGCTCACATTAATATGACACATTTCTATAATAAGCATACCATTTCGTAACTTAAGAAGTAATGTAACCAATATGAGGACTCTACAAGTGACAATAAATGTAATGGTATATACAGAGAATGTTACAAGTGTGCTTATTACTATTTCAAAGGTTTCTTCTTTATTACCATTTTATCATATTACCTTGTCTACAAAGACTATCAACTGCAGTATGGAAACTGTGATCCTCCAAATGTCACTGGACTACAAATGCTGGCATGCTCTGGTCCATGGGGTCACGAAGAGTCAGACACGACTAAACGACTAAACAACAACAACATCTGGAGAGTGACAGGTTCCCCATCCCTGATTTATATCATACAACTTGAGTTCCTTTAGCAAGATAGGAAAGAGTCAGGCAGGTTCTGCATTCTAAAAAATGCCACAGTACCCACTTTGGACACTACATTGCACACACAGTAATGCATGTGGGTGCATGCAATGCAATGGGGGGGAGACATGGGAGGAAGTGGGCAAGCCCAAGACCTTCTTCCAATCAGAGAACAAGCCCTTGGTGGTCTTTCAGCCAGTTCTCTGCTCACTTTTAAAAGCTGCATGTTCAATGTGCCTTTTGTTAACATGAATGCAGCTCAATAGATGACTCTGAATAAAGACAAGTAGAAAATTGACTGAAAAGTCAAGTTCTGAGCTCCAATGAGTACAAAAGTCCTTAACTTGGGTTACAAATGTTCATATATCGAATAATCTAATTTAAATGTCTTTGTTACTTAGACTTCCGGGTTAGCGCCATCGCCGAATGGCGGACTCCCTCCGAGCTCCGGAGGGAGTCTGCTCGGCAGGGGCTGGGTCCTACCGCGCCGGCGACGCGGGGACCCTTAAAAACCACGGGCACGGAGTCCGTGGACATGGGTGACTCGGCTTGCACCATTAGCGCCCTCCCGACTCGTGAAGGAGCCTTTTTTAAAGGCTTCGGATCGGGTGCCGGGGAGTGGCGTGGTGCTTTGAGTCCACTGCTTTCCCTGCCGAGCGCAGCCGCATGCCATTCGACGGAGAGCGCTGACTTCTTCCATTGAAAATTTGGACTATTAACAACAACCCGTGAGTAATTGGGAAACCGGGTTCAAAATTTTGGATTTGGCACGAGCGGGGGCGATTTAACAAGGAAGTCAATCCCCCCCCCTATTGTAAGCATTCCAAAACAAGGACTGGGTAACCAAGGTCCAAAGGGAAGTATATCTCTGATAAAAATCATTAATTTCACGATGGGAAATTAAAAGAAATGTGCTGGAGGAGAAGAGTGGAGGGTGAGAAGACAAATGCAACCCCCCCTCTGGGAACCGGGGCGATTCGTGGAGCCTGGTGAAGAGAGACGGAGACTTTGACAGCTGTCAAAGTGGCTGTCAAAGCTGGAGAATATAAAGAGGACTTTGTTATGAGGACCTTGCTGGTTAATTTTGTTACAATTTGCTATAATATGGATATAAACTGTTGGAAAATAAGCAACAATTTGACTTTTGGATTAGAGGATACAAAGTTATTACAATCCCCTAGAGGGGTTTCGGGATACTACAAGAACGGTCGTAAGTGGAAAAATACCCTGGGATTCGTACAGGACTTGTTATCTTCTGGGAAAGCTGCAAAACTGAAAGAGTATTTTGTCTACAGAGGAAGACAATGGAATTTTTATTGAAGAAAGGAAGGGACTGGACGTAAGTTTTTGTTCCTGAATAACAAACCTCTGCAAAGACACTAGATTTCTGAATTAGAAAGTTTTAGCAGCTGAACAGGACAAGAAACCTGAGAAAGTGAGGAATAAGAAGAATAAAGGACTGATTACGACACGGAAAGAACAACGGGAGGAGTGGTAAAGATCAAGGAAATTAAAGGCCTTTGTTAGATTGGACATTTGAAGTTAAATATTATTTAAATTAATAAATTAAAAGAAAACCGGCAAGATGGAATCGGGAGAAATCTGGTCATGAAATGAGACTTCCAAGCTGATAATGTATAGACTGATGGACATGGGGAATTCAAACCGGGGAAGGGGGGGGGGGAGATTTGAAATCCAAAGGCTGTGTAACCATCTTTTGAATTTTTCTATATCTCTTATTTTCTATTTCTTTACATAACTTATGCATGTTATTTTACTTTGATCGGACGTGTTTAAAAAAAAAGGGAATTTGTGGAAGGAACTGGGGTGGATCTTGGGGAAAATCTTTTTTCTTTTTTTGTTAATGATGTGGGACGGTGGTAAGATTTGTACAATTCAATCTGGATAGTGGGTTAAACAAATTAAGCTTTAAATTGGGAGTGAGAGCTTGTAGAACCAAATTAAGGAAAGGGGAATACAATTTGGGGGGGGGGAGTCCCAGAAAGTAGGGAATGAAAGTAAGGTTTTTAAATATCTTTTTTCTTTTGTCTTTTTTCTTTGTATTTTTATATTTTTGGAAACTTTAATAAATATGATTTAAAAAAAAAAAAAAATGTCTTTGTTACTTTTAATTTTCACTGCTCAAGTTACTTTGAGGCACTTGAGTGAAAAAATTTTTTGACAAATAAATAGTAGGGGCTCAAGTTTTTATAAGAAGTAGTATGGACACATCAGTGGCTCCACTCACAACATCACAACCCCCAGGGACCTAATCTCAACATCTGCACACTGAGCATGGACATCTGCAAAACGGCACCTATGAAAGAGTAGCTGGACATGCATATGTAATCCATGTGAATGGGGATCCCTGTGTGCATTCACACACTCAATGTCCATGGATGTCATGAATAATAATAATAATATTATTATATATAACCCACCCATCTAGCTGGGTTTCCCCAGCCACTCTGGGCAGCTCACAGTATCAGAAAGTACTAAAACATCAAACATTAAAACCTGCCTTCAGGTGTCTTCTAAAAGTCAGAGAGTTGTTTATTTCCTTGACATCTGAAGGGAGGGTGTTCCACAGCCAATACTGAGAAGGCCATCAGTAGGCCAAGCAGTGCAAACCTTCTTCTCATTATTGCATGTGTACAACATTTAAGGAGGGCTAATGAGTACACAAAACCTGTGCTATTAAAATAATCTCTGTAGATAAAAGTATTTTAAATTACTTTTGTCAAGCTTTGAACAGTGCCAGTTACCTGCTTAGCAGTTAGAAACACAAACGTTTTTCCTTTGAATATTGTTCTTCTTAGGGGAGAGGTTGCCAGATCTAATTTGTTATTCTTAACACTCAGCTCATCAATAGGAGGGTAAAAACTGTGAATGGAAGAAATGATTGTAAAAATGTAGCTTACATTTTACACTACTATTAACTGTCATTCATTTCTACATTGCTTACCTAGTTTGAGTACATCTGTTTTTCTATCCAACATCTAGCTGGTTTACTATGTTGTACGCAGTGTTGTACACAGTAATCTTGAGGCATTATCCATTTGCACACAGGCTCAACAATAAAGGTCTGCTTCTTCTGCACCCATGTAGCATGTAGTCCTAGAGCCCAGGCATCACTGAACACATGTTCATTTTTTTCTCTATCCAGCCCCCCCCCCCCGAACACAATCTTGAAGTCGGTCTTGCACAAAGGCAAAGACCACAACCATGCACCCTAATATTTGATTATCTGTTTGATTAACAAAAATCTGAAAACTCCACAGACACGTTTTTATGACATGCCCACTGTGTATAACCTGTCTGCAAAAAAAGTTCAAAGGTTTAAATAAAAGTTGTGAATTCAAATTACATAAAAAATAAAAGCTGTTCCATACAGTTTATATGGACAGTAGGTCCTCTCTAGAGGCAATATAAATTTTAGTTTTAATTGAAGATCAAAGCATCACAAAACTGTTCATTTTATTCATCAGCAGAAATAATTTAACATGAACCTGATCTCAGATTGTGAATTGAGATGTATTTTACCAAGGCAATTATTAACTACATAATTTATTTTTAAAGCAATGTTTTGTTAATGTTCATATTCCCAAGAGTATTTGCACCACTTCAAAAGATATTACCAAAGATATCTCTATAGCAACCTGTGAAAATGAAGACGAATCAACTCGCATAACATCCAAAAATATCCTGTCATTTCCCCAAGAGCTCATAGCAACGAGTCAGCAGTACAACACTTTGCCAATTAAATATAATTATACTTAATCTTCCTCACCATGGGAAGACTTTGCTTCACCTAGTCTGAAAGAGGAAATAGTTAAAGACCATAGCTGAGGAAGTCTTCACTGGATCGACATGAATTCGGAAGTTACAAACCAGTATAGAATCCTCCTTTCCTAGACAAATAAATAGACTTTGGCTAAGCAGCTCCAGATACCCCAGGGTGGTGTTTTATTTATTTATTTAGAATACTTGCATCCCACCAAAAGGCTGTCAAAATGCCATATATAATAAATTTGCACAATACAATCATTTTCAAAATGATTTGCACATGTAACCAGAAATAGCATGGTGAGAGTTGATGAGAGCTGGAGTACAGCAACATTTGGAAAGCCAATGATCCCCTACTTCTGCACTAGCAGATTACAGAAGGTGGTGCTGGGAGACCGATATTTTTCCTTATAGGAGTTTTTTTGTTGAGTTCCACACAAGTCTATGCTATTATTTGTTATGGGAACTTTCTTGTGGAGTTCCACATGGGTCTATATAAAACTACGGAGAAATGTTGCCTGGATTTTAAAGTGGGTTGTCACCATGCCATCTAGCTATTTCTCCCTGCCAGGTGAACCAGGCACAATGGATGAATGACAGCCAGAAGTCAGTAGTAGGTTTGATAAGGATGATTAAGTTATAATAATAACAACTCCAGGCACGCCTGGAAGAAGCGGACCATTTGGATCCCTTCCAGTCGGGATTCAGGCCTCATCATGGGACTGAAACTGCCTTGGTCGCACTGGTTGATGATCTCCGGCGGGCTAGGGACAAAGGTGAGAGCTGTTTCCTAGTTCTACTGGATCTCTCAGCGGCGTTTGATACCATCGATCATAACATCCTTCTGGACCGTCTTGAGGGGCTGGGAGCTGGGGGCACTGTTATACAGTGGTTCCGCTCCTTCCTCCTGGGCCGTGTTCAGAAAGTGGTGGTGGGGGATGAGTGTTCAGACCCCTGGGCTCTCACTTGTGGGGTGCCTCAGGGTTCTGTCCTCTCCCCCATGCTTTTCAACATCTACATGAAGTCGCTGGGAGAGATCATCAGGGGATTTGGGCTGGGTGTTCATCAGTATGCGGATGATACCCAGCTCTACCTCTCTTTCAAATCAGAACCAGTGAAGGCAGTGAAGGTCCTGTGTGAGTGCCTGGAGGCGGTTGGAGGTTGGATGGCGGCTAACAGATTGAGGTTGAATCCTGACAAGACAGAAGTACTGTTTTTGGGGGACAGGAGGCGGGCAGGTGTGGAGGATTCCCTGGTCCTGAATGGGGTAACTGTGCCCCTGAAGGACCAGGTGCGCAGCCTGGCAGTCATTTTGGACTCACAGCTGTCCATGGAGGCACAGGTCAAATCTGTGTCCAGGGCAGCTGTTTACCAGCTCCATCTGGTACGCAGGCTGAGACCCTATCTGCCTGCGGACTGCCTCGCCAGAGTGGTGCATGCTCTGGTTATCTCCCGCTTGGATTACTGCAATGCGCTCTACGTGGGGCTACCTTTGAAGGTGACCCGGAAACTACAACTAATCCAGAACGCGGCAGCTAGACTGGTGACTGGGAGCGGCCGCAGAGACCACATAACACCGGTCTTGAAAGACCTACATTGGCTCCCAGTACGTTTCCGAGCACAATTCAAAGTGTTGGTGCTGACCTTTAAAGCCCTAAACGGCCTTGGTCCAGTATATCTGAAGGAGCGTCTCCACCCCCATCGTTCTACCCGGACACTGAGGTCCAGCACTGAGGGCCTTCTGGCGGTTCCCTCACTGCGAGAAGCCAAGTTACAGGGAACCAGGCAGAGGGCCTTCTCGGTAGTGGCGCCTTCCCTGTGGAACACCCTCCCACCAGATGTCAAAGAGAACAACAACTACCAGGCTTTTAGAAGACATCTGAAGGCAGCCCTGTTTCGGGAAGCTTTTAATGTTTGATGTATTATAGTATTTTAATATTCTTTTGGAAGCTGCCCAGAGTGGCTGGGGAAGCCCAGCCAGATGGGCGGGGTATAAATAATAAATTATTAGTAGTAGTAGTAGTAGGTTTGATAAGGGTGAGTAAGTTGAAATCCGGGCAACATGGTAGGAGGTTCCAGAATCTGAGAAGTTGTGAAAGTGTCTGTTCTGGATACTCTCTACTTAAAGAAGTATACAGATGCAAAAAGAATTGCAACCAGTCAGTAGACAACAGTGGGCCAGAAATAACGGTATAAAGAGTAGTTCCTTATAGACTTTCCTAAGGAAAAACCAACTATAGCAGCACCATTGTATAAATTTACAAAATGTTTCTGCTATACTTCAAGAACGTAAATGTTCCATATAATTCTGAATGTGTGTAAACATATAATGATTTAATCTGACGACATATAAAATTACACTATGGCATAGATATCTATAGCGTGTATGTTATGCATCATATTCAATTCATGAACGTGCATGACTTGAATATGGTTATATCCAGTGCTTTCTTTTTAAAAAATAATGTTAAAGGGTACTCTCACTTTCCTACTCATATTAAAATACTGCCCCTCAATGAGGCCAAACTTAGATTCACAAAATGTTTAAGGGTATGTGTCCCCCTGCGTCCCCACAGAAAAAAAAGTACTGGTTATATCTAAGCAGGGCACACTCCAGGAGTTTTTAAAGCCAACTGCTACATAGTAGAACATAATAGTCCAAATTATAATTATCAAATCCTTTTTAAATCTAGGGTGTGTATTATAAGGTATTACCTTTCAGGTGTCGGTAACTGCTGTTTCGCCTGAATTGCTTTGATTAATTCATCAAAATACTCTGGCTTCACAATTGGTCGACCACAGATCAAGGCACATATTGCCTAAAGATAAAGCAGATAATCACTACCATAACTGACAATAGTACAAAAACGCTGCACGCTCTCTCTAACCTGTCTTCATTCCCAGCCTTTCACTCACATCTCTCTACCCCAGTCTCACAACCCACTGGTTAGTGGTACCCTCTTAAAACAGAAAACTACAACCCTTTTGCTGCCATTGTCTGTGGACACCATTCTCACTGCCTTATCAATTCCTCCCATCAGCAGCACACCTTAATGCCCCATATAACAACGAACTCTGCCAGGATGGTTACCTTCCCATCACTCCCAAACACATCAATACCAAACTGAGCCCCAGAAATTACACCAGGCTTCCTCAACCTCGGACCTCCAGATGTTTTTGGCCTACAACTCCCATTATCCCTAGCTAGCAGGACCAGTGGTCAGGGATGATGTGAATTGTATGAAAACATCTGGAGGACCGAGGTTGAGGAAGCCTGAATTACACTCAACTCCTAAGTACTTCTAAATCACTCATCTCCTTTACTCATATGCTTTACAGCAGCTTTCTTGCTAACTCTATACAATCTTGCTAACTCTATACAATTCAACTTCTCTTCTCACTCCTGCACTCGAATCCAAAGATTTATGCCAAATCCACACCCTCCTATATCCTAACTTTGTTGTTTTTATCTTTCTATTAAATTGTTCATTGCATGGCCATCAGTGTCAGCTCCACATCTTCTGGAATGCCAAAAATACACTCCCTCTTATTTGACTCCATAATGGCTATTTGTAATCCACTACACACCTCTAAGAGTAAACCCCAAGGAACATATTGGGACTTCCAAGTAATTATGTGCATGACTGCATTGTTAAAGCACAAAGATGCCTCACAAAAAATGTCACAATTCTCCAGTGCCTGCTGCCAGGAAGTCTCAATTTTCCAATGAAATATTAAAGTTAATTGACAGGAAAGGGAATATGAAAGAACGGTTTGCGGCATATAGGACTACAGACCATTTTACTGCAATGCACAGTTCAGAAAAATCAGTATTACGCTTGCATATCAGATGCACTTGAAATGTCACAACTCACCTTAACTGTAAGTTTGACTGAGTCCATAACAAGATGAGTACATCCTTCTTTCCACTCATTCACTGCATGGCCTCCCAGCTGTAGAATATTTTTACTTAAAGCACTTTTCTGTGAAACAGCTAAGCACGAAGAGCACACTACCAAAGGCTCATAGAATATTCTGCAAAGTAGTGTTAAAAGAAACACACAATATTATTACTTTATTTAGTTAAATAATAGCAACTGAGTGTGTGGTCCTTTACAGGGAGAGGTCCCTGCCCTGAAGAGCTTATCAATCTAAATTTGACACGGGAAGCAACATAGTGGTTTCAGTTGCATGTAAAGGTAAAGGTAAAGGTACAGGTACCCCTGACTGTTAGGTCCAGTCGTGGACAACTCTGGGGTTGCGGCGCTCATCTTGTTCTATAGGCCGAGGGAGCCGGCGTTTGTCCTCAGACAGCTTCCGGGTCATGTGGCCAGCATGACTAAGCTGCTTCTGGTGAAACCAGAGCAGCGCATGGAAATGCCATTTACCTTCCCTCCGGAGCGGTACCTATTAATCTACTTGCACTTTGACATGCTTTCAAACTGCTAGGTGGGCAGGAGCTGGGACCGAACAACAGGAGCTCACCCCGTCACGGGGATTCGAACCACCGATCTTCTGATCAGCAAGCCCTAGGCTCAGTGGTTTAGACCACAGCGCCACCCGCATCCCTCAGTTGCATGTACTTAAGCTCAATTACAGGTTCAGCTACAGTGAAGCATAGCATCTAAGGGGCTGTGGCAAAGGTCTTATAGAAAAGGTGGATTTTGAAAGAAGTAAGAGTTGGCACCATGACAGTGTTCTAGGAGGCATTTCCAACTGTACAGAACAGCTAAGGTGGAATATCTGAGGCAACAGGAGGCCTTCAGACAGTGGAGGGAGGCAGAGCTACTGAAGCAAAGATTATGGCAGGAATGTATCATGATCTAAGAGTAGAGACATTTGCAAGGGAACTCACACCCTTTGTAAGATTCACAGCTGAGAATGACTATTTTTGTCCATTTCTAATTAGTCCTCAGACGTATTCCATGACATTCAAACAAGCATAGCCATGAACATTTTAAGATGAGCACAAATTGATCTTACCTGTACTTGCTTCCAAAGACTCCAAAAGTGACTCTGTCACCGGACCTCAAAGTTCTAGTAGTACCATTTGCTAGTTTTTCTTCATTAACAAAGGTACCATATTTAGAAGTGTCTTTTAAAGTTAACACAGGAAATGTAGAAGACTGAGTCTGAAAATAAAAATAACATTTCAGGTACCAACAACAGCAACTGAGTTCATTTTATCCAAACCACACATCGTGGTTTGTTGGGAGTGTAACAATCTATAGGCAATATTTACTCTTGGCTTACTGATTGTGGTTTGTTGAAGCAAAACAAAACACAATTATTCGTTTGGATGTAACACTAAGCAAGGGATCAAATGTTTTCCCTACGTTTCACTCAGACAGCGGGGTTGATGGCAAACCATTATCTATAGTTTATTGTGATACGCAAACTGGGTCATTGTGTTTTTTGTTTCTAGCATTAACCCTCTATCTCAGCCTTCCTCAATCTGGTGCTCTACAGGTGTTTTGGACTATAGTTCTAAGTGACAGCCAGCACAGGAGTCTTAGCCCCAAATACCTGGAGGATGCCAAGCTAATAAAGGCTGCTATATCTGGTAGCTACTTTTTTCATTTGGTAAACATATTGAGTAAAACACATCCAAAACATAATCTTGTTAGATGAGGTCTAAAAATCTGGGAGCAGTGAGAAATCTGTGACTTGACTGAGGCGGTGCTGTACATTCTATAACTGCAGAAATTATGATAAAAATTGCATGATGCAATTTCATAATGTTGTACATTTGGTACTTACAAGGTTCACTTGAGGGTGACTAACTGAAAGGACTGCATGGCTTCGGCTGATGGACTGATCCGCTTGAATTAAAATGGCACAATTTCTACGTCCGACAACATACTCGACACCAACTAAGAGGTGGTATGACTGTCCTGAAATGGGAAAAACACAACCAAATTTTAATTAACCTCTGATGGTATAACGCCGATTTTAATCTTTATTCATGTGGATGGAGAGCTGGAGACAGGACTTTAGCCACCCCTTCCACCTTACAGCAAGGATGTGGAAAACCTGCGGGCCCCCCCCCCCATGTTTTGCTGGACTACAACTCCCATCATTCCTTGCCCTTGGCGATGCTTGCTGGAGCTGATGGGAGTCGTGCTTCAGCAATAGTTCCCCACACCTGCTCTCAATGCGAAGCCCACCCCCCAGTTTCCCAAAGTAAACATCGGCTAATTGGCTAACTGCCGCTTCTCCAACCCGCTCAAACGCGGCGAGCCAGGACAGGCTGAACCAACCAATCAACACGCAGAAGCCGGAAGGCGGTAGAACCAACAGGCGTCAAACCGGAGTGAGACCAGTTGCCCAGGACACGCCCCCTCCCCCTCAGGCTCCGCTCCTCACCTGGCCCGGACTCGTCAGCTGGGCTCAACTTCCACATCCTGAGCCGGAAAGAAGCCGGAAGGCCCGGCCCGGCCCGCCTCGCCTCGCCTTTGTATCTTCACCAGCTTCCCCAGCCCCTCTTCTCCACCTCAGAGCAGCTACCCGAGGCGACGCACCTCTTCTCTGCACACCGCGCATGCGCCTTTCGAGGAGGCTGGCACAGCGACGACATCGCGAGAGCCCAGACTGAGAGAACAGCGCCTCCTACAGAGAGCGGAGGGAAGCCCTCCGACAATTGAGCGCATGCGTGACCTTTTCTCTATTTATTTTTTTTTAAAGCAAGTTTAGTTCTTAAGAGAACAGAAGTAGGAAAATAGTTAAGACGCGGTTTCCCGATTCCCTTCGTTTTCTCGGAATGTTGAAACCAGACCTGTGTCTCAATCTGAAATATTACAAGTCTAAGCGGGGGGGTGGGGTGGTAAGGGCAGGGCGGTTGGTGGGCGATTTTTTTTTTTTCATCTGGTAGTGAAGTGACTTCGAAGCAATCCACTTCAATTTATTGCAGCCTAACAGGATGGCCCCTCTGACATTTGTCGCGCACGTACTCGCGCACCCATGAATTTGTAAATGTGTCTGTGCTTGGTTATCTTAAATACATGACCTTTCACACACTCTTTCAAACACGTGATCCCTTACTTGGCAGAGAGAGAGAGAAGACCTGAAATACAAAACAAAACTGTATCATTACAGGATGTAACATTTTACATTGAAATAACGGGACAATCCTGGATGAATACAGGACAGGGGGCAACACAGGCTGATGAAGGTTGCGCAGCGGCCAGGAAAGGCACTCCGGCTCTCCATATGACTCCACTTCTGCGCCTGCTTGCTTGAAAAGGTTGGATTGCTGATCGGGGCCTGGCAGCTCTAGATCAATTCAAGCTCATTGATAAATCTGCAGGCAATAAATACATCGGCGCAGTGGCCATTCAAGTTTTCCGAGGGGTGGGGCGTGGCCTCTCTGCCGAAGGGGGCGTGGCCGAAGCGTGCGCGTTCCATCGAGCCCCACCCTTCAGCTTCTCCTTCCATCTCTGATTGGACTTTGAGGGGGCGGGGCAGGCGGGGGCGGGGCTTAGAGGAACTCCCTCTTCGGACAGGAGTCAGAAGTAGGGGAAGATGGCGTTGGCAGCGGTGCTAAGTGTGTCGTGCGGAGTGCGGGCCAGGCTAGTCCCGCGGCTGCTTCCTTCACCTGTACGGGTAAGGTGCTATGTGCTCCGCCTGGATATGCATACGCTGGAAATTTGCCGCACCTCCCGACGGGAATAAGTGGTGTAAATTTGCGAAACATCTGCCTTTAAGCTATACAGTATGTATAAATTTGTTTATGCATCGGATGGAGGAGCAAATCTCCCCCTTACATAGAAAGACCACTCCTCTCCCTGGCTCTGCTAGTTTTCTGCTTGCAAGGCGCTGTGTGTATATGCAGGGGTGCCAACTTCAATAAAATGGGGGGGGGCAGGTAAGCCCCACCCCGCATAATCGATCACATGACATTACACACGCACACCTCATTTAAATGGGAATTACCCTCAAATTCTGCCTCTAAGAATTGACTAAGAATAGTGTGTGTATATCTATATATCTGTATCTTAATTATTTAACTAAAGGTAAAATGTCAAAAGGTAAAGGTAAAGGTACCCCTGCCCGTACGGGCCAGTCTTGCCAGACTCTAGGGTTGTGCGCTCATCTCACTCTATAGGCCGGGAGCCAGCGCTGTCCGCAGACACTTCCGGGTCACGTGACCAGCATAAAATGGGACAGCCTTTAAAGGTGCTGAAAAATACGTTCATTCGCAGGATCATGCCAAGATTAATCCACTTGTCAGCATATGTACCAGCAGCAGAGAACTGTAATGCCACCACTGCCATTCTGCAGTGTTTAGGGGGCGGGGTATCAGCTGCTCAGATTTTCATTCCAAAATTCCACAGTAGAAAAAGCTCCTTATGCAGGCTGAAGCAGCTTTTTGGACCCCCCACCCCACCCTTGTGGCTAAATAGGAGATTGCTTAACTGGCATTTGCTCAGTACTTTTCCAGAGTCCGGAGCTCATTGTAATGATCTCCATTGGTTTCAGTGGGAATTGTTTCAATACTGAAGTCCACAGCATTTGAACAGTTTACTGAGCTCAGTTAAGAGGCTTGTTGGCCAATCCAGAGCTATTTGTTTGAAGCCTGTGCTCTAAATGGAGATAAGATCAGGCTGCAGGAATGTGAACTTTGAACCCGGTGTTTGAGAATGACAGTTTTCTTTAAAAAGTTGTTTTCTTAAGCTGTTATCAAATGTGGGATGGCATGAATGTCCAGCACTCACTCAAATGGGCTGGGTAATATTTTTTGTATTTGTTCATAGAGAGTTGGTATATGGTTAAGAGAGAAGCTCATTAGGCAAGCAACTCTCAGGTCAATTCTCCCCCTCCCACAGTATGGGGAATTGCTGGTAGGGCGAGTGCTGTTGTGTTCAAGTTCTGCTTGTGAGCTTCCCATGGGCCGATTGACCACTGTGAGAACAGATGGACCTTAGGCCTGATTCAGAAGGGCCTAATAAATAAATCAGATTTACTTTACAGAGTTGATATAATGTAGTTGTCGAGAATCTCTGCACCACAGCACTAATTAAACCCCCCAGGCTTCCTTACTTCAAACATCCCATGGGTGGGGTGACAGGGGGGAGATTAAGGATCTGGTCTGCTGGCCAGAGCCAATTCTTCACTCATGCTGTAAAGTTTACAATTAGATAATGCACATAAAGCAGGGGTCAGCAACCTTTTTCAGCTGTGGGCCGGTTCACTGTCCCTCAGACCATGTGGTGGGCTGGACTATATTATATATATTATACAGTGGTACCTCGGGTTACATACACTTCAGGTTACAGACTCCGCTAACCCAGAAATAGTGCTTCAGGTTAAGAACTTTGCTTCAGGATGAGAACAGAAATCGTGCTCCGGCAGCAGGAGGCCCCATTAGCTAAAGTGGTGCTTCAGGTTAAGAACAGTTTCAGGTTAAGAACGGACCTCCGGAACGAATTAAGTACTTAACCTGAGGTACCACTGTATATGCCCTACAAATAACCCAGAGATGCGTTTTAAATAAAAACACACATTCTACTCATATAAAAACACACTGATTCCCTGACTGTCCGCGGGCCGCATTTAGAAGGCGATTGGGCCAGATCCGGCTCCTGGGCCTTAGTTTGCCTACCCACGACATAAAGTTTTCAACTTGTAAGTGCTATACACAGATGCTAAGTATTGCTATTGGTATTCACATCAATGGTGTTTTTTTTAAAAAATAACTATATCCACAGTAGCTTTATAGCTGAGAATTATCTAGGTTTTATTAACCTGTAAAACATAGTAAATTGTCTTCTTTCCCTTTTTCAGCTTTTAAGCCATGGAACAAAAGTAATGTATCAAGTTGATCGTGCTTTTGCACCACTTCAGAAAGTGATGCTGCCATCAGATACTTTTCATGGCAAAGTGGCCTTTATCACAGGAGGTGGCACTGGCATTGGAAAAGGGATGACAGCTGCTCTTTCTGCTTTGGGAGCAGAGTGTGTTATAGCAAGCCGGTAAGAGCATCTATTCCATTTTGCATGATGTAGTCTTTTAAAATGGAGAGTACAGTTCTCAGTATGGAGTCCTCTGCACACTTACTTGGCACTAAGACCCTCTGAGCACAGGGAGGAAGCAAACACATTTAGGGTAGACGTGTTAGTCCTACTCAGTGGCGCTAAGGTAACTTAGGCCCATTCATTTTAACTTTGTGGGATGCAACCCTAGGATTGCGCAATGGATTCTTCTGGTTTTTTTAAGCAGTTAGGCAATATTTAAGAAATCCAAGTTCACTGAGCAGTGTGTTGTGAATTGACACTGAAGGACCATTCAGACAACCACACCAAGACTCAGAACTGGATTTTTGTTCTGTGGGGTCCTTTTGGGGGCGCCGTTTGTTTACCTAAATAAGTGTGACTGTGCCCAAAAACATGACTGAACTAAATTCATAAGAATGAGTTAGCTCCATTTTCCGCCCCTGTTTTAACCTTCGCCCCCATGTCAATGCCTCCTCCCCTCTCTTTTTGTGCCACAACCCCACCCCACCCCATGGTGACCTGCATCTTCTTATGTTGTTCAGAACTGAACATTTTCCTCTCAGTGTGCTTTACCCAAATTTCTGCTGTTGTGTTTAAACATCCACTTTTCCGCTTTCAATGTTTCTCCATTCTTGCTTTGGTCAAACCTGTCTCTCTCTTCCATTCCTCAGCTGCCTCGTGCGAGAGAGATAAAGGATGCAAAGCCCTCAGATATTCCATTGTTTGAAGCTAGTTTACTGAAGCCTCTGCTGTTGTTTGAAACCCCCATTTTCCTCTCTGTTATCTCCATCCCTGCTTGATTCAAATTCATGCCATCGTTTTAAACTACCACTTCTCCCCTCTCAGTGCCCCTCCCTTCTGGATTGTGCAACCTGCCTTCTCTTTGGCTCCCACTCTAACTTCATACAAATCCATTAGGCAATACAAATCCTCCAATAAGGGCTGTGCAATGACATCCTTACATTTTTATGTGTACAGTGGACACTCGGGTTGCGAATGTGATCCGTGCGGGAGGCACATTCGCAACCTGCAGCATTTGCAACCCGCAGCTGCACGTTTGCGCATGCGTGGGTTGAGATTTGGTCTTCTGCGCATGCACAAAGCGTGATTTAGCGCTTCTGCACATGCATGACCGCCAAAACCCAGAAGTAACTCGTTCCGGTACTTCCGGGTTTCGGCACGTCTGTAACCTGAAAAAACGCAACCTGAAACGTCTGTAACCCGAGGTATGACTGTATAGGAAAATATTATTAAACAATATTTTTGTTTCTGTTTAATGGTATAATATTGAGAGAGGCAAAATACTGCATCCAAACATGAACTTTTATTTGTAGGAACAAAAAGGAATAAAAATTATTTTTAAAATCGTAAAATCTTCATAGATGTTAAATGCTCCTGGGATATAGTGAAATGTAAGTAACATTTTACTCCTTTAAGGGTGCAGGTAAAATTCTGCCCTAAGTGTGACCCAGCCTCTGGGGTTTAAATTGAGCAGGGGGAGGGGGGACATGAATTTTGAGCCTCAGAAATAAAAGAGCAAGCACTAAGTGTATCTGCCGCCCCAATGAGAAACCTCTGGTTGTATTTAATAAGATGTTTCCACAACAGCAACTTCAGTCTGAAATAGAACTTACTGCGTTGTGTCCAATGCTAGTCCTACTTAGAGTACACCCACTGAAATGAATGAACATTAATAACTTAGATCCATTAATCTCAGTCAGTCTGCTGTGAATGGGACAAGCATTGGACAAAGCTCTTCATTGTCAGTCTGCCACATCACACATGGAATCACTGCTAAGCTTTTACCAAAACACTAAGAAAGAAACCCCAGAAGTTTGATGTACAGTATATGGCTGTAATGGAAACTCAACCGTAATGTGTAATTATTTATAGGAAACTTGATGTATTGAAACAAACAGCAGAAGAAATTTCTTCTAAAACGGGAAATAAGGTATTGTTAAATAACAAATGTTATTAATGGTGCATTCAGTCATGGGATTTTATGCATATAAGAATATATTTAATTCTTTCTTTTTCTCTTCTTCTGCTGGTAGTGGATATATTGATATTAGTTTATTACACAGGTCCACGCAGTTCAGTGTGATGTGAGAGATCCAGCATCTGTTAGCAATGCAATTTCTCAATTAATTGAAGTGGCTGGACATCCCAGTGTGAGTATCCTAATTCAAAACTTTGATTAATCATTACTGGAAAAATCCAACCCAGTGTGCATTTAAAAAAAAACACAGAAAAACTTCTAAATGTAAGCAAGCTAATGAATTGAAAAGGATTCTGAAAGAATTTTCAAAAGTAAATGTTCAGTTGAATCTACCCATAGAACAAAATCCATGGGAATAGGTCACAGCAGTATTTTGAGGAAGCTGTGGACTTTAACTGCCTGGTGTCGACATGACCTTGATGTAACTGGGATGGGACCAGTGTGCACACATGAACCCCCAGCCTCTCCCACATCCTAGTGAGGACTGAGCATGCTCAGCGGCCACACAGTGCTTACTGACAGTTGTGAAGGCAAATAGATTGGACTATCCTGGAAGAAGGTGTGGCTGGTTGCCTGGATCTCCGCATGAGAGCACTCACCGCTTCAACATTTTGCTGCAGCTCCAACTTGCATCACAAAGCTGTCGGAATTAGCTTGTTAAAAGTTTTGAAAGCGGTGGATAGGAGATGTATTTTTTGTTAATGGAGGGTTCCACTGCTCTAATATACTTCTTACTGGCCAAAGGGCAGTTAGATAAAGTCACCATCTCTTTGTTTGTGCCTCGTGAGTTAAACTCAAAAGGACAACTGTGGTTGACTGGCGTTGCTTGCTTGGTTGGAACACATACTGGAATTGATGCGAAAGCTTTTAAAACCAAAATGGTTACTTGGTTTTTCTCTGCGCTGCTGATTTTTGCTTTTGCCAAAGGTTCTGGTAGGTTATACTGACTCGGAGTGTGTGTACCTTTCAGCCAAACCATGGCTCAGCACACATGAACCAAGATATGGTTTCCTGGACTGAAATTGTCACCTGAAGCATTGCACCCCCAGTCCTCCTGCTGCCTCCCTAGCTGATGTTAAGCCACAATTTGGATTAGCATTACATCTGAACCTAGGCTCGTAGTTTGTCTTGCTCCAGACAAACCACGAGCCCTAGTTCAGTTCTAGCACAGAGGCAAACCATGCCTTAGTCCCAAGCAGTGGGGTGGCAGCAGGACCAGGGAATGAGCAGTATGGCTCTGATCTTCCCTCCAGGAACCTGCACTCTTGTCATTTGTGCTAAACCATGTGTGAACTGGGCCACTCTGTTTTTATGTAAAAATTCTCCTGGAATTTCTGAAACCACCACCAACTATCTTAAATTTGCAGAAGAACGATTTCAGCAAATATTTAAGCTTTCTTTCTCCCTTTCAGGTTATAATAAATAATGCAGCTGGAAATTTTGTATCTCCTTCTGAACGTCTTTCTCCAAATGCATGGAGGACAATCACAGATATTGTTCTTAACGGTACTGCCTATATAACTCTGGGAATAGGAAAAGAACTGATTAAAGCTCAAAAAGGTAAATTGAGATTGACAGAGCTTGTCCTTTTCTTGCTGAATACCATTTTGGACAAGAAATAGATTTTTTTGGGGGTGGAGCCTTCTTAGAACCCTGAAAACCTCAAGCTTTGTTTTCATAGAATTGTAGAGTCAAACCTTCACTGTTTCTCTCCTTCATTGATTTGACCTGTTTTAGGAAACTGATAATTTGGAAAGGAGAGCAATACATATAATTAATTTTTAAAAAATCTTGCATCTTCCAGGAGCAGCCTTTCTAGCCATCACCACAATTTATGCAGAAAGTGGGTCAGGGTTTGTGTCGCCAAGTGCTTCTGCCAAAGCCGGCGTTGAAGGCCTGTGCAAGTAAGCAATCTGTCAGCACCCGTCCCCCTCATTTTTAATTTTTTTTTAAACACTCCCTCATAAGGCTGAAATAGACCAACCCAAATGAGACAGCTTAGAATTGGAGTGAGAAGTGGCTGTTTGCCATTGTGGTGGGTTCAACAAATTCATTTTCATTGGGTTTTTATTTTATTTTAACAAATCATATACCGTTTAACCACAGTAACCTCAAAATGTTTTACAAGGAATACAATACAAAAAAGGCTAACAGTGGTTAGAACTATAAAATCAGGCTTCAGTTAAAATGCCTGCTGGAGTACCAAATTATTCAGTAGGTGCCAGAAGTTCAAATCCGAATGGCTTCATATACAGTGGTACCCTGGGATGCGAACAGGATCCATTCCAAAGCCCCGTTCGGATTCTGAACAGAAAGTAAGATGCGACTGCGCATGCGCGGGTTGCGTTTCGCCGCTTCCACGCATGTGCATGACGTCATTTTGACCATCTGCACATGCGCGAGTGGCGAAACTCAGAAGTAACATGCTCCGTTACTTCCGAGTCGCCGTGGAACGCAACCCGAAAGCGCTCAACCTGAAGCGTATTTATCCCGAGGTATGACTGTAGATGTTAAACAGCATTGTGGACAAGATTGTATGGCTTTAGGCCATAGTACAAGGACCGTGGTGCTGAAACAGTCTCCCATTGTTGCTTTCTGGACATGACCCCGTAGGTAGGGCAGGATAAAATATTAACCCCAATACCCATTCTGCCTAGGCAGTCCAAGAGGATACTTGATCAAAGGTATCAAAAGCAGCCAAATGACCAGAGTCGCATTCCAGCTGTCGAATGCATTCCCCAAACTGTGCTTGAATCAGAGGCGGACTTTGGCCTTTCAGTGCCCTGTGCAAGAACAGAATTCAGTTCCCCCTGCCTCTTGCCTTATGTTCTGCTCAGTTCACCAGACCATAGCTGTGTTGCTCAGCAGCGCCCCTTAGGCTCAGCACCCAGTGCAGCAGAACCAGTCCTAAATCTGCCCCTGCTTGAACTATGATTAAAACAGATCTACGTGATTCATAACCTACAGGAATTCCTGCATTATCCTCAGTGGACGTAGCCCACAAACAGGGTAGGGTTACAGCACAGAAGGGCAACCTTTGCCCTAGGGGCAACCTTACTTCATGTTACCCCAACACCCGCTGAAGCTGCTTCATTTGTCTATCCCATCAGAGTTCCTTCTTTCCTATTCACTTCCTCCTTATTTCCCCACGATTTTTGGAAAATGTTTTTTCCCTCTATATGTATAATTCTTCTCCATTGGGAAGGGACCTATGAACAGAAAACCTAGTGTGCAAGCCCAGATACATTTTTATTTTTACTTCTAATCCTCTTTATATGCCGAATACTTACAAAGTCTCTTCATGAATTTCTAGGTCTCTTGCAGCGGAATGGGGTAAATATGGCATGAGATTCAATGTGATTCAACCAGGCCCAATAAAGACTAAGGTACATGATCATGTTTTGTAGACATTAAAGAACTGGCCAAGACATCAGATTGACTTTAGTGACTGGGTCTCTGAGCCCAATTTCAGTTCTACTTGAGACAGATCTCACAGCTGTTTTGAGCACCATTTTGTGAAGGAGAGGTGCAAATAAATACTGGTTTAAATAGAACTTGGAAGCACACATAATCATTATCCATCTTCATTCTCTCTTTAAAAAAACAACAACTTTGTAAAATTATATACCACTTCATCAAAGGCCACAGGACAGTTTTCAATGTAGCATAATAAATAAAACATAATAGGTAAAAAAAAAGGTAACGGATCCTTGGACGGTTAAGTCCAGTCAAAGGCGACTATGGGGTCGCAGCGCTCATCTCGCTTTCAGGCCAAGGGAGCCGGCGTTCGTCCACAGACAGCTTTCCGGGTCATGTGGCCAGCATGATTAAACTGCTTCTGGCGCAACGGAACACCATGACGGAAACCAGAGTGAACGGAAACACCATTTATCTTCCCACCACAGTGGTACCTATTTATCTACTTGCACTGGTGTGCTTTTGAACTGCCAAGTTGTCAGGAGTTGGTGCAAAGCAATGGGAGCTCACCCCATCACAGGGATTCGAACCACCAACCTTTTGATCGGAAAGCCCAAGAGGCTTAGTGGTTTAGACCACGGCAGCACCCACGTTCCTAAATAGAACATAATAAACAATATATGTCAATACATAATATAACATATACAATTCAAAAAATAAAATCATCCTATAGATGCATTTTATAATAATAAATACTTATTAACATAGATAATCTCATGGCATAAATTATTATCTACTTACCCCAGTTATTATCTAACTTACATGTTATACATATCTAACATAGGTTTTTTGTGTTGTTGTTTTCTGGCTCATTAAGGAGTATTTTTCTGGGTGATATGGTTGCCTGGGCGAAATGTATGGCATTTAGTGTTTCAGTAGATACAAGTCTACTAGAGTTACCCACATTATTTCCCCATTTGACACTTGCTTGATCTGTGCTACACAGTCACTTTACTTTTACCCATGATTGTTAAGTATAAAACTTTTTCAGATGGCCTCTAGCAGAGTTCCGGAAGCAATAGTTTCTCTCGATAATTTTCCTCAGGGAGCTTTCAGCCGTTTGGACCCAGAAGGTGTGTTTGAGAAAGAAATGATCAAGAGAATTCCTTGTGGGCGTCTGGGAACAATAGAAGAGATTGCCAATCTTGCCACCTACCTCTGTAGTGATTATGCAAGTTGGATTAACGGAGCAGTAAGTTATCATTCTAGTTGCTAGGGGTGCCCGAATCTCTTTGCTACTGATGCTAGAATATTGTGATCCAGAAGCCATTTCCACCTGGTCCCATTAGAGGGGGCTAAATGCTTTCTTTGGGGCTAGACAAGCTCCATGCAAATTCATTGGGAATTTGACTTCTTTAAAATTATGTGCGGCTTTAGTTGATGGAAAAAGCAGTTTGTGCATATTCTAGCATAACTAGTTCTGTTGAATGATGCTTTCCATTTTGTTTTTACTAAATAGAAAACATTAATGACTTAAAAGTACTTTATTTGGCCATACTAGGCTTCCTTAGCATATTGGTTCAACTGAAACCAGTTCAAATTATTGTTGGGAGTGGCTTAATGGGGGAAAATGTGCTTTAATCTTGCAGGTCATTAGAATGGATGGTGGTGAATACGTCTCTATGGCTGGAGAGTTTAATCACCTAACCAAGGTAATAACTTGCAAGTCGGATCGGCAAAAAAAATAATGTTGCAGCATGCTCTGTGCCTTTTTGAAATTGTCACCCTGCCTTCCAATGTCACCAAACAATGCTCCATTTTCATTGGGCAGTTTTTGCAGGGTGTTTGTGTCTTCACTATTCTCCCCCCTTTAACGGAGTTTGTAAGCCCACACCCCCTCCACCCTTCTAATACCTCCCTCTTGTGCATGGATAATGTTGTTTTGGCGATGTAAGCACTGGCACTCACACCTGAACATCAGAAATGTATAAAATTATATGTTTAGGGTTCAATCCTGTCAAAAGCTTTTAATCACGTTCATTTCAATGGGGAAAGATGTTTGATTGTGCCCATTATGTCTGCATAAAACTCAAAGACGGAAAAAACCTGTAGTATCTCATCTAAAATGTTTTATTTTCTATGCTAGGTTACCAGTGAAGAATGGACTAAGATGGAAGAAATGATAAGGAAAACGAAAGGCTCATAACTTTCTTTCAAACTATATTTTTATATAGAAATTCAAGCATTATAAATTTCACTAATGTTGGTATTAATTGACTGACTTTTATACATTTTCAAGGCTGAACAATTTTAATTTACATACAGCACAATATTAAATGCTTTTTAAATAAGCATCATAACAGAAATTGATCAATAAGGTGTGGTTTCATTTGGGGGCTGGTTTGGTATGTGATATTATTAAAAAAAAAAACTTTGTTTAGCATGCCAGTTTAGAATGAGGCCTCGTATCTTGCCTGAGTTTTGGTTTTAGAGTTTGAAGTCAAGCAATTGCGTCAAGCAGTTCTGCATCTCAGGAGAAACTTCAGTTATTATCAGGCAACTACGTATATGAGTAGGAGAGAGACAGCACTTCATCCCACCCACCCACCCACAACTCCCTATATTTGTGGCAATATGGCAATATTGTGAGAATATGGTCATCATCTGATCTGTGACCCTGAGATGCAGTGATATCATGGAACGATTGTTGAGGTGACTGCATCAGTAATCAAATGCAGTGGTACCTCAGGTTACAGACACTTCAGGTTACAGACACTTCAGGTTACAGACACTTCAGGTTACAGGCTCTGCTAACCCAGAAATAGTACCTCGGGTTAAGAACTTTGCTTCAGAATGAGAACAGAAATCACGCGACGGCAGTGGGAGGCCCAATTAGCTAAAGTGTTGCCTCAGGTTAAGAACAGTTTCAGGTTAAGAACGGACCTCTAGAATGAATTAAGTTCTTAACCTGAGGTACCACTGTGTTGACAAAACCACACAGCTTCTGTGGAAAAAAATTTAAGGTGAATTTGACTGGGGGAAAACGCACACAAGAGCTGGAGCAGCTATACCAATACCAACAAGGATGTGGAAACTTTCCTAGTTGGCAGACCAGATCTTTAAATCTTTCCACAAAATTTGACAGATGGGCAGGAGCCAAACACAGCCCTCCAGACCTCTGTGTCTGCCCTTCAGAAATCTTCCTGGGTCACACCCCTCACCAGTCCTGCTTTTGCACTCTTCTCGAATCGTGGAATTGGAAGGGACCCTGAGGGCCAGCCCCCCTGCAATGCAGGAATCCCAATATGTGTTCCCCCATCCACTATGAAACTGTACTGGACCCTGCTTAGCTTTGCAAATATGCCTAGCAGCTTTATTGCAGAATGTATGTTTGAACTGTTACAATTCCTCTTGCTTTCCTGGAGAGAGGAAATAGAGCAGGCATAGGCAAACGCTGCCCTCCAGATGTTTTCAGACTACAATTCCCATCATCCCTGACCACTGGCCCTGTTAGCTAGAGATGATGGGAGTTGTAGTCCCAAAACATCTGGAGGGCAGAGTTTGCCTATGCCTGATATAGAGGGATGTATGTAGAAACTAGCCTACTGCACTAAGGTACATTTTACGTGCATTGCTGCTCCTGCTTTTGTCCGTGGCTATGCCTACCCACAAGGTATGTGTCTTCCACAGGGAATAGGCACCTTCAGCTGAAACGGGTTTCCCACCTCTGCCCTAGAGATTGGTAGGGATTGTTCTTCTTCAGGACCGGCTGTATTCATATGAAACTTCTTTTATTTAGAGTTGAGGCCATTGGTCATTCTAGACCCAGGATTGTCCGCTCTGACAGTAGCTTCCCATAATCTCAAGCTTTTCCCAGTTCTGTTTTTCTTAAGACAGTCTTTTGAACCAGAGATGCTAAGGATTTCTTCTTGGTCTTCCAAGTCAAAAGTGGCCACTAGGTGGAACCATAAGACAGGAAGGAAAACCTCCAGAAGCACATTTCAGGTTATGAAAACTCATAAAGGTCTTACACAACCTGTGCGATTTTCAGCCTCCCTACCTATGCAAGCTGAATTGCTGTAGGGAAATGAGCCCAGTAAAACGGAGGTGGCATCTTGCGCTGGCACCAGCATAATTCCATGGTACTGAAAATGTGTAGAATATTTGAAATGAGATTTAAAAAAACAAAAAAAACAAAACCTCGTAGAAACACAAAACAGGCACTTAAATGTGTTGTCCAGCAGTTAGATATATGGGAGGACCACTTTGAAAAGCTAAATCTCCCTTCTAGAAAAGAAAACAGCCAGTAAGTCTGGCTTACTGTCCATTTACTCCTACTGCCTCCAGGTTGGCAACTGGGAGATGGGGCACAATTCGTACCTTGCAGCGGCCAATGTGTGCTTTAACAGCTATGCAGGAAGGGGCAAACTTTCGATATAGTTGAGAGCTACCAAGAGTCAAGATAAATGGAATGAAATTGACCGGAGGCAACTGACACACTGGGGTTATATGGGGCTTGCAACTACCCACCACATCAGTGTGGGTAAGTGAAACCCTATTTTCCTGGTTTGGACAAAAGAAAAACTTCATTTGATGTTTCAAATGAGGAGGGGTTGGCTTTCTGAGTTCTTGTGGAATTTCTACTTTTTCGTATGAATGTAAGTTGGACTTAACTTCTAAGCGTAGCGTGACTTGCATCCTTATAGTTTAACTTGTAGCCATAAAATGCAGTAAAAGAAAATGGTAAATGATCTGCCTTGGCCTGATTTACAGAGATTCACAGCATTGGCTGCTCCCATTTGATGCCGATGGGATTTGCAGCCACGCAGCAGCTGGGAAAAATGGGGCACTTATATTTAGGTGCTTAATTGTGGATTGCTGTGCAACATGTTGCTCATCTAGAACTGATGGTTCTGATCGGCATGAATATTGATGCTGGTTGTGATTGCAAAATGTTAGATGGTAATATATAATTTTTTAATAGCACAGGTGATGGAAAATGGAAGCGAGATTTTGCTTCACCCAATGACATCGCATATGCAGCTTTTCAGTCTTCTTGCTGATGTTTCGTGTAATTTATCAGCCAGCAGAAAAGTTGCACCACAGACATATGATGGACGTTTGCTGGAAGCATTTAAGCAGAGGCTGTCAAGATACCAGGCCATCTGCAGCAGTGGGGGACCTGTGGCTCTCCAGATGTTGGTTTACTCCAAGCTTCTTCAACCTCGGTCCTCCAGATGTTTTTGGCCTACAACTCCCATGATCCCTAGCTAGCAGGACCAGTAGTCAGGGATGATAGGAATTGTAGTGGTCAGGGATGATAGGAATTATAGTCTCAAAACATCTGGAGGGCCGAGGTTGAGGAAGCCTGGTCTACTCCCGTTATGCAGCTCCAACAGCTGGGTGAACACACTGAGCTGCTTTCATACTATTGTTTCATTAAGCCAAATACTATCTGTTCTGGCTGGCAGGCTCTGCTGCCCAAGAATTAGAATTGTAGAGTTGGAAGGGACCCCAAGGATGGGTAAAGGGGCCCCTGACCATTAGGTCCAGTCGTGGCCGACTCTGGGGTTGCAGCGCTCATCTCGCTTTATTGGCCAAGGGAGCCGGCATACAGCTTCCGGGTCATGTGGCCAGCATTACTAAGCCGCTTCTGGAGAACCAGAGCAGCGCACGGAAACGCTGTTTACCTTCCCACCGGAGTGGTACCTATTTATCTACTTGCACTTTGACGTGCTTTTGAACTGCTAGGTTGGCAGGAGCAGGGACCGAACAACGGGAGCTCACCCCATCACGGGGATTCGGACCGCCGACCTTCTGATCGGCAAGTCCTAGGCTCTGTGGTTTAACCCACAGCGCCACCCACGTCTCTTCACCCCAAGGATAATCGAGTCCAACTCTCTGCATGGCAGGAATATGCAGCTGGCTCATGCTGGGATCGAACCCACAACCTTGGCATTATCAGCACCGCACTTCAACCCAGTGAGCTAACCGCCACTGGTCAGTGCTTGAAGGACAGCAAAGAACAAATTGAAGACTGAAGCCCTTAATTTTGGGGGCAACTACTTGGGGTGATAATTCAGACCTTCCCCACCACCACCACCTTTCTGCCTTAATACAGTCACAATAAGAGTCAGCCTCTGGAGGCCTAGGCTAACTTTATAGAACATAATCCTTTAAAGGAGTCAGAGTCATCAATGAAAATAAGGTTGGTGTCTTGCACACCTTCTTCCATGTTCAGACTTCTCGTGTTTTCTTAAGGTGACGTCTATTTGAAATACTTCGCTTTTTGCATAATAAGGTAGCACCCTAATCGTATTTATATCCCAGGGAGACAGTGGGGTTCAAAACATCCTTTTCAAAGAAAGATGGAATCCTATTTCCAAAGCTTTTCATTTGGGAAAAAGTTAAGCCCAGCACTCCTCTGATCGGTCTCGCATCATACACATTCACAGCATGAGGTTTCCCCTTTTCAGTTGAGCATGAAAAGACAAATCGATGGTTTAATTGTCAATCTAAGTTTAATCATTTTGCCATTCATAATCATGCCTCTAGGCAGATATTCAAATCATTGTATCTCTTTCAGAATACAGTCATATGTTACATTGCATAGAGAAGTTAGAGGTGAGTGAGAAGGTGAAGAATTAGCTCACTCGGCTTGTAGCAGAATTGTCAAAATAGGCCACCGAACTTAACTAAGCCTCTTAATGCGTTAAGCCTTTTTTTTCACCTAGAGACACTCCTAATTTAGTACATATTTTCAGAAATGAAACAAGGCACTTGCTCGTTGGAGGCCATTTTGTATCTTTGCGAAATGACTTCTAGCTTTCAAAGAATCGTAGAGTCGGAAGGGACCCTGAGGATCATCTAGTCCAACCCCCCAGCAATGCTGGAATATGCAGCTTTCCCATTCAGGGATCGAACCGGCAACCTTGGTGTTATCAGCACTACGCTCTAATCAACTGAGCTATCCGGTGGTGAAAGGATAAAATCAGCACCCTTCAAATATATATATTTTTATATAAATCTTTTTGTAAGCATTTTAAATGGAGTAAATTTAGCCCAGACCTATTCCTAAGCAGCGAGAACTCCATTTAATTAACACAAATATGCCTGATTTCATATCCCTCTCATTTCTAGATTTCTGGAGAAATTACATAGATTTAACTGGGATGTACAGCCACCACCTTTTTAACTTACTTTCTAAAATTGGGCCCACGTTTTAAACCAAAGAACTGAACGCATTGCACACATGGGAGTTCTAGAAGTAATGCAATTTTAAATGCTCATACAATTGTTAACGTAGTCCAGAAATCTTACAGGATGTACTTTTTCAAAACGTTCAGGGTGATAATACTTGGATATCAGCCATTGTATCTCCTTTTGCAGCCAATGGACATAATCCAGGAAAAAAATGAAAGGTGGTTTCAGTTTCAGTGCTGATAACTGAATGGGATGCCCAGCTCATGAACAAAATTAGCTGTGCTCATATAAAGATGCATAGGATTTTCGTAACTTAGTAAGTCCTATGAATTTCAGTGGAATGGTGCCATGCATTGTTGAAATGAAAGGACTATCCCTGATTATCTCTCTCATGGAAACAAGACTGTGGCGACTGAGATTAACCTGGGCAAAATGCAGGCTTAACCGTGTTGTGGATCCTAGCTGTACAAAAGTGCAAGTTATTTCTTTATCACCTGCCAAAGTAACAGAACATAGGAAGTAGACAGACTAGACACCAGCAGTCTTAGTATATTAAATTTAATTATAGATTACACAGAATGATGTAAAAACAGCAGTTTGCTAGAATTATAATATTCTGCAAGTGGAAATAGTTTTTAGAAAATGGATTGTTATATTCTCTGACACAGCAGCAATCATTAAACGTTAAAAGTTATAAAGAGGCCGGCTTGTGGTACCTTTTCTGCCTGCCTATCCTTTGTTGTACACTTTTCTTGCCAAGCTTGCAGTTTATACAGTAAGACATCGTTGTACCTGTTAGGCTACCAAGATAGCTTAAAGGCTTCTCATGAAGATAAATTCCTCAGTGTCCCAAGGTACCTGTGGCCTTGGGATCTGAAGTCAGGGGGAAATGGAAAGCTGTAAGACTGATAACTCGTTGGGAATTAACGCAATTAACTACAGCGCTGCTACATTCTCTAATATCCATGCTTGTTTGCCAGCAGCCTCAGACCTCCCCCCCTCCCCCAGTTGAAACACTGCGTCTAGCATCGTTTGCAAGGAACAGACTTGCTTTCTTGATCATTTCTTTAAAGCTTCCAGTAACTCCAAAGTCAGGGCCAACCTTTTCAGCAAGTGTGCCACGGGACAAGTCTGAAGTGGGCATGATTGCCACTCCAGGACAGCTTATAATAAGTAGCCCTTCCACGTCTTAAGAGTGGTTTTCCCTATGGTCCACTGACTTGAGCCGACAGACAGCAGGACAGCTCTGGAGAGGTGGATATGCGTATAAGCCACAGGTGGGGCAGCTGTAGTCCTCTAGATATTTTCGAACTACAACTCCCATCATGCCTAGTCATGCTGGCTGGGGCTGGTGGGAGTTGCAGTCTGACAACTTTTAGTTTCCCCACCCCAGAGTTTCTCTCCACCATAGTGAGAAGATCCATTTCATTAATGGAGATCATTATCGCTGCTGCAGCCCCAAATGTCAAAGTACATAACAAGCCAAAGAAGTCTCAGTGAAATCTGAGTGTTGAAATCTCCCACTCTTCTCCGTCTTAAGAGTCATTATTATTACTACTTTAAACGAATCGGACTGGCCCAAACATAGACATCCTCTTTATCAACCTTGTAGTTACAAAAAACTGTACATTACAAACAGTATAGAAACAAGCTGAAAAGAATGCGCCACATATCCTGGCTAATTATCTATATGCAGTGTTAAATTTACAAGATATAAAAGAAAGTAAAGCCTACCCTCTTATAGTGCACAGTTATTGTTGTTGGGTTGTTGTTGTCGTTTTTTTAAAAGATATAATATATCACTAGTTAAGTGGAAGTAATCAGAGGGCTCTAATTCCCATCAGCAGAGAGAATGAGAGCAAGTTCTGTTCGGTAAAGCTTTCCTCCGTCGGACAAGGCCATGATGTTTTTCTTGTATGTTGCAATGTGGTTAATGTCTAATTCCTGTGAGGATTTTTTAAGAGAGAGAGAGAGAGAATGCTTTATAACCCAGTTCAGTTACTAACATGGGTACATAAAGTGTTACTTCTACACGAGAAAAAACAGCAGAGCCCAAGCGCATGCACTTTCAGTATGGATGAGAACAAAAATGGTTTTGAGAGTGTTGGCTAGACAGTTCTACGGATGGTCTGCACACATGAGTAAATTATGCAACCACCTATGCAGGGCCAATGGTATCTGACTTCCTGCCTCCCACGACTGGTGTCCTTTCTTTCAGCAAAGTGCCAATCAAGGGGGGAAATCCCATACAGCAGCCCCAATCCATATGGCTAAGGTATCGCTCCACAGCACTGTGGAGTCACACTCTGGAAAATCTGCTCCTCTGTAAGCATGCAGGTATGAAGGTCAGCTTGGAGTCCTGCCATTAAGGACTGCATCACTCTGCCTCAAAATATTTTAACTGTAAGCTTGTTCGTTGCTATAATCCGCTCATGTGCTATATCGTCTGGGCTGCTTGAAAGAGATGGTGCCAGTGGTTTGGGAGAAGGGGAACTAATTCTGTACTGAGCAAAACCAGGTAGTAAAATGTCCCTTTTTCTGAAGCAGTATCATCAGTGTCCACTTAATACAAAGAAAGGCATAAGATAAGTAGTGTTTTTTCTACTCTGCCTGCAGACAAAGGTCAGAGGGATGATAACAGTTGCCCACTGAAATAGGAAATAACTTGGGAGTAAAACTACTGCTGTTTGATAGGAGAAAGGGCTGTAACTCAGAAAGAGAGCATCTGTTTTGCATCCATAAGGTCCTAGCCAGTTGTTGGTGTCTCCAGGTATGGCTGAGATCCTGGGAAGCCACGGCTAGTCAGTGTATACAAGGCTGAGCTAATGGCCTGACTCAGCAGAAAGTAGCTTCCTATGATATCATACCATCCAACTTTTGAAACCCTGGGCGAGTCACATGACCCACGCCTCACTCTCACCCCCCCAAACACTTTTTTCAGGGTGAGATCTTGTGTGGCACTCAAAATGGCTGCCTTGATCTTGTGCGAAAAAATGGAAAGTGTATTTTTTTCCAGAGCACATGGCAGGTACGTGAAATTAGAGTTATCTGTACACCTTCCTGTAGGACTGCAATACATCTGGATTTTCCAGGATAATACCAGGATTTCAAAGGGGGAATTGATATCTTGGGGGGGGGGGATCTCTGAAAGGTGGCGCTTTGTCCTGAATTTTAGACAAGCTAATTGAAAAATTATGTTTTCTTGATTTCTCAATGACTTGCGGTTTTCCTGTTTTTATCTTTTTGAAATATGGCAACCCTATCTTCCTGTTGTATCCAGAAACTGAAATATACTGAATTCAGAGCAACTACCTTAACTGACTAGATGGGGGAGGGCAGTGTTTAAGTGCACTTTTAATGGGAATAAAATTAGAATTACCGTTTTGTTCTTTTCACAGAGATCTTTCAGCAAAGCATCTAATTCTTGTTCATCTATGTAGCCATTCCCATCCTGAAAACAAAAGACACGAGCAATTATAACTTTGCTTTCAGCTGCTTTCAGCTACATTGTTTTGTCTTGCAGAACACGTAAGGTCAGAGATCTTTTAAAAATAAAAATGAGTTCTAAATATTGTAGGTAGTCTACTTACTGAATCAAATGTATCAAAGGCTTTATTAAATTCCTTCCCACACATTTTGACACCCTAATTTTAAAACAGAAAACAGGTATTAGAACAGTAGTGGTTTGGATCACTACTCACACATATAATTTATATTATGCGTGTTCAAACTTTTAGGAGTATCGTGTTACATACCTGAAATTTAAGCAGAAAGTTTTCCTGTACTGGGAGTAATCTTTGGAGAAAAACACAAGCAGAAGTCAGAACAATTGCTGAGTAGTTACAGTAGGAACTTGAATTGCATATCTGGAAAATGTATAAAGGCAAACCTTTTCAAGAAACGAGAGAGGAGATGACCTTGACAGCTGACTGGGAAATGGTTTACTAAAGTGAGCTGCAAAACCCCAGGACATTTTTTCATGTAAAATCCTTCTTTGTAGGCTGCTTGTCCCATTCAAACTTTTCCTTAAATTTTATTTATTTAATTCACTTGTGGGTTGTATTTTAAGGGGTGAAATGCAATATGCTTTGTAAACTGCTTTGATAAGCAACATACAACAAATATATATATATATTCAGCACATTTTCTTTCTACAATACAGGATTCGTGTTTGTAATGAAAGGGTTGAACACTGTGAAGAAGAGAGGTTTCTAGCCCAAATTTTTGCAGTTCATAGAAACTGCTTCTCAGCCACATGTTGCCATTTCCCCCTCTCGTTTCATCTGCTGATTGGTGCTCATTTCATTCCCTCACCCTCTTAGAAGAATACATACCTGGCCATTTCAGTCAGTTCCAGTTTCCCATCATTGTTTTCATCAAACATCTTGAGCTGAAAAGGGAGGGGTTGTATGAACATTTTTTCTCTCCAATACCAGCAATAAACAACAACCAAAAACAGTTAACATCGTCACCTGTCTCTTAATGCCTGAATTGGCCTCTAAGAGACAGATGGGTATTTTAAAAAAGGCCTTGTTTCTGTGGTCATTTTACAGTTAGGGTTCCTCAAATGTGCTTTCACCCTATGACTGCTTTTGTAACTCTCTTCATTGGGCTGGATCCAAAGTTCATTGAGTAAAGCCCTGCTCTTGGCTTCTGCCTATGTCCCCAGAAAATCTGTTTTGAAAGGTTGACGAGTCCTCCAGAAAAGCATGGAAGATGGTGGAGTGAGCAACAAAAGGAAGTGGCAGCTATTTACTATCTGGGGAAGGATTGTAGCTCATTGGAGAGCCACAACCAATCATTGTAGACAATACTGAGCTGGATAGACCAATGATCTGACTTGGTATACAAACAGATTTCCTATGTTTCCCCTCCACCATTAATGGAAGCCTCTGCTGCATCCAAAGCTATTTGGTTCACAGAAGGGCACTTTTGGATCCAATCTATTACAGTTGTACCTCAACTTATGTATCCCTCTGGATACATAAATTTAGGGTTGCGAACGTGGCAAACCCGGAAGTGTATACTTCCGGGTTTCAGCGCGTGCGCATTCGCAGAAGCAGTGCCTCCGGATACGGACTTTTCAGGTTGTGGAGGGACCCCCAGAACGAATTAAGATCGTATCTGGAGGGTCCACTGTATTTTGATTTGGAATAGTCCATCTTCGTTGTCTTACCATTTTTTAAAAAACTGAGACACCTTAAGCACATGTCAAAACATTTCATATGCAATAAAAGAAGGGACGGAGATCATAAATATCACAGTCAAACAATAATGTGCCGATTTAATAAATCTATTAAATTTGCCTCTCTTTTTTTGTCCTCGTAACAAAACCAGCCAGACATTCACATGCAATACAAGAGAAGTATTGTGATTTTGCAAAAGCAATCTGTCTTAAGGCCATTATGTCAAGATTTAACCAGGACACTGAACGTGTGCCAAATATATTACTAGAACCTAGGAAGCTGCTTCATGTAAATTCAGTGTAAGGCATTGTCCAAACTCCTGAGTTTCAATCTAACAACACAACTCCTGTCTCAAGTGTATGAGAACTTGCACACACTTCGTTGAAATGAATTAAGGCTACATTGCAGCCATACCTCTATATTCCTTCGAATTATGGTATATCTATGGGAGTCTCCTTTTGCTACTTGGTATCTGTGAAGCCTATGCAGCAAGCTAGTTCATAATTCAAATAAGGGATGGGGGAAATACAGTAATGAGAGAAGATCCTAGCTTCTGGAACAGATACGCCTTAATATGTAGACAGGGAGCTAAGTTCCCTGAACGAAATAGCTTCCTACTCTTACCATGATGTCTGTATATTCTGACAGCTTTGTATCCTCAATCTGCTTGTTTGCTTTCTGCAATAGGTCTTTCAAAAAACTCTGGAAGAAAGCAAACACGAGTGGTAAGTGTAAAAAAAAGACAATAAAACCGAAGGAAGGCAGTAAGTTGCTTTGCTGACCTTTGAAAAAATACAGTTTTTCATCTAGGAAATGACACTTGTTTTCCCAGGAGACCAGTCAATTGTCCTAGTTCATAATGACATTTAAAATCCTTATTAAGCAAGAAGTCTAGAGAGCTGGGGAATTGCAAATGTCTACTGCCTGGAAGTATCTCTCTCTCAAGCACACACACCTGTTCTAACCTCTTAATATTATTCTTTGGAGTATTGCTACTTTTCCTATTTCAGACCAGATCTTCTGCTTGTTCTGATAGTTGGGGGTGGAGAGTCTTGCACTAAATGGAGCAGAGATTGATTTGGTGGGGGGGGTAATAAGGCCCACGTTGTAGCACGAAGCTGGTGGAACAAGTAAGCAGTGATTCCCACAAAGCCATTCCTCAAGAAAGGCTTGTCAGCGTGGATTTGCTTCACTGCCATGTTCCAGCTGCTTTCTTCTTCACAAGAGAAAAAGAGCAGCCAGTCTAATAACAGTTTTAAAACCAGGCCAGTCAGTGGAGGTGGGGCAGGCAGATTTAAATCTTTAAGAGCATTCAGTGAGTGCAGAATTTACCCATCAGACAGCTGAGTTGTGCTCTTCTGGCAACTGCCCATTCGAAATTTTGCGCCAGCATTCCCCAACCTGGGGTCTTCCAGATGGTTTAGATGTCAGCTCCCAGCGACATAGACAATGGGCAGGGGCGGCTATAGCTCAAAACATCTTGAGAGTAGCTGGTTGGGGAAGTATTAAGCCCACACTGGCATCAAGCCAGAGTAGTTTCCCAGGCCTTGAGCTGCTCCAAGCAGCCTGTAGGCAACCTCAGCGGATATATGAAGTTTCCTTGGTCAAGCTTAGACTATTAGTCCAAGATTGTTGGCCTTACAGCAGCACTTCCCACATCTCAAGCCCTTAGCACTGCTTCCCAAGATCCTTTCAACTGGAGTTGCCAGGGACCTTGCGCACACACACAAAGGAGGTGCTTCATAGTGAGCTATAGGCTTTCGCTGCCTTCTTCTGACAACTATGCAGTCCACATTGGTTTGTATCAAAATATCCAGAAAACTCTGGGATAATCAACAGGAATTTTCCTAGACCATCAGTGAATAATTTTCCAAATATTGGGCAGCCAGCCAGCCAGCCAGCTTGTAGCTCAAGACTCTCTAGATCAGCCTTTCTCAACCTTGGGTCCCCAGACATTTTTGGACCACAACTCCCATCATTCCTGGCCAATGATCCTGCTAGCTAGAGGAATCATTTTGTCAATTTGTCATTATAGGGAAGGTAAAGGTAAAGGAACCCTGGACAGTTAAGTCCAGTCAAAGGCGACTATGCACTCATCTCGTTTTCAGGCCGAGGGAGCCGGCATTTATCCAGACACAGCTTTCTGGGTCATGTGGCCAGCATGACTAAACTGCTTCTGATGCAATGGAACACCATGACAGAAGCCAGAGTGCACAGAAATGCCGTTTACCTTCCCACTGTAGCGGTACCTATTTAATCTACTTGCACTGGCGTGCATTCGAACTGCTAGGTTAGTCAGGACTTGGTACAGAGCAACGGTAGCTCACTCCATTGTGCAGATTCGAACCACCGACCTTCTGATTGGCAAGCCCAAGAGGCTCAGTGGTTTAGACCACAATGCCACCTGCATCCCTAATTTGTCATATGACATGATTAAATGATTTCTCTATGCATAGAAACTAGCCAGGCAGAGAGAAGGCTAGCACAGTGTTTAGCTTGCTAGTTAGCTACTACCCATCCACCTCTGCAGTGGTGACTACTCAATCATATAATCCCCATCTGTGGTCTGCAGTGGGATAGTCTAGAACAGTTAATGATGATGATACCAGCAGGGCCGTCTTAAGCATATCTGACGCAGTGGTGCAAAGATTCCTCCAGCACCCCACCTCCTGTTTCCCAGAGTTGTCAACCTTTTCCCAAGCCTCTGTGGGGATTGCTCTCCTCCTGCGGGGGCTTGGGAGGCAAGCTGCATGCCCACCAGCCATATCGTTGACGGGGCGCAGCTGGCAGGCGTGCAGGAGGGAAAGGGGAGGCCACCAGCAAAGTCGTGCAGCTCCCCCACTCACTGGGGCGCCCCTGAGAGGCTGGCGCCCTGGTGCAACGCTCCAGTAAACCCAATGGGAAAGATGGCTGTGGATACCAGGAGGAAGGGAGTAAATTGACAAAAACTCCAATGCTTAAAAAAAAAATGATACAGAGGTATGTGAGTTATTGTTTTGCAACACTGATTCCTGTCGTCTTTAAACATTCACGGTTTTGTATCACTGGAATGGGAATAACGCAGTATTAAGACTGCATTGGGTTGTGTAGCCCTCAAATTTGAATAGCTTCGACCCAGAATTCCTTGGAGACAGCTTCTTCCCATGCATCTTTCTGATCCTCTGAAAGTGCCTCTTATTAATGACACCAGCCATATATCACGTTACAAAAGCAAAGATACAAAAAGATGCATGCTTTGTGGGTCCCCACCACTATCACCACAATAAGGGAACTTGAACTCTCTGCCGAACTGCCCAGATCCTGAGCACCTTAAGAAACACTGCAAAACAGCCAGGGCCATTTGGAGGGGCTCAACAGTTAAGTCAGGAAAGGGTTTTTAAAAAACCACACCAAATTTCTTTAATATATTGTATGTTTTGCTATGTCTTTCTGTTCTTGCAATTTATTCTGCCGCCACCCCTGGAAAAAAACCTTTGGAGTGGGGCAGGAAATGCATATTAATAAATAAACATAGATAGCTTCTTACCTTAAGTTCTTCAGCATCAATATAGCCACTATGGTCACTATCATATTTTCTCCATGTCTGGAATTGAGAAGTTAGCCATTAAAACCAAATCAAGCACAACCAAAAACATTTCTTTCAACCTGGCAATTTAATTTTACAAAATGCAAAAATTTATATAGATTACCTGCATGAAGTCTTCACTTGATTTCAGCTGCTGGCACCTAAAGAATAAGAGGAAGTTTTCTTCCGTTGGTAATATCTGAGCAAGCTGTAAAAGATTTAAGACTGAATTAAATCAATTGTTCGTCAAATAAATGTAATACATTATAAGGCTTTAGGAGAGAAAAAATGTTTTAAAAATTCAAATAACTTGCATATTTATCAATGGTCTGTAAATACCAAGTATACTCCACCAGGATTTTCTGTGCATACCACATTGAAACAAACTGTTGCACGATAAACTGAAACTTTGAAATATTCTAGGTAATTATGCTGCCAAAGGAAGGAAGCAGAAGTTCAATCTATAATATTTGCAGACAGTCTTCAGTGGAAGACGTTCTTCCATTCCACTTTTGTCTGCAAGCTGCTGCAGAACTTTAAAACTGCTGCATGTTTTCCTTGAATAAACCTGAATTTTGTCACAATATTCATATTTTTTTTTCAAATAATGTAAGAGTATATGAATAATATATCTAATCCAACATTTTGCTCCCCCCAGTGACCAGCCAAATATCTAGGAGAAACCCACAAGCAGGACATGAATGCAATAGGGCACTTCTGCTGTTGACCCCCTGTAACTTCTGTTCACAGCTATATATTTTCATGGCTGAAAAGGCATAAAAAATATAGTTTGCATTGAATTATGCAGGGGCGGGGATGGTGTTTGATGCACAATCAAAAGCAAGGCCAGCCCAATACATTTTTGCATTTGAGGAGAACCGCAAAATGGTGCCTCCCTCTCTCCTCCAGGGAAGAAGGGGCAAATGAAGATCTATATCAGGAAAAAGGTCGGGGAGAAATAAATATCTACATTGGGATCTGTTGCCCCATGGACCCTGCTGCCTGAGGCAGTTGCCTTGCCTTGCCTTGCCTTGCCTCAGGAGTGGGCCAGCCCTGATCAAAAACTTTCTTTTGAAATGGTCTAATGGTTTCAACCAGCTTCAGATATCCGTATCAAAGTGATATTTGGGAGAATCTTCACTGCATTCCAAGAATCCCTTTAAATTACAGTTTTTGATGGGACACAGATATGGAGGAAAAGGAAGTGCCCTGTAGTTCTTCCACTGCACCACTGTCTCATAAACATAATATTCACATTTCGCATCCAGCAAACTGTTCCTAAATCGAGAGTTCCTTTCTGCATCACCAGGACTGCAGGGTGCGAATGTTCTATTTCAGACAGGATGGACATGAAAGGGAACAGGAAGTACAAGACCACTGCACTTCCTGTTCCTTCCTCCCTCCCATCAGTGCCATGTCCAAAACTGTCCTTCAGTGACTTCTGAGATTTGGACTTAAAATTATGTCACTTTTGACCTTCTCCCTTGTCCCAACCCCAAGTTCAGTTCTTCGCTTATTGCCTTTACCTGAGCTTCATGGCTGCAGTACACTGGGACCTTAGTTGTCCCCAGCTCCCGTCTCCTAATCCACAGGCTCTTGCTTTAACACATTTAGATGAGCTAGAAATAGAATGCCTTTGTCTGGAGGGTTGTCTTTGCAAAGGGTTTCTTATAAGCACACTTCTCAAAGCATAACCTCAATACCCTCATGCTTTTCTAAGTATTTCAGAAAGGAACTGTTCAAGTTGCCCAGACCAATGGGAAACGCTGAAAGCCAAGTACTGAATTGCAATGCGTGGTATTTAGATTTATTTTTTAAAAAAAAGAAAGAAAACTCGAGGTTTTATTTCACATAAAAGAATACTTGAAATGGATGCTGACTTTTCACATGAGATTTGAGAGAACTAAACACTCAGGCAAACAAACATTCTGGCAACTGACAACCTTCTAATGCCACACTGGAATTCAAAATATTTAATTTTCTGCTTCAAATTAGACTGGTGAACCAATGTTTTAGTAAAATCAATGCATAAGCCGACTTGGGATACTTCCACATCAATATGTCACTTTATCTAATGATTATCCCTCAAATATATCGATATATAATAAGAACATTTTCAGTGGTTGATATCAAGGCCCAACTTTCTATCTATATTTTTAAAGAATGCTGACTGGCAATGAGATGGCAATCTTTTTTTCACCTTTTCCTGGGGTGGGGGTGGGGAAATTGACAAAAAAAAATTAAAATACAAAAATAACAAAGTACACACACACAAAACAATAAAAACAGAGAAATGCTAAAAGTGCTCATTCACCATCGTAGAGAAGTATCCTTCCCCACCCTACTAAAAGGCGAGCACCAAAACAGGCCGTAAATAATCTCATATAACAATCTTAAAAACATGGGAGAACAGGAAATGTTTTTGGCCTGGTGATTAAAAGTTGACATTGTTGGTGCTGGTTGAACTTCCACAGGGAGAGCATTTCACAACTGGAGAGACGCCGCTGAAAACACCTGTTTTCTCCTTCTATTAAATTAACGAGAACAGAGGAAGCCCCACCAAAGGTATCAGAGCTTGGCATCACTGGGCACCTGCTGAGCCCCTCACCCAGTAGGGATGGGGAATCCGTGGACCTTGCGACGTTTCTGAATTCCAGTTCTACTTCAATCCCAGCTAGCATGGCCAATGACCAAGGATGATGGGTGTGTTACAATATGTCACATTCCCCATCCCTGACGTTGGCTGCCCTGCTGCCAGCCCATGGAGTCTCTTGGCCCTGTTGCTGCTCCACCTTGTCATTTCTTCATGTTCACCTGCCCTCTCTGAATGAGCAAATAGTGAAAGGAGCGAGGAGGAGAAGCAGCAGCAACCTCTGCACACATGGTTCTCACTCTGGGAGGTGGTCCCCATTGGGCCCCCATGGAGAAGCAAGCAAATGGCCAGTGGCAACACAGGAAAGGAGGAGGGTGTCACCCTGAAGCAAAGGTCCCGCAAAATCTGGAACTAGCACAGAAGCGCAAGACAACATCCAAATGCATCCACCCCTCACAGTTCTGGATGTTTAAAATCAGGTGCAGGGAACCTTTCGCCATCCAGATATTCCTGAACTTCAACTCCCACCAGCCCAAGCGGGGATGAAGGGAGTTGTGGTTCAGCATTTTTGGGTGGCTAAAGGTTCCCCACACCTGTTTTAAAGAAATGAATCTTCATGGGTTGACTTATTCAGTATTGTTTATGAAATAGATGGAGAGACAGACATTTTGCAAAGTTTATTGGGGCTTCTGTGCTACTGCAAGTGACCCCAGTCCAAACACTTCACTGCTGTGTATGTGTTCTTGCACAGAAGCTGCACAGAGTTCAGTAATATATGCATATATTACTGAACAAACCATGCTAATTAAGTCACCTGTCTTTATGTCTCTCTCAGCCCGCAACAGTGATTATATATGAAAATGCAGCAACTGCAGCAATTTTGCCATCAGTAAGGAAGCAGTTTTAGAAATCGGTATGGATATGACTTTTAAAAATTGCTCTTTATACAGTATTTCTTGGAATTCTGCTTGAGAAAAATGGATCCAGCAGCCAAGATTACTTTTAAGAAAAAGTCTCTACCTTTTACTGGAGATTACAGGATTCTGCTGCTGCCCACCCCCATTTACCAAGCTGCAGTGCAAAACTCCAGCTGAAATATTATAGCAATAGTTATCTCGGTGTGACAGGAAGTTAATAACGCTATGTACAGCCTGAGTCTTCTGAGTAAAAACACCACCCCCTTGCCACTCTGGACACAAGCTGGCCAGGTCCTCTCAAGACAGTGTTGCCCAAGTCAAATACAGGAAAATGCCATACTCATACACATCCATGCACATCCAATGTACAGAAGATGTACATTTGAATCTTATTTGTACATCGCCAATGGCGCAGCATCCTACACTGCACCAGAGAGCAGCAGGCTAGCACAGAGTTGCGCTCCCAGCTCTGTCTGCTCATCACTCCTTAGCACCAGCTGCCTCACTCTGTCTAATGGTAGGGCTGGCACTGAGACTGGCCCAAATGGCACTGGGGAAAATAGGGAACCAAATGGAACCACAGTGTGCCTTCAAAGCCTCCAAAATACCACCAATATATTGTTGCCTGTTGTGTCGCCGGGTATTCTCAGTTACTGTGCTACTACTCCAAAGTTGAGTGCTGGATCTGCTCTGGAAATAGCTGCATCCCAGCCTAGATTCAAACTGGTGACCAGTAACAGAGAAATCCTGTCCCTTGTTAAGTTAAAATTATGATCTGCACTTGCTTATGTTTCTGACCCTCCCCCCCCATTCCAAAAAGGTTAATTGAATATTACCAAGAAAAGATGGAGGGAACAACAGAATTAAGATTCTAATGCTGAGAACTGGGCCAATCAATTACTGGGCGTGGATCATAGCACGTATTTCACATGGAGGAGCTTTCTGGTTCAATCCTCATTACATAGGAACCTAGTAAGCTGCCTCATACCAAATCAGGCCATTGGCCCATCTAGCACAATATTGTCTACACTGATTGCCAGCAGCTTTCCAGAGTTTCAGGCAGGATTCTTTCCCAGCCCTACTAGAGATGCCAGGGATTGAATGCAATGCAAAACTGGTATTCTACTGAGCTACAGGGTATACTGAGCTACAGTATACCCAGTCTATAGGATTCTGTGTTTTGGCAACTGGAAAGGCATCCGAGAGCTGGAGAGAGATGCTGCCACTCAGAATATTATGCTAGATGGATAAACAGAACTGGTTTAAAACAAAAACAACAACCCAACTTCCTATATTATGGAAGGGTACACTTGGTAGAACAGTTTTTCCACCAACACATGTATTACAGATCAACAAATTATCACTCATTTCTGCAGTCCCAGAAAAAATAAGGACACTGATTATTAGCGACTTATGACCCACACCAAGCCATACGCAATCAACTAGCCACATGGCAGCCTAGTAGGGAATCAGTAAATCTCATGGCTTTGCCGTTTGGCTGTATCTGAAAAATGGCAGGGTTTCCAAGCACCACATAGGTACCATGGATGACTAATGGGCTACGAATTATACAGGTCTGCCTTTAGGAGTGAAAGTGCTATGAAAAAAATGTTATTTCTAGAGAGGAATTTATTCTGTTCTGTAGTGAAACAGTTTTTAAAAATTACTTCTTATGTGGATTACTAAACGAACCTCTAGTTTGCAATCTGTTCTGTCGTGAAATGATTAGATAGATAAATAGTGTTTGTGTACACCCTTTTAAAAAGAAAAGAAAAGCAAAACAAGGAAAAGGTATGTTTCCAACATTATATCCCTTCCTCCAACCACCCAGCCACCTTTCCCTAGTAGAAAAAGGGCTATTGAATCATTCAAACATGGAATGATTGCAGGTTGAGAATGTGAAAGGATGGGCTTTTGAAACCCCATCTCGGTGCAGGCAGTGACTTGAACAAATAAGCTGGAGTGCTGGGAGGGGGAGCCTTTTAGAAGAACAAGTGGCTTGTCAAATTCTACACATTAGCCCGAGGGCAATGGATAAAAGCTCAGGGAGGAACCACACTAATGCAGGCTCCTGAAGATGCTCCCAGAATTTCCTTTAACTTGAGCAGCAGCAGTGCTGAAAATGTCTTAAACTATTCAGCTTGCCTTTTAACAAGCTTAAATATTGTCTCACAAGAAAACATATTTTGGAAACAGAAGGTATCTTGGGCCACCTTGGAGGAGGAGAAAAATCACAGAAAGTGAGGATTGAGCTAGCCTGCATTCTTAAATGCTCCTTTAAATTAAAACTAAACAAAGCAAACTACAACCTACACCAAAAATAACCCTCCTAAAACTGCATTTAAGTGATTTATTCTAGGAAATAAATTATGCCAGTCTCATTTTCTATTTACTAATCAAGAATGATGGTTGTACTAAAGATTACATAATTATACATCATTATCTTTTCTCAGAGATAAGTCCCACTGAGGTAAGTGCCAGTGAGTTCAACTGGTTTTACTCCTAAAGAAGTGATTCTTAATACTATTTACTGCTTTTATCCTGCTGTATGGTTTTCTTTAAATTAATCTTCTTCTGACATTGTTTTTAGTAGTTCTGATGGGGTGGTTCTTGTTGCCTGAAGATTCATTGCCTTCATCTTTCATAGGATATCTTCCCTTTGACTCTCCAGTTCCCTTCGTCCTTTTTCAAAGGATGAGGCTTTGCAACTAGAGCTGTCTTTTTAAATATCTGTACCATAAGCTACTGAATCTGCCTTGAACTTTTGGATTCATAATTCACTGTTGAATCAATAAAAACAAATACATCACTCTATGAATGTATTTATAGGACTTCACATGCACAACTCTTGTGAAGCTTCATTCTATGCATGTCTATGCATGTCTACTTGGACAAAAGTCCACATTTATTTACAGTCTACATCTTAGTTCTCAATGAATGGCTATTCTAATATTCAGATTTATATCAGCAATCTGATACTTGGTCCCTATTAACCTTTCTTATTGACAGCAATGGCTATTGAGAGCATTCACAAGTGAGAATCAACCTTGAGAATTGAGAAGTTTGAGAATCAACCTTGTATGGTTCTACCAGCGTCCAGTGATAAGTTATTGGAGCAAAATTAGAAACAAGAACTCTCATTTCTTGCCTATTATCACAATGACTGGCATCTTTCTCGAGTGAAGATTGTATTTTTACAGTTATTTTAAACAACACGAGCAAATTTCAAGATCAAGCTAAGCTAGTTTGCAAAGCAATATCTACTGTTTTCTATACTTCAGTTTCAATGAACATTTAAAAAGGGCATTATATAACCAGTCAATGGCTGAAACTGCTATACAAAACCATATCCAACACACTGGGCATGATCTAGCCATACCTAAGCATGTTTAGGCCTCACTGAGCAATATGCAGCAAACTGCAAAAATGAAATAATATCATTCTTCATATCGTTGTTTACTCAAATTAAGTCCAGACCAGAAAGGTTTTTGCTGTGAGGTTTCCATTGAAAAGCAGTTTTAGAAAATGTCAGCCTAAACAAAATATTATTCAAGTAGCTAAACATTTTTGGCAATTTGAATTTCTTAAAAAGAGATGCCCCCTTTTTGTCTCTGCTTTGATATTTCTAACTTGTTTTCTGTTATGATTTTGTTCATGCTTGATTTTGCATTTATGTTGTTGTTGTTGTTGTTATGCAAAACAGTCTCAAGATTAAATGCCATCAAGAACTGGGTTGTTGTTGTTTACATGGATAACTTCAGAATGAAAACACTGAAATGTTTTCATAATAAAATGATGATAAGTTCATAAATTTCATAATAAAAGATAATAAAATGAAGAAAACCATTTCCCAAGAAACATCAAAAGCAAATAATACAAATATTTGCAGACAGGCCTATATCACTGCAGAGCTATGACCAACATGAATAAACAAATTCATTAAATGGCAGTAAGTAAACCAGTTAGCTTACCTCTACAATTCCTATCTTTCCATCAGAACTTGAAAACTGGTCCACAAATTTTTTCATTTCTGGGGTCAGGTCCTATAAATGTGCAATACAATGATTATTACTTAAAAGAAAGCCAAAGACACAATCCATTGCAGGAATGTCTCCTGCACAATTCCCACAGAAATGAATGGTGCCAAAGGAGCTTCCCAGTAGGTTGTACCCTATGCAGTTTCTTAAAACTAAGGAGTCATATCATTAATTAAGAACGTATCCTGCTGGTTCTGCCACGTCTAGTAATATCCTGAGCCTAAAACCATGTGCCTTAAGGGCTTTGACTGCTCCAAAATTAAACACTAAGCTGCAGAATTTCTTCTTTCAGATTTTCCAGAAGGTTGTTAAATGTAAATCTATACACAGTGGCATATATATATATATACATATATTATATCCAGCAATGAATGCAAAAACATTGACTATTGTGCTTTCCCGCCATTTAAAGTCTCTCCCCCTTTCTTGGTGATATTTGCATCACTTTGCAAAAGCTGTGGAAAACGGGACACACCCATGTTGCTGAGGCAACCAGGTGAGCACTCCTTCAGTCCTTCCTACTTGACTAGTTGGGACAGGATATGGATCGACATGTGCATTTGGATTCATATCCAAATGAATATTCCATTGGAAATGATGCAGTCAGTATGGGATACATCCTCCTCTGAATATGCATCTCTATCATTCATTCTACCCCAGATGGGCAATGGGAGCAGAGTCCCTCTTCCTTCCCCATTGAGAGTGTGGGCAGTGGAGGGTTCCATTTGCACTCAGTGATATTGTCACACAGTAAAATCTGATTGGCTACATAGCCCCAAGATGCCATCATGTTCTCGATAGTATATCCGATTAACTAGAATCATGCAATGAAGAGGACTTTTCCAGTAAAAACAAAAATCAGCACTAGCTGATGAAGAACACAAAGGACACAAACAGGCTGGATAAAGTGTGCAAAAGAGGAAAAGGTAGAGGTTTTCCACTCACAGTTTCACTTGCCTTAGAACAGCTGTTTTTCCTTACAAAAATTCAACCTCACAAAAATTCAGCCCAATTTAAACATGCAATTGCTCTCTCTCTCTCCACCCTGCTAACACAGAGATAGTTAAAACCATTTCCAAGCAAGTAAATATATAAAAACTATTAAGCTTCTAGAGCATTAAGTTTCTTAATTCATAAAACCACCTCAGTATAATTCATTTTATGTTACAGTCAATGTCCAAAATTTGACCTGGTTTTACATTCACGCATGAATTCTGACCATCTCAGACAAATTTAATAAATGTATGTAGAATGCCATTTTATGAACATATAGCAGTGAATGTTGACAATCACATTGAACCGACTGTCAACTCTGACAGATGTATCTCTGCGTCTTTTGACGTTTATGAAATTTGTCTGGGCTTGTCCACATTCACTTGTCACTGTTAACATTGATCAAATTGTGGACACTCACAGTAGCATACACTGTCTCTCATCATCACTGCAAATTTCATTCAAAAGGAGTTTGTTAATAATCATCATCATCAGTGTTTTCTTCAGTTTAATAAACAAAAACCTCCCTTCCGCAGTTCCACTACCTGGCTGTGAGATGAATCACATATCTAAGATGAATCACAAAAATGAAACAGTGGTTCATTGTCAGCTGAGTGCCAATGTCTGTATAGTCTGAGGCTGTGTATGGACTCAAAAGTGAGTCCCCCTAAATTCACAGGGACCTCTTCACAAGCAACTGTGCGTGAGACTGCAGCCTTTGGACTCAGAGCCTAAGGATGCTTTTTTTGGAAGTCAGTCCCACTGAAATCAGGGGCACTTCCTCTTGAGAAACTTGCATAGGACCAGGCTGCTAGGTGCCCTGCCCCACTGAATTCACTTCCATTTCCCTACCAGAAATCCACACTAGTTATTTCAAATGTGCAGTGAAAACAAATAACGCTGTATTCTCAAAGATACTGAAGTGAAAAAGATTGCTACTGGCAGGTATAAAATTAGCACAACTATGGAAGGCATCTACAGGCGCCGCTGAAATATTTTCTTAGATCTTATTCGCCATGAATAATAGATCCCTGAACAATGCACACTTCGTTATGGTCTATTTCCCAATTCTGTGGTGAGCAGTTTGAGTTTTTAATGTGTGTGTCCCACTCCCATAAGAAAGGTGTGTTTGTATCCTTGCATGCATTGTACTGAAAAGTCAAGCAAGTACAGCACGGTGGGTAACTCGGCAAGGGAACCTCTACCACTCTGGAATGGAGTGTTCCACATGGAGTTCAGGCACCTATACCACAGAGGCATTAAAGCCCAGAAAGGCCATTGGGTCAGCTCCAACATCTCCATCTCCTCCCTGACGTCCACATAGTGAGGCCAAATGTCTGAAGGAAAGATTCTTCATGTGTACATTTGAACATGCTTGGAATTGCCTCCCAGATTAGGGACTCTAAGCAATCAGAACCATGATTTCAGGGAGGATTCTAAGGGAGTTCAGTTGAATGCATGAAGATCCACTCCTTCAGGCCTTCCTGTTCGATGTTGAGAGGTTAAAAAGGAGCCCCTGAGGAGCCGCCACCCCAATACTCCATGCTTTATTCCTCCATACATTCTCTGAATGCCCAAGCAGGGCTTAAGAAAAACATAATGATTATTATACCCAAGCTACAACTAGTTAATGATTAAGCATCAAGTTGTTACTAAGCAGCTGTGTTCACACTTCATTGTACTGGGCACTTGTCAGTCAGGCATAAAGCACAACTGAAAGCAGATCTCAAGCCAAATCTTCCCCAGATGTCTTTGGGAATTGTTTCTGGGCAGCAAGATGATGCACAAAGCAATGCATTTTCAGAATTTATTGATGAGGTAAATTTGAAGTATGGAAGATTAACTATATAGATTTTTGAAGCTTCTGAAACATCTTCCTTTACTATGCATACAGTCCAGTCCTATGACTGTTATAAATACTTAAGACTCACCAAACTCTGAGAGTTACTCACAAGCAATCATACATAGGATTGTAGAAGCCTTATTTTCTTTAATTTATTAGGGGTTAAGAATTGCAGAAGGAAAGAAGTTCTCCACGGGGCGGGGGGGGGGGGCAACTTTGGCAGACTTACAGAATATACGCTGCATATCCTACAGGGGAGTATTCATTTTCACCCATTAATCCTACCCACCAAGTCTATGCCGAAACATAATTAAGACAAATATATTACAAGTCATAAATATTGAGAGGAAAGAGAATTAAGCAGTCTTTTTTAAATAAACAAACAAACAAAAAACTGGAAATATAGACATGATATGCAAGGTGAAAAAGATTTAAATTGAAGTTGTAAAAAATACATTAAGTACTATTGTTAAGGGAAAGGAACAATAGCTTTCTGAAATGCAAGCAAAATCGAAGTTTTTGTTGCGTGTGTATGAAAAGAATGGTAAAACCAAAAAAATTGCTTAGAACATACATTAATTTTGCCACACATCGCTTTTGAGAAGGGACACGAAACTCAAAAGCTGCTTGAAATAGTATCCAGTGAAACAAGATGTGTGAACTAAAGAAATATCTGCAAAACAAGCCTTTCAAATCCAAGAATCAGCTTAGATTTGAAACCACTAATAGTCTGGCATGCATTAGTCCAGGAAAAGAGAAAATCTTCAAGGATCAAGAAGCTAAGAATGATCCAATGAGAGAACTGAACTTCTGGTGCTGTTCTTTTCAGAAAATTCCAGAAATAGTCTTGTCCAGAAGCAATGTCAATGGAAAACTGAACAAGAACACCTGAGCACTTTCAAAGCAGGCATAAAATGGTACATATAACACTGTGGGTGGCACACAAGAAAGTGGCTACAGAGATTTTATATATCACTTTGAGAGCACTTGAATTTGTTAATAGGAGTCTGACACCATTTTCAAACCTGGGGGAAAATGGGACGAATGCCTTATAAAAAATGCAATCTTTTCAGTTGAATGAAGAACTTATTAAACAGAGAGTAGATTTAATAGTGATTGGTTCGAAAAATAAATTATGAATCTATTTTTCTCTTATGGAAATGAAGACAATGACACATATTGCAAAGCCAAAAGTGAAAACAGTGCAGAAATCTCAAAAATAAAAAAGTATATGATAGGGACCAGCCATCACTTCATTTGAAAAATAATTGAAGTTATTACAAATCCATTTTTGCATCACATCTTCAGGTCCTTGATAGCAATCATAAATATGTATTTTATAATGCTTGATTACAATTTTTGTAGGCAGCCTCAACTGTACGCACATAAATTGTAAACTTGTAGATAGACTCAAACTTTCACTTATGCAGTTAACTCACAATCATTAAAGGACAGCTCAAATGTATTTTAATATTGGAATAATCTTACAGGAACTGTGTAAATATTTTACAAATACACATCCTTGAAGTGTATTTTCAAATTTGAAGTACACTGATCAGTTGACTTCAATGATCTTAAATTCATTGATTTCAGTCAGTCTATTCCAAGTGTGACTTGGTCAGATATCACTGGATAACTTCAGCTTTATTTCAAGGGACACTATCTTTCAGAGCTGAGCTCTCTTAATTGGATTTTCATTGTATTTGGCACATAATCTTAAGCCTGACTCTCAATACTTCATTTTTCTTACTTCTCTGAATGATATATTCATTAATAGCAAACAGCAAGCCTATTTTCCCATTTCCTTTTCCGATAAGAGATAGTTTCTTATTTCAAATAGGGATAGCAGTTAATATGTTTTGCATTATTTAAAAACTTTTTGCTTAAAATTCCCAAACATCTCCTACCTTTAATGCCAAATAACACATCAATTTAATCAATTTAACCATTTTAATTACCCCCATTTTCCCCAGTAAACATGTTCATCACCTGCAACAGTCAGATAACCCTGCTTTGTGCTAATAGTCCACTATCCTAAAACCAAACTATTATCTAATATCTAGTTAGTTCTACTTACAACTAATCTGCAGATCTGTTTATTGGCCACCAAGGGGCAGAAATGTATTTCAGCCAACATATTAACAACGCATCCAGCTAATTTTGAATTTCTTCTTAACCACTGGGGTGGGAAAAACTGAGGAAGTAACAGAACAATCGTTTCCTTGCACATTTTTGTACATCACTTTAAGAACTCCAGTATCACCTGGTTTGCTCTTATAGAAGGATCCAAGAAACTTTCTTATCTAGTTTCCATCTCCCCCAGATTTCCCAAAGTCACTTTTCCTTTGATAAGCGCTAGGTCATATTCACCTGCACTTTACACCAGAGGTATGCACTCAGAACGGGTGCCGCCTCGTTGCTGGAGTTCACCTGAGGATAGTTCCTCTACTTTAATGAAGATGAGATAAAGCAACGGGGGAAAGAAATCTTAACCTACCAAGCCCGCTTTCTTTCGCGCCTGCTGCAATTCCTGGATAAAACACTGCAGCTCCTTTCCATCCATGTACCCATTGCCTGCAACACAAAGAAAAGGGAGAGCATCGCTCGTTACAGCTGCGGAGGTTTAGCTCACTCTCCCTTACCAGCTGGAAAAGGTGGGGGAAGGGGGGCATTTGCGCGTTGAAAAACAGCGGTGCCTTTCAACGTGTTTACAGAACTTTCATCTCTCTGTGTCCCCAAGAAAAGCAACATCGCCAGGTAACTTCTAAGGCTATGCATTCTTTATTGAGTGGGTGCGCTTGAACTTTTGAGGTGCCTCCAGAGTGGAAAACGAGGAACCCTGGTCCCAAGAGGGTCCGCTCCCAAGGCACCCAGAGACAGACAGACAAAGAGAGGGAGGGAGACAGAGAGAGACGAACGGTGCAGTTAAGTCTTCGCAAACGCTTCCCGGTCGTTGCAGCTCGCAGGCAAAAGTTCTGGCACGCGCGCGGGGCAAAGTTTTCCTGCGCGCGGCAGAGGAGTGGCGAGGAAAGTCCTCTTCCCCCCGGGGGCCTCTGTCTCCCCTGCCCAGCTGAGCCCTCGGAGCCCCTCTCCACCCGCTCTTGGGTGCCAAGGTGGGACAGGTTGAGAAGAAGGAGGGGGGGTTGTAGTCACCATCAGCGTCGTAATGACGCCAGATCTCGAAAAACTGGCTTGCTGAGATCTCCACGCCTTGTAGGTAAGTCTCCGCGGCCATGGCGTGCACCTTTGGGTGGAGGAAGGAGAGAAGGCGGTGACTGGTGGTGGTGGCGGTGCTGCTGCAGCTGCTGGAGATGTCGCTGTCCGCGGTGCTGACTCTCCGCCCGGGCTAGTCACTCCTGGGCGATCTCCGCTGAGCGCGCTCTATTTATCCAGTGCTCCGCTCGCCGAGCCACGCCTCCGGAGCGCTCCCTCCCCCCTGCTATCTCCTCGCATTGTTCCACCTCGGTTGCTCTTCCCCGTTCACAAAAGGAGAGGAGGCAGCCTACCCCTCCCCCCCACACCACTAGGGACCCAAAAGTGTTAATAATTACACCGGTGACATCATGGAGGTGTTGGGTGGAAAGTGATAAGGATGGCCCAATTCAGTTTTTCCCTTCCTCTTTGCTTACCAGTTCTGGTCTAGGCCAAAGGTCCAGCTAGACCAGGGTAGCCAATGCAATGTCGTCCGGTGTCGTTGGACTCTGACTCCATCAATCTTAGCCAGCACAGCCACTGGTCAAGGATGATGGGGGTTGTGGTTAGTATCTGAAGGGCACCGTTTTGGCTACCTCTGATCTGGACCAGCATCCTGTTTGCTGTGTTAACTAGTGAGATGCCCACCAACATAATAGAAAAACAGGCTTCCTATTCTGCACCCCAGGAAGAAGAATCCTGTGGTATACTGCCACTGAACTTGAAGGTTCTGTATAGCCGCTATTGCCAGTAGCCATTGATAGACTTCCTCTCTGCAAAGGCATCTTTTGAAGACATCCAAATCATGTACACTTGAGGACTCTATAAATTCTTAGGGAGACCAACTGTCCGCCTCAACTACTTACCTGTGAATCTGGAGTAACAGTGGCCCACAGTACAGAGCTGTTATGAAGGTGAATGAAAATTTTATCCGCACCAAACCTTTAGCCACACCAAACCTTGATAATTATGTGAGCTAAAGAAACATTGTGTTCTTGCCTACCATCTTCACTGGTGGGCATGTTCAGTCTTCGCTGGTGTGCATGCTTTTTGTCTCCTCAAAAACTTACACATCCATTAGTCCTTTCAAAGGAAGGTTACCCTGTTAGACAACTTCCAATAGCATGTGAAGCAGAATCTCTAATTTTTTCATCTCTCTGGTAGATTTAGCCAACTGTTCAAACTGTTGCAAATAATAATAATAATAATAGCTGTTCACCGTTTCCCTTGAAACATCTGATATCACAAAAATGGATGAAATTAGAAGTAGGCAGGCACTGGCTAATGAAAAGGGCTCTGGAGAATACGGGAAGACAGTATTAATTCAAAGGGGCAGTTTGTTTTGGAAAACACCTTGATGGCTTTTGTGGCTAGGATGTTGACATACTGGAGAAACCCATTTGCACAATTGAGAAGTGATTATTGAATTCTGTCTCAGAGCTTTGTGCATCGCATGCCTGCATCTCATAGCTTTTTTATTTCCCATTAAATTTAGCAGTTCTGACTAATGCCTGTATAAAATTAGGGTGCCTACTTGAAACAGCTGAGCGCATATTAACTACCTTTTAACACATTTAAACCACTTTTGGGTACTCATAATTAAAGCAGTGAAAGGTGGATTTGATTTCTTGCTACTCTTCTATGAATATTGATAACAGATAAGGGATTATAATTGGTGTTACTGGTCGTATATGTAGAACAGAGTTTGCCTCCCCCCCCCCCAAGGCTTGTGGGCACATTTGAGTCACACTCCCCCCCATCCTGAGTCAGAAAGAGAAAAGGGGCACACATACTTCATTTTTACAGGGAATCTGGGTAAAAATTAGATCCAGTAATCTGAGAATCTGAAAGCACATACAACTGAAAGAGGGTGTAGAGAAGAAGGTCACTCTTTCAACATCCTCCTGCAGACTCTATATACCGTTCAAAGATAAAAGGTGAATGACTCTCACCACTTCATGACCAAGGGGATGTGCCATGGCTCAAAGACTTGACAGGCACCGGGTAAGACCTCAAGGGCACCATAGTGCCCATGGGTGTCATATTGGAGACCCCTGATGGAGAACCAGGAAGGAACAATTATACTGAATTCATCAATACAGAAGGTTCATGATCTCATGTGTGCACCCTCAAGTCTAATTTCTGAAGGAGAACTCAAGGCTGGTACTTCTGTGTACCATAAAGCACATAGCACATTGTTAAAAGCAGTAGCTGAAGCTTCACTGTTGGCTGCAGTCACAAAGAATCTGCAAGTAATTTTGTTTGACATCAACACAACGCTCTCCACCATCTCCTTCACCGTAAGCCTAAAGCAATGTCTCAGAAACCCTTAAGGTTTCCTGCTGGTACTGCACTGTGCTAAGGAATGGATATTTCTATTAATTGCAAAGTTTCCTCAATGCAGAAAATTCTCCCGGCCACTTTCGGGCATGTGATAATAAAACCATAAGGAAAAGGCTGGTGGGTAAGGGTTTGAGTCCATAGCTGGCTTAAGGATGTCTCGCCACATGTTTACTGGCTTTAAAGTATGTTAAGTCTCACAGAGGAGCGGAGAGGAAGGGTAATATAACAATCATCTGCTCCAAGTGCCCAAGAGAAGGACACTGGCAATGCAAGAATGGAATTGAGTTTGGCAGCAGGCTTTCTGGGACCAATCAGTGTGCCTAAAAGACAGCAAAAAGTCAGAGGGGTGAAAGAAGGTACTGGAAGGTGAGAAAGAATGACAGACTTGGCATTTCCATCATTTTTGTATGAAACAGGCCCCTTCCAGTGAGGTGACCTTTTATATCAGCCAAGTATATTGAATTTCCCAGTACAGTGCAGAATTTCATCTTCTAGCAGCATGTCCTAGTGGAAAATCAGCACTGAACCAGTTTCTACTGTCATCTTACTTGTTGTTGACATTGGTACAACTACTGGCGGCACACTGCTCTGAAATGACAACAGTGAATGCGTTGTCTTCCCTTGAACTCTCATTTGTAACACAGGAAAAGCTGGGTCACTTCAAATCTATTACTCCTAATCATAGTTATACTAAACTGAATACTTTATCTGTCATGGGTAATAACTGCGATCATTCTAGCTGATTCTGGGTTGCTTGGTTTTTGCTTAAGGTTGAAGAAATGAAGGAAAACATCCCATTTTACATATGCTTTGGTTGCAATTTGGAATGCAACTAGAGTTGCGTTTGGTTTAATAGGCAGATTATTCAACAACAAAAATCCTCAATTAACTGACACATTGCCTGCATACAATGTGCTGGAACGAAACTGTTGTGGCAGGGAGATAATAAAGGTTCCTATAATGAGGCAGAGTTGAATCACTGTCTTGTTAAATGTAAAGGCAAATCAGGACCATCCTATCACTGCTCTCATGCTACCTTTTACTGTCCTCCTGCCTCACCTTCCAACACCTTCTTTTCACTTTATCTTTCCAGGCCTCCTCTTTAAATCTGCCCCAGAATGGTTAAGAATGGAAATTGCAAGTCTTACACTGCCATTATGCCTTTTCTACTGTGTAATGAAATCATGTTCCTTGTATAACCAGACAAAGAGGTGAACAAGTTCACTAGGGCTGGGCTGACACCAGCTTACTTATTTTTTTACGAAGGCATAAAAAACAGTCACTTAGAAAAATAATCACTTCTGTACCTAAGCTGTGATCCACATATTCTTCATGCTTAATGAATTTTGAAGTGCATTCCATATATAGTGCAAGTTAACCCTGCTTGTAGAGGTCAAACATTGGAAAGATTGCTAAACAGATATAAAAGAGAAAATACATATAGTAAATCTTCCTCATGCCTCACTCTGCATGCCTCATTCAGCTTCTGTCATTCCAAGGCAGCGGTCGCCAGCATGAGGCCTGTAAATGCAGATGTGCATGGAGAAAACTCCCCTGGTACCCACAGGGTCCCCTCTCCCCTTTGAAATTAGACCTATTATGGTATAGCCAATAGAACTGGTCAGGGGACGGGTGCTCACAATAGTTTCTCCAGTTTGCAAGTGTGACAAGGGTCCAAATCAAGTACCCCAGCTCTAAAGAAACAAATGCAGTATTCTTAAGGGCGAAGCTATATATGACATCAAAGATATATGAATGCATCACCCAACTTTTGTATGTGGCTAAAAGCAACCACAGGATGGATCCAATTTGGACTGGAACCACAAAGTAGGAGATGGTGCCGATTACTCAGTGCAAACTGTACCACTCTGCAGGTTCCTATAAGTGAGGGATGTTCAACAGGTCGATCGCAATCTACTGGTAGATCCCCATGAGGTTTTGGTAGATCGCGGTCGATGTCTGGCTCCCTTTCCTTAGCGTCGGTAAAACTGACTCCTGCCTCGCCCCCTCACCTCACCCTCCATTGTTGTTTGATCTCTGGAAGGGAAGATGGAGCTTTCTCTGTGCTGCTGTTTTCATCTATATTGATCTTTTTGTGAGTGACTTTACCCCTTTGTCCCTTGCCTTTTGTTGTTGTTGTTCAGTCGTTTAGTCGTGTCCGACTCTTCGTGACCCCATGGACCAGAGCACGCCAGGCACTCCTGTCTTCCACTGCCTCCCGCAGTTTGGTCAGACTCATGTTTGTAGCTTCAAGAACACTGTCCAACCATCTCGTCCTCGTCATCCCCTTCTCCTTGTGTCCTCCATCTTTCCCAACATCAGGGTCTTTTCCAGGGAGTCTTCTCTTCTCATGAGGTGGCCAAAGTATTGGAGCCTCAGCTTCACGATCTGTCCTCCCAGTGAGCACACAGGGCTGATTTCCTTAAGATTTCCCTTGCCTTTAAACCCCCAAAAAAACAGAATTCCCCCCAAAAGCTTTTTCTTTAACCCCTAAAAAATGGGGGTTTGAAATGACACCCCCCCCATGGGACTTTCCTTCCCCAAAAAAGGTCAACAACTTTGAGCTGGTAGATCACTGCCAGTTTTTAATTCTGAAAGTAGATCGCAGTCTCTTGGGAGTTGGCATTATAGGGCTAAATGAGAGTACAGTGGTACCTCTGGATGCGAATGGGATCCGTTCCAGAGCCCCGTTCGCATCCT